AAAAAAAGGTACGAGAAAAGGGAAGGCCAGGAAGGAACGAGGCCTGGGGATGTGGATGTGGTGTGTGTCTGGGCTTTTCGCTTTCCCTTGAAAGGGGGACGGGCGGGTCGTGCTCGTTGTTCCAGAAACCTGCCGCCTCTGGAACCGCACGGCGCGACCTGCCGGCCGGGGTCTTTTTCTTTCATAAACAACATTGACGAAGTACAGGGAGCAGCGCTGTACCACGCATTCCCCTTCCTTCTCGGAGGCTGCTCCTCGCACTGAAAAAAAAAAAAAAAAAAAGACGGAATATTATCTTGGAGAAGCAAGACATTTGTGGGTTTCTTCTTTTTCCAGGACGCATTTGCGGCATCTGGCAGAATTTCCGCCCGATTCGTATTGTCGGAAGAGCTGGACGACGGAATGACAGGGGTGAACGAAAAAGGGAAAAATTCCCATGGATGACGAATTTCCCGGGCTCTCTGCTTCTCGGCTTGGCGAATCACCACTAGTATCTTGTTATCCTCCCCCTAATAATAATCAAAGATCTTCCTAGGCAAGGGAAAAGAAAAAAAGAAGGAAAGCAAGGAAGAAAGAAAAAAAAAAAAACTGCCGTTGACAACCGATTTTCCAACACGCATCGAGGTCATGCTCGAATCTTGCATGGAACCAGGGAATCTCGACCCTCCTGCACCTCGCCGCAGATCAATCTTAGATCCTTTCCTCCCCATGTCATCTTGCTGGCCTTCAAAGGTCGACTTTTTCGTTGTACGAATTTTTCTTCTGAAAGTGGATATGAAAGGGGGGCGATGTTTGTGAACAAGACGTCATCGTGCAAAGGCGACTCCCTCAAAGAAAAAGCTTGGAGCTCCGTGCTGACTTGGGTCACAATTCTTTTTCTTCTTTGGCAGTGACAATACAAAGCTGTATTACTTTGAACGCCTTTGGGCGTCAGAGGGAGCATTTTCCCAATAATCTTTCTGGCTCGTAGTATTGATCTATTACTCTGCTCCGCTGATATTGCCATCTTCGAGACCTCTACCATGCTTCCTCATGCTTGCTCCCCCGGTGCTGACAGCTTGGAAAAGGCTAGCAAGGGCCAGCTCTCTCCACAGCTAGCGGCGGGCCTCAACCGCACCAGGGGCCTTGACCATTTCTCCACCGCGCGTCGTGCTGGGCCAGCCCGGCGGGAGATTGGGGCAATATTAACCAAATTCCCAGCGATGGAGCCAAGAGCGCGGACCCCGGGGCCACCCAGGAAGAGAGAGAGAGAGAACTTGGGGCTCTGCTGCTGCTGCTCCTCAGAGAGCTGGTCTCGATGTTTGCACGTGAAAAGAACGGTGCCGCAGTAGCTCCTCTGAGTTGTGAACTTACACAAGTATCAACTAGTGTACACTGTTGTTACACGTAAAAGGCTAAAAATGGTATATATTCGGTGGAAGCACGCTCAGCCACGGCAAGACCGATTGTTCGTGCTGGTCTTCTGGGTGGACACGCCTGGACCGGCGCTGAAGAATAAACGTCAGTTGTATTTGATCAATGGGCGTGGACAGCAGGCTCGTGTAATACGGGGGAAGAGGTAATCTCGGTGGGTGCTTCTCAAAGAGGGTCGGTCAAGCGTATTAGGCCTCCTGCTCTGCTCTGTTCTGCAGCAAGCAGTAATACGTAGCAGCTTCTTTGACTCTGTGACACGTAAATAATGTCGAATTCTCTGCACATGTGTTCTTCACGCTGCGCTGCTAGCACGTCTGCTGAAGAGGCTCTGTCCTGGCGTAACGCGTGCTTTTTTCTTCGCTAGCGTTGGATGATGGCATTTCAAAAGGTATCAGTGTCTCCAGACGGAGACCTCCGTCGTCCTCATCGCTCGTTGGATGTATAAAGTACGTTATACACCACACATACATACGTCTTTGCATGGAAAGGCGCTGGATTTGTAATAAGATGCAGACGGGTTGCGACGGGTTTCTGTCCACACGTTTTCTTTTTGTCCTGCTCCCTCCTCGGTTGTGGAGTGGTCCTATCATTTCTGCGATGTCGACAGCCTGAATCCAAGATTTTTTTCTTTCGTTCTCGACATCATCTGGTTTCTCTTCCTTCTTTTTCATTCTCTTCGAAGCCTGAGGACAAGATCGAATCTTCCATCCGGCTCTGTGCATCCTCTCGCCTACCAATCGTGACTCGCTGGCCACCGCGGGACAATCGCTAGCTGGATGCAGTTCTCATCGTATCACAAGCTATCTGCTATATACGTAGAGAGACGGCCGCAGACTGAGAGAGGCAAGAGAGGTCTTGGTTAAGGTGATTCGCTCATCCATCTATGGATGTTCATCCATTGGCTACGAGCCTTTAGGTACGGTTGGGTTTAGCTGTCCGTGGACGATATCAATAAGAGCAAGAGAGGAAAAAACCAAGAGCTTGAGACGGAAAAAGGAAACCACCCATCGAACCAGGCCAGGCACTGAGTCGGTACTTTTCGTCATGCTTAGGCAAGGTCAAGCGTATGAGTGAAACTCGCTTTCGGTACTTTGACGGGGCGACATGTACACTTTCGAGTTCCCGCTCGTACTGTCTGCTCGTTTCCTCACGACGAAGAACCGCCCCACATTCCTGAAGTAAAAATGTTTTAGCGCAAACTGCCCCGTAGTGCACCAAGCAACAGCTAAAATTGATCAATTGATGGGAGCACCTTTTTGGTATTAAAGGAAAGGTCAGCCTCCACGCGCGCGGGACTAGATTAATTCGCACCAGCCACATTGGAGCAAAAAGCTTGCTGGAGTTCCGGGGACTGCGTGTTTCGAAGAAGAAAAACAAACCGCTGGAATTGTTTTCTTTTTTCTTTTATTTTTCTTCTTTTTCTTTTTGGCATTTGGATTCGTAGTTGGAAGCAGAGAACCTCGCCAGGAGTCTAATTGAAGCTTGTGTCTCCCGGCCGCGCCCTAACGCACAATAGAGTTGTAATACAGTCGACTGAACTGTTCAATGCAATATAATTTCGAGTTCAACACCTTTTTGGTCGGGCCTTGCCCTTGGTGGGTAGCATTGCTTGATTTTTGAGTGTCAGAGTGTGCTGGGACACTCGGTTGCTGCTGTCTCTACGTTGTGACATGTACCCGGTACTTTTTGCCCAACAGCACTTCTACTTCTACTTTGATTCCCGGCCATTGCTCGCTCATCTGTCCAGTGCGCAACTTTGCTCATCATCTATCGCCTCCCGTTTGGCATTATCGGTTTTCTTTGCAACAGCCATCGACATCTTTCGTAGTAGTGTACTCGGCAATGCATACGGGGTGGGCCCAAGTTGCGTGAGACGACGAGAGACGGATGCCAAGCGGGAAACTCGGGGCTGTGATGCGCACGCGTGGTGTGTGACCTGCTGGTGGGTGATTCGGTCGAATGCGAGTCGGCAGGCTTACTGGAGAACTCGGTTTTGATCAAGAGAAATCAGTTGTTTCTTTGAGCCTGAGGCGAGAGAGAGAGAGAGAGGGAGAGGGATGCCGACCTCTGCTCTAATGGAACCTCGATCATGTCCAGCTCTAGCACCCGACTCATGGCGCTGCTGGCTCCCGAGTCCGTCGCATCTCTAGCTGCGGGAGAAGGGGGATAGTGTGATAAAGTGATAAAACCGGGTTTATCGATGGAAGTCAAAAAGGCTTGAAACTGGCCGTTTGAGTGGAAGGGGGCAAAAACTCGCCAAGGCTTTTTTTTTTTTTTTTTTCTCTCGCTCTTGCTCCCTCCAACGTACGTTCGGCGTGCCAATGAAGTGCTTCTTCGCGCAGGCTGGAGCTGGCTCATTGATTGGGTCACGAAAGCCACCGAACAGTTTTCCCATCCATGCTCTGTCTTACTATTCGACCATCAGTTTGGGGCTACGCTACCCGGTGATGGCCTACACCCGCTACACCAGTTGAACGGTTGAAGTATCTCTGGAGATGATGTAGTGGTTTCTGGCTGACTAGAGCTACGCAGCGACAAGTAGCTGTGTGTAGTGTCTGTGGGAAGTAATGGGCTGGGTACGTACCTGGGCCCAGTGCTGGACTCGTCTCTTTCCCCCTTGTGGTGCTGGAGCACCGACCACACAGATCCCATTTGTACACTCCACACCTAAAGCAAAGTCCCTGGTACACACCCTGTCTGCCTAGAGACCACACGCCCCCTGTCCCAGTCTGGTTCCTGCTCCAGTTGCTCGCTGGTCCTCTCTCCCCCAAATGTGAGGAGGATTATTTCCAAGCCTAAAATTTTTTTCTCCCTTTGAGCGAACTCCTCCTCAAAACACCTCCCAAACCATACATCCAGAGTTGAGAGGCCTAGGTGGAAAACATCATTCCAACGGCCCTTTTCTATCCATTTCTTCTGTCTTTTCATAGCAGAAGATCCATCTCCACTCCGTTAAGTGTTCTCTCCTTCCACGCGGACGTTTATTCCCCTAATCAGTCCCTTTGCTGTGGTCGCGACCTTTTCGTGCATCGGCGGTTTCGTTCCTTTGGACTTCCCGTGACGAAATTTTTTTCTTCGCAATCTTTTTCCTCGTTCCTTCCCCCAAAGAAACGAAGAATCTTCCCCTTTTTCTTTTTGCGAAGATCAAGAAGACCGATTCACTTCTTTCATCCTTCATCTTCTTCTTTTTGCTTTAACTATTCTTTTTGCCATTCCTCGACTTTCATCGGGAATTCTTAAAAAGAAGGTTGCTTAATTGCGCAAAAATCAAGACATCCGAGACCAAGGAAGCATAAACACAAGAGAGCAACTGAATCTGAGATTCATCAAACCATTCGACGATAACGGTTTCGTTTCATTACGATCCTCTCGTCCCCATCATCGAAGCCTTCTCTTCGACTCCCTCGACGAAGCTTTTCTTCCCCTTCTCTCAACGAATCCGCAAACGCGCCTCTTTGGGCCCGCGCATTGCCTCATCTCCCCCAAGCGAGACGAAAGTCATCGAACTCGAGCACACCAGCAACGGATTGCATATTTTTGATAGCGGCACATCCCAGAACCGTCTGGGGCGACATCAATCATCACATATGACTTCTACTGCAACTCCGCAGAATTCGACACAGGCGACCAACACTGCAGCCCACTCTTATGCGTCCGCTGCCAGTGCGTCGAAGAAGCCTGCTAATCCCAACACTGTAGTTGCCTCGGGCTCTACTCCTGCCCCTGTCGTCGTCGGCTCGTCCGCCAAATCTGCTTCCCCAGCGAACGGCAGACCCGCCATTCCCCCAGCTGTCCCCGTAGTTCACGGCTCTGTGAACGGCGGCACGGCTGACCACGCTCGAAAGCCCTCCGTCACCATTAGCGCTAATGGTCCCCCTCCTACGGCGCAAACGGCGGCCCTGTAGGATCATCCAAGTCCGCCATCCAGTTCGGTTTCCGCGACTCCCCAGTCGTTTCTCACAGCACCCCCAGCCCGGTGCGGCTTCTCCTATCCCCATTCCCGGCACTGGACACGCGAGAGTTGCTTCTCCCGCCCACTCGCCTTCGCCTATCCCCAGCCGGCCGCGAGCGGTGGTCGACCTCCCGCCGGTCTTCAGTCCGGCGACGTGAAGCCCAGCTTCGGCAGCTTCAACAACGATCCTGAGGTATGTCTGGGTCTCCACTCTTTTTTCCTTGATTTTTTTCTTCTTTCTTTGCCTTTCATCTTCTCCTCAATGTCCTTGGTGGTATTTCATCTCGCGAAACCTACAATTTTGTTTTTTGCGTTTGATAGCTTTTCGAACGGCCTAAGATGGGAGCGGTTTCGCCACCGGCACGAGCCGCCCCCTTTTTCCCTTCTTTTTTCCCCCAAATAATTTGAGGAATTAACTAACTTTTTTCGTCTTTTCTTCCCCAGCGTCACATGCGACAGGCGTCTATCCCCCAACAACCCGGCTCTCCACAACCAGCCTCTTCACACGAGGCAAGGCTCCAACATTTCCATGGCTAGCACTGGCGATATGGGCAACCAGGGCATGCCTGGCCCCAACCGTGGCGGCTACCACCACGGCGGACGCGGCCGTGGCTATAACAACGCTCCCTACAACTCCCATCCCCAGACCGGATACCCTCCCCAGGGCTCTTTCCGAAACGGTCACGGACAGGGTCGGAACTCGATGGCTCCCGCTTTCCAGCCTCAGCCTCCTCCTCGTTATGCCAACAGCCCCCAGCCGACTCGTGGCAGCCCTGCCATGATGCCCTCTAACCCCAACACACCGAACATGGCGCCTGCGATGCCTGTTCAAACTCCTCCTCAATTTTATGCCCCTCCCATGGGCGCGCAACCTGTACAGAACCCCCTTTTTCTTATCAGTCTGACCTCGTTTCTTTTGTGTCACATGCTTCCTCCTCCCGGAATCGGTCTGCTGGCCTCAAGAAAGATCGTCGGTCCTTCGACCGGCGCAAGCAACCGCAGGATGCTCGCATGGGTAGTCCCCGAGCTCTCCCCTCTCACCAAGCGGCCCTCGCGCTCTAGTAAGCGTGGTGGTGCCAATCATAACAACTGGCGTTCGACTGCGCCTGCACCTCCAATTGCGTACGGCTCTCTCTCTGTCGCTTTTCAAGGACACGAAAGGGATTCGGACACGGAGCAGCAGTACCAGCTAGAAGGGCATGTCCGGTTCGGCGAGCCACACCAGCAAGATCAATTACAGCTGCCACCACGTTACCCTAGCCTGGAGATTGATCTCTCTCCGAGACTGAAAATTTTAAGCAGATACAGAAGGTGCTAACTGAGAGAAAACAGAACATGCCTCCCTATGGATATCCTACTCCCGGCGCCGTCAACCAGTACCCCGGGCCCATGCAGCATATGGGTTACAGCAACTACCCCATGCCTTACCCCGGCCCCTCTGGCTCGCCCGCCTTTGGGCCTGCCTATGGCGCTCCCCTTTCCATCCCGGAGGCCCTACCGCTATGTCTCGAACTCCTTCTACCTCTGAAAAGCCTAACCTTGGTGCCGGTCCCGGCGGCCAGCCCGTCGTCGTCTCAACGCCCCAGATGTCTCAGGCCCAGGGTAAGCCCCCTGTGGTTTCCGGATCCGGTAACTCACTTGCCCGGCCCAAGAAGAGCGCTGCTATCGTCATCAAGAGGCCCGATGGCGAGATTGTGGACGTAGCCAACATCAAGTCGTCCTCTCCTGCCCCTACTAGCAGGACCCCTCCTGTAGTTTCATCCACCGCTACTCCTCCCACAAAGCCCTCGACACCTTCCCACACGCGCACTGAGTCCGCGGCTCCTCTCAAGACTAAGGAGGAGATCCAGGCCGAGCTTCGAAACAAGATTGCTCGGGCTACCGCGCAGACCTCGAGCGACGCCGATAGCAAGGCAGAGGAGGCTGCCAAGGCCGAGGCCGAAGAGAAGGCCAAGGTCGAAGCCGAAGCCAAGGCTAAGAAGGAAGCCGAGGAGAAGGCCAAGGCTGAGGCCGAACAAAAGGCAAAGGAGGAGGCCGAGAAGAAGGCCAAGGAAGAAGCCGCAGCTAAGGCCAAGAAGGAGGCCGAAGACAAGGCCAAGGCCGAAGCCGAGGCTGAAGCTAAGAAGAAGGAGGCTGCTGCCGCTCAGGAGTCTGAGGAAGAGGAAATGGAGCGAATTATCCGTGAGATGGAAGAAGCCGATAGGCTCCGTGAGGCCGAAGAGGAGAAGCGCCGCATCAAGTCGGAGGCTGCCAAGGCCGAGGCTAAGAAGAAGGCGGACGCCGACCGCGCAACCGTCGCTGCCGAGAACGACCGCAAGCTCCGCGAGGCTGAGCGCGAAATGGAGCGTCTCGAGGAGGAGAAGGAGAGGAGGGCCCAGGCTAACGCTGATTCTGGCAAGAGCTTCACCGAGCTCCTTGCCCAAGCCCGCAGCGGCAAGGTCGAAGAGTCTGCAGAGTCTCCCAAGGTCGACTCGGTGACCGACAAGCTCGCTACCATGAGCATCGGCGGTGATTCGAAGCCCTCGACCCCCACGTCGGCGACGGGCAAGGGCCCTGATAAGCAACAGCGTAAGCCTGCCGCGCTTAACCTGTCGATTACCACCAAGCCCGTCGAGGCGCCCCAGCCCAGTGCCGCCCTCCAGTCGCTCAAGACTTCTCGCTTCCTCACCATTAAGGAGGCATCGAACCCCGGTATCTACGCGGGCAGCAGCCTCGCCTCGCCTAACCCTGCTGTCAACGCCGCCGTGGGTAAGCGTGGCCAGGCTTTCAAGTACGACGCCGCGTTCTTGCTCCAATTCCAGAATGTCTTCACCGAGCAGCCTTCTCTTGAGTTCCAGTCCCAAGTTAAGACTCTGATCGGCGATACGGATAACAAGGGCTCTGGCCGCACCCCGCCAGCGCTCGCCCCAACGCTAGGGAGGCGCCGGTCCCAACGGCTTCCTCCATGGGCTCGTTTGGCAGGACCCTTCCTCCCGGCACGACCTCGGAGCAGCGCATCGCCATGTCCTCTGGTGCCGCACCTCGTCCCACCATGCCCGGCATGGGCGGCTTCCGCGGCCCCAGCGGCCAATTTGCCGGCAGCCTCCTCTCCAACTCGGGCAGGTCACCGTCTAACTCGGGCATGGGCCCCAACTCGCCTAGACAGCCCAGCGGCCGCGGCCACAGGGCCGGCGGCAGCCAGCGTCCCGGCTACAACTCGCAAAAGGATGCCCAAGCTGCCAAGACCATGCCTCTTACTCAAGGCATGGATCTGAAGCCCATTACCGTCTCCGCTGGCGGCTGGAAGCCCACGAGCATCGGCAGGAAGACGGCCGAGAGCGCCTCGGACCACCTCGAGCCCGAGCTGGTGCAGCGTAAGGTCAAGGCGGCGCTCAACAAGATGACGCCCGAGAACTTTGACAGGATCTCGGACCAGATCCTCACCATTGCGAATCAGTCCAAGAACGAGAACGACGGCCGCACGCTCCGCCAAGTTATTCAGCTCACGTTCGAGAAGGCCACGGATGAGCCCCATTTCTCTTCGACGTATGCCAAGTTCTGCAAGCGCATGCTCGACCAGATGTCACCTGACATCAAGGACGACACCATCAAGGACAAGCACGGCAATGTCGTCAACGGCGGCAACCTCTTCCGAAAGTACCTGCTCAACCGCTGCCAGGAAGAGTACGAGCGTGGATGGAGCGTTCCCGACGCCCCTGAAGGAGAGGAGAAGAAGGTGCATGGCGCCGAGCTCCTTTCCGACGAATACTACCTGGCTGCTGCCGCCAAGCGACGAGGTCTCGGTCTTGTCCGCTTTATCGGCGAGCTGTTCAAGCTTGGCATGCTTACGGAGCGCATTATCCACGGCTGTGTTCACGGCCTGGTCGACTTCAAGGAGGAGCCCAAGGAGGCCGAGATCGAGTCTCTCTCCTTCCTTCTCAGGACCGTCGGTGCTCAGCTGGATGCCTCGGAGAAGGGCAAACCTATGATGGATGCCTACTTCAAGCGCATCCAGAACATGATCGATCTCCCCGAGCTCGAGAACCGTCTCAAGTTTATGCTCATGGACGTCCGCGATCTCCGCCAAGAAGGCTGGAAGTCTGTCGAGGCCAACAAGGGCCCCAAGACTCTCGACGAGGTTCGTGCCGAGGCCGAGCAGGTAGCCGCTGCCAAGGCTGCCGAAGCCGCCCGCAGCCAGCGCGGCGGTGGCGGTCTCAGGCCTCAGATGGGCCGCGGCGACGCCAGGTCCATGTCCTCTGGCTACGGCCAAACGACCAATACTGTCGGTATGGACGACCTCAAGCGGCTCAAGTCCAACAGCAGGCTGCCCAGCGCCGGCATCACGCTCGGCCCCCACTCGATGCTTGCGTCGCGCAGCAACAGTGGCCGCCGCCCCGGTGGTCCTGGTGCCCTTGGCCGTTCCGGAGACAACTCTGGCATGTCGTCGAGGACCGGCACCCTCCCACGCGGGAGTCGTCCAACACTTTTGGGTACGTATTGTCAAACCGAAACAAGTTCCTTTTTCCCTCGTGCCTTGAACCCCAAGCTAATCATTTATTTTGTGCGTGTTAATAGTCTCCTCGCGACGATGGACTCGGAAAACCCTGTGTCTCCTCCCTCGACTGCGGCGTCCCCGCGTTGTCCAAGGTTGTCCCTGACAGCAAGAAGCCTTGAGGCTCGCTCTGAGGCGTGCGGGACGGTAGCGAAAGCGAGAATCGTCGCTGCGCAGTTGTTTTTTTCCCACCAGTCACATTTTCACTCGGACTCGACACTACATCTCGGATCCGGGGCTCGCTGCATTTTCCGCGACATAGAAAGGGGCAGGGTTGCTTTTTCTTTTCCAAAAAGGGGCATCGTCATCTCTACATTTCGGGGCTTTCACAAGAATGCGTCCTTTGAGACTCCAAAAGTTTGATAATTTCTTCATTTCGACTCTTTGCCTTGTTCTTTTTTTTTTTCCCATACCGATGATACCTCGACCACATCGCACACAGCATAGACGGATACGGCCTTCTTTTTCTTACTCTTCTCGTTTTCATTACTCGCTTTTAGTCATTCTTCTATGCTCTCTTTTCCTAGTTGGACTGCACTGGCATAACATGGAGGAGAGGCAGGAACAAATAAGCCTACCTTGTCCTTCCATCCTACATTGCGTGTTGGCTCCTTTTCCTAACTTCATTGTGCTATTATCGTGGAATTCCCATGTCACCTTTGCTTCTCTTTCTTCTTTCTCCTTGGGCATTTTCCCTCTTGTCTTATCCATTGTTGCCCTTGTTCTTTTTCCTCTTGTCCTTTTCTCTTGTCCTGTGTCTTGCGTGCGCTTGTTTTGTCCTTTTCTCTCTTGTTTTGCGTCTAATACAGATTCATGGACTAAAAGGGGTATTTGCGTCGTTTTCGAGGGCTGCTTTCCATTGCTTTTTTCTTCCATTTTTCGTTTCTTTTTCGTTTCTCTTGAGCTTTCCGAAGCACTCATCGTCGCGCCTTGTCTTCCCGCGAAGATGGAATGTTGAAGTGAGGTTTTTGAAAGAGCGGCAGTCGCTCTGCCCTCGCCAACACCCTCCTATTAACTCCTATTATTTTATTTCCCGGAGTACAATCTAGTACTCCGAGGTTGAATTGCGACCAGACCTTGAACACCTACGGGAACCGAATCGAAGCCCAGGCGGAAATGGGGATCTGCCTCTTGCTTCCACTTCGCCCATCCCGATCAGGAATCGACCAGTCTTGGGAAGCTTTCGACCACACCTCACTCGACATTCCGGAAATCCGAGCCATCGACTTCGCATAGCAACATGGAAAGCTGGACTCGAAATACCGAGAATTTGCAGCAGAGATGAGAAATTCAGGGGCAAGGGGAAGAGAAGTTGTACGCATCCAGACAACCCACGGCCATGTTGCAAAAAGGGGGTAGATGCCGTCGAATCACCACTGGCAGAGAGAGGTCGGTAGAGCCGAGAAAATCTTTTGGGGGATTTTTTTAGTACTTTATAGTATACTACTACGACACATTCTCTTGGTCGGCGGTGTACGGATCGGTAGGGGGAACCAGTGAAACGAAGGTACACGAGGGTTGGTCGGGCGCGTTGCATTCTTCTCTGTCCTGAGTGTTGGTTTTGCTAGGGAGGTAGGCGATGGGTGCTTCTTTTCAGGCCATTGTACATCATTTTAATTAGGGGTAGACTGACTGCCTCGTCGACTAAGTTGGGTCGATGGGAGAATACATTCCGTCCTTTTCCAACATCTCCGTCATGATTCGCTTCCCATGTGACACTGCATGTACATGTTTTCTGTCTTGACCAACTTGCACGTTTTCTCGGTCGAGAGTAATTATATCGGAGAGCCCCGTCTCTACTGGTGATGGCATCCCTTAACCCATATTATGTATCCCAAGGACGACCCCAATTCCTCGTTTCGTCAGCCCACGACGGACATGGCCCCAAGCACACACACGGAGACTGATTAGACGGAATGGAAAACCGAGGGAAACAAGACTAGTGCAAGAGAATTCTCCGTCTATTCGTCAATGTCGAGCTTCTTGATTATCTACAGAGATTACGATGGGCCTACCTCTCCATTTTTCCTATCCATCTTTTTTTCCTCCTCTTTCGGGGGAACGGCTAGAAACGCAAATGTCTCTATGATACAAGACGGAAAAAGAAAGGACGCCTTCAAGATCAAGCGGCGAAAAACTAGTGATGAAGAAAGAAAAAGAGGATATGCAACCTTTTTTGGGGGATGGACACGATTTGGAAAGAAAAACACTGTTGATAACCGCTTGGGAGGTGAGAAGGGGGTGGGGGTGTAGGTAGGCAGAAGACAAGAAAATGGCGCCAAACCCTGCTCGTACAGACAATGAAATGGAAAGAGAAACCCCGGTTCACCACGTAGATGCAAAGAAAGGAAAAAGAGAGAAAAAAGTACCCATCACTCCTCCATCTCATCATCTTCCTCGGGCATCTCCACGCCCTCAAAACTATCATCTCCGTCATCCTCGTCCTGGGCATGGCCGGCTTTTTCTTCCTCCAGCTCCAGCTCTGGCTCTGGCTCTGGTTGCGGCTGCGGCTCCAGTTCTGCGACATCCTCCTCATCCTCCTTCTTCTCCTCTCGGTTCTCTTCTTCTCCTTGCTCATCGTCCACCGCCATCGCGTCATCTGCCGACGCGGGTGTGTCCTCGGCCATTTCCAAGGGCTCCTGCTGTACCTGGGGCTGGTCGTCGTTACCGCTCGTGGCGTCGCCCACCTCAACATCCTCCTCTATGCGGCCGTAGACAAAGTCGTGAATCTTGTCCGCGGCAGCGGGGTGTCGATGCCGGCATCAAGCGCAAGGGAGAATCCGCCTTCCGGCGTGTCGGTGTCGGGGGAGGGCGGAGAGAAGGATGGAGCGATGGGGAAGGCGTTTTCTTGTATTTGGGTGGCGGACTGGTGGGGTTGTGTTCACATGGTTAGCTTGTGCTTCTTGTAAGAGTAGACCGTTGATCCGAGGGCGAAATGGACACAAAAAGGAAGATAAGGGGAATAAAACTCACGCCAAGGGGAACCTCGAGGACGGGAACCTTGCCCTTCTCCGCAGCGGCCTCCACCGCCCTCCTGCTCGTGCCGTATCCCACGCCATCCACCTCGCCAAACTCGATAAACTGGTCGTTGCCCACCATGACGCTAAAGGCCTCTGCTGTGACAAAGGTGTAATCCCGGCCACCCGACTCTCCCTCTCGCGCCTCTCTCGCCGCATGTCTGACGACCCGCTTGAATACGCCAGGTATCTTGCCCATCAAGCCCTCTACTATAGGCTTCGACCGATCTGTATCCGTTGTCGCGGCTGATATGACAACGACGAGGCTCTTGTCCTCCGGCATGTCATCCGGCCCAGCTGTTACCTCGTCGTCGCCTGCCCCATCCTCATCTTCCTCATCGGCACCCGTCCTTCTTCAAAAACGATACCGATCTTGTCAGGGTCGTCGATGCGGTCAAACGCCGCCAGCTTGCTACGGCCAGCGATGCGTAGCGCCCTCCACGACTTGCTCGCCTTGCCCTCGATGGCCGCCGCTTTTGTCTGCGCATTGGTCGGCATCTCGATTTCAAAGTCGTCGTCCTCAATCTTGCGCTGGAAGGAGGCGAGTTCTGGCAGCGCGTAGCGGTCGCTATTCTTGAGCCGCTCCATTGCCGGGTCCTCGTCCTCATCCTTCACCGCCGCCGTTCCCTCATCCCCTCTTTCCACTCCCCGCGGTGGTCGCCATTTGTAGCCGGGCGGTTTTCGGCGCTAGATAAGAAGCCGAGGTTGAGGGAGCCCATGGGGATGGGCCGGAGACGTTTGTTGGTCGCCGTCCGCTGTACCGTCTGCTTGGCCTCGGAGAAGAGATCGGCGGAGACTGGCGGCAGGCCCATAGGTGGGCAGTTTTCAATCTTCCAGCGCACCCAGTTCTTGTCACGAGACAGGACTGTTTCCACCATGCGGAAGAAGTAGGGTCCCTCGAACCCCTGGCGAAGGTAATCTGCGATAGATCGTTTCATGTCCGTCGCCCATTTTGTCTGAGGCATATATGTTATTAGTAAACCAAAGAAGGCGAGATAGCAATCAGATCGTTTAGAGTGACTCTATGAAAGGGGAGGTGGGGAGAGAATATAAGAAAAAGGCTTACGTCGTCTTCGTTGAGCTTCTGGTCAAGGTACTCGACCGCTTTATTATGTGCCCTCGCCGTGGACAACTTCTCCTTGGCCTTGGCGGAAAGCGAAAGCAGAAAGTCCATGACGATAAGAGCCTGCACGAGGACGTGCCGTCGAAAGAGAGGTCGCTAATCTAGTGCGAGTGATTTTTTGTTAGTTCAAGCTCAATCTTGTGCCTCTTTTCTGTCTTCCCTCAGGCGGGGACGTACCTCGAGCTCAAAGAGATCCCGACTTGTGAGGTACTTTGGGTTAAAGGCATTCGCGAGATCCGTCTCGCCGTCCTCCCTCTTCCTCTTGAGAGTTTTTGCGCTATCATCCGAGCTAGCTGTCTTGGCCGGACGCGAGCCGTTTTCCACCTGGATCGACCGGAATGCCGTCATGGTGGTCTCCATCGCGCCCCGAAACCGCGCAAAGTACGTCTCGTCAAAGAGTTTCTTAGGCTGGCTAAAGCTGTCCTGGAGTGACCAAAAGACCGGGTAAAACACGTCCGCGTTCAGCGGGGTTTTCCGCTCGGCGCCTTCTTGGGATCAAACGTGACCGCCTTGAGCGAGGCCTGCTTCTGTTCCCCAGCCTCCTTGCCCGCAGCGGTACCATCGTCGACATCCATCGCCTCAGCCGCTGCCTCTTCTCCTTCCTTTTCCGGAGGCGGCGCCTCGTCAAAGACAGTTACATTCTCGATGTGGTATTCTCCGCGCAGGTTGACTGAGCTCTTATCGCCGAGGGGAAACTCTGGAAGAGGAAGATAAAGACCCGGCCGCAGAAGGCGGTGTCCTCGGCGCGCGATAAGCGGCGCAAAGCTCGTTGCAGCTACGTAATATGACAAGCTGCTTCTGCTTAAAGTGTTTGGCGGTAATGCGCTCGCGGCGAGACTCGAGAAAGTCGAATATCTTGCGGCACCCGGAAATGGTCTGGCTGTCGAGTAGCTCCTCCACGAGCCAAAATAAGAGGGCGGGGTCGCATCGTTCCTCGTCGGATAGGATGGCAAGGAGGTCGAGGAAGTTCCAGACACGGACGAACTCGGGTGACTCAATGGGTGTGCTAGCCTAGAAAGAGGGGAAAGAAAAGTAGAACAGTTCTGTTAGCCTTGCTCCAAGGGCTCGATAGGAACAGGACAGGCTAGGGGCCTGGCGCCAGTAACGGTTCCACTCCCATATCCCTCTTCTCGCACGATACACTTACTATTAAGTGGCTGAACAAATCTCGCGCTGCCGTCTCAAACATGGCAAACTGCCTCAGCCGCCTCTGGTCCGCGCCATCATCGCTGGGGCCGCCCAACGCTTCGTCAAAGACGGCGCTTAGCTGGGCCGCCACGTCGCCTAACTTGGATTTGGTCAGGGGCGGTTCGATGGAGGGTTTGTCCTTGATTGTGTCGGCGCGGGCAAGGACATTGTCGAGGTAGGCAGCGCACGAGGCAACGGCGGGGACGCCGTGCCCATCTGGCGTCGCGCTAGGCATTCTCTCGAACCGTAGAGATTGTGCGCAAGATGGTAAATGACTTGCGGCGATGTAAACTATCGGCTATTCGGTAGAGGGATTGAATTGGCGGGTTTCTGGTCGAAGGGTTCGCTTCCGTGGCTCCCCGTTACACTCGATGTCTGCGAGGCTGGAATGAAGACGGCTAGAATGAATGGCGACGGCCGAGCTCGAAGATCTAAAACAAATAGATTGGTGAAAATAAAAACAAAACAAAAAGTAAAGGGCGAAACAAGGACGAATTAAGTTAATGAATGAGAAAGCCGGGGTCGTAAGAAAACCACCGGAGATGCAGTTTGGGTTGCCAACGTCAGCAAGGCTTCGTTCGTCCCTTCTCGCGATGCCGCTTGCCTTGCAGTTCCTCGTCGCCCGGAAAGAGAAAAATCGCGTTGTTCCCAAGTTCCTGCAGATGTGGCGCAACCTTTGGCGGAAGAGTGGCTGGTGAGCCCGACCCACCTTTCGGTGCCTCAGAGTCACAGCAACCAAAGCTCTCTCTGCAACTATAACGATCACTAATATTACCGTAGCACCCCCAAAAACTTTATGTTACACGTCCATGAAGCGTGCTTTTAATTGAAAATCGCAGGCTTCTCTGATATGTTTGTTTATAAAACATGTATGCTTGATCCTAAGATTTCATGGCGACGGGATATTGATCCATACATCAAGAAGCAAGGATCCAGATTCAAGGTTGACACTAACCAACTCTAGCTAGGCTCAAAAATTGCCCCTTTGGCGTTCATTGCCTTGGTCTAATAAGATTCATAGATGATTGCGAGTGCGGGCTTCAATCGACAAACTATTCAGTAGGGTTTCCTCTTCTTCTTGTTTTATTGAAACCAGTAGCTGGTCTTCCCTCATTGACTGGCTCTCTTGGGTTTTGAGTCTTAGGACAGCGACGCCACGACGATGTTGCCGCGTGAATAGCTTTGAACGTGATGCACCAATCACATGCCACAACCAGTATTTGACGACTTCTCGGTGGCTTCTCGGCAGGAGCCACTCACATTCGATCCTTTGACATCCATCAGCTCCGGGTCCATGTATTGGTGGGCAGCTTGGGCAGGTCCTTTGCTTGACGGTGCTCGGCTCTCTAATCCAGGGGGAGAAGAAATCACCGGCGGCTTGCAATCTTCGTCTCTATTGCCACCTCGATACCCCAGGGCGACTCATGGACTCTTGTGAGGCCTTGAGATCTTCATTTCCAAATCCGGAACGGGAACGGAATCAAGCATCCTAGGATTCTTCAAGTTTACCAACGTTTGCAGTGTGGCAACGACAAAGCAACGTCCCATTTACCACAAGTATAAAAGCGTAGATTAAAGCCGCACATAATCTCCGGGTTCCAATCTCGTGCGGCGTCGCATGCACCCGTAGATCGGGGGTGGAAAGGAAGGGCGGGGAGGAGGGGGAAGCCTTCTTTCAACAACAATGGTCAGTGAGGGTGGGGAAACCTGGTCACCTCCCCCATTTCTAGTCTTGTTTCTCTTCCTCCCCTGTTCACTCGTACCTAAAAGAGGAGGTAGTATCTTGTTCGACTGGGGAGAGGTTGCTTCCTGGATATTTGAGCGGCGCAATGTTTGCACCGATTGGAAAAAGAGTCAACCAAAAGGTAAAACAATCTACGAGCAAGTGGGCGCGTTTATAGAAATATAGAGGGCGCTGTCTCGCCGGACTCTCACGACTTCAACCCTTCTTCGTCGATACCGACTTTGATTCTCTTAGATATCGTCAAAAGAAGCATCTGCTCGGCCCCCGCCGTGTCTAGAGCGACGTCGATCTGCCGTCCTCCACGACTTGGAACTTGGACCGGAAGCAACGCCCGCGTTTGACCCTACTCCATCCCTCTTCTCCTTCTTCCTACCATCTTACCCGTTCAGCCCTCCCTTCCCCAAAACCCCCCAACCACAACCCGCCAAGATGAAGGCCAAAGCCTACCTCGTCTCCCTCGTCACCCTCCTCTCCACCCTCACCCTCGGCGAAAACCCAGCACCCCCTCCACTCCTCCAGCCGCTGGATCCTCGACGCCCACGGCGCCCGCGTCAAGCTCCGCTGCATCAACTGGGCCGGCCACATGGAAGCCAACATCCCCGAGGGCCTGCACAAGCAGCCCATCCCCTACCTCGCCGACTGGATCGCCTCCGCCGGCTTCAACTGCGTGCGCCTCACCTACTCCACCGACATGGCCCTCGCCCCGAATCTCCGCGTCCGGGACTCCTTCCGCGCCGCCGCCGCCGAGACCAAGGTCCCCGAAAACGCCATGCTCGCCCTCTACGACGCCGCCGTCGCCGCGAACCCTTTCTCGCCTCCGCCACCGTCGCCGACGTCTTTGCCCGCGTCATCGACGAGCTCTGGCTGCGCGGCGTCATGACCGTCCTCGACAACCACGTCAGCAAGGCGAGCTGGTGCTGCAACCTCGACGACGGTAACGGCTGGTGGTCCGACGCCCCCATCTACCTGGCCGCCAATAGCCGCTACTTCGACTCCGCCAAGTGGATGGACGGCCTCAAGGCCATGGCCGCGTGGTCGAGGAACCGGCCCGGCGTCGTCGGCATGTCCCTCCGCAACGAGCTCCGCGCCACGTGGACCCAGATCCTCTTCGCCAGCGGCACCTGGTACTCCAAGATGACGGCCGCCGCCCGTCTCGTTCATGAGACGAACCCGGACCTGCTCGTCGTCGTCGGTGGCCTCAATGGCGGCACCGACCTTTCCCCTTGCGCACGCGCAACATGGACACGGCGTCCTTCCGCGACAAGCTCGTGTGGGAGACCCACGACTACTCCTTTACCGTCACCACCCCCGAGACCGGCAACTGCGATATTACCAAGACCAACTACGGTCTCTTTTTCGGCTTCGTGCTCGAGCAGGGCAAGTCTTACACCGGGCCCCTTTGGCTGTCTGAGTTTGGCGTCAACATGCAAGGCGGGCCCAACTCCGGCCTCAGCGACGCCGATTTCACCTACCTCACCTGCCTCGTCAGCTACATGGAGTCCAACGACGCCGATTGGTCTCTCTGGGCTATACAAGGCTCTTACTACGTTAGAGATGGCGTGCTCGATCAAGAGGAGACATGGGGCGCCTTGGACAGGGACTGGAAGGACTGGAGGAACAAAAACTTCAAGGGCTTGCTTGGCAAGATGTGGACGATGACGCAGAGGCCGTGAGACCACTACTATGTAATGATGTAATTATAATGTCTGAGTGCGCAGGCTCACGAATTGACGATGCCAAAGAATTTCATCACCGTGATTGTCAAAAGCAATGGATGACAACGGCGGCGAATGTGCCATATGGTTTTAAACATATAATTCATCGTGTACCATCCCAGACGCCAAGCTTTTCCCGTAAAATGTAGGGCGAAGAAGGGGAAAAAGACTACTAGAAGCCAGAGAGGCGACGAAGTAAGCATGGGCGGTCACCCAGGGGAACGGACAAAAGGAAGAGATGGAAAAAATTGGAGAAAGAGACGAAGAGTTTCGACCATCCATCCGGCCGCCTCAACAAACCAAAGCCCGTACGTTTCCATGACTCCGCCATCCAACTTCTTACACCAAGAAAGATATAAACGCCTGACAGGGACGACTAAAGGCATGCTCATGTTTACATATTGTCCCTCGATCCCACATGATACATAAAAGGGCGGGCTTTCCGGAATACCCACCCGACAAAAGAAAGGCTCCGTGCCTCGGCTAGTTGAAGTCCGCCAGGTCCCCCATGCTTCCGTCCCCGGATCCGAAAAATAGATCGTCAATGTAACTAGTGCTTCCGCCTCCCTGACCAAGAGCAAAATCGAGGTCCATGGATTCCGTGGTGGCGCTGCCGAGATCGTAAATGTCGTCGTGGTTGAGCGGGGAGGCTGGTTCTTGGGGTTCGAGGGACCCGGCATGCTGTCGATGGACATCGACGCTGTTGGTGCCGGGCCTGACTGCGCACCCGTGGGGACGGGGGCATCGAAGAAACTGTCCAAGTCGATGGTGTCGATGTTTCCGCCCATGTCCAGCGACATGCTATGCCCTGGCGTGTGGTTCGCGGGGTCGCTACCCTGCGCGACCGTAAATTCCATATCCGTAAAATTTGTCCCTCCTGCCATGCTGGGCGGCAGCCCGAATTGACTAGTATCCATAACCGACATGGGGGCAGGAGGGGCGGTTGGAGCAGGAGGGGCTGGCGTCATGGCCGCGGCCGGTACAGGCGGGACCGGGACCGGAGTCTGAACCGAACTTGGAGCTTGAGTCTGCGCTGTGGGAATAACGGGGATGGGGATGGGAGTGGACGATTTGATGGCCGGTGATCTCTTCGCTTCGCCTTTGCCCCCATTAGCGAGGGTGGATGCCTTGGTCTTGGGCGTCGCCGACGAAGCCTTGGCCTCCTTCTTGATGACGACGGGAGAGGTCACGGATTGGGCGGGGCTTGGGGCGGGGATGTCGATGCCCATGTCTGGGATGGGAGCAACAGGACGGCTCGCAGCCATGTTCTGCGCCGCCGCATTCCTCATCTGCTGCTGTTGCTGTTGGATCTGCTTCTGCTGCATCTTAGGCGTCGGCGCCTTGGCAGCCTTGGGAATTGTGGGAATAGGGACAGGTGACTGAAAGACGGGCTTAGGGGTTTCATTTTTAATGGCTACCGGGGACATGGAGGACGCCTTGGCTGCTCTAAGCTTCTCCAGGTCTCTTGTTAAAACGGACTTCGCGTGGACCTGCCTGGGGTGTTAGCCTAAACGAACGGAAAACTGCAACATAGCCCCTCAGGCGGCGATAGAGTGGGGACACGGACAATTTCATGTTCGACATCATCCAGGGCGCGATGGTAGATATCTACCGACTCTGTCATCCGGGTGGTCAAGATACTCCTGACTTGCTCAACATTGCGAGGTCCCTGGCTCTGAGCAGCCTTGAGAGCCTTGCCAGTTTGGATGAGCTATAGAGAACGTTAGCGTTTGCGTTTCTGTACTTGCTTGCGCGCAGCCGGGCGGGGGTCACCACTTACGATATCGTTGATCGTCTGTTGCAGGATATCGAGAGCCTGCTCCGGCTTTGAGTCGGCCATAGTGGCGGTTGAGGGCGCCTTCAGCCAGGGAGACTATGGCCGGGGAAGGCGCGTGAAATGGCCGATAAATGCAAAGTACTTTCTAAAGGAGGAATTTGGTGGCTCCTTGTCTCGATACCCAGTCTCGAGATATCCTGATCAGGAAGCCGGGGGTGGGGGATGTTGGCATGTATTGGGGACGAACAAGGTCTCTGTTGAAGTGCGAGGGTGTGTGATGTGGGGAGGGGCAGGTGGGCGAGCAAGTCTGGTGGCTGGTTGGTTGGTAGAGCCTCACTCTGAGCGCTGAAGGCCCCTGCCGAATTGTAAGGGCTCGCTTGGTCCGACAATTCCTCAGAGTCAATGCACTTTGTCTTCACGACGCTCTTAACATCGAGGTGAATGTACAGGAATATGCTTCGAAAAAGAGTCTAGACGTGCCTGTTCAGCCTCGTTCAACGTGAGCCTCGCTCTCGCTGGGTAGGTCTCTCTTCCTTCACAAGAGCCAAAAGAGATAATCTGCTGGGGGCGCAGGTTCAGTTTTGGTGTGTGACAACCCCATTCTCTGAAGCATGTGGGTCCCGGGATGATGATAGGCCCACAGCCCCCGTACACTACATGCATGTACAGGCTCCTCAATGTCTCTAAACGAACAGGTCCACACTGCTTATTACATAATCCTGCCAAACGGATGCATGCTCAAGAAGAGGATGCTCGACAAGAAGCCCATAGCTGGGCCAAGGTAAAAGGGCAATAAAAACCAAGTTCATTCAATGTTTGTATATGTTTTTATTCAAGTGCCTCGGATCACTAATATGTAGTATCTCTCGCGAAGTCTCTGGAAGCCGGCCCCCAATGATGCGCGTCTTGGTGTTTTTGAGGAATTCATGTCAAATTCCATGGAATATCAAGGGCCCCGCAACCCCATACCTCAACTCTATGCTTGGACAAGAACAACGCGCCGGGACCTACCAAGGTGTTCAGATGAGAGAGAGAGAGAGAGAGAGAGGTTTCCTCCCACAGAAGGAACCCGTTTGTTTCGTCATTCCACCAGTTCCTCCCCATCGATAATTGGCGTTCTTTTTCCTTGTGAAAGCAGCTTTGCCCACCCTAACTTGGAACAGAAGCCCAACCTCGGGGTTTCGGAAAATAGCCTCTGGAGATGTCATAGAGACAAGAAAAAGTTGACTCCTCAACAGTGTCTTCCAATACTCATTCCCTTCCCTTTCACTTTTCTTATGCACCGTCCTCCCACGCTTAGATCTATTATTCATTCTTCACGTAGTTTTCAATCTGCAATGAAGCCCAGACTCACAAAACCATACATCTAGACATCGAGAGCTGAGTAATAAGGAGAAGACGTCCAAAGATCAAACCTTCTCAAAATGGAAAGCGCGACAGTGCGAACAATACCGATATACCGTAACGCACGGGGTAGTTTCGTCCCAAAATGGGATCTGTGTTCGCTGGCCGACCCCGACACATCACAAGGATTTTCGTGCCATTCAGAGAGGAAGTGCTACGAGGAAGGGGTTGATTGGTCTGCGAGGTTGATCTTTTGCCTGCCCAGTTGCGCAGCCCCTCCCGCCACATTGACGCTCTTGGCCAAGTTGGCCAGCCAGGGAGGCAACGCTCAACGGCAGGGTCCAATTCGTATTTTACCTGAAAACGGAATCTCTGGACTTTGTCGGCACAGTGCCATTGTGGCCCGGCCATGCAGGTGTGATGGATGGATCGGTCTTTCCATTATCAGCAGGCTGGGGGCTGCCAGCCAACAGCTCCAAGGTCCGGGTCTGGATTTCATTGAGGGAAGGAGAAGATGAAGAACATTGAACCCGGTGCGCGACACGGACGTTGGGGTCAATACCAAGCTCAATCCATGGTGCCATCAATGATCAATGGAACACTGAGTCTGGTCGAACCCAAACCCCCTCCATCAGCTGTGAGCAAAGGCCAGGCAGCTCCCGCCTAGGCCCAATGCCGCCCAGACTACGCCCTAATAGGCCAGACAGACCCCTTGACGGGCGGCAAGGGGCCCACTTCAGACACCCAGAGAAGGACCCTCCCGAGAAGGGGAAGCGAACAGCGAAAAGAAAAAAATTAAAACGGCGCACCCCATGCAAGATCCCCAAAAGTTGACACTAGTATCAATTGGAGGAGTGGAAGCACACTCGTTCGTTGAAGATAGGGTCAATCACAGTGAGAATAATAGACTCGGTAGGCAGACGGACGTTGACGATTGCTCCCGCTCTGGTGGTCGGTTGTCACAGAATCGCTTATCCTCTTCGCCTTCCTTCTCTCTTCTCTCCCTCCTCCCCTCCTTCCTTCTCCTTCCCCCTCTCTCCATCTCCTTAGAGTGACGTCGAATGTGAATCTTCCTTGTCAGACTAGCTGTTGCGATTCAGGGGGCGACTCCTTTCCTTTCAGTCCATTTCCTTCTTTTCCTCCTTAGCTATCCTACGTTCTCCTCATTTTCCGTGTCTTGAACGCTCTTGAACACCTCGTGTCTTTCCAGCTTTCGCCCATTGACATATTGCATCTTTTTGCCCAGTTTCGCTCAGTCTCCCCGCATTCTCACACGGCATTCTTCGCCATCGTCTCAATTTTTCCTGCTCTCCCACCCTCACGAGGGAAGCAAGCCCCCCTACCCTTGACCCACCCTTTATCTCCTCTAGCCTTCTAAGCCGTGTCGAATTGTCGGGTCTAAAATTCCTCTGCCACCCCAGCTCAATTCCACGAGAAGCACCTGAGCTTCACCTTCGACCTTCGACTCCCGTCTTCCCCCTCTCTCCCTCCCACTCAACCAGTGCCCACGCACCTCCACCGCTTTTCTTCATCTTTTTTTTTTCTTTTCCCAAAACCACACCCCTTCTCCTTTTTCTTTCCCTTCCAACCCGTCAAGCATCTCCTTTTTCGTCATCCCTGATAATTGTTGATGTAACGACTTTACGGCCCCTCGAACTCTTTGTTTGTTGAAGCGTCTGCTAGTTTGCCACTTTTGTCGTCGAAGAAAACTCGTTTCTCCAGCTGAACCCCGTACTAATAGTCCAACTCCATCCTTGTTCTTCGTGGTGCACAGGGAAAAACTCTTGCTTTGCATCTACGTCAGCTTCTAAGGAAAAAAAGAAAAAGGAAATAAGAAAAACAACGCACGTTGCTTGCGTCCCTCTTAGTTTCGATCTCGAGTCCATCACTTGATCATCAACACATCGAGAATCCTCTATCTGCATCGAAGCCCGAGCAGGCAACGAACTACGAGTGCCCTTTCCATCCTTTCCATCATTTCTGCAACCAAATCTCAAAGTCAACAATAGAAAAACAATTCGCTATGGCTGATTCTGGTCCCAACAACGAAGCTTCCCAGCAGGGCAACTCGGGTGCCGGCTATGAAAATGGTCAGGGCAACCAGTCGAACCCATCCCACATGCCTCCCCGCCGCTCCACATCCCCCAGAACACGAACCCCATCCCGACTGCCATTACTTCGCCTATGTCTGGCAAGCCCATGTCTCCCGGTGGCTCCTTCGGACGCCGTTCAGCTCCCGAGCCTAACAAGCGAGCTCTGTATGTCGGAGGTCTCGACCAGAGGGTTACTGAGGAGGTCTTGCGCCAAATCTTCGAAACCACCGGCCATGTCCAGAGCGTCAAGATCATCCCCGACAAGAATGTTAGTATATACATCCCCATGTCCGTTGCCTTGGCTTGACTCGGCATTCGCGACCCCTACAATCCCATTCCGAGAGGAAACATACAGGTGGCGATACCTCCTGATTTCCTCTGGAATGCTAGACAGGCGAACATATTGTTAATCATATACAAGGCTAAGGGTTACAACTATGGTTTCGTTGAGTATGACGATCCCGGTGCGGCTGAGCGCGCTATGCAAACTTTGAATGGTCGACGAGTGCACCAGTCGGTAAGTGGTCAACTTCTTTTCTTCTCCAGCTTCTTCTGCTTCTCGTGTCTTGAAGCGTAGTCAACCACCCCCTTGGGCCGGTCAGCGTTTCGCCGCTAACATGCAGTTCAACTTTGTAGGAAATTCGAGTCAACTGGGCTTACCAGTCCAACACCACGAGCAAGGAGGACACCTCGGGCCATTTCCATATCTTCGTCGGTGACCTGTCCAACGAGGTTAATGATGAGATCCTCACCCAGGCCTTCTCCGCCTTTGGTTCTGTCTCGGAGGCCCGAGTGATGTGGGACATGAAGACGGGCAGATCTCGTGGTTACGGCTTCGTCGCCTTCCGCGACCGCGCCGAGGCTGAGAAGGCTCTGAGCTCCATGGACGGAGAGTGGCTTGGCTCTCGTGCCATTCGATGCAACTGGGCTAACCAAAAGGGCCAGCCTTCTATTGCCCAGCAACAGGCGATGCAGGCGATGGGAATGACACCTACGACCCCTTTCGGCCACCACCAGTTCCCCGCCAACGGCATGGCTAGCTACGATATGGTCCTCGCCCAAACCCCTTCGTGGCAGACCACCTGCTATGTCGGCAACCTCACCCCTACACCACCCCCAACGATGTCGTTCCCTTGTTCCAAAACTTCGGCTACGTTGTAGAGTCCAGGTTCCAGGCCGACCGCGGCTTTGCCTTTATCAAGATGGAGACCCACGAGGCCGCTGCCATGGCTATCTGCCAGATGAACGGCTATCTCGTGCATGGTCGTCCCCTCAAGTGCAGCGTATGTGAAACTCTCCCCTCCCCATGCATAAAAAGACTGCCCTTCCGTTCTCAATACAATGAATGCTAACCACAGTCTCGTGGAATAGTGGGGCAAGGATAAGACACCTACACAGGGCGGTTTCGACCCCTCTCAGCAAGGGTTTAGCCCTCAGAGCGCTCAAGGTCCGGGCTTCCTCAGACTCCAACTGGATATTTCCCCCAGTACGGTGGTAAGTTGGCAAATTCTATTTGCTAACCATCCCGCCCTCCCCAACCAAGTGAATTTGGGCTAACGAACTTGGTGATATAGCGGGACAATTCGGCGGCCAGCCCGGTAACTACGGCGGCCCTGGTGGACAGTCGCCGGCCGGGTACGGAGGTCAGAACATGGGTTACGGTGGTCCTCAGAGTGCCGGCGGCTACGGTCGCGGAGGTCAACCCCCAACGCTCAGTGGTCTCAGGGGCCCAACCCGAACCAGAACTATAACAACGGCTTCAGCGGTTACCAGGGTTAGACGACGATTACCGTTTCGGGTGGTGTGAGACGGTCCCGGCTTGAGGATGCGGAAGTCCGTTGTGCTTTCCAACCTCGTTGGCTCCTTTTGCCACGCACCCCCACGTTCTTCCTGTCCTGTTTCTTGATTTCGGTTTTTCTCTTTTTGCCATTAGGCGATCGACGACAACTGGTGTAAAAGCCTCGATATGATTGTGTTAGGAATTTCTTTGACCATGTGGGAAAATGGGTACACATTTGTTTACTTTTCCCCTGGCCCTTGTCTTTCTCATGGCCCCGGCCTTTTTTCTATTTCTGTTCTGCTGCTCTCTTATGTCGGCATACCCACGAGACTTGTCCACTCTGTCAGACGTCTGGTTTTTCTCTTTCATTGTTAGGTCTGGGGAATATGTCCGTAAGCAGGCGAATATGGTCTCAAAAAATGCCTGGGTTCTCTTTCTATCTCTTCTTGCCTTCCCCCGTCTATCTCTCTCTGCTTGTCTTCGGTCTTATCAAGTCTGCGCCATGGTCTTTTTGCTCTTCTTTTCCTCAGTCTAGAAACCCAACTCTCTTTCTCTCTTTCTATCTCTCTCTCTCTCTCTCTCTCTATCTCTCTCTCTCTCTCTCTCCCTCCCTCCCTCTTCTTCTTCTTCGTTTCTCTTCTCTCCCTCTCTTCCTCTCTCTCACCCTCTCTCTGTCTTTGGCATCTTCTTTCTGATTTATTCTCATCCAAAGTGCTACCAGCTTCACAGTGTGCTTGTTCAACAGCATCGCCATGATACCATTGATGATATTCGGTTCCCTTTCCCCTTGTATCTTTCACGCTTTGCTTTTCGATCCAGGTTTGGCTGCGAGTTAAGCCGAGCAAGGTAGAAATAGGGGGCTTTTCTTGTCAATGTCGTTACCTCTTCCCCTTGTCCCTATGTTGAGCATGTTTCCTACTCCTTGGGCATTTGTCAAACCAGTTTGAGCTGGGTTCCAAAATACGAATTTATGACGGGTCGTTTTCTCATGGCGAAGCTCACCTTTCCATTGGACCTACCACAGAGCCAAATTGTGTAGTAGTTAGGCGTTTGCTTTGTTCGCCCCCACTAGTCCTCCTTTCACGGTCTGCGTATACCCTCCACCCCAACCAAGGTTATGCCCCGGCGGCTATGCTGAGTATTGGGCGATTTTGCTTCACAGCTTCCAGGAGCTACAGATACTAAGATCTCGGCCGAGTGGGGCTGGCCTCTGGCTGCCGCAAGGTAGCACATGGGGATATAGGCGGTTTTTGTTTCCCGAGGCCTTGTGCTCCTGCGGTTTGTATTCGGCGTGAGAAGAGGTGCAGTAGAAGGCAGTTTATATCACCCAGAATTATACGGGTTGGCTGCCATATGTCCCCCATTACGTCGTTCTCTTGTGATACCGTACGTTAAGACTCTGCGGTAAAATTGCAAAGTTTGACCATGCTCCCACACAATCCGCCACACAACAACTGGCTGGGACGGTCGGGTGCCCGCTCCATGATAGTTCCCTTATGAGCATCCAATCACTACGTCTTTCTTCGTAGCTGGTTGTAGTCACCCCCACACAGCCTCGGGAGAACATGCTTCTCATCGAAGGACGCACAGCGATGCATCATCATGTTCAGGCCAGTAAGAATGAGCAGGCTGCGCTCGGCTTATTCACCCTCGCAGATGCCATTCAACCACTACAAACCCGACCCGCTCAAGGAATGGGGCAGCAGGATAGTATATGGTTACAAAGGCCTTAGCTAGGTGATACAGAAGGTCAACGGCCGAGCCTTTGGTCCGTCTCCTTCACACCGGTTTTGCAGGCACGGGAGGCGCCCCCGTTCCTTGAGCGAGCCTACCACAAGCGACTGGAGGATCGAGAAGTCAATGCCAGCAAGTTGAGGTGTTAGGGGGCCATTTTTTTGTTTCGTCGAGGAGGCAATATCTGTCTCTTTCGTTTCCCCTCTGTTTCTCCCTCTTACCACATTGGTTCGCTGTTTTGTTGGTTTTGGCCTCTTTTCATCCTACAAGACCCCACCGCGACCGAAGCCTCGCGCGTGGTAGGTCCATTGCTGCAGTGTGATTTACTGATGCATTTTTTTCTCAAGTGCTTTCTCCCCTTGGCCCAATCCCTGCTCCTTTTTTTTTTTTTTGGTTTTTGATGCAAGCAGAGTGCTTTTCCGTTTCGGCAGGTCTTTTTCTTTTCGGTTCCCTGCCGGAAGGAAGGCCCACATTCCAAGAGGGGGGTTACAAGGGACAGGAGGCGATGCGCGAAAAGACCAAAAAAAAAAGAAGGGGGAGGGGCAACTTTTCACCTGCACATGGGGACGCCTTGTATGCATTCTGAACATGCAATGCGGAGGGGAAGGAGGCTAGGAGAGGAGGGGAGAGCGAGGAGCAGGGGATTGGAGATTGTGGATATGTGATGAATAAAAATGTTCTCTCGAGATATCTTGTCTGATTCGCACTTGTCTCTTTTGCGTCGCTTTTCTCACAGTTGGCTTGGTCGAGGTTGTGATTCTCTCTTCTTCTTGTCCTGCTCGGTTTGGTTCCGTCCTCTATTAACCCCCTCGCTCGTCTCGTCACAGCGTGGACGAATCTACCGAGGGGGATGCTTTCTCGCTATAGCTATCCCCTCCCTCCGTTGCTCCTACGTGGGAAAAAGGGTGGGGGAGGGGCTCATGTAGGCGGTCTGGTCTGCTTCGACAGACGGCGGGACGTCCATTGGGAAAGGGCGGAGCTTCTCCAACATTATGAACAGTATGGTGGATGGACGGGAACGATCGTGGCCGTGGGGTGGTGGCGGCGAATGAGGGCCCACAGCCTATTTTCCTCCTCCTGTATCATTTTCTCCCTCTGGATGCTTATCATCGGGTTTGATGCTCTATCGCTCTCGCTTAGCGTGACATTTCATCCAAGCGCGCTCATGAACTGCTCTGAGACGGAGAAACAGAGCCGGAAATGTCATAACGGGATATTATATATATAGAGAATGGTGAACCGCGGGCCCCGTAGGGGATACAAAATGTCAGTCGTGACGAGAGATATCGCTGACAGCAATGCTCATACAGAGTTGGCAGACATAGGGGATGCGCCGACTGGGGTTTTTATCTTGGGAGAAGAAAAAGAAACAAAAGGCTCTTTTCGGGAATCCCCTCGTGTGAAACGAGGCATGCAGAGGAGGGGTCTGCAGTGTACGAGAGAGTCTGCTGCAGAGAACCTGCACGTCCTAGGGGTTTTTCTTTTTCTTATTCTTTGTTGGAACAGGCGGGCGAAGAGGGAGGAGAAAGGGTGGTATTAGGGGTCCTTGCCCGCGCAGCCCTCCCCGCTTCCCCTTCAAGACTGCGTTTTCTTTCGAGCCAAGGGGCGGCTCGCGAACTCATCGGATGGATGGATGGGATGGTGAGATGACGCCGGCATGGTTCTATTGGTATGTATAACGGTGGTGGCAAGACGGGACGTCTCGGGGATATAATCGACGAGCGAGCCCATCCAAGGAGGCAAACAAAGGGATGGAAGAGGCAGGAAGAATCTCTACATCTCCACATAGATGTATCCAGGGGTTTGACGTGGTCATTTCTGGCCCATTTACTCACAAAGGCGGCCCTGCCATTTCTTCCCGTTTAGTATCTATGGGTAATAGCTGTGCGAGGAGCTGCTCTTCGTAAAAGTATTCTTACGCATGGCCTTCCCACCTGCTGCGACCACCACTCTTTCCAGTTCGCTTCACGTCTCGAGGGCCAAGTGCTTTGAGCTAGCGCAAGGTACAAGTGCTCAATATCTGAACTCGGGCCAGCTGTGCGGGACGAGGTAGCGGCTAGGGAAGTTTATTATGGTTTGTTTACAGTATCAGTTGATTATTTGGGTTCAGGCGGGTGCACGAGGGCAAATGAAGCTTGCTCTCGGGCGGGTCTTTGGACAGGCATTGATCGTTGGTGTGTTGACCTCACCTAGAGCAGGTAGAACTTGATGATGATGTGCTCGAAGACGGCAGGACTTCACGCCAGGGCTCACATCGCAAGGGAAAAACTTCAAGGAACCAAAACATCTCAGGCCCGATGGCGCGGGGCCCGCATCTAAGCCCATTCCATTGTAACTTTCCGCCTCTCGTGGCTCTTTGGGACCACTTGGTTATGAGCTGAGACAGCGCCGGGAAGAATACGTCTATACACTATCAAAGGCCTTCCCGAGTATTAGTCGCTAGCTGGAGAACGTAGTGGTCATGGGGACTTGAGGCCTTCCTTTCGGGGGTTTAGAATGAAATCCAGTCACCGCAAAAGCTAAGCTGGAGATTCCACTTATCACTATGCCGACCGTGGAGACAAGAACAAGCTTGTTGGGTTAGATTTTTGTTCTCGAAGATACATGTAGTAGTAGGACGTGGAGGCAATGAGCTTAGACCAGTGGTTCACGCACAGAGTATGATGGCACACCGCTTCCAACTCATTCCCGGGATCGCGGCGGCCCCTCCTTATAGCTCTATCTGGACCATAGAGGCAGGTGGATGGCGCTGATGACCCTTCGAGGGCTTTGCACAAAGGAGTAATTTTAGCGCGTGGGTGTCAATATGCACCATTATTTGGGCGTCACATGCTTGTGATGGGGGACGGGGATGTTCCATTTTGGAATCCTCGAGTGGTTAAAAGGCCCTCAAGCGCCGGGTCACCAATCTGCACTGAATGTCGGCAGGTCAATCTAGAGGGGCCAACCTAGGCTTCGAGAGTTGTCACGGGGTCGCTTTTGCCAAGGGCCGCCCGTTGTTGTTCATCTGGGATCTGGGGCTGTGGGAGGTATTGGTATCACAAGTGAGGAGGGAAGAGATGGCGGTTAACGGCTTCATTTCGCTCACGCAGCCCGTCATTAATGCTCTCTCCTCCTTTTCTCTCCTAAATGGCTTGGAGCGAGATATCCGATGCTTAAGTGGACTCGAGTGTCCTTGAAATGCACAAGGCACCTTTGGCTATCAATAACTCTGAATCCGTTGCCGACACAGAGGACCGAGGGGACTAGGTAGGAGTTTTGGAAGAGTATCCAAAGTGTAGCTGTATCTGGCATATGATGACGTGCCCCGCGGGAGATGAGGCATATGCTTCCTTGGGCTAAGAATAAGAAAATAAAATAAAGAGTCGCAGCAGTTTGCCCACCTTGTTGATGACTCAATCTGTCAATCTCGCAGTCCTCAAAGGAATATTGAGAGACAGTCCGCAATGTCGTAAACTTGAATTATACCGTTGATCCTTCTTACTCAAGAAGAGGGTCGGCAGGGAGCTGGACCCGTCTGGATCTCGCTATTACGAAACGTGAGCAGACAGGGAAGCGATTTTGAGGTCTCCCGCAAAAGGGTGTGAAAAGTGGAGGCCATACGCGGCTGGGTAGCGTGCTTGCGTGGGTAAGTTGATCACCCTGGGTACAGTCACGGCACACTGTAAATAATACTAGATGTTGAACCGACGCATTCATCTTCCATCGCTCCACTGACGAGGTTACCTTCTTGCCTTCTTGCGGTCGCAGGCACAAGTATCTAGCAGGAGAACTGGAGACGGGCTGGACCCCTCTTTCGCCTCTTTCGCCTCTTTCGCTAGGCGAACCAATTCATTGGCGACAGCATCATGAACTATGGAATCATTTGAAGGCAAATGTCTATGAATACTATTGACCAACTCACGGGAATGGTGGATGGATCAATGGATCAATCCAGAATCCATCAGGGTGTACCTTCTTGGGCTCCATTGGTCTGTTGTGACGAGGCAAATGGATGGCAGGCGCGAGGTGGGTGCGAATTGAGGAAGGTACTGATGTGACTGGTGCCCAAGCGTTAACTACGTTTCGGTCGGCTCAAGTTTCGACTGATACCCAGCGAGGCAGGCTCTGCCTGACGCTTTGCTCCGCTTTCCGTCATGGTCAAGCTCTACTTGTATTGCATGGCCCCTGTTCATCGGGACACTGCACATCCGACGTCGTCTGTCTCCTGGATCCCCAGCCTCGAATCTTTTCGGGAGTAAAACCTCGAGAGAAAAAGAAAAGAAGTCCGGAGAATAACGAGCGACCGTTGGAGGAGTGAACTGCTGATGGGGAAAGGAAGAACTTGAAAGGGCGCTAACTGGAGACAAGGCGCAAAATGGGAGGAGAGGATGTGGGGAAAAGGCCAGTTTGAGGTTGCAGACCAAGGTTGATGGGATGGCACCCGACACAGACACCCATCTTGGGGTGTACGAAGCGAAGTACGAAGTAGCTCGCGCGACAAGAATCGAAGAAGCTGGGATTGTTGGATCCGTGGTGGCTATTGAACCAACCTGAATGCAACGAGGAGGTTCAATGATATGTACACCTTTATCCAGTGATTCATGTCGACTGTCAACGTACCCGCGACGTTCGGACAAAGGACGCAACGCTTTTCGGATTGCCATACTCCGTGCTGCCTTTGATCATCGAAGGCTCCAGCACCTTTCCCCATTTCCATCAACAACATTGGAGGATTGTGTCGTTGCAGTCATTAGAGGATACTGGCGGGCCTCTCCTCTTCTTTGACCCCTTGTCTTGTGTTCTCGTACCTTCCCACTTTCTCCCCGGCCAAGCAATCGATGATTTCAGAACGAACATTTGCCCACCCCGGCCATTGAAACAGTGAACCGAAACACAAGTGTTGGCGCCGCGACTCGGTTTGGCGAACAAATCGAGAGCAAACACGAAAAGGCCGAACCCGGCAACCACAGCACCGCTCAAAGGCCTTTCTTTCCCCCATTCCCGCTTCTTCACCAAGAGACCACCCTGTGTCTGAAGCAACGAAAGAAAGAAAAACGTGCACCTCTCCCAAGGAGACCGAAAGACTGGGCTATCATCAGGTTCGTTTGAGGAGCAGCCGACTTGTGTGTAGACAAAAAACGGAGGCCGTCTTTTCCGCCTGAGCACGACACCCGCACACACGTACCCAACCCACAGACGAGCCCTTGGACAGACAATCGCGGTGTCTGCATGCACACCATACACGGCCTAACCAAGCTCTCTCCAGCTCCTGTTCTTTCTGTTTCCGACCTGGCGTCCCCTTGACAGGGCTTGAAGTTATTTACTCTTGAGATGGCATTTTAGGTTCCGTCCTAGCTCATATTCTCAAAGCTAAAGCTCTTGGGGTTGCCAATTCCTTTCCCAATCCATCTTTTTCGCCGCCTGCTGGTTTTCCGCCATTCACTTGTAATTCTCATTATCCGTCCCTGGCACGAAACCTTGGCCCTCCTCATTGAGCGGCTTGGTACGCTTCCTTTACCGTTGCACAACCGTACACTTTTTTTTCTCTCTCTTTTCTTTTTTTCCCGCCCTTCACTACTCCTATCTCCTTGCTCGCGTTGTCCTCCTAGATCCCGCCGAGCCGGCTCTCTCTGGTACTGCACCCGCAATTTTGGCACTCAACTCAGACCCCTCTCGAGCTCCCACTCCACCACCCCACACGTCATCTGTCCTTTAAGTGACGGAGACGCTTGTGTAGCAGGGTGGAGAGCGAGTGTGTGTGCGTGAGAAAGAGAGAGAGCGAGAGCGAGAAAGCGGGTGTGTGTATGTGGAAGATTTGAGAAAAGAAAGACGGTGAAAAGGGACCAAAAGACAATTGCTTCGTCAAAATAATAGGAAAAGGGAGAAAGCGAAAGAGAAAGAGAAAGAGAGAAGGAGCGATTGAGCCTGTCCCACCGACCGTCTGTTATCGGATCAATTGCGGAGGCAAAACAACACGAAAAACAACCAAAGAGGCGCAAGCAGGAACGAATCTTGAAAAAAACGAACCAAACCCCTCTGGCACCGATTATATTAACGAACTGCTTACGCCTCGGATGATGGATCCACAGTGGCAGTCATATCACGACCCTAACAGCTCCCTGCAACACCAGCACCAGCAGAGCCAGCGATCCTTCGACACCAACGCCAACGTTAACCCTCTTGGCTACGCCCCGAACAACAGTCGAGATTACCCTAGCCAAACTTTCCCGCAAGCCCAGGCGGGCCACCAGGCTCATCAGGTTCAAGTTCCGGCCCAGCACCAGCAATTCCCGATTGAGCAGCAGTACCAGCAGCAGCAGCAGCAGCAGCACCAGCCCCAGCAACACCTCCACCACCAACCTGCTCCACCACTAGGAGCCGCCAGCAACAGCGCCGGCGCCTACAGCTACCCGCAGTACAATTACACAACCACAAGTGGCGGCGGCACAACCAGCACCACCTCGTCTGCCGCCTCCTCACAACACCAGCACCCGACTCCGTCATTGTCGTCCAACTCTTCCTCCTCCATCACCACCAACCCCCAGAGTCGAGACGTCTCCGGCGACGTCGCCATGCAGGACGCCAACGATTCCCATGCCGGCATAAAATACGCCATGAGGCCTCATCACCAGTCCCAGCTTTCTGGTTCTGGTCGTCCCGCCAATCTCCACTCCCCGCAAGAACCCTCCTCCGCCGCCCAACGATACTCCCCGATGGAGGCCCTCTCGCCCACCTCACCCTATGCGCCAAAGGGCCCCGCCATCCAGAATCAATATGGCCAGCCCATCCAGAGACAGTCGCCTACGCGGCAGCCCGATTATCACTCCCAGAGCCCTTACCATCCGAGCCGCCAGCCTCAGGTCCCGAGCGGCATGATGTACTCACCCCACGACAGTTACCAACCCTCATCCTCGGCGCAGAGCCTCGAAGCCAGCTTCGCCCACGATCCCAAGTCTCCGCGCCACGGTGTCCCCACAGTCTCGCCATCGCCGATGCGGCCAAGAGGCCTGTTCCTCAATTCCGGACCGTCAGATCGCCGGCTGACTTGCGACCTGTTGTCAATAACCAGCCCGCCTTCCGCCGAGCGGCTCCCGAGGGTGGCTTCATCAGTGTACGTCTTGTGTTTTTCTATCCTCGGTCCTCCTCCTAATCCTCCTCCCCTTGTCCTTCCCCCTCTTCGACACGAAGAGAGTTCTTTTCCTTTTTTTTGTCTTCATTTCCTTTTCTTTTTTATTCCACCCTTCTACCCCCTTCTTGCAATTTCTCTGTATGAATTTAGCGTGCATCGTACCATTCGGTCTCCCGCAGAGGAAGCAGATTTGCGTTGGGTTTCATCGCGACTTTGCATAGCGGTGCGTCACTTTGTGGATGGGTGGCCTCTACGTCGGGATCAAAGTTCCCCACCCCCGCAGTTTTGCTTGCTTGCGCGATTGACGCAAATGTGCCTTCGAAAGGGATTAAATGCTAACGAGTCCTTTTTTTATCCCTCCTCGTAGCCTCTGCAAGCACTAACGGTCCATTTACCGGCTACTTATCGAATCTGCAATCCCGGCTTCAAATACGAATCGTCTCGGAATCCTCGTCGTGTTTTGACCAAACCTAGTAAAGGCGTAAAGAACGATGGATTCGATAACGAGGACAGCGATTATATCCTCTACGTTAACGATATTCTCGGATCTGAGGAGGCTGGCCACAAGTAAGCGACCCCAGATGGCTCGCCCACTGCCTTCTGATGCAGGTGCAAGGGACTTGACTTTTCTAACCGGGGATTGAACCTCTCTTTCTCTAGGAATCGATATCTCATTCTCGACGTTCTCGGCCAGGGCACGTTTGGCCAGGTCGTGAAATGCCAGAATCTCAAGACACAGGAGGTGGTGGCCGTCAAGGTTATCAAGAACCGAACTGCCTATTTTAACCAGAGCATGATGGAGGTTTCCGTGCTCGACCTTGTATGTTGTAGCGTTTCCCTTTGTGATGTGCTAACCACAGCTGTGCGAAACGGGGCGAAAAGCTAACTTGCTGGCAGCTCAACACGAAGCTCGACAAGAACGACGACCATCACCTTCTTCGGTTAAAGGATACGTTTATTCACCGTCAGCACTTGTGTTTGGTATTCGAACTGCTCAGCGTCAACCTTTACGAACTCATCAAGCAAAACCAATTCCGTGGTCTCAGCACGACCCTCGTCCGAGTGTTCGCCCAACAGCTTCTAAACGGACTGGTACTGCTCAATAAGGCTCGGCTTATCCATTGCGATTTGAAGCCCGAAAACATCCTCCTCAAGAACCTCGAAAGCCCCATCATCAAGATTATCGATTTCGGGTCTGCCTGCGATGAACGGCAAACCGTATACACGTATATCCAATCGCGATTCTACCGATCGCCCGAGGTTTTGCTTGGCCTGCCATACTCGTCCGCTATTGACATGTGGTCGCTCGGGTGCATTGTCGTTGAGCTTTTCCTAGGCCTACCGCTCTTCCCTGGTTCCTCTGAGTACAACCAAGTGTCGCGAATCGTTGAGATGCTTGGAAACCCACCCAACTGGATGATTGAGATGGGTAAACAAGGCGGTGACTTTTTGAGAAGCGCGTAGACGAGTTTGGTCGCCGAACATACCAGCTCAAGAGCATGGAACAGTACTCGCGCGAGCATGGAACCAAGGAGCAACCTAGCAAGAAGTATTTCCAGGCTAGCACGCTGCCGGATATCATCAAGTCCTACCCGCTTCCGCGCAAGAACATGAAGCAATCGGAGATCGAGCGAGGTAAGCTCTCATCGCCAGGCCCCTCCCTACCCTAGAATCAAGGTGTTGCTCAAAAGAAGCGTGATGGCAAATCGCTAACCTGTTTTCTTTCCTCCCCTCCCCTCTGATAGAAATGAATAACCGAACCGCATTCATCGACTTTGTGCGAGGCCTCTTGAACCTTAACCCCTTGGAGAGGTGGTCACCACAGCAAGCGAAGCTCCATCCCTTCATCACGCAACAAAAGTTTACTACGCCGTTTGTGCCACCCATGAACCTCAAGTCTAGCTCGCTTAACCGGTCTCCAGCCCCCGGCACTCAACAACAACAGCATGCCGAGGCCCTCTCGAAGCAGCGTGCCCAGGCAGCACAAACTCAGGCAAACAATGCTGCCCAGCAGGCACAATACGGCCCTCCGATGGCAGGCCAATACCACCCACAAGGCCACCCTCAAGCTCACCCGCAAGCTCACCCGCAGGCTCACCCGCAAGCGCATCCACAGGCGCATCCACAAGCCCATCCCCACAGGGCCATGTCCAATCACCTCAGATGTACGGAGGCGGAGCATATCCTCCCGCTGGGACGGTGCCGACGCAGGTGCCCACCTATGGCGGTTCGCAGCCTGCATACGGGCAGATGCCCATGGCCCAGGCCCCTCAGCAAATACCATCGCAACCGTATGTTAACGCTCACCAGCCAATGGGAAACATGTACCAGCAGCAGCAGCAACAACAGCAACAGCAGCAGGCTAGTACCCGCACTGGACGGGCACGCGCTTCGACGATGGAGCAGCAGCAGAGCGGCATTCCCGCTGCCATCCAGAGGGTTGCCAGCCACCTCGACCCTACGCAACCCATTAGGTTACAGCCGAGTCCGGCGTACTACCCGCCGCCACCCGAGGGCATGGCGGGTATGGATAGCACTCCCGGTAGGGCAGGGAGGAGAGGCAGTAGAGTTCAAACTGGAGGGGCTCGCAGCAACCGTGACTTCATCCGCACCCTCGAGGAGAGGACACTGGAGGAAGGTTACATGGGTGGCCAAGGACAAAACCCTTGGCATTAAAAAGTTGGAAGTACGACGCAATTGACGGTGGCGTCTGGCATTAGGATCGGGAAAGTAGAATGTTCAAGGTGATGATGGGTTTGGGACGAAGACGAGGGACGAGGAGGTGGGAGAAGTCTGTATTCACACCTATATCGAGCTGAAACGTCGTTCGTGTCTTTTTTTCCTTTTCTTTTCCTTTATCGCTCGCTCTCTTTCTGCCATCCTATCCTTTCCTCCCTTTTCCCTCCCTTATCCTCCTCATTACCGCCACAACATTAGGTCGGCACGGCAGGCATAGCAGCCAGAACAAGAGAGACGTGGTGAAGACAAGAAAAAAAGGAGTCCGCGAAGAACGCTCGCCACCTCCACAGCACATTTGCACATTGGGTTTCCTTCTTTTCCTTTTCGGTTCTTTCCCTTTTTCTTTTCCTTTTTTGTTCCTTCATCTTATATCTCGTTTATATCGTTTGGGCGGGTGGTGGTGGCCGGGAAGGCAAGGTAGCTGGGTAGGCAGGGCGGGTAGGGGCATTTTTCGGTGGGAAGCGTGTCTGTGAAGGGAAACTTTTTTTCTTTTTACCGTTATACTGAACCTAAGCAAAAAAGGGAAATGCAACTCTTAACCTTTTTTTCTTTTTCCACTGAGCATCGTTTATGCGTCCTTGTTCGTGCCTCGCCTCTTCTCTATGTTTTATGTCTCGCTTTCCTTTCCCGCGAAGAACTTAAGAGGCGCTGGCCTTCTCAGGTTCCTACCTCGCCTGGGGCCTTTAGATGGCTTGGATCTTTCCCCTTTTATAGCCAAGGTTCTCCGTCTCTCTCTTTATACGCGAGGAGCGCCGTGTGTGGCGGGCTGGCTTTAACCTTTCTTTGTTGCCTTTCTTTGCCTTTTACTATACTGTTTGCGTCAGGGCTATCTCTAGGCGGAGCTAGATGAAGTATGTTTGGAACATGAAACAAAGTGGCAGCGCCGCAAGCGCGAAGGGACGTCGTAAGCTTGTCGAAGATGCTGGTTTCTTTTGGTAACTATTCGATTTGGGTCGTCCTCCTGGCCTCATACACTCCCGATGGACTAGGGAAGGGAGCCCAGTTTGATACAAGGCTCACACACAAGAGGATACTGCGATGAGGATGTGATACCGGACAAGGCTGTTGCCCGATCAGATAGGGCACGCCTTTTCTTCTTCTTCTCTTTAAGAGTTTCCAATCTTCCAAGTTCATACCGTGGTAAATGCATAATCGTTGAGTAGAAAAAGAAAAAAAAAGAAACCGTGGTAATACACATTGCTACATGATTGTTTTGTTTGTTTCCAGATCGCAATAACACGCGGGAAAAAAGCGTCGACAGTAATGGCCGAAAAAAAGAATAATGAGCCCTTGCGACCTTTAGAAAGAAACGCCCTCCTGCCTCTGATATCGTCATCTCTAACAATGGAATGGGATGAGCTGTTGTTGTTTTTTTTATCCCTCTTCCCTCACATCCCAGCTCTCTTCACTTCCGTTCCTCGGGGTAGGTTCTCCCTTTGCCCTCCGTCCATCCTCTAATGTTAGACCCTTCCTCTGATAAGGGACTTGTAGGATTACCGCCTGCCCCTTCCACGCCGGGCGGATCCAACCATGCTATCGCTGTATAGCTTACCGCCGCCATTGGAGTTGTTCCGAATTAGATCAGGTCTCGAGTTACCGTTACCATTGCTGCTGCCGTTGCCGTTGCCATTGCCGTTGCCGTTGGCCCTGACGCTGTTGGAGGCTTCGGGGAAACCATGCTTGCCGTCAACGAGTTGGGTAGCGCCGGAGCGGTGAGAGGTGTCGGGGAGTCGGAGGCGTAGCCGCGGGGGTTGGGGTAAACCTTGATGACCCTGCCATCGGCCTGTGAGATTTTAGTCGTTAGTAAAACGGTGTCTATCTTAAGAGCTTCGCGCAGATTGGAAGAAAGGCGAGAGGGGGCGCTTCGCATCATACCAGTTGATCATTAAACTTAGCAATGACCTTTTCGCCAGCCTCCCTTGAATGGAAGACCATTTCCACGAGGATCATGGGGTGCGACTTGAGCACCTTGCAGACCAGCATCTCCTCCTACGGGCGTCATGGCACTCTCAACGTCCGCTGCCGTGGTTCCGGGGCAAAATTTTGCGCCAGCACGGAGAACGGCCCCGCGATGCCGCGGATCGAGAGCTCCGGCCCGGGCGAGGCGGAGCCCCTGCCTCCCGTGCCACCAGTGTGCGTCTTCTTCTGCTGGGTCTTGAAGCCAGCCTTGGGGCCCTTGGGGGCGTTTAGGACGTTGGCTTGAGAGGAGTCGACGCGCTGGAGGGCGGCGGTGAGCTTGGCGGTGCGTCTCGCGGGTTTCGAACCGGGCGCGGAGATGCGGGAAGCGAGTCCGCTGGGAGGGTTTACGGAGGCGTGGAGATCATGAGTCCATTCGGCGTCGACGTTGCCCGGGGGTGCGCGGGCGGATGTGGATACTGTTCGCTGTGTCTTTGGGAGTTTGTTAACGTTTGTTTCCCTCCCCTTTTTGGGCGGGGGTACGAGGCTCGGGGTCTAGGGTGTATCGGGAGAGGAGAAAGCGATGCATGGATATAGGTGGCGTGGTTGATATGGGAGCGCAGCAGGTTTGCGTACCTTTTGATCCCGACTCGGCTGGCTAAGGAGGGGCCGGCGCCCAACTTTTGCGCCGAGGGAGCGCTCTTCCTGCGGTCTTTGGAGAAGATGCTGGCGGCAAGTTGCTCGTTGCGTTTGCGCTCGCGACCTAGAGGGAGAGCGATAATGTGTTAGAGAGAGAGAGAGGGAGGAACTTTATTTTTGGGCGCTTTGAGCTGTTGCATCGGGTTGACGGTCTCACGTACCCTCTTGGATGATCTTTTCAAAGTCGCTGGCGGCCTTGGCCTTGGCAATCTCTGGCTTGCCCATGGCGGATTGTGGGGAGAGAGGAGGGAAGAAGGAGAAAGGGAAGAAGGTGATGTGCGGGATTCGAAGATGAATCAGAGAAGAAAGGGTTGGAATATGGTGTAAATGAAGGGGATTAAATGAAGAGAAAGAAGAAGAAGGAAACCTCGAGAATGTAGAGGGGAATAAACGCCAGCGATGATGATGGTTCCCAAGCGAGGCTGTGGGAAGCGGCGCTTCGTTGATAATGGTTGGTGGCAGTGTCGTCGTGCAGAGGAAAAAACCGGGGGCGAGACGCCGTGGCACGCGTCGAGGTACCTCAATTGACGTGCGATGCGGGAACGAGGGGACAGATTGGATGCGGGATGGGCTGAGCTGCGAGCTATTGAGTCCCTGAACTTTTTGACCGCAGGCGCCCTGGCGTAATGCACATGTACCCTGGACATGAACAAGCTCCTGATTTTTCTTTGGGCTGAGGTCCCGGACAGGCTGCCACCTGGCGGTACTATTGCCAGCTGTTTTTGCGTCGGCTGACAGCCAGATGGAGAGATCCGGTCTAAATCAAATCGGTGTTGTGGCCCAGGTCAATGCCATTGCCATGGCCCAAGCCGCCCCAGCAAGATCGTCGGCTCTTTCACTTTTCCCCCTCCAGCCTCGTCCCACACAATTACCCTCCGCTGCCCGTCCTTCTTCCCAAAAACTACCTTGTCCTCGTGTGTACCGCTCTTCCCTCTCTGTCCTTGTTCTGAACGGTACAAAGCTCGTTGTGGGAAATTTCTTCCTCGAGGGTCGCATTTCCCACCAGCTCCGCTTCTAAGAGGCTTCTCTGGCAAATCTTGCGCCCTGACCCTGTTTTCCTATTATTCCTCCCATTTGTTTTGGAAACCACCGGTCTCGCTCCGTCACCTCCCGTTACCTCTTGTCCAACAACCACCCGCCGACGAAATTCTCGAGTCGATGAGGTGAACCCTTACCCCTTGGCTAAGCTTTTGCCTTTTGTCTTATCCTTTTTTCTTTCTTTCTCCCCTCTCTACCCTCTTCCCTCTTCCTCCGACAATCGCCATGGCTACCACAGAGCCAGCGATTGGGGGCGGCTCGAGTCTCCCTCCCACAGCACGACGAGCCGAGCCCCAAGCCCCTTCCAAGCGCGACAAGAAACGCCAACTGCTCAACGAGCGCATCGCTGCGCTGACGGAAAAGTTTGATCGAAACCGAGACGTTTCCTACGTCGACCAGCTCCACAAGATCCAGGTCGATACGAGCCTCGTCCAGCGAGTCGATCCCTACGCCCCGAATGCCGCGGCCATCATCCACGAGCTCCGCCAGGAGCAGCGCAATGCCGTCGGACCCAACCTAGTCTCCCAGAGCGCCCGGAGTCTCTTGGATATGGCCGGCCCCAAATTCCAAGACTGGGCGCAAGAGATGTCCGACTTGCACGAACGCAAGGATTTCCAGCTGAGTACTCAGCATGTGCGTCACCATCTCCCTTCCGCGGGCCTCATTTTGGCCATCGGTTGCCGGCTACCCATAGAACAACGTAACTAACCTTGCTCCGTCGTGATAGGCCGAGTACGAGCGCAAGGTGCAAGAATTCAAGAATGTGCACAACTACCGAGTCGAGACCGCCAAGAGAGAGCACCAAGCCCTTGCGTCGACGCTTAGAGACCGTCTGATCAACTCGCTCGCTGCGAAGAAGAACCGCCTGAATAAGGAAAAGGAGGCTCTCGAGCTCTCAGACTCGTCTGCCCTCCTCTTCCATCCCAACCAATTCAGCATCGCGAACCCGGCTAGCCCCGGCGGCAACCACGGCAAGCGAGCCACTCGACTCCGCAAAGACGCCGAAGACCTCGGCCTCGGCGACAACAAGAAGCGCAAGCGAGCCGTGGGCGACGACGACGGGTCTCCGGTGCCGAGCCGCCGAGCCCTCGATACCACGGGCACCACGCCTCTGTGGCAGTCGGAGAAGCTCCGCGTGGCGGCCAAGCAAAACGGCCCCATCTACAGCGTGGACAAGCTCTTCACCGACAAGGAGCTGACCCTCACCTATAACACCGCGGCCCAGGCGGCCCACATGCACATTTTGCGCCACCGCGTGAGCGGGCCCGCGGGCTCTTCGTCGGACGGCAACGAGTCGAGCAACGACGACGAGGACGGCCACGACGTGGACCTCGCGGCGCCCATGATGGAGCGCGCCCCGTCGCACGCCACGAGGAGCACGCGCGGCAACGTCAACCACAACGTGATTGACCACAAGATCCTCGGCGTCGAGGCCATCGCCGACTATGAGGTGCCCGGCAACCTCGAGAAGATACAAGGCCTCGAGCCGCCCAAACTGCCGCCCATTGCCCCGTCGCAGTACAGCAAACCCCCACGCGGTCGCAAGACCAAAACACCCCCGTGTCCCTCCCCAACGACACGATCAACGAGGATCTCCAAATCATGTCGTACTTTAAGCAGTTTGACTCGCACACCAAGCCCGGGTCCTCGCTCACGGTGAACGACAGCCTGAAGCGCGTGCTCGAGGCGGCGGCCACGCCCAACTCCAAGAACCGCTACGTCGCATTCATCGGCAACGGGCCCCGTCGGGACCTCGAGGACATTCGTCGCGAGCTGGGCCTCCTTCGGACAAGCCGTCGGAGAACCCGAGCCCGGAAAAATCCTCGTCCGGCCTGATCGCGGCGGCCACAGCCTCGGCGGCGGCGGCGATGAGTAGGCAGAGCAGCCAGGGTGGCGTGGCTATGAGCCGTACGGGGACGAACGGTAGTGCGCGTGGAAAAGGTCGGAAGAATTAGGGTTGAGGCCGGTGTCGAGGGCACTCATCTTTTCTTTTCTCTTCATTTTTTTCTTTACACTTTCTTTTCTTCTTCTTCCAGCAATTTGGAGGCGGCGTGTGTCTAGCTAGCACTGAAGTGCTCGGCCGCTACTAGACACTTTGATTTCTTTTTTTTTTTCTCGCGAGACTAGACCGGAGGGTTTCCATCTTTTCTGCTGCCTTTTCCACTTTCCTTGCTGTACACCCTTTTTTTTTTCCTCTTTCCCCTATCTCATGATCCCAGGGCGGTATGACGGATACCGGCATGTATTCTTTTCCTACTTTTTTCATTTCCTTTTTTACAATGCATCTTTCCACGTATCATTCCTTTTTTCCTTGGCCCTTTTTTCCTTTGGTCCCCACATCGGTCCCTCGTACTACTTTACTTGTACATCTGCAGACAGGTTCGGGGCCAAAAACAAAGGGTCCAGGCGAAAAGGTCTTTTGGAGTTATATGGACAGAGGGTATAATCTCATGACATTCAACGCTTTCTTGTCCCACCAGTACTGTGAGAGAACCGATTCTGCGAGAACGAGCTCAGGGTCGTCACGGCTCTTTCCCAGCTCTTCTTCAGGGAGGTAGACGTCACCTACTGTAGGTTATTTAGAGAGAGGAGCAGGCAGAGAAAGCGAAAATAATAAGTTTCAATTGGAAGTCTCACTTCTTTCATACACATTATCATAACATTCGTTGACATCTAACATGGAAAGTACCCGTGCGCATTCTACCTGAAAACAAGGCGATATCCCCTTTAAGACATAGGAGAGAAACAAAACAAAACGAACCCTTCAACCCTAAGAACGAGAGAAGATTTCAGGGCCCAAAGACCAAGGCGCGGATTTCAATGCTCTCCCGGCCCTCGGCGTCGGGCAGGGAGCCGGGATGCTCAAAGGCGGTATGGGCGAGCCTCCCACCGCGGACCTTGGTGCCCTCGCGGAGGGCGTCGCTATCGAAGCACTGGAGCAGAAGAGCCTCGTCCGGACCCATGGCGCCGAGGTACAACCAGCGCTGATCCGGGTGGTGAGCGATGGCGGCAGTCTCGCCCTCAAAGGTATCGTAAATGTGGCGTACGGGAACAACGTCGTCATCGCGGAGCGTCGCCGAGGAAGCAAACGCGAGCGGGAACGACTCGACGGGACCCGCGTTGAGGGGCCGCCAGACGTTGATGATGCGGTAGCGGTCGCCGCGCTGCAGACGAGTCTCGGCCTCGTCCGGGTCGAGGTGGCGGCGGACGCGGGCCTCGGCGGCGCGGGGCGTTTGGTCAATGTGGGCCCTCAGCACGGGGCTGCGGTGGGCGGCGGGCCCGGTGCGGCGGACGGTGTGATCGAAGATGACGACTTTCTCGCTGCCGGGGACGTTGGCGAGGAGGAGGGCCTCGATCTCCGGGTAGACGTTGGCGCGGATGGAGGCGTCGTCGGTGAAGGTGCGTTCGGTGGAGGGGACAGGTGGGAGACGACGCGGACGGAGTCGTGGTCGAGGGTGAGGGTGGTTTCGGCGCCGCGGATGTCGTGGATGGGGACGGGTCGGAGGTCGTCGGAGAAGTTGCGGGGGTTCGTTGGGCTTGGGGGCGCGGACGAGGTTGTAGGGGGTGGTGCCGTCGGTGGGGGAGAAGAAGGCGATTTGGGCGGTGGTGTCGCCGCGGAGGGCGCGGGAGGAGGATTGGATGGCCATGATGGGGGTTTCTTATGTGGTGGTGAAGGGGTTCAGGTGTGGAAGTGCCTTGGGGGTTTGAGAAGGGGTTTGGGATTGGGTGGGTGGGGGAACAAGGACACGAGTGGTTGGGCTGGAGCAGATATCAAGTCGAACGTGGGCAGGTGGGTTTGCGTTGGAAAGAAACGATGTAAACTCGCGATGTTTTCTACTGTAGTGGTAGTCCGGTCACCGGTTGTGGCGAGAGCTCAGATTGAATGCCTCTTGGATATTTTTCTCACTAACACAAAAGTCTAGGATACAGACGAGATTGGGGCCTTTTCGCTGTTTTATACAGCTCGTTCAACGTTGGGACGAGAGAGAGCGATGCTCGTCCCTAGTCGCCGTTTGATTTCTAATCTCCGGACATGTGAGGCGCTAAGATGAGGAAAAAGAGGAGTTATTTCAAAGCGGAAGGACGATCTTGGGTCGGGCCGTCGTCCGCAAATGGGGGCTCCTCGCACGCAGTGAACGGAGTGCGCCACCGGTCACTGGCCAGGGAGCTACGCCCTTTGCGACAATACCGCAAGTCGTTTCGGCATGGCGGAATCACGTCATCGGGGAGGGGGCAGCTTTTCTGTCAGCAGCACAAAAAGGGCGTAGCTTCTGTCTTGACGTCGAGATTTTAGTACTACTAGGGGCCTACCCCGGTTTTAGCTCAGGTAATTGGCGAAATGTCAGCCATTCCGCTCTCCCTCGCGGATATGCCGAGGCCATCATCAGAGGACTGGATCCTGGTGATTACAAACTAAAGTCGCAGTCACAAAACATTGATGGTGCCCGAGCAAGCTGGCTCCTCATTCATAGCGTGGAGTGCCTCAAGGGATACATCTATGTATATCTACATCTTATTCAGTGCTTAAGCTCATAGAATGAGAAGGAAAAAGATATTGCTTTTGAAAGAAAAAAGGCACTACAGAACGAGAGTGTGATTTATCGTCGAGGTGAGAGTGATTGTGATGCTGGCCTGGCGGTCGTCACTGATATTCCATGTCGTGATTGCGTCGTAGGCAAAGTGGTGGGTTCTGCCCCTCAATAACCAGCACCGATTACAAATTCGCCAGTTCTTATCGGTGCTGAGTGATGGCTTCTTCAGGGTAAATCTACGCACACGGCTTGGCATGGCCGCCAAACTTGGGACTTGCATCGTGGCTGCGAACAGCCGTGTCTCCATAATTCATGATCGATTTCGATGCACTAGCACATATACTTAACATTCATGGATCCATCAATGTAAATGGACCACTTGTATTATAGCCCGTCCCCTGCCCCAGCAAGCAGGCCTGCCACGGGACGTATTAACAATCCTCATTCGTGATGCTGGGCGTGGCTCAAAAGGACTCAACAGATTATTAAGACATAACGCGGCGGCCTGCGCTCACCCGTCGTCGAGCGTCGCATTCCCTCTCTCTCATGGTGAAGTGGCCAGTCTGGGGATACCGTTTCTCCAGACCAAGGCGGGCCTCTTGTCGAGCCTAGACCCTCGCCCCTCAGACGAGATCGATCAAGATGCAGGTGCCAATTGATACTGGCTCGGGAATGGTGCCCTAGCAAAGTATAATAGCCATTAGCGCAAAGGCCATTGTGACACCAACTGCTCACGCTTTGAGAGACAAGATCCACAGATCGCTTGACAGGGGCCCCACAGGTTCGTCCGCACGCGAGTGTGGTGGGTATCGTGTGTGTGTCGTTCGTCCTGAACCCTTTTGTGGAAATCGCGAGATCCTTTCGAACAATCGCTCGTGGGAAAAGTTGCTTGCTGTCGATATTCCCCGCGCGCACTCTGAACGAAAGCTGGAGAGCTCTCCACTGCCGTGTGCTAAATATAGTCCATGTCCATGTCCCATGTCCAAACAGCTCCCGGCCTGCGGTGCTTAAACCGTGACTGAGCCTGCAGGAGCTTCCCGGGGCCGACAAGCACAGACATTGACTCAGCAACACATGTGCTGTGCGTGCGCCGCTGGGGCCCAATGTATTGTATTGTATTGATCCATTGGAATATTATTATGGAGAGGCGCAACTTCTACTCAAGCTCTGGCGGACCTCTTCTCCGCAGTGAACCTTTTTTTGTTCCATCCCCGGCGCGCAAGAAGGCAATTGATCACTGAAAACGTTGTTTTTACAAGGTTTCCTGGTCGCTCACTGCGAGATCCCTTGCCTTTCGCCTCCCTCTCCTACCGTAGGAGCGAAAAGTTTATGAAGTCGCGTGATAACATCCCGAGAAGCTCTTCGTTCAATGCCTTGTTGCGCGAGCATTTGCCCTGGTCATCGCGGACCCTTGTCGAGAACGACTCCTCTCCTCACGCACACTCTGCCTCGTCGCGTTGATTCCAGCTTGAACTCTGCGGGGTTCTTTTCAGTCTGCATCGATACTCCCTTCCTTGGCCATTGCGCCCCCTTAAGCTTTTGGGGAATCATCACCTGCGAGCACGCCTAGAAGTGCACTTGAGAGAGAGAGAGGCTCGGTCGTCAGCTTCCAGGTATTATATTATGACCGCCACCGCCTGAGACAAACGGAGCGCCACCACGCGCACTTACCCTTCAAGACTCGTTTTTTTGGGCCTCCCCTTTGCTTTCCTTTCTTTTTTTCCTCCCATCTTCCTCCCATCCTCTGTTCCGCGCTGTCCTCTCCGGCGGAGCTGGGGCTGGAGCGGAAATTTCCCTCCTCCCTCTCCAAGACGCCCGTAATGGGAGGGAGACGACACTAGGTGCGATGGATAACCAAAATGCCTCGTCGATGCCGGGCCCCGATGGGGCCGTCGCATTCTCGAGTGCATCCTCGCACCATCCAGACACATCTCGCCCGAGACCCATGCCACCCCCATCATCACAACAACCGCGGCCCAGGCAACGGCGGCCGCCGCACCTGTGCCTGCCTCTGCATCGCAGCCCGAGGTCGCCAGAGCTCTTCCGGCCAAGGATTCCATCACCTCGGATACGATTGAGCAGGCTTACGTCGACTTCATCTTTTACTGTAACCCAGAGGTGCCGGCGAGCACGGATACCGCTATGCTTAGGAGACGTTCCGCACCCCGCCCAAGAGCGGTGGCAAGTCCTTTGACACCTTCTTGCTGTACCAGCTCATCCAGAAGCTCGAGTCCAAGGAGCTCAAGACCTGGGCCGAGCTTGCCCTCAAGCTAGGCGTGGAGCCTCCTGACCAGGAAAAGGGCGAGAGCTCTCAAAAGATACAGCAATACGCTGTTAGGCTAAAGGTGAGATCCCCTAGCCTCCCTTCCCATCCTATCTCCACTATCCCTAAGACCTTTGTGTGTTCTACTACAATATACACGTCCATTCAAGTGTTCCACCTATCTAACGATTGGAACACAGAGGTGGATGCATTCCATGCATGTCGATGCCTTTTTCGAGTATCTCATGGGCCGCCCTCACCATCCGTACTGGAGCGAGGTCACTCCGGACCCAGCCCTTTCTGAACAGGGGAAAGACGGCGTAGCCCCCGAGGATGACATGGCTCTTCGAGCTCTCCTCCCTCATATCCGCCCTAAACGTGGCCGGAAGCGAGAGGCCGACGGCGGCCGCTCACCCTCCCAACGGCCCCGGTTAGAGACTCCCCGGCCAAGATGATGTAGGCCAGCAGCACAGTTACGGCCCTTGGTCCGCCCACCCGGACGGCCGGTCGTCCGCAACCCCGTATAGCGCTCTGCCCCTAGGAGACTCCCTTCGTCCCACCGGCCTAGCACCCCCTGGGTCGTGTCAGATGTGGCCCAGACCCCCTCAGCGCCTATCCCCAGTCTGCGATCACGCCCTCAACCATGACACCTTCCGGCCGGGCCTTGTTCTGGGCGGATGAGCCGCGCTCCGCCATCACGCCTCCGAGGCCGAAAATCAACAAACGCCACGGACCAAAGGTCGTTTCCTCGGCGTGGAAGAGCGGGTCCATGCCCAGCGGAAAGACTCGCGGCCGACCTCCCATCAACCGGACCCCTATCGACGTAGAGTCGCCCTGGACGCGAGATATACCTCCTTTCCCGTCTGGTAGTACCGCCACCGCCACTACTGCAGCAAACCTTAAAACACCTTCTTCGATGCACCTAGCCGGTCCCGGCTCCGTGTCCCTCGTACCAAACTTACCACCGCCCGCAGCTCCAACCGTGATACCGCCATTACGAACCGAAGCTCTATCATTAGCGAGTGCGGCACTCCCAGTGACGTCTCCGTCCGTCACCTCGAAACCCGCCCGGCCCGCAATCTCCCTCAGCGTGCCCGAAAGAAGCGGTGCGCCTGTGAGGCTCGCCACGCCTCCGCCTCCACTTCCGCCGCCGGCTCACGGGCCCACCATTCTACAGCCAGCCGCCATTTCCATACCACCTATCCTCACGGCTATGCAAGACAACGAGACCACGACCACAACCTCGGCCATCCCTCAGCCTCCGTCTCAGTCTTCCCATCCGCAGGTGGATGTCCTTCGAGACGGGATTGACGCGGAATTGAACATAAAGGGCACTGGCCTCGCAACCCTCGGGTACGGAACGGCCCGCCCAACCCTAGGTCTACCGCCCGATCGTTGCGCAGACAGGGCTGTCGCGGAAGAGGCGGCACCGTCGTCTGCAGGCGACAGGCCCAACATTGCTTCCCTGCCGGCACCGAGACGCGGCTTCTTCGACTCCTTTGACGACCGCACCAACGTAGACGCCTTGTTCAGCCACTTTGTGCTGGAAGCCATGATGGCGGACTGGGTCGACGCCGAGGGCAACCCCGCCGAGTCCGCCTCCGCCGAGGAGGCGAGCGCCATCATCACCACCATCATCGAATCGCTGTGGCGCTCGTCCACGTCCAACGAGTCCTTCCTCATCAACGTGGCCGCCCTCGCGGGGGCAAGATGCTCATGACCACCACGCGGCTGCGGCTCTCGCGGCTGGAGCGTCTTGCCGAGGGCGTGCTGTACGCGTGTAGCTGGGAGTATAGGCTCGGGGCGCTCAAGGGCGCCTTCTCCATGACGCAGGTGGTGAGCTACGAATTGTATAGGCCGCCCGGGTACGGTGGGGCCAAGACCGAGGAGGAGGCGGGAGGCTCTGCGCTGGAAGAGAGCGCGGGGGAGCAACGGCGGCGACGGCGACTGGGCAAGATGTCGAGGGGGCCAAGTATTGGCAGAAGAAGTACGAGGAGCTTGCTGGGATTCTGAAGAATAAGGATCAGCAGATTTTGGATCTGGAGCAGGGGGTTTTTACGACGCTGAAAAGTCGAGGGGGTGGTTGAGAGGGTTGAAAGGGGGAAGTGGTCACCGAGGAAGGCGAAGATGGGGGTTTTTGGGTGGTATGAAGTGTAAGTTACGGGGTCTTGGGCTTGGGCCTTTTACAGGAATGATCTATGATGAATACGAATGTACATTAAGGATATGAAGCTGAAGCTGAATTCGGTCTCTATGGATTTTTTTCGTCCACCTCGCTCGTTCGTGGATCTAGAGAGTCGGGGAGAAGACAAGGTTTGATAGATGCCCTCTCCCTAGCCACTAAAGAGAGTAAAAGGAAGAAAAAAGACAAAAAACATACAACACCGGGGATTCGCTGGTCGTCACCGACCCAACTACTAGTCCGGCGCTTCGCAGCTTGTGTACAGGGGAGCGGACGGGACCCTCAATTATCTGCGAGCTATGGTCGTATGTGCTAGGAGAGTGCTTAGAATCAGAATATAAGGGCATCTATGATGACTGGAGAGGGAGCCCGGCAGTGTTGAATCACAACGGCGTGGCTCTTTCTCCAGCCTATGTTCCTAGATGGCATGGCGTTGAATTGCAGAAGCTCATTTCTTTTCTGTACGTCGGCCGACGAGATACGCGCCGGCAATTTTTATCATATTCTTTGCATTTTTTTCATCTTTAAACCCGAAGGCTGTGCTGGTTATCGCGGGAGCCGCGCTTTTTTGTTTGCGGAATGGCCGAAGCTGAAGGTTAGTGCATCTCCTTTATTTATAGTATATTTTCCGAATATCGGATGCGGCAAATCCATCGAGTCATCTTTTGCTTCTTATTTTCTCTCTCTCTATCTCTCTCTCAATGAGAAAGGGAAACGGGAAGCGAGGAAGTAAAAAGTCAATAACGATAAGATGTCCGAAAAGACTGGCGTGCGTGCGTCCATCGCGCGGGCTACATATTAATACGAGGAGGCTCATAAACACCACCTTGAGGGAGATCCCCGGTTTTCGCCCTTACCTGTCCCTCTTTTCTCTCTGGCTGCAGTTTCTTCTGGGGGCGGGATTTCTATTAAGTTTGCACGAAGACGATAAATAAATGTGTGTGGGGTCTGCTATTCCCCAAGCTTATTGCGCGTGGCTATATCGGAAGGAGTAGATACGATACACTTTATGGGAGTGTATAAGACGGGGAGATATCGAACAAGACGCAAGAAGGGGTTCACAGGACCCGAGGGAGGCAGAGAGACAGACCCCTTCTGTGCCATATTTCCACGCCCCTCCCTCGCGTGATATACCTTGTGTGAAAGAAAGCGGCGATATCACCATTGGTCGAACGAGGCTTATAGTACCGCGTCCGGATTGCGGTCCAGAAGGAACTTTGATGGGCGGTCTCGAAACCTCGGCTCGATGGACGGATAACGGGCATATTTCCATTTTCTGTAGCCGCGTGTGTCTACCCCGACAGTGGCCAAAGGGGAGGGGGACCTGTCAACGGCCGGCGGTGGGTGTGAAGAGGGAGCCGCCTAAAAGGGGGAGGGGAGGGAAGAAACGGGAACCAGCACTCCCCGGGGACTTATGGATGGTGTTATAAGTTTCATAGGGTCCGGGGATTTCGAGGTTTCCGTGCCTGTGGGTTTTGGCTGTGGTTTTTTTCTTCTTCCTCTTTGGTGTGCCGCGCACCCTCTGAAGGATGGACGTCTTGCGTCGTCCTAAACGCGCAACTGTCGATCATAGAAGTAGATCATTGCAAAGGGGAACCACAATGGTTAAGGGTGTAAAAAAGGGGGTTGCGGGGAGGAGAGGCTCAAAGGGAGCAAAAGACCATGCGAGAGCATAAATGATGCTGGTGGGGAATGAATTACGGAAGATCTACGGGAGGGTAGTCCAAAAGGCCACACACACATGCTCGAGAGCGTGCAGGGTATTTCGGGTATGGTATCGTGGGTATGCACCTTTGAGGAGGGGGGCCATGGGGGCGAGATCATCTAGTGGGTGGTTGGTTCAGATGGTTTCTGTACCTTGGCCACCGCGCCTGCGCGCCGAGGGCGAGATTGGGATTATCGGGAGAACTGCTGAAATGTTGGATGAGGATACGTGCGGAACGATGCGAAGAGATCGAGGTGGGAAGCGCAATAAAGGTGCGAGGAGCGAGGGGTGAGGTGAGGAGGGGGCTGACGACATCGAAATCGATCGATGCAATACCTCCTGGGTTTGGGCATTGATCCTCGACTAAACTGGGGCGTTGGCCCATGATTGTGAAGAGCGCAAGTGACGGGCACTTGCTCTTGCATTTAGGGGTTGCGTGATACGTTTTTCTCTCACGTTCTCGTCCTTCGGCGATGAGGTCACAAGTGGGATTTTGGCCGCGATTCGGAAGGAGGGGAGAATCAAATGCGTCACCACATGAGACCCTCAGACAGACGGTTGGAGGACCGGCGTTTTTTTTTTTCTTTTTGTCTTAGTGCACTCAACCGGGGTTGTCTTCTGAGCTCTGGGTGTTCCAATACTCTTTCCGCGTGCGTGCACTACGTGTCGGATGTAAGACAATTTGTGCGGGACACTAACTCATCTCCATGCACTCGAACAAACTGTTCTTCTTCCCTTGTCGATAGGGGATTTCGTCAAGGCTTGGGGAACTCTCTAGAACCCTCCTCGCATACGAGACGAGACTATTGCCCGCCGCGACCGACGCCATATGTCATGCTGAACGCTAAACTGACCCCGCCAAATATCTCCATCTTTGGCTACAGACCCTGCAGTGGACTACGAGTGTTCAATGTGGGCTCGAGGCGATGGCGAGCCCCGAGACGCACTCGATCTCACCCTCCCAAGCCTCAACTTCGGTCCCACACCCTTGGCCAAGTGGATCTCGAGATACCATCAGCTGCTCATGAGGCGAGCCCGGGCGGGTAGAGCACTCACCCTGGAAGGCCTCCTCCTCGCGCGGCACCTCGAGAATAATATTGACCCTCATCGACCGGAGGAGGCCGATCTAAACGATCAATAGTCAGGTCCCACTCGGCGATACGAAGTGCAGATAGATTTCGGGGGCAAAGGCGGGTTGAGAAATCTCCGACGACTGTTGCTAAGTTTCAAAGTCTTGGCAAAAGAGGCGGCGCGGGAGAGCTTCAACGCAGAATGAGAAGAAAAAAAGCCCGTCGATAATTAGTTGGGGGCAGAAACAGACCCCAGTGCACGGATATGGCATGTCCCGTTTAGACACTAAAGATCCAGATTCTCTTCGACGTCGCACGGCAGAAAAGCTCAGGGACACGGGGCCAGCATGCCGTGTTTCATAAAACATCCATCCAACGATGTGGTTGCAAAACGGACGACGCGCAATGCACGCAGGTCGAGGTTGCTCGAATCCCCTTGGCGGGGTCGATAGGCCACGGGCCTTTGGCGCTTTTCAGTCGTCGAGATTCGTTGGCCATCGTCCTGGGTCCGATCTGATGCTCAAGAGCCACTGATATCTATTACCGTCCAGGTGTGGAGGGAAACATCGCATTGTATCTGCACTCTATGGGGACCCTCGTGTATGCGTGCCCAAACCACGGCGCAGCTCTCCTCTACCGCTCCCTATCCGCCATTGACAAAAGAAATGCCGGCTAGAGGTGGCCGAAGCTACGGCTGCTGCTCAATGCTTGGGGAGCTTGGCGAGCCCGTGAACCACGTTGACGCACTCTGGAACCGAGGGTTGGTTGAACTATTTGCTTTTCCTTGCCCCCGAAACGGAGGGTTGAGCCCCGTCGATTTGACCAGAGAAGACAAAGATGTGGTGACACGAGAGTACAGTATAGCGGGGATATCAACACTGTCATGTCCATCACGGAAGAGGGCGTCGACCGCTTGAACAATCTCTAGGTCCAAGAATAGCTGGTTGGTGGCGGAGACGGCCAGGGGCAGAACCAGCTGCAATACCAAGTAAAAGGGGAATGACGGAACGATATGTGGTTGGAAAGGCGTTCATCATCAATAATCTCTTTCCCTGTGGCCCGGAAGCCGCGCCAGTCCATCATCTTCAGTGCCTTGGAACAGGCGCGCTAGCGGTGTCAATCCTTTCCCCTTGATCCAGGCTTTGAGTCGGCCTCTGCGCGATCCAGTGCCACGCCATCAACTCCACCCCGCGCCGGCGCATTTGGGTACACCAAGGTGGGGCGGAATGAATCAATCCAGGATCTTTGGTGAGTGGGGTGTCATCGATTTGTGCGTGTGCCTGTGTGTGTGTACTTTTGAACCCACAGTACTTTGGGGAGGAAAAGGTTGAAAAAGTTCATCTCGCGTGTATCAAAACTCCCTCGCTGATTCGACACGACACTGGCGGGCGTTCTGTGGAACGGATCTAGTGCTGTTGATGCTGGAGGGTGGCGTGCAGATGGTCCTTGGTGTGTGGGTCTTTGAGCAGACGAAAAATGAATATCACTTATTCATTGATTCACAGATGGAATGGATCTGTCTTGTCTTGCCTTGATGTCAAATAATGGCGACAGGGAGGAGGGGTTGAACTTGACGGAAACGCGCCGTCGAGCCCGGAGGTCAGGGACTTCGCGGCGCCGTCATGCCGAATTTCTTTCCCATGTGATTGATGGGCCAATCAATGAAATGGATCCATTGCACTCAAAGGAATTTGTTAGGTGACCTTGTCAACTTGCGTACGCATCGCACACAAACACTTTGCAAGCCCAAGCCCAGTGTCCGCACTCTCTCTCCGCCAGGCCTTCAAGGATCAAAGACCTAGATTTCAGGGGTGGGAGATGCTTGGAAGGCTTTGGGGTGGAGAGCTGGAGACTAGCCTCGGCCAATGAAGTGGCGGATCTCGAGATGGGACAGGGCAAGGATGAAACCAGGAGTTCAATGTACAATTTTATGAGCTGCAAGGAAAGGAAAAGAAGCCATGCATGAGTAAAAAGAAAGAAAGGTGAAGGGGAAAAAAGAGATGAAAAAAGGACAATACTTGAGGAGCTGAAGCGAGACGAAGAAGAATTCATCACCTGCCTAACCCGGTGTGCAAAGATGATATGGTGCTTTGCGATGAGACCTCTTGTCCTCTTCTCTCTACATGTAGCCCATGAGACGGACTTATTCACGGTACGTCGGTATGGTTGCCGGAACTATTGGGCGGGAAGACGGGTGGGAGCTGGCCTAGACTTCCATGACAGGTCATCTGGCCTTCAATGTTCTGACTGCGTTCAAGACTATTCTGTGCTTGCGCACTAATTCATAAAAACTCACCAGATAGTTAGCACCACGAGATGTTCTACATGCATGTAGCCCTGACCTGTCCCTACTGGGGACACTAAAGGGGCTGGCATCAAGTTCGTAACGGTTTTTAGGCCTCCTCAGCCCCCTTTTGTCGCCCCAGCGGAGTCCTGCCCCCAAGAGTCCGGCGCTTTTCATCAAGTTGATGCCCTCTCCCCACAAGACTATGCAGTATGGCCTGGTTTCGTAAATCGCCTAGGCTTGGTCGCCGTTAAGCCGATTAGTCTCCGAAGATGGCGTCAATATCTTCTCTTGGCTTGTGGCGGTTGTAGACTAATTCTTTTCAGCATTGATCCATCCATGGATGAAGGGAGGCAAATACGAGAGGGCAAACAACCACCACCAAAGAAAAAAAGAAGAAAAACCTCCGGAAATAGACAATACGGGCAAAGGACATGGCAGGCACTACTTGCCCATTGGCTTTTTGACCACGGCCTTCGCGGCTAGACATGTCAAGTGAAAAGGACATCGTCTCTTCGAGATGGTTGAAGATCTGCACCCTCCAGTTCTCGTCTTTTATTATTACTGCCAGCCAGCCATATGGGATGCAGGCTTGGGTCCGTAGATTGAACTTTGATGAAGGGTCCTCGTTCGCGACGGGTTTGTTTTTGGATGGTGGCGTATGATACCCCTGGAATAGTGCGACGAGGAGATTTTTCTCTCTTTTTCCTTGGGCTCGATGCCGTTTGACTATGTAGTTGTAGAGTACTTCGCTTCGTGTGCAAGCAACTGCCCTGACGAAAGGCTCGCTGCAGACATTTCCGATCAACGATGATGTACCACACTAGGCTTGGGGGAGCAACCTACAGTACAGCCACCGGCTATGTCAGGTACCAACGCTGCTCAAACGCTGCTTCAACGGTACTGAGAGACCCACCCAGAGGTACATTTCGTATGGGAGGTCCACTCGCTGTCTACCTCGTTCCCGCGCCGAAAGGGGTTGTGAACGACTCCACGCTAGGGAAGGGGCGTGTGGCTGTCTGGGCGTGCGCGTGGGCCTGGCAGGTGGGCGTGTCGTTCGTGCATCCAAAATTGGGAAGGGGAGACCAACCCAGAAAGCTGCATCTGGGAGCATCGAAAGAGAGACTGTTTGGCACACGCTGAGATCATGGCTGGATTCCTTTTTTGGGCCCCTCCACTTTCCTTCACCCCTGACTGTCTGCCCCATATCGAAGTTCACCTTTATTCTTAGGTTTTCTCTTCCCGCTCCCTCTCTTTTCCCGAGTCCATATTTTGTTCCCAAGAGATCTCTTCGTCTTGAGATTTAGGATCTTCTCTCTCGTTTCTCCCCTTGCCGTTCCCGTTCTTTCTTCCTATTTCCTTTTCATAGTCACCACGGTTTTTGTGTCTTTCCGGCTATCTTACTTCAAATTCTTCAAGCCGCTCGCTTCTCGCGCCAAAACTAACGAATTCCACCACCCCTCGACGGTCCAGCCTGCCTTTGCTCCTGCTCGGGACCTTGTGATAGAAGCCGGTATTCTTTCACCCTTCACTCACACCCTCCAATTCAACCGGAGCATGCCAGACCGCATCTGAGCTGCCTGTCGCTACCACCTACTTACTTACCTTCCGCACCCCTCCTTGGACCCTAAGAAGTCTGCGACGATCTGACACACCCATCCCGTATAGCGGGCATCACTGTGCACGTTACCGACCCGGCCTCTCCCCCTCCATCTCGGAATAGGGTCGTTAGAGAGCTAGACCCTTTCACACCCGGACTCTAGCTCGGTTCGTTGTTTGGGCCTCTATCTTTTTTTCTTTCTTTTTTTCTTTTTCTTTTTCCCCCTTCGTCTGTACTTTTATTCGTTTGTCCCCTCCCACATCTTCGACAGCATGAATTCGCTGTCTCCCAGAAACTCTGGGTTCGTTCCTCTTGGAACCACAAGGTCAAGATCAGACAACATGCCCGACGAAATTCCCCTCTCCACCGTTAAGAGCCGCGCGAGCTCCACTGGAGCCCGCAAGGCAAACCAATCCGCCGCGTCCTTCTCCGACTCGGGCGACCTTGAGAAGAAGCGCAGCATCTTGCGCGCCGGCGGCCGCAGGAAGGCCCCCGATGGCCCCAGCAGGGCCGGCACTGGGGAGGAGACCAAGTTGAATGCTATGGGCAGGCTCTACACCAGGATTATCAACTTCGCGCCTCCCCTCCGCTACCTAGTCTACATCGTCCCTGTAGGCCTGGCCCTCGCCGTTCCGCTTATTGTGCTACCCTTGACCGACAACAAGGATGCCATTCCCGTCGGTTCCAGGACCGACACAGTCGACGGTGACGAGGTCCGCAGAGAGGGCCCTCCCTCTTCAAGGTCTTCATGTGGATCGAGATTGCCTGGCTCACCCTCTGGGCCGGCAAGCTTGTCGCCTTTATCCTTCCTGCTCTTTTCATGTTCTTCTGCGGCGTTGTGAGCTCCGGAACTCGCAAGTACGCTACTGTCCTCCGAAACCTGGTTCTCCCTCTTTCCTTCTTCTTTTGGGCCCTCGCCTCATGGCTCACTTTCCGCGGCCTCTTCAAGGATGCTCTCAACATCCCAATTGACTGGTGCCGCAACTTTGAGCGTGTTCTCGGCGCCTCCTTCGTCTCGTCCGCCGTCTACCTCGCCGAGAAGGCCATTGTCCAACTCATCGGCATCTCGTACCACCAGCGCTCTTTCGCGAATCGTATCCATGACTCTAAGCACGAGATTCGCCTTCTTGGCATGCTGTACGACGCGTCCCGTTCCTTATTCCCCATGTACTGTCCTGAGTTCGCAGACGAGGACTACGTCATCAACGACAGCATCGACTTGATTCTCCGCCAAAGAAGGGCAGCGGTTCCGCTACCCCCATGCGCTTGATCGGAGACGTCGGCCGCCTCGGAGACAAGGTCACCTCTGTTTTTGGCAATATTGCCTCGGAGATTACGGGAAAGCAGGTGTTCAACCCCAACTCGGCCCACTCCATTGTTGTGGAAGCCCTTGAGAAAGTAAAGTCTTCTGAGGCTCTCGGAAGGCGCATTTGGATGTCATTTGCCGTCGAAGACCAGGATAGCTTGAAGCTAGAGGATCTTATCGAGGTGCTCGGCCCCGAGCACAGGGAGAGGGCCGAGGAGGCCTTCATCATGGTGGACGGCGACGGAAACGGCGACATCAGCCTCGAGGAGATGGTGCGCAAGGTGACCGAGATTGGCAAAGAACGAAAGGCGATTAGCGAGGGCATGAAGGATATCGGCCAGGCCCTCCAGGTATTCGACAAGGTTCTCCTTTTCGTCGTCCTTTTGATTGTCGTTTTTATCTTCCGTAAGTTGTCCTTGAGTCCCTGGATCTTTCCTCGCTTGCACATCTGCTAACCCCCTTGCTTTCCCCTCTCGTTAGTCGCCTTCTTCCAGTCGAGCTTCATTACCACCCTAGCCACGGCCGGTACCGCGCTCCTCTCTCTGTCCTTCGTCTTTGCAGTGACTACCCAAGAATTCCTTGGCTCGTGCATCTTCTTGTTCGTCAAGCATCCCTATGATGTGGGTGACAGGGTCGATATCGCCGCCAACGGCGAGAAGCTGGCCCTCCAGGTCGAGAAGATTTCCCTCTTGTACACGGTTTTTGTCCGTATCGACAGGATGCAAATTGTCCAAACCCCCAACATCCAGCTCAACAACATGTGGATCGAAAATGTCTCTCGAAGCAAGGCCATGAAGGAGTGTGTCGATGTCAACATCTCTTACGACACAACGTTTGATGATGTGGAGCTGCTGCGCATGGAAATGGAAAAGTTTGTCCGCCACCCCGACAACTCGCGCGACTTCCAGCCCGATTTCAGCATTGGTGTCGGCAGCGTCGGCGACCTCGACAAGCTCAACCTCAAGATTGTCATCAAGCACAAGTCCAACTGGCATAACGATGGTGTACGCGCGACGCGCCGTTCCAAGTTCATCTGCGCTCTCGCAGCTGCTCTCAAGAAGGTGCCCATCTACGGTCCCGGTGGTGGTAACGAGGCCCTTGGAAGTGTGGGTAACCCTTCGTACTCGGTGACGGTGACGGATGAACACGCCGCGAAGAACCGCCAGGATGCTAGCGATACCAAGGAGTCTAAGCGTATGGTTGCCACCAACATCCCTGACCCGCTCTCTACTGCTGAGGCTCTCAATGCCCCGCCCGGTGGCGACGATTGGTTCAACCGCGACGACAACAAGACGATCAATCCTCCCGAGCACACCCGTGTGTCACTCGACCGCGGCGATTCGACGGATTACATGAAGCGCAATGAGAGCCACAAGGGCTTGAGGAAGGCGGGCGAGAGCCTGTCCACTGGCTCGGTGCACTCGAGGACTGGTGCGCCGCCGATGAGCATCAACACGGCCATGGAACATCCCATCGGCAGGACCACTTCGCGCCGAACGTACGACGAGGAAGCGCAGCTCGGGTCGCCCCGATCGCCCCGGTCCCCTCTCCAGCCTGGCGGCTTCGCGCAGTCGGCTGTGATGGGTGGGATGATGCAGTCGTCGGCTTCGGGATACTCGGTCTACCCGATGGGCAGCGTCCAAGAGGTTCCGACCCCGGGTGTCCACCCCTCCAGTCGAACCAGTACCTCAGCCCCGGACAGACACAGACGCAGGCTGCTGGACAACAGCAACAGCAACAGCAACAGCAGCAGCAGCAGAACCAACAGTCGGGCCAACCCCAAACTCGACCGCCCCTGACCGGTCCCCAACGATAAGCGACGCCTCTACTGAGGTAGTCTCTCTCCCTTCCCCTTTTCGCTTCACTATCGGATGAAGCGACTCTCTCCCTAATGAGGCATGCGGGACAACGTGACGAAAACCACATAATCGAAGCAAAGTAGAGTTGGAACCCGCTGTTGCCCGCATGCCATGACATGAAACGCCAAAATTACAGCACCGCCCTAACAAAAAAGGAAACCGAAATAAATTGCAATGACAAAACATACCTTTTGTATTCTCTCACTCTCTGTTTCCCCCGCATATCTAGATGATAGCTTTCTTTGTCACGTATTAGACTTCTCATTTCAACCCTCTTTCATGTGGGGTTTATAGCATTTTACCTAAACATAGGTTGACAAGGCAAGGATGGATGGAAACACAAATAAATATGACAGAGGGCAAAGTGAGCAATCTTTGCCCTTCTTACGAGCATCTCTCTCTTCTTTTACATGAAAGTATACGTCATCGCAAGTGCTTACTAGGATACGAAGCTAGAGTTGTCAGAGCAGTGTGGCTAAAATTTGTATAAATGGAGTGTATCTTTATTTTCTTATCGATTTGGCCGACGCCGTCTCATGTAATTGCAATATTGTGTGGGCATATATGACGGAGCGGCTTGGCGAGGCTCTTCAAGTTTATTCTTCCATCTTCCGTCCCCTTTTTACTCCTCGTTGGACATCAACAGAGGGCGTTCGGTGATGATGTCACGCAGCCGATTCCCATAGCTTGTGCTGCTTTGGGAGTCTAGCATCCTGCTATTTCCGCGCCCCGAACCTCGTAGGATTCTTCCGCCCAATCCCAGGGGCCGATGTTGGTGAAATTCAATCCCCCTTATAATGTATTATCCAAAGTTCCTTTTTTTTTTTTTTTGATAGTCATCCTACTCCCTCTACTTATAACCTCCCAAGAGAAGAGAAGGGAAGAAAGTGGCCGACTCGACCCGCCTAGCACACATGCTCGAGCTTGGCGGGGGTAGCGTCCTTCTGGCCGACCTCGGTCTTGAGGACGCGGCCAAAGAGCTCGAGGAGGACCTCGAAGCAGATTTTGGAGATTTGGGGGTCGTAGCGGCCCTTGCTGAGCTCGTCGCGGATGAAGGCGTGCTGGGCCCAGGCGAACTCGTAGAAGCTGGTGACGAGGCCGGCGGCGCGCATCTTGGCGCGGATGACGTCGCGGCCGTCGTCGGGGACGTGGGTGTCCTTGATGCCGAAGATCATGGCGAACTCGGCGGAGGCGAGCTCGGGGAGGCGGTCGAGGGTGTGGATGGAGTGGGGGATGGTGTCGGGGGAGGTGTTGCGGGCGTCGTGGGGGCCGAGGGTGCGGGAGTGGATGTCGGTGGCGAAGTAGGAGACTACGGCGGAGATGCGGGAGTCGAGCTATGGGTGGGTGAGGGAGGGGGTGTGTTAGCTTTATAGAGGTGTAAATGAAGGTGTTGGGAGAGGTAAGTGGTGTGAGGAGAAAAGGGTGTGTAAGTGAGAGAGAGAGAGAAGAGAGAGAAAGTAAAAGGGGAACGGGGACGTACGGCGGCGCGGACGGCGAGATGGCCGCCGAGGCACATGCCGGTGGCGCCAATGCGGCCGTTGCAGTTGGGATGGGTGAGAAGGTAGTCGACGGAGCGGACAACATCCTCATCGTAGGATTGTAGGGTCTTGGCAATCTTCCAATCATTGCCTTGGTCGGTTCCGGGGACGTCGTAGGCGAGGGGCTCGGGGCCGGTGAAGTCGTGGTAGGAGCTCGGGGCGGCGACGATGTAGCCGTGGCCGGCGATGAGGCGGGCGAATCGGGCGACGGGGCCGGAGACTAGGAGGGCACGGGGGATGGTAGGTTAGCTCCGGATCGCGGAGGGCCTTGTCAATTGACGGCTTTCTTTTCGGGGTTAAGTGTTGATTTTTTCCCCTTTGGCCTCGATCCACCATATTTGGGTCCCAATTAATTCTTTTTCTTTTCTTCCCCCTGGGTGGCGCATTTGACGCGTCTCGAGGTGAGGTCGCGGATGAGGGGTAATTCTTTTCCTTGAACCCCGCCATATCGGATCGTGGTGGGGGTGAGAGCTACCCTGGTAGATTTCGCTAAAGAGAACAACGCCGGGGAATTTGCTAGAAATGTGTACCTTGCATGTGAGAATTGGAGACCCTTGGAAAGAAATAAATTGGCGGAGCAGGAGGAATGGATTGGAAGTCAACGGAGGGATTGAAGCAAGACACTTACGCGTTGGGGTACTGGGGGACGGTGGGAGTGTAGACAAAGATTCCTGGACAAGCATCGACTGTAAGCTTCCGAAGCTTCAAAGCGAGGAAGGGGAGAAGGGGGAAGCTTCAATTACTCATGGGGCTCTCCTTGCCATCCACGACGGTGGTGACATCTACGTGGGTTTCGACAATCAGCATCTTGGCGGTGGATGGGCGGGATTTGCTGGAGCTGAGGTGCGTGTGCGAGCGCGGGAGCTTGTGTTGAGGGAATTGGTCGTTGGCTGTCTCGCTCTTTGGGAGCCTGATTGCATGTGTGCTTCAGATGGTGGTCGCTCTACTAGGCTGAGCGCTACCGGCGATACTGGCAGGCTAAGACTAGAGTTACATAAGCGGATGATTGTGGTGGCCTCTGATGAGGGGAGGGTCTCAAAAGTCTAGATCATCAAAGCCCGGCTATTGGAACTAGAGGAGGAAATGTTGGGGAATGGGCACGTCACGCGACCTTGGCCTGCAGGTTGGCACCGGATCACCAGCATATCTAGGCTGCTCTTTAATGTCGATGGGGGCTTAAGTGTAATGAAGGGAACATTGGGGGAAATATATTTATGGATGCCTATACTCTAGGTTTCTCATGACCGCCGTGTTCACGGGTGGGATCTCGTGGTAGGTTAGGGGATGAATGTGCGGGTTGGAGCTCACAACGTCTTAAATTGTTGTGGCTCCGAGGTCTACGCTGTCCGTCTCATCTCAAGTGCTCTGCTTGTTCATGTGGTGATCGACGGTACAGATGGGACCTGTCCCTGCATGCATTGAACCTTCCCGCGACCACGAGCTTTTGTTGGCTTGCCGGAAACCCCGTCTCGCCTTTGGGTGTTGACGGTATGCTGTCTCGGAGGAGTGTAATTGAGTCTTGCTCTCTTGCCTAGGATAGGCTCCTTCTTTCCTTTTGGTGCCTGCATTCTCGCATGGTAACCCCCGGTGTACACACGGGAGGGGATCTAATTACTTTTTACGCTGCTCTTGTTTAGCTGTCGCGACTTAAATGGACCAGCCAACGGACCAGCCGCTTCAGCTCTACGGATCGACCAGGCGAAACGCGGGACTGTACATATGTCAACGTTCTTTGAGCTGCCCTGGCTTTTGATCAGCAGAAGCTACCTGGAATAAAGCCGACAGCTCTAGATGGTACTTGTACTTGTAGGTGACGGGCTGGGGCTGCGGATCTAAGCTATCACTCCCATGAACCTTCCAGCCTTCGAGATGAGAAGAGCTTCCTGAGAGCTTGAAAGATGTTGAACAACCTCAAAGTATCCTTTAACTTCATTCTTTGTGCTAGTTCGCTGACATAATAAACTGCGGACATGGGTAGAATTGGAAGGATGGCGAAATACAAAAATCAGGGAATGCGAATCAGCGGTTGACGACGCCAGTGACGACAAGTGCCAGCTCTCCCGTCGACGCTTGTCACCCCATTGCTGGATCCGTCCGCTGCAAACAAAAAAATGATTATTTGGCTCGGCACGGCACCTGCACAGCACAAGCTTCCCTCGCCTTTCCCGAAGACTTGGATTTTGATCACAAGGCAATCTGGTCACATCCACTCGTCTCCTTCCCCCAAAAAGGCACCTGAACCTCTGAACGCAACGACGCCTCAACACTGCCTGATCTGTACATCTTAATCCTAATTCGCTCGACTGGTTGGGGGCTTCTATGAATCGCAAATCTTGATTGAACTATTATCGTTTCATTTCCTATGGTATTGTACTAGAGCTTACCGCCGTTTCCCCCTTCTCTTTTTCTCTTGTCGCTCCTCACCTCCCCTATTACCGAACCTCCGACAACATCCAAGCTACGATGAACGGCCACTTTTCCGCCGTTGGCGATGGGCCAGGCACGGAAAAGTTCGACCATGGAATCCAAGTCATAGACGAAGACAAGACCTACAAGTACGTTTGGATTTTCGAGTCGCCTTTCTCTCTTTCCGCCCCCGCCCCCGCCCTCGCCTCCGTCTCTCGCGCTCATCCTCTCCACTGAGGGCCCCCTTTTTTCCCTTAGCTTCGATTCCGTCGCAAACGAGACAAAAACGGGCTTGTAAAGCCAGGGCTGACCTTGAATATAGCTCGAATTTGATTTCTTACCTCCGCCAGACCGATGTTGCCGATGCCGGGTTCAACTACCACCTCATCTCCGTCTTCGGGTCGCAGTCCACCGGCAAGTCGACCCTGCTCAACACCCTCTTCGGCACCCACTTCTCCGTAATGTCCGAGTCCGAGAGGCGGCAGACCACCAAGGGAATATGGCTCTCCAAGAACAAGCGGGAGACGGGTGGCGCCGGCGATGCCAAGGTCAAGATGGCTGACAACATTCTCGTCATGGACGTCGAGGGCACCGACGGCCGCGAGCGTGGCGAGGACCAAGATTTTGAGAGGAAGAGCGCCCTCTTCGCCCTCGCCACCAGCGAGGTCCTGATTGTCAACATCTGGGAGCACCAGGTTGGTCTGTATCAGGGCGCAAACATGGGCCTGCTCAAGACCGTTTTCGAGGTCAACCTACAGCTCTTCCTCAAGGACAAGCAGTATGTCAATGCGAACACCCTTTCCCCCCTTTGCCATGCGGCAATGGCTGTGGACTGTGGACTGACTCGAGACGTGTGTGTGTGTGCGCTCCCTCGAGCGTGCGCCATGCTCGGTGACCTGCAGCTCTAATCCTCGATCACTTCTCTTCTTCGTTATCCGCGACCACATCGGCCACACCCCTCTCGCGAACCTCCGCACCACCCTGATCCAGGACCTGACCAAGATTTGGTCCTCCATCTCAAAGCCCCAGGGTCTTGAAAACTCTCGCATCGAGGACTACTTCGACTTTGCCTTTGCCGCGCTTCCCCACAAGGTTCTCCAGGCCGACAAGTTCGATGTCGAGGTGAACAATCTCGGTGCGCGCTTCGTCGCCGGAAATTCCTCCGCCAAGGACGGCTCTCACGGCGACCACGAGCTTAATGGCGGCGTTTTCCTCCCCGAGTACCACAGGCGCATCCCCGCCGACGGCTTCTCTGCCTACGCCGAGGGCGTCTGGGACCAGATTGTCAACAACAAAGACCTCGATCTCCCCACCCAGCAAGAGCTCCTTGCCCAGTTCCGATGCGACGAAATTTCCCGCGAGGTCCTCGTCGCCTTCGACGATACCATTACCCCACTGGAGGAGCGCCAGGCTGAGGGCGTGAGGGCTGGCAAGCCCACCGTGCTGGAGAACCTTGGTGAGTCCTGTAGGACTGCGCGCGGCCGCTGCGTCAAGAATTTCGAGGTGCAGGCCGGCCGGTACCACAAGGGCGTCTACGCGCGCAAGCGATCCGACCTCGAGGCCAAGATTGATTCCAGGCTCAAGACGCTCTACCTCGGCCAGCTCACGAGCTGCCACAAGTCAGGTGTCGATTCCTTCACCGACGCCGTGTCCAACAAGGTCAAGGCTGGCCAAAGGCCGGCGGCAGCTACGACTTTGCCGAGATTGTCGCCCAGGAGAAGGAAAGGGTCCTCGAGGTTTTCAAGGAGGAGGCCAAGGCCCTGGCCATCGAGGGCCTTCCGTGGACCAACTTCAAGTCCCAGTACCTCATCTTTGAGAGGGAGCTCGACGAGGTGAGCAGCAAGCTGCGGAAAGAGGAGCTCCGCCGCCTGGCTACCCGCGTCGAGCGCTGGGTCAAGTCCCGCCTCGGCGACTCGGTCGGTCTCGAATTCAGCAAGCTCGGTTCGGGCCGCGCCGGTGCCGGCGCCCCCGAGGAGACCACCGAGAAGCCGCCCGCGGAGAAGGATCTCTGGGACAGGATATGGAGCGTCTTTGTCGACATTGTCGACGAGGCGCAAACGCGCTTCACCGACCGCGCGCGTAGCTTCGAGGCGAGCGCCGAAGAGGTCGAGGTGGGGCGGTGGCGCTTGCGCCGCAAGAGCTGGGTCGCGCTGCGGGAGCGCATCGACGAGGAGGTCATGGAGGGCAACATCCTGCTCAAGCTGCGGGAGAATTTCGAGGACAAGTTCCGCTACGACGAGGCGGGCGTCCCCGCATCTGGCGCCCCACCGACGACATCGAGGGCGTGTACACAAAGGCCCGCGAGTCGACCCTCACCCTCATCCCCTCCTCTCGCGGTTCCGCCTTGCCGAGTCGTACGCGGCGCCCGACTTGCCCGCGTGGATCGGTGCTCAGCCCCGCAGCGCCGAGGCCGGCGATGAAGAGGACCTTGCGCCCATTGGCGGCGTGGATGAGGAGGAGGGCAAGAGCCTCGAGGAGGAGATGACTATTCTCAGCGAGAGCAAGCGTCAGGACCTCGTCATCAGGTTCAAGAAGACGGCCGATGGCGTTTATGTCGAGGCTAAGCGTGGTGCTATTGGTGGTGTCGCTCAGGTGCCTTGGTACTTTTACGGTCTCCTCCTCGCCCTCGGCTGGAACGAGATCTTTATGGGTACGTTTGATCATTGTTTCTTTTTTCTGCTACTTTTTCTTTTGTCCTTTTACTAACAGATTCCGTTCCGCGCGCACTAGTGCTCCGCAACCCTTTCCTCTTCCTGCTCCTCATCATCATCGCCGGAGGCACTTACATCGCCTACACCCTTAACCTCCTCGGCCCCATGATGCAAATGGCCAACGCCGCCGCCGGCCAGGGCGTCGAGCTCGGCAAGCAGCGCCTCCGAGACTTTCTCGAGAACTCGGAAACCGCCCGACAGGCCCTTTCCATGCCCGCCCGCCCCGGCCAGGGCGAGGGCCAGAACCTCCTCCGCGACCGCGAGAGCGCCGACGACATTAGCCTCGATACCTTGGATAGCCGGGGAAGAGGAGGACGACGACTCTCGAGGACGATGATATCTGAATGATGTGTGAAGATGTGTAAAAACGTTTCCTTGTTTTTCGTTTATTCATTCGGTTTTTTTGGCTTCTGTGGTGTTCTTTTTTCTTACGTTTCCTGTCTCTTTGTCGGTGGCGGGGCGAAGGATTGGGGGAGAAGGGGGAGGCTTGCTCTGTTTGCTGGCCATGGCCTGGAAAGCGAGGAATGGAATACGACTATGGCCCCCAATCGATGAAAGAAAAAAATGAGGAGAGGATTTCGCGGGAGGAAATCTGTAATGACGGTGATGAACGAGCTTCTTTCTTTGTCTCTACTATCTCTCTCTCCCCTCTTAGCGCTCTCCCCACCGCACTCCCCCTGTTTCGATAATGAGCTTGGTCTCTCGTGTATTCCGCTTCTATAGAATGAAATGGGCTAGAGAGATATGAGAAAAACAACAACTTGGATCCTCCGAACGGAGTGTTTGGCTTCAGGATAGGACATCGTACGCCTTGCATCTAGTCCTACTTGGACTGGCTGGCGTTGTGTACACCGTTTTGGTTCGAGAACGTTTTTCTCAGGGTTGTATGACTTGTACTACAAGCATTACCAGGCACATGTGAACTCTAGAGTTGTTTTTGTCAATAATATTGGTATTTATCCTGATAGTATAGAACCTGTATGTACCCTTAACCTAAGAACGCCGTGTTTTGTTCATCGATACCCCTTGGATCGTTTGTAAAAGTAGTAAAAGATACAGATGGCTACAACGAGTCCGTCGCCGTGTTCCTCTTCATTGTCCGCCTTTCCTCCTGCTACGCTCGCCCCCACACACAACAAACGATTAGAACGCCTCAAGCCCAGCGGGAGTGCCATACCACGTGGCGAGCTCGTCCGCATCTTCGTTCGTAGAGGCGCCAAAGTAATCCGTGACGCGGGCAGTCTCGCCGTCGTCATCCATGGGCCAGTCGACCTTGACGGGGACTTGGCCTCGAGCATGTCCTTGGCGGTGCTCCAGCTCTGGCGGCACTGGGGGCCCCAGCCAAAGATGGGATGCATGTTGGCCTTGAGCCAGGTGGAGCACCTAGCGTCGGAGGGATAGCCAGAGCCCCAGCCCATGGCGGCGTGGCCCTGGGCAGCGGCGCCGGCCTCTTCCCCTCACTACCGGTGGTGGTGGTGGTGGTGGTGGCGGCGACGTGAGCCGCCCAGGCGACCTCGAGGGCGACGTCGCGGGTGACCTTGGCGCAGACGGAGGCGGCGCTGACGCAGGGGTAGAGGCTGTCGGCCTTTTTGGCGACGGTGACCTTGGCGTTGGGGAAGAGGCGCTGGAGCTTAGCCTGGTAGGTGACGGGGGCCCGACGGTGTCGACGTAGATCTCGGTGACCTTGACGCCGCGGGCGAGGACGCCGCGGATGAGCTCGACGGTGGCGTCAAAGGCCTGGGCGTTGAGGTTGTAGGTGGCGTCGGCGCGGAGGGTGGCGGCGGAGATGTCGCGGGCGGAGAGGGCCTTGGTGGCCCAGCCGCAGGCGTGGTGGAGGGAGTCCGGGGTGGTGTCGGGGCGGCAGATGGTGTACATGAGCTCGGCGCGGAAGGACGGGGTGAGGACCTTGGAGTCGTCGAAGTGGTGGGTTTCGCGGAGGAGGGGTCGGAAAGGGTTTTGGGAGGTAGAAGACGGCGTAGACCATGGGGCCGAGGACGGGGCCGCGGCCGGCTTCGTCGACGCCGAGGATGAATTCTTCGTCGTGGGGTCGGCGGTGGGGAGGGTGCCGTCGGAGGAGGGGAGGATGAGGAGGATATGCGGGCGGGGAGGGGGAGAAGTGGGTGAAGGAGGCGCCGGAGATGAGGGCGTCGCGGTGGACGGAGGGGGATGAAGGAGGTAGGGTCGACGGATGTCTCCCGGGATGGGGTTTGTGATTCTGTCATTGTGGGTGGGAGGTGAGGCGGAAAAGAGAGCCGCTTGAGTAGTTGACGTTCGGCTGCCTTTTTTTTGGGCTTGTTCTCTGCAGTTTTCCCTCTCTAAAGCCCCGCGAGAAGTCCGTCAATGTTGTTTATTGATCAGGTAGAAAATTTTGGCTGGTGACTGAAGGGATTGTAGATTGGATTCAAGTCGTCGTCGGTCAAGTCGCATCCGATGGCCGTTGTCCACAATTCCTTGGTCCACATGGATCAATGGAGATCAATTCAATTGATGCGTGTGGGTATTGGTTATTTGTGGTGACCCCTCGACGCGTCCGCTGGTGGTCTTTGTGGGGACTTTGAGACGCGTCGTCCAGACTAGGAAATCAGCTCCCTCGAGTGCTGGCATTTGCTGGTTGGGCTCCAGTGCAAGTGTGTGAGCGACTGTCATCGTGCGTGCCCGAGCCCTCTCGACTGGCCCTCCAGGTTCCTCGTGCACATTGATGCTTGGCTACGTTTGATGAAGAGGAGGAAAAATACCCCGTTGGCTTCCATGCCAAACACGCGGAAATCAGTTCAAGCCCAAGCCTTCCAGTTTGACTGCTCTGGAGGAAACCGTGTATCCATAGTGGATGTTTCGGGTGGCTTCAGGGCCAGCCCTTTGAAGCTGCCTTGCGTCGCACCAAGGGCCCTCGGCTTCATAGTTCGAACGCCCGGTAATGCGCTGGAGGGTTCCAGCTGCAGCGTGGAGTCATCTGCATCGAGTAAATTGTTCAGTCAGTTTGACTGGTCTTGACTAACGCTGTGGTATATCGGTATATTGCTCATCGTACCTCGGTACAGCGACCCAAGATTTTAATGTTTTCATCTGTTCCTCTCTGGTTCAATATCTTCAAGTATGTGAAAAACTAGCGAGTGCTGTCAGTGTCTTCCCACGAGTTGCTGATGAATAGCCCACGAGATATTCGATCGATTGTAGATGCACGTTAGCGCTTCTCCAGCGGCTCAGGTACCAACAGGAGCGAGACCACAGTGCCCACTCGCACCTCTTCCCAGCATTGACGGCCAAAGGCGGCCAAAAGACTTGCGACTTCCTGGTCAGGAGCCACTATAACCTCATAGGCTCCACTCCGCAACTCGAGCCACTCTAATACAAACCATACGGAGGCCTTCAATACCAGCACGCGCTATTACCCCATCTCCGTCGGTGTGGCTACAAGAGGACAGAGGTACCTAGTGGAGCGACCAGCATTCCTTCCGCCTACGGATGGACCTGTTCGTCACTAAAGTTGACCTTCCACACGCGCCTCATCGAATCCCGTCATTCTCCATCCCCCGACACACCCACTTCACCTTTCCCCCAAACCGGAATTCTTTTGCATCTCGACTCTCCGCCACCTCCCCTCCTCACTCCCCCATCTTTCTTTGCTAACCACCCCCATCCCTCGACCTCGGAATCGACATTGTCCCATTTGTCGAATTTTGTTGTCGCCAGTGTTGTTCCCACCTCTCGTTTGCGCCCTTGTGCAGAACAACATTCGCGCCAGGATAGCCTAACTGCCTTACCCACCCTGTTTTGGCCCTAGAACGCGACATCAGCGCGAAAAAAAGGTCGAACCAAGCTTGTTGATACCACGCCATCATGGCGCCCCGAGGTGCCCACAAAACCGGAGGTCGCCTTTATGAGCTAGGAGAGCAGGGCCGGTATGTTGTCGCCAATTCGACATATCCACGCCATTGTGTTTGACGGAAATGGAGCTCGTCAATTCAGAGGGAGAAGGGTTGTACTGATTACATGAGATTTGTATAGGAAAACCGGCGTGACACTCCCTGACACGGGTAGGCTTGATGAGCATGGCATGCAGCCCCTCGAGGGCTTGTTTTCATCCCCAACCAAGGCCCCCGCGGCCACGCCTCCCGGCGCCGATATGACCGGAGAGCTAGACATGGAACTCGACAGTAAGTACTGTGCCTCGGGCATCCGAGTCCAACCCTATGGCGGAGAAACGAGTCAATGCTGCGGGAATCCATCGCGTTCTGTCACGAGCCTGCCCTCTTTGTTCCAATGTTTTGCGATGGTGCCGCATGCCTGTTCTTTACTAACATGGCCAAGCTTCGGGACCCGGACCTTCCACAATTCTCGCTGCGCAAAAGTCGGCGAGACTACCCATCCCTCGAGGCAGATCCCCGCCAAGACGAATTTACAGTCGCCCGCAGTAAAGAACCCTCACGTCGGAATGTTTTCCTCCCCCAGCCGCGGTTCGGTAGTGCGCTCGGCCGATAAAGACGATTCCGATGACCATACTGTGACGCGGAGACTGGACCTTAGGAGGGAGAATCAGAATGGGACCCGTACCAAGAGGACAAACGGCGCACGTAGAACGTCGAGCCGTCTATCTCTGACCCAGGACGACTCGCTCAACCATGATGATGACGATGGCGACGCGATCCCGAGGCGTAACGCCGCCCCTGCCGCCGACGACTCGATTCAGCTCATCCACGACTCGCCATTAGGGAACAGCGTGCACGACGACACCCTGGAACCTCTCGCTGAGGAGCAAGAAGATGTTCGGCCGAAGCCCGCAAGGCGCGGTAGGCCACCCAAGGCGTCCAAGGCACCAAAACCCCCTCTATTGTCGAAAAACCGCCACCGGAACCCTTTGTGGAAGACGACCTACCGGAACCGCCATCAGAGGGCATGTTCGAGGAGGCGGCGGCAGTGGTGGAGGAGGAGGAGGAGGAAGAGGTACCCGTACCCGTACCACACCGCGCTGCCCGGCGACCCGGGAGGCCACCAAAGGCGGTCTCGCCAAACACTTCGAAACGTCGAGCTAGGGCATCGCCGGACGCAGAAGACGGGGTCGGCGAGGAAAGCGAAGTGCGTGACCGAAGTAAGAAGCGACAGAAGACGCAGGCGATTCCCGACCCTAAACCTGTCACCAAACCCGCCACCAAACCCGCCGCTAAGCCGACGAGCACGAAATCAGCCGCCGTAAAGCCAGCAGTCTCAAGCCGGCAACGGCCCCCGCCGCCGCCGCGGCTGCGGCGCCTAAGCGCAGGGGCCGTCCCCCAAGGTGCAGCGACTCGGGCAGGAAGACCCTGACGCCTCCATCCTCCAAGTCCAGCGCGGCCCTCCATTACCCAAGGCACGAGGCCTAGTTTCCATCCGGCGCGACGCCAATCATATTTCGCAAACGCGCTCGGGTCGGCGTTCCTACCGGCCGCTCGAGTTTTGGAAAGGCGAACACGTCGAATACGCCCATGAGGAGATGCACGATGGCACCTACGGCCACGGCCGGCGCATGGTGCTACCGAGCGTCAAGGAAGTGGTTCGTGTCGAAGAGGAAGAAAAGGAGAAGGACAAGCGGAAGAGGGGACGGCCCAAGGGTCGAAAGGGAGCTTCGTCTGCATCCCATGGCAGGCGGCGGGGCTCCCTGACCGAGAGGAGGTGGAGGAGGAGGAGGAGCCCGAAGAGTGGGAGCGGGAACCCGGCGTCATTTCGGGTGACGTTGTCCTATGGGAGCACCAGCACGAACTCTACCCGCCCGCTAATGACGCGCACGTCGAGGTCGTCGAGGACCAGCTCGCCGTCTCTTCCAACGCCATACTCACGAGGGACATACATGACGCCACTTTCCGCTTCGCCAAAACCCTCAACCTGTCCTTTATGGGCTCCGGTATCGTTGACCTCCCTTCGGGCGCGGAAAAGAAGCCCAAAAATTCGCGCAAGATGCAGATGGTCTTCTTTGTCTTTTACGGCAAGGTTCTGGTCACCGTCAACGAAACCGAATTCCGCATCAGCGCCGGTGGCCAGTGGTTTGTGCCCAGAGGTATGTCTACACTTGCGCGCTCTACCCTACTACTATGAGATCACCGGGCCCCTTTTGTTTCTACTTTACTAACCATTCGTCTCCCCCGTTAGGCAATTACTATAGTATCAAGAACGACTACGACAGGCCGGCGAGGATATTCTTCGCCCAAGCCTGCGAAGTGTTTGCTGCGCCGCCAGAGGAAGAGTCCCCGCCGTCCCCTTCCACGGGGAGGGGGATGATGACCGAGCTTCTTCCTCGTAGTCCTTTCGCTTGTGTACTTTTCTTTTGTTTTACCCCTTGCTTCCCGGATGCAAGGACATCACCTGGTGCTTTCTGAAAAGTTTAATTTCTTCTCTTTTTTGGGGCCATTGTTCTCACGAGGCCATGTCACCTTTGACTACCTATCGAGCTTGGGGCGGAATTAGGCCAACTCTACACTTTTCCAGTCGTTATTCTAGGGTGGATTGGAACCTTTAGGAGTTTTTTACGGAGTATACATTGGGAGGAACGCCGAGCGGCATGTCTTATCAATATTTTGCTTGGTTTTGTTTTTTTATTAGTTTTATTGTTACCTACTTTGAGCTTCCATTCTTCTGTATCCTCACTTGGGTCTCCTTTTTTGAACAGGTTTATGCCTTTTGATACGCGACGGAGGTGGGAACGGAGATGAGGGAAGGGGGACGGACGTGACGGTGACGAGGCGGATTAAGCTCACGTCGTCAGGCCCGGAAACCAACGTGCCATGAGAGGCCACGCGGGAAAGGCAAACACGAAGGTTGAAAGTCAAATAAAGATAGTTGGTTCGAAGTCAGGCCAACACAAGTTTTGTAGCCAAGCCTATCATCTCCGTGCTCATGAATTCAGCGTGGTTAAAGTGTCTTGTGTCCTTGGATGAGAGGCAGCCTCCGTTTATCAACCGGCTTAGAATAATGAGACGAGATTCTTCCAAAGACAAGAAAACATGTTTCTTTGACCGTGTGCATTGTTCTGGAAATTTCTTTTTAGGGGAGTTGTCGCGATATCTACATTTGATCTCTTGATAAATCCGCAACCGGCGCCGAAGCGCGCACCGCAAGTCCCCTTTTTGCTCGGGGCATCATCATCGTCACCACCATCATCGCCGCCCCTCATGTCTTGGGTATCGTACACGGCCTACTACATTCCCTATTCCCATCAAACCTGATTCTCCAATCCTACGCAAAACTGAGAAAACAAGAGTGATAAAAAACCAACAAAAAGAAAAGAACCAGACCGCCCAAAGCTCTCTAGCGACCGCTGACTACCAAAACTTCCACCACCTCTTAACATCCTCTCCATCCTCCCCTTCTTCATCGCCGTCTTCTTCTTCAAGCGCGCAATCTCCGTCTCGAAATCGACAATCTTGCGCTGGCTCTCGTCGAGGTTCGCGAGGAGGTAGGAGACGCGGCCGGCGACCTGGGCGCCGAGCTTGGGCGGAGGGCGGCGAGGACGGCGAGCTCGCGCTCGGCGGCCTCGATCTTGGCCTTTTCGGCCTTGGCCTGGGAGGCGAGGACGGCGCGGTCCATGCGGGAGCGGAGGGCGGCGTCGCGGGCGAGGAGCGCAAAGGCGGCCTGGTAGGTGGGTTTGCTGGCCTCGAGGGAGACGGGAACCCGCGGCGGGTCTTGAGGGAGACGAGGTCGGTGGCGGCGAGGGCGTCGAGGGCTTGGCCTGCGGGGTGGGGCCCCGCGGAGAAGGGGGCGCTGACGAGGGCTTCGTCGTAGGAGAGGGTTTTGCGGTCGGCGACGGTCTTGATGACCCACCAGGCTTGCTCTACGGTCCAGGCGGGTTTGTTGTCGTCGCTCGAGGACGAGGAGGACGAGGATTCTTCGCGGACGATGAAGTTTTTGACAATCTCGGCGGCGGACTGGTTGACAATCTCGTCGACGGCCTGGTTGGGCGTCTGGCCGGACTTGAGGCGGGTGGCGAAGAGGTCGAGGTCGGCGAGACGGCCGCCAATGACCTCGAGGCTGCCGCTCAGCTCGGCGAGGTCGGGCTTGGCGAACTTGACGGGTTTTTCGCCCTCCTTTTCAGCCTTCTTCAGCTCCTCGCGCTCGTCCTCTTCGAGGCGGCCGAGTATGTACTTTTGGCAACGTCGGTCGGGAGGTCGCCGAGGGCAATGTGGCGCAGGGACCGGTCGGGCAAGGCGCGGCCCAGGACCTTGGAGAAGGCGCCGTCGTTGGTGAGGACGATGACTTGGGAAATGTTGTTTTGGACGAGCGTGGCGGCGAACTCGGAGATCTTGTCGTAGATGACGTTGCTGCGCGACTTGTTCTCCTCGCTCGTGAAGAGGAAATTGTCAATCACGAGGACGGTCCGGCTCTGCGGGTGGGACTCGAGGAAGGCCTCCTCGGTCTCGGGGCTCTTGTCGGGGCGGCTCGAGAGCGAGACCTCCTTGAGGGCGCTGGCGGTGGTGTGTAGGATCTTGGAGATTTGCGCGTCAAACGTCTCGGAGAAGCCGGCCTTGACGCCCGTGGTGCTCTGCACGGCGAGGTCGACCATGCTGCTCATGCTGTTGGCCCACGAAAAGATGGGCCGGTACCCGACGGTGGCGGCCAGCTTGCGAATCACGCCCGTCTCGCCGTTGGAATCGCAAATGGCCTTGCAGTCAATGGTCAGCACGTACTTGCGATCCTTGGTCGCCTGCTCCACGAGCTCGTCCCGCCCGGAGCCCTTGGACCCTTGCACGACGATAAAGGTGCCCTGCGGATCGGCGAGGCCGGATTCAATGTCCTCGATGAGGCCCTGGCGCTGGTTCCAAAACGCGGACAGACTGAGCCTCTTGTCCTTTTTCTTGCTGCCGAGGAGGGTATCCGTCTGGGTCTTGATCCATCCGATGAAGCGGTTGCTCGTCAGGGAATTCTTGTGCTTGACGTAGCTCTTGACGAAGAATTTCCGAATCGGGTCAAAGATGACCACGGTCAGGGCGGCGAGCATGGCGGCGAGCACGGGGATGACGAGCCGCGGGTGGGAGGTGAGCCAGTTCCAGATGCTGTGCGGCTTGATCTTTTTCGTACGAGATGCGCAGCCGGGTCCCGTCTTTGCCGCCGCCGAGGGTCTCGCCGACCACGAAGCCGTGCATGCAGTTCCGCGCCATGATGGAGTCGCGCACCAGCATGAAGTCGACGTACGCGAAGCGCGGCACCACCTTGGAGTCGGTGGGTTGCGAGGTGATCTCGGCGATCCGGCCGTATTGCCTAAACAGGCTGTACAGGGTCTCCTGGTACAGCTCTTCGACGTGCTCGCCCGGCTCGCGGGGACGAACTCGACCCGCAGCCGGGTCTTGGGGAATCGGTTGAGGTCTTCGAGCCAGGGGATGCCGCGGACGATGCCGGCGGCTACGCGCGCAAAGGGGTTGAACCAGGGCTTGAGAGCCTTTTCTTCGAGAGCTTTGGAAAGCTTGGCTACAATACGTTTTGGGGGATCAGTTATTTGAAGCGATTCCCGGGGACAGACAAACGGCCGTGTCCCGCATTTGGGAAAGAAACGCCTGGGAGGGGGTCCCGGTGATGCTTACTTTCGATTTCGCTGAGTGGGACAGCTTCGTTGTAGGCAAACTTGACAAAGGCGCCGCCGTCCTTGACTCGGGGTACGATTTCAGTAATCTTTAAAGGCAAATCCTCTACGGCTCGTTTGATAGTGTGGACGGGGTCGTTGAGACCCATGGTCGTGGTCTCGAATGACCTGATGAATTGCGTTTCGTTTCGCCATGGGCCTCGGAGGATATAGCTAAGCTTGAGCGGGAATAGGTCTAGATTACAACAATGAGCGCCTTGTTCTCTATTGTTTTTCGTGTCGATCACGAAAATTTGGTCGAGAGAATAGATATACTGACTGTCAAAGAACACCAAGGACTCGGCTTCGCTCTTGTCAATGTGCCCGCGATCTTTGTCCTTGGGAATGCTCCCCTCCTCTTCCGGAGGGACGGTACTCTGCCAACGCGCTGCTCCAAGGAATGGCGATCGGGGAAGTTGTCGGTACATGTACAGAGGGCAAGTGCGCGGCGACAATTGGGGCTGCCGAAGCGGCCGAAGCAGCGGGGTGAGCCCCAGGCCTCTCGTCATGATTGTGGTTCGTGGTTGAGAAGGGGGAGGGAAGGGGGAAAAGTTACGAGAGCTCGAGGCTCTACACAAGACCCATTCTCAACACGCGAAAAGAGAACAAGGGACTGAAAAGGCGTGGTGCGGAGAGGTGTGGTGATGGGAGTTGGGTTCTCAATTGCTTGGATTACAGCTGATATCGTGCAGGGCCCGGGATGTTGTCTTTTGTGGTTGGAGCTATTTTGGCCAATGGCGGAGGTATGAGGTCATCTCGCCAAGAAAAACTGAACCGCACACTAGTTTTGGGAGCGACAGCCCTGGTCAGTCTCAAGATAATACACGACATTCCAAAAGGGGAAATTGTACGTGGGGCTGCTAACAATCTTATTTAAGGGCGCGATGATGGCTGCAAAGGCTCTCCTCTATCATGGTCACGACAGTACATGAGAAATGAAAAGAGGATTTATGCAGCTCTTCGCCTCTCGGTGCCTTTGGATCGTTTATCTTAGGGTAAACTCTCTCGAGCGCCCTTGAGTAGCATGTAATGTAAAAGCCAAAACGAAAACCTCTCAAGCACTCGAAAGCCAGGGCTATATTAGTTGCTTCGTCGAAGCATCATTATCATTGATCCATCTATACATGTAGCCACTCTTAGCTGCGTTTTAGGCGACCCTAGCCTCGGGCTCGGTATAGCTTATGCCTTGGTGTGTGTGTCATAGAACCTGACAGTATCTATCCATCTACAGATAGATAGTAGACAAATCCATGGACAACCCCATGGCCCCTCACACCTGCTACTGAAGGATCCCGTTCTCCACCGCACCCATAGCAAGTGGTGTATCAGTCAAATCAATTGACAGTTCCACATAGCCCCCATTACCTATTGTTATAAGGTGGGTACCCGCCTATCTATATAGAACCTATAAATCAAATATCAACTGGAAGGGTAACCTAGTAGTTGCATCATGGACTTGTGGCGTGTGGCAACTGCCCATGAGAGGGGTGTCCGTCCATATTTATCCTTTAAGTCAATATCAACCCCAGGTGTGGCAACTAGTATCTTAGCCACAGACTCATGCCCACGCATAGCTGCATAGGAGAGGGGTGTCCATCCCTCGTTATCCTTTGAGTCGACGTCAACCCTAGGCGTGGCAACTAGTAGCTTAGCCATAGACTTATGCCCAAATATAGCTGCCCATGAGAGGGGTGTCCGTCCACTGTTATCCTTTGAGTTGACATTAACCCTAGGTATGGTAACTAGTAGCTTAGCCACAGACTCATACCCATTCATAGCCGCATAGGAGAAGGGTGTCCGTCCATCATTATCCTTTGAGTCGACATCAACCCTAGGCATGGCAACTAGTAGCTTAGCCATAGACTTATGCCCAAATATAGCTGCCCATGAGAGGGGTGTCCGTCCACTGTTATCCTTTGAGTTGACATTAACCCTAGGTATGGTAACTAGTAGCTTAGCCACAGACTCATACCCATTCATAGCCGCATAGGAGAAGGGTGTCCGTCCACTATTATCCTTTGAGTTGACATTAACCCTAGGTATGGTAACTAGTAGCTTAGCCACAGACTCATACCCATTCATAGCTGCATAGGAGAGGGGTGTCCGTCCATTATCATCCTTTGAGTTGACATCAACCCCAGGTATAGCAACTAGTAGCTTAGCTACAGGCTCATACCCATTCATAGCTGCATAGGAGAGGGGTGTCCGTCCATTATCATCCTTTGAGTTGATATTAACCCCAGGTATAGCAACTAGTAGCTTGACAATGGCTTCATGCCCATATCTAGCTGCTAAAGAGAGGGTTGTTTGTCCATTATCATCCTTTGAGTTGATTGTATCTACCACGGCCTCCATGTTTTCTTGCAATATGTCCCACAATGCCTCTACAAGCCCATATCTTGATATAATATGAGCTAGAGTAGTGTTTTTGGGAATATATTCTATGGGATGTATGCTAAACCTCTGAGGGACAGAGAGCCATAGCGCCATGAAAGTCTCTGGCGGCCAGCCCAACAGAGGAAGGAGAGGATAGCGCATAGTTCCATGAATCTCACATTGAACGCGATGTTGTACCCATGAGGTCGTAGCGTATCTTAGGAAAGGGTAGTCCTTGGTAACATTATATGGGTCACCGTCTTCGCAAAAGTCGCCTATCTCGTCCATTCGTAGGTATCGAATACAAATTTTAGATAGCTGGTGGTGGGTCATCGCGGTCGTTTCGCTAATAGACGATAGATTCTCGTCCAGATTCAACAAGCCCTTGTTCATAAAGTAGTCCTTGACGGACTGGTGGACGAATTGAACAACCTGATGAGAGTTTGAGGTGACCTCGACAAGGCCACGACTAAGATGCGTAACTCTCGCCTTCATGGGGCCAATGTCAAGAATGTCGTCCCGGTACGCCTTCATTGACTGGTGGTCAGGATCTGCCCCCACCAACAGAGCCCACTGCATCTCCATGATGGACAACGGTTCTATCGCAAAACAGACCCATCGGATGAGCATGATCGAATCGCCATCCATACCGGTAATAAGCGAATTATATAATTCATCAAGTTCCCATGGGGTCCGGTCAACCGCTTGCTCGATTGCTTTAAGTGTGAGGTTTTGACGGTCCAGCCCATCGACTAGCTTCAGAACGAGATGCGCCCACATAAAGACGCCCGATGCACGACTTGTGATCAAATACGGAATCGAAGATTTGGCTAACCTTGATGAAGGAGAAAATTGACTCTTCACATAGGTAGAAATATCGCTGCTGTTCTCTTTCTCCGGGCAAATTTCGAAGTGGGAATCCTGGGTCTGGGTGATGATAGGGTAATGGCGACAAGTGATGAGAATGCGGAAGTGCAACCCTGCTTGTCGGTGCTTCGGGGTGAATAGTTGCCGCATCCACCTAAATAGTGCCACTGCATTGTCCTCGCCACATTCGTCGAGAGCATCTACATACAGCCAAACATTGCGAGTTTGTAGAATCTCAAAAGAGCCAACTCGAAGAATTCTTTCAGTTCATTCTCATGCCACTGCCATTTATCACCCACGCCACCCATTTCGTTTTCTCGCTTTTGGAATGTTATGACAAGTTCAAGCAGCACTTCCGGCGTTCGGCTCAAGACTTGGTGAAGAAGGGATCGGAAGAGACCAAGCGGGGTCTTTTGAGGGCATCGCCGCGGCCATGAAAGAAGAAGGAGAGAATAATATCATCCTTCCCAGCTGTGGGACAGCAAAGGTCTCGAGAATGTCCTCGACCTTCGAGGTGTCTGAGAGCATACTTCAATAAAGTCGATTTCCCAGAGCCTGGTTTTCCTTTGATCCATAGCAGGCCTCCATCACAATTAGTCCAGGCCGTATACTGCGAGTGTTTGAGTAGCCAGTTGCAAGTTCTATTAGCGGCGCGGTTGATATCAAGAGACCGATCGTTCATCCTCTCGAAGGACAAGGCTCTTAGACAGGCCTTTATATCGGCGTCCGGTAACTCGGACTTTCCGTGGGGGCTTGGTGAGCAGGGGGCTATAGAAATCAGCATGATTAGTCTAGGTGACTAAAACTCGACGTGCGAGAGAAGTCTTACCTAGGTTGGATGGTGGCAGGACTAATAAAAGCTCCTCCGCATAGGCTGCTGCGGTAGCTGCAGCATACTTCTGCCATTTCTTATTCTTATGTGAATCCGCATAGTCGCAAATGCCACGGATGACAAGGGCTTGGTGACTTCCCATCACGCCCGCGGATTCCATTTCAAAGCAAATGATTTCGTGCTTCTTATATAGTTCGTTCCGCTTCTCACTAGATATCACAAGTGTATTTGCTGAGCCGATAGTGCCATAGTGGATGCGCGGAAAATCAAGCTTCCGCATAGCAGTGTGCCCTCGGAAGCACCGTTGCCTTGCCCGCCTCGAGTCGCAGAGTGCTTCACAGAGCTCATGTCTATCTCTGTGCGGGTAATCATCTTGGAAGAGAAGATCATATTCGGCACCCGGGTCATGGTAGTCTGGTCGCTGCTCCTCCATCACGTGCTCCCGTATTTGGTCGAGAAGTCTCGGGATGTCCGTCCCCGGTTCTAGATCATGTTTTGCTCGGAGATTATTCACCGCGCTTAGTAGAGCATCGGATGGGTGAAGCATGTGCCCGCTGACGCTGAGTCCGTTCGCTTCCCAAGCACCGAATTCGTAATGTGCTACTCCGCCTTCGCTTCCCTGAGGGTAGCTAACAACAACGTCCCCAAGCACAATTTGCCGCTGATCGGGGCCATAGGAAGGCATGGCTCCTGCTATGCCAACCACGAGAACGTGCTGGAGATTGGGGAAGGAGTCACGCATGTCGGCGACGACGGTCGCCGCGGGTGAGTTCCAATCCTCGGGCACACGGCCATCGCGACCCAGTGGAGCCCTACCCGTCCAACATGATAAGTCGTCGTCTTCTTGGCTATTTCCTCGCGGCTTTGCAATATTGCAATGGCGGGCGTGAGCTCCAACGCCATAGGGGCGATCCACCCAACTGTGACGTTTTTTCATGTGAAGTCATCGTGAGTCGCTTCTCTCAGAACCCTCCGAGAGCCCGGGTTGGAAGGAGAAGGCATCGACGGATTGTGCTGAAACAGAGAGATGGTTCCCTCAATCTCTCCCAGATACTGGCCAGGGTGGTGAGGGGCTGAGTGATGCTCATTGGTGACCAATGGCCAACGACCGCGCATTTGTCGACTTGCAGCGCAGCCTGATCATGAGCAGAGGCGCAGGCGAGGGTGGTAGGCCGCCTAGATAAGCCTGTAAGGAGAATACTGATATGCTTTAGATGGGCGTACTATCCAGGGTGGAGGAGCTTTAGAAACGGCCTTCATCCACATTAAAACTACTCATTATGGGAGTTGCACGAGTTTTTGGGAGACGTGGTTTATAACATCAGCTCAACCTTCGTTCTACATCATAGATGGAGCTGGCGAGGGTGCTGGCCGCGGGCGACAATTGGTCGGCACGGCGATATTGTTATCCCCTGTAGAGCCTATCTTTTAGGGACGGTTTCCCTAGGACAACATTTCGTATTGGTTCAAGCAAAAGCGGCAGGCTGTGGACGAATTCTACATACCCATTAGGCATCTACCATAGGAAACTGGGCATCGCTGCCGGTTTTTCTACACGCTCACTTTTATGGCGTGTCACATCAGCCTCTTAAACCTTTTTCCTCTTTCATTTTTACACACCATTCCAAGGTTTATCTGGAACAAGAGCCTCGGCGTGTCGCATGCTTCAACACACCGGTATAGGCTCATATAGACTCTCGCTCTCCCCGTAGTTGACCCTTTTGCTATTCGTCAAAGATTCAACCCTGCCCACACATTAGTTGGAGCGCCGCCTAAGAAAACTCAGGGACCACCGATCCGGTGGTTCTTGGGACTGGGGCTTGCTCTGGTCCTGTAACCCCTTTCCAGCTTTTGTTCCTCGCTGGGCCGGAAGTAATACCCACAAAGAATACCCAGTGCTGCTAACTGAACATATAGTTTAACAAGAGAAGGCTAGGCTTGGTGGACGAGGAGTTTGGTTATTATGCGAGTAAAGAATCGTGATAGTGCTAAACCGTGGGCGAACCGCCTAAACCAGTGCTGTGATCCTTGACAAGTATTTCGTACGTCAACTGTGGGGTCAAGCTTTCAAAACAGCCCGGTAATCTCGTCAGAGAGAATGGAGCAAGCTTGCTTCAAAAGTTGCGCTAGCAATTGGCGGTCGGCTGTTGTCAGCCATTGCCGCTCTCGAACTTGGTTGACGGCCGAGCTCTCCACGCTCACGTGCTCACGGCTCTTCCCGCTAATAGCAAAGTATGAACTTTTGTCTAAAGGACTCGCAAGCAAAGAGAGTGTCTTGCTTGGCCGTGCCCATGCACCCCGTCGCTGCAATACCGCAACCAACCAAGATCCTGGCATTTGACGTGAACCGCATCTCTTCCCCCAGGCTTGCACCTCCGACCCTCCCTCTGCCCGCATTTCCGACAGCCAATCCTCCTCTCCTCACCATCCATTGCGTCTCCTAGAACCCTATTCTCCCGTCTCTTTTACTAGAAGACGCCACTCGAAGAGAACATTCTCTACTCTCGACTTTACTTCCTTCCAACATCCCTCCTTCAGAAACACCACCATGGGCTGGCTGTGGGCTTCCTCGACTCCCAACCCTCCCAAGGACACACCGGAGCAGTCCTCTACCCCTCCTCCACCTCCCCCTCCTCCGGCCGCGCCCGCCATCTCCTCCGGCGACTCCGAAATCACCAAATTCTTCGCCGAACTCCAAGCAGACCACGCGAGAACCTCCTCAACATCCACCGCGCAACCACCCTCTTCCGCCTCCTCCCCGCCTCGTCCAGCAGCGCCACGATTCACAACAACACCACAGACGCGCGGACCTCCTCCGCTTCTTCTTCTTCTTCTTCTTCTTCTTCTTCTTCTTCTTCGTCCTCCTCCACCTCCTCCATATCGGGGTCCCTCTCGAGCTACCTCCCCTTCCTCGCCGGCGGCCGCACCCACGAAGCGCCCAAGCCCTTACCCCCTCCACCTCCCGCAACTTCACCCCGGGCTCCGAAGCCCTCGCACACTCCCTCCGACCCTCCGACATGTCCTGCCGCCAGGCCTTTGATCAGGCCTACGCCTGCCAATCCATCGGCGGCCAGTGGAACGCCATCTACCGCGAGGGCTCCGTCCGCACCTGCTCCCACCTCTGGGAAGACTTTTGGTTTTGCATGCGCGTCAAGGGTTACGTCGGTCCCATGAAGGAGGAGGCTATCAAGGAGCACTACCGGAGGAAGGAGCTCGAAAAGTATGGTGGCAAGCCGAACAGCGAGGATGTCTGGGTGAGCAGGGACGAGAAAGTGCCTCCCGGCACAGCCTTCAAGGAACCTTTTGTCCCGGATAACATGTCGGACGAGGAGTGGCAGCTCATGGAAATTGAGAGGCGGAAGGAGATCAGGCGCGAGCTGGGCATAGAATAGAACGGAACATATTTGTAAACTCCCCCTCTCCTCTTTCTTCTTTACGACACATTATAACGCGAGGATATCCGCGATATGTTCTTTCCCGAAAGAATAAAAAGCACATGAAAACCTCCATTTTGAGAGTATGGAACCAATTAACTGGTGATCTTACGCATATCTAGCCGCCACTTCGAATACTAGGGAGGTTAGACATTGATAGATGGTATCACAAGAGTAAAAAACACAGAGTATATGTTGTTGAACTGTTTTCATTTGATCCTTATGAAGGACTCGTCATTAAAGTACAAAGAACCCGGCTCGATAACCACGAGCTTTTTCCATCTCCTGTATTCGTAAGATGCCGAAGAAGAGACTAAGAAAAAAACGTCCAAAGGGAAAAAAGCAAGAAACGCAAAAGAAAGTCTAAAACAGAATCATCATGCCGTTTTAACCACCCTTCGTTGCAAGTCCTCCTCTTTCTAGCAAGGGAAAGAAACATGGCTTTCAGTCTCGCAAAAGGAGAGGGATTGTGCGGGTATCATCAGAGAGCTACGAGGTGCATTTAGTCAACCTCCTCGACGGTGGGGCCATCGTCGTGCGAGGCACCGCCGGCGGGGCCACCAGCGCCAGGAAGCCGCCAGGACCGCCAGGGCCGCCGGGCATGCCACCGGGCATGCCACCAGCGCCACCAGCACCGTAGAACTTCATCATGATGGGGTTGGCAACACCCTCGAGCTCCTTCTGGCGCTCCTCGTACTCCTCGCGAGTAGCCTGCTGGTTGTCGTCGAGCCAAGCGACAATCTTGTCAATCTCGGCCTTGAGCTTCTCCTTGTCGCTAGCATCGAGCTTCTCGTCAACCTTCTCGTCGCCGAGAGTGTTGCGGAGAGAGTAGGCGTACGACTCGAGACCGTTCTTGGCAGCGACGCGGCGGCCCTCGGCCTCATCCTCGTCCTTGTACTTCTCGGCCTCAGAAAGCATGCGCTCGATGTCTTCCTTGGAAAGACGGCCCTTGTCGTTGGTGATGACAATCTTGTTGGACTTGCCGGTGCCCTTCTCAACGGCGGAGACGTTCATGATACCGGAAGCATCGACATCGAAGGTAACCTCGATCTGGGGAACACCACGGGGAGCGGGGGAATACCGGTAAGCTCGAACTTGCCGAGGAGGTTGTTGTCCTTGGTGCGCTGACGCTCACCCTCGTACACCTGGATAAGCACACCAGGCTGGTTGTCCGAGAAAGTGGAGAAGATCTCCGACTTCTTGGTGGGGATGGTGGTGTTGCGGGGAATGAGCTTGGTCATCATGCCACCAGCAGTCTCGATACCGACGGAGAGCGGGGCGACATCGAGGAGCAGGATCTCGTTGGTGGTCTTGTTGGAGGTGTCACCAGAGAGAATGGCAGCCTGGACGGCGGCACCGTAGGCAACGGCCTCATCGGGGTTGATGGACCTGTTGGGCTCCTTGCCGTTGAAGTAGTCCGAGATGAGCTTCTGGACGCGGGGAATACGGGTGGAACCACCGACGAGGACAATGTCGTGGACGTTGGCCTTGTCGATCTTGGAATCGGTAAGGACGCGGTCGACGGGCTGGAGGGTGGAGCGGAAAAGATCCTGGCAGAGCTCCTCGAAACGGGCACGAGTGATGGAGGTGTAGAAGTCGATACCCTCGAAGAGAGTCGATTTCGATCGAGGTCTGGGCAGACGAAGAGAGGGTACGCTTGGCACGCTCGCAAGCGGTGCGGAGACGACGGAGGGCACGAGCGTTGGAGGAAAGATCCTTCTTGTGCTTGCGCTTGAACTCGTTGATGAAGTGCTGGACGAGACGGTTGTCCATGTCCTCACCACCAAGATGGGTGTCACCAGCAGTAGCCTTGACCTCGAAGATGCCATCCTCAATGGTGAGGAGGGAGACATCGAAAGTACCACCACCGAGATCGAAAATGAGGACGTTGCGTTCACCTTCGTGCTTCTTGTCGAGACCGTAGGCGATGGCGGCAGCAGTGGGCTCGTTGATGATACGGAGAACGTTGAGACCAGCAATAAGACCAGAGTCCTTGGTGGCCTGACGCTGAGAGTCGTTGAAGTAGGCGGGCACGGTGATGACAGCCTGGCTGACAGTGGTACCGAGGTAGCTCTCGGCAGTCTCTCGCATCTTGGTGAGGATCATGGCAGAGATTTCCTCAGGAGTGAACTGCTTGGTCTCGCCCTTGAACTCGACCTCAACGACGGGCTTACCGCCCTGGTCGCCCTTGACGGTGAAGGAGAAGTGCTTCATGTCAGCCTGGACCTCGGCGTCCTGGAACTTGCGGCCAATTAGACGCTTGGCGTCGAAGACTGTGTTCTTGGGGTTCATGGCGACCTGGTTCTTCGCCGCGTCTCCGATGAGACGCTCAGTGTCGGTGAAAGCGACTAATAAAAATGTTAGCTAATTGCCTTTTTCGGTCTGGTTGCCACACGGCTAGAGGGCAAAGCGGAGCCACAACTCGGCCCGCCCACCACCACCTCTCCAAGCGGAAAAGCAGCATGGGGGCGGATGGGTGTGAACCTAGCAGGGCCCCGATGAATGGGAAAGGGGATTGGATTTTGCTATTCGCTTTACTTACCATAAGAGGGAGTGGTACGGTTACCCTGGTCGTTGGCAATGATGTCGCAACGATCATCTCGGAAGATACCTACACAGCTGTAGGTCGTTCCGAGATCGATACCAATAGCGGGAGCCATGGTGGTTGTGTGATGTGTGGAATTAGGAATTGGTGGATGAAGGTAGAAGGAAGGGAGAGCGTGGGGTATCTCTGAAGCTCCCTACGAAAACGGTGTGGGGGTGGTGCGTTGAATGTATGGATTGGGTTCAACGGAGAGGGTTTGGGATGAAGAAAAGAGACCAGAAATCAGGATGCCTCCTCTTTTATAGGTCTAGGGGATAGGAGAGAGATTTGGTTTGTTTTGTGCAGAGGAAAGAGAAAAAAGTTCTGGACTCTGACCTCGATGGTGAAGATGGCAGCTTAATACTCAAGAGCGTTGCGGGGCGGGAAGGTACGAGAAGGTACCCCGCCACTTCGATCGGTTTCTTTTCTCTTCCAGCAGTTGCTCGAGAATGCTGGGGCAACCACCAGAATTTTCCACACTCCACCCACGTTCATCAGGCTGTACCCCCTCAACTTGGAATTTGCCCCCAACAGTACCCCCTGCGCTTCCTTCGTTTTTGGAAGCATTTTCTGGTTGGAGCTTCGACCATCTGCGAGCTTCCTGATCAATCGAACGCTTGTTTTCGACGGAAGTGAGGGTTGGAGAAAAAAATCCGTTCTGGGTGAAGCTAGCACATTCCTCTCATGTACCTCAATTCCTCACTTCCAAACCACAGTTATGCAATTCAATACCACCGGATCCGAGCTTGCTACTCCTTCAAAATCTTTTTTCCTGCTCTCTCCATTTCCTTTCGTCGCTGCTCCTCTTCTGGTTAGAGTTGGAGCTCTCTGCGCATCATGGTCTCATGCTCGTCGTAGAATAGAATTTTCTCACGGCTTCCCAATTGATGTCATCCTCAGATGTTGATGGTGGGGTTCTTCTCAAGTACAAGATACAAAGGTTTTGTGGGAATAACCACGTATGCATCTAATAAAACAGGGCATTGAAATATATCTAATACAGAAGCCTTGAGGATTTAGGGCTAACCAGCCACTGACCCTTCGCGCGGTCCTTGAGCTCCCATTGCCCCGCTGTGGTGGGCGGCTGGCGAAATAATGGCAGATCCACGATGGTGCCCCTCCTTCTAGCCAGAAGATAAGCCAGCCATCAATTGGTTAGCTCTGGGACATTACGCACCGGAGAGATGTCACTAGAAAGGGTTCGAAGCTCAAATTCAAAGAGTGTGGGCCGGTCCTTCGGAGCATTCGGTTCTATCGATCTTGCCTCCCTATAGCTCGGCATTGGCTCTTTTTTTCGATAATAGATTCGAGCTGTTCCGCAAAGGTCCCAGCAGAGGCTGAAAGCTTGGGGAGTTTCTCCCGTTCTCCATTGCGCTGGTCGCCTGTGCCTGCAACCCGCCGCTGCGCTGCTGCTGCCTGAACGGAGGCCGCAAGGCGGAAATCCGGTTTGTCGTCCGCTCTCTCAACCTGAAAAGCTACCTCAACTACTTTTTCTACTTGTCGTTGTGATCGTTCGAGCATGCCCTTCTTCCTCCAGAATCGTGCGCTTGCATCTTTCGGCGAGGCCGGTCTTCCGAGCTCTCGAATCACTTGTCACTACGATCGTCGGGCCATTGCACCCATCCCAACCTTCCTCCCAGGCTAGTCCTGACGGTGGAAAGCCAATTCGCTCCATCGTGCACCCAAGGCGGAAGTTTGTCCATATTGCTTCAACAAAAAAAAAAAAAAAAAGGGAACTATCCCCCAAGAATGCATAAAGACCCCACCTATATCCTGAGACGCCATCTGTGCGTGTGCCTGATGATGACCTGACGAGGGTTGCGGCCGGGTTTTGAGACACTTCGCCGTGCTCGACAATTGATTAGTTCATAGAATTTTGACGAGCGGAACGACCTCCTATCGTAGTGTGCCTGCTCCAAGGACAGGCCGAAAAGATTTCTTTCGGTTGTTGTGAAGTACCTGCACTGTCCTAACCGACGCCAGTCGCGCCTGCATTAGCCAAATCTCTTGTCATCCGTACTCTCAATGTTCCCACGGTTTCCAAGGCGAAACACTGTGCGTCCCAGCCTTTGGGAGTCTGGAACCACCGAACCGCTGAGTGGAGAGAGCAAAACGTAGGATTGTCCAAAAGAGGAAATCAACCTACGTACTAGGCACGTTTCAATATCGGGGCTCAACTGGTGCCAATATGCGCCTCGATGCCGACCGCTTCTCATGATTTTCACGATATCCGCTCTATCAGAGAAAGTGGCTCTTGTCCAAGTAGAGCGAGGATGCCACCTCCCAAACTTGCGAGGCCGAGGAAACCAGGGCAGCCAATCGACCTAGACTCTACTTTACGCCGTCAATTTAACAAAAAGAGCTTCAGGTAGGGTGGTTCTTCGAGAGAAGCTCCGGTGTGCACAGGGCTAATTCACTGCGTGTAGACCCCATCAGAGGGAGATTATCGAGGCAACGCTTCATGGAAATGATGTCTACGTACAAGCCGCTACTTCCTTTGGGAAGAGCTTATGTTTCCAGCTTCCAGCCATGATAGATTCGGGTAGTACGTATCAAGCTGCCTTGCGTATGCTTTCAACCTGTGAGGCCATATCACGGCTCACTAACTGGATCAGTCACTATTGTCGTCTCTCCACTGTTAAGCTTGATGGTAAACCCTCCCGAAAAATTCCCTTGATGTTGTGAGTCAGGGTGCCTAACATCCGCACCTCAGATGAACCAAGTTGAGGCCCTTCAAAAGCTGGTATCAACGCAAGGACGCTCAATTCCAGTACACCACGGTCCGAGAGGGACGCTATCAATAACGACCTAGGGACAGGCCGTCCCCAGACTCGCCTTCTCTACGTGACGCCAGAACTATGTTCCACGGATCGTTTCCGCCAGCGCCTACAGGTCATCTATGGGCAGGGTGCGTTGGCCCGTATAGCCATCGACGAGGCGCACTGCATATCTGAATGGGGCCATGACTTCCGAAAGGATTTCAAGCGCCTGTCTTGGTTCAGGCAGACCTTCCCAGATGTGCCGATAATGTGCTTGACTGCCACGGCAAACGACCTGACCCGAAATGACGTCCTGAGCACCATGGGTCTGAGCGTCGGCTCTCCTACTCTTAAGGTGTTTACTATGTCAGCTCACCGACCGAATCTCCATCTTGAAATCCGGTACACTCGAGATCAGGAAGACAACCGTCTATCCAACTTCTTGGCTTGGCTTAACAAGGTGTACGAACGGAGGAGGGGACCAGGTCGGAAGCCTGAGCTAGACGCTGTTGGTGAGCGGGTGGACGGGGTATCGGGCATCATCTACACCATGTCCCGAGACGAATGCGAGTCTCTATCTGCCCAGCTACGAGAAGCCGGCATCGGCGCCAAACCTTTCCATGCCAGACTCGCCCCGGACGTCAAGGAGCGCACGCTGAACCGATGGATCGCAAACGAAGAAGGCTACGATATTATCGTCGCCACCACCGCCTTTGGCATGGGCATCGACAAGGACAACGTCCGCTTTGTGGTTCACTGGCGCCTGCCCAAGTCTTTTGAGGGCTATTACCAAGAAGTTGGCCGCGCCGGCCGCGATGGAAGAGCGAGCTACTGCTTCCTCTACTACAGCCGTGAGGACCTTGAGCGGGTCCAGCGCATGGTCAGGTCGGACGGCGAAGATAGCGCTGCCAACTTCGAGGCCCGGATGAAGAGCCTCCAGGCCTTGGCTCTATACGCCGAGAACACGCGCGACTGCCGGCATGCGCAAATCTGTCGATATTTTGGCGAGACAACAGTGCCATACTGTGACGCGGCGTGCGATTGGCACAAAGACGCCAAAGACCTTAGAGCGCGGCTTGAAAAGGGTCTTGCTACAGAAGAGTGGGTTAGTACTCAAGCTGAGCACCTGGGCACGGCAGGCTACTACGACGATTAAGAGCACACATCAAAGTATACACCGCATTTACACAAAACAAGTACGGCGGAGTAGACAACTGATCTGCTTGGTTGGATTTGGCGCGATGTTTCAAATGAAAAGTTAACTATTTTTGACGCTTCTTGTTGATTCTAAGCCAAAAGCTCCTCCCTTAGCATGAAGAAGAAGGGCACGCTGCGGAAGTCGCATTTTCAAGGTATTTGGGGATCGCTACTGAGAGGTTATGATATAAGTCTTGAAGCTAGCCGCGATCTCCTTTATCAGATCCCGGCTAGGGCCGATCTGAGATTCCTTCGCACTCGTGTTTTCATCGAACTTGGGAGGTAGTGGGTGATTTCGAACAAAGGGAATGTCGGTCGACGCAGAGAAACCGTTCCCCCTGACCTCGGAGCATGAACCGAACTTGATCCGTCGCCGTCCCTTTAGCTGCTCAGCAGATACTCGATACCCGAGTCCACATCATTCACATCGTCCCCTCCACCCTGCATCCCGCGCGCTTCCAGGATGTCCAAGAGGAAATATTCCTCGTCTTGCTGTTTCCAATATGACTCTCTATCCTGATCATCTAGCGCGTCGAGTGCGGGTACCTCTTCAACTCCCCCAGGGTTGTGTTCTCGCAGACAATGTTGCTCGGTTTGGGCACTTCCACCTGGGGCGGGCGTGGCAGGGTCTTTGCAGCTCTTTAGCTCTGACTGTCCTTGAAGAGACCGTTCGGTTTCTACCGTTCCTTGCTCCCGAATGTTTGCGGGCGGGTTTGTGGGCAAAGGGTCTCGCGAAGGCTGTTGCGGACGGACCCTAGTATCCTTAGTATCCTCTGACATGGCGACATCCTGTGATGGGGTAGGCCCAGAGGGGTTCGGCCGGGGGCTGACGTCTCCTTGGGCGGCAATCTTGAGGTCATGATATGGAATATGGGATATTCACAGTAACACCTGATGTGGTTTAAAACAATAGAATGGGATATCCACCATGAGACGATGTTTCGGTATGAGAGGATAGATGGGGCCTATTTGCTTCGATCAAGGCATATCGCTGATTAGGCGCTATCGGCTCTAATAGAAATGAGTCTAGCTTTGTTTACCCAAAATTGTTTCGACCGGGCTTAAGAATGAGTAGCTAGTCGTGATATCTTAGGGTTGCGGAGCTTGTCAGTAGCTGTTTAAAATAATGGATGTCTCAACAATCCTGATGAGGGGTTTGCGTTCGAAGGCATCAATGACTATGAGGTAAACCTTAATCTCTTCCTAAAGTCTTTCCCAATGACGGAAATCAAGCTCCACCATCCCTTCCTATATAGAGATGGTCCCGACACCTCCATCCACTATGGATCCCTTGTGACTGGAAAGCGGAAGGTAGTTGTGAAGCATGTGCTCCCAATAACCCAACCTACGACTACATCTACGAGGAGGAGCATAGCGACTTAGCCCTTACGGAACGGCCTTGTTCTACCCTAGTCCATCCATGATATTTGTCCCCGGTAGTGGCTCTATGAGATGCAGTACTCCAATGATCAATTGAGTGAAAGGGTGTTTTCGAACTCTAGCCATACTCGGCCACGACCTACTGACATCAAGCATCCCCAAATCTGAGCTAGAGCCTCGGCTACATATCTGAGAGACCTATCCTTCGCCGATGCCTGACACTTAATGAATATATTCTTGTAGGCGCACGACCAGTTGATATTTCTGATGGGACTACTTCCTTGCGCGACAACCCTCATCGACCTTTCGAGCCACTAAGGACTGGGAGATGAAACATCCACTTGGAAATCGCTTCCGGCATCATTTCTAGGCGCGGCGATAAAGGTTGCTTTATAGACCTCTCCCGTGGACCGCCCCCATTCCCCGAGTCACATTCCGGGAACTCAGGTCTAACCTTGAAGCCAATACAGTTCTACAAAGCATTGCCATTCCTCTCTGTGACCGCACCAGCTATTCCCTATACTTCAGCCGCGAGAAGCTTTGGAATGACATCCGGATCCTATTTCGTTTCTCCGTTTGTGGATTTCCTACACTAAGCTCAACGAAGAGATTTCTCGAATGGCATTCCGAGGCCTTGAAGATCAGGGACCGGCGACGAGGCGAAGCCCACCTACAAAAGACCTCCCTTTGGAAAGGGCAGAGAGGCCCGGCCTCTAGGAATCTTAGTCGAGCTAGTTGCTCTGGGTCTAGTAAGCCGAGATGCCTGTATCCCTTGAAGCAGGGGACCTTAATGTACTAACACCGGGAAGCATGCGAGATGCTCTGATAATATCAAACAGTTGAGTCTTTTAGACGTTGTAAATACATGCCTTGGACACATTTCGGCAGATGGCGTCGTTAGATCCGAGGATGAAGTCAGTATAAGGGTCTTAATCCTTAGCGGGAACCGGCGTTGCTTCTAGGCTTGTCTAGAACACGATAACGCGGCTTGACCCGGCAGAGCTTGGGCGGGGTAGTTTCAAGGCGGCGATCCTCTTTCTAGGACAGTTCGGGAGCAGCAAGCATTGAGACCACCCGAGCTATCATGCCTTGTGGAACAAGCCCGGTGTGAACGAGAACAATAGCTTAGCTAGAACTTAAGTCTCTCCTCAGGGTGCTGGTGGTTCAAAGAATAATCCTAGTGTCTTTTTCTTCTTTATAGCTACGAGGGTTCAAATGACAACTTCAGTATGATGAATACGCTTGTCTCAAGCTAGATGTAATACATAAGTGGTGGAAACCAGGTGCTGGCTGGTACCCGCCAACTCGAAGCACAACGAAGTGTTTAAAGAAAATCCAAAGAGCTGCGGCTGCGCCGGCATTGAAGGAGGTCAAATGTTCAAAGAGCTGCATCGCAGTTCTTTGGCTGACGGTATCAATGCCGTAGTCATAAGCGAACAAGATATTGGACGGCTTTTTCTCGTGCCGGGGGTATCGTTGTTATGCTAGCACCAAAGACATTCTCCAAGTAGCTTTTGTTTGGCATGGTAGGATAGGTTCAATGGAAATGGAAGAGGGGGTTCCAAGGATACATGTAATGGGAGAGACGAGTGACCGCGTCGATCGGTGAATCCGGTGTATCGCGCATGAAGTAGGCAAAGATGCTGGACGAAGGTCTCGGAGGAGTTCGATTTGCCGATCTAGTCCCAAAGAAAAATCAAGAGGAAGGATATCGATTGGGGAGAGAAAGGCTAAGCTTCGACTCGGGACTTGGCCCACTTCTTCTTTCTTTCTTCTCTTCTTGAATTATGGAATTTCAGGTCACAGGAGCACCTTCCTCTTTCCTGAGCTAGAGGCGCTTTCTGCTGTAGCTATTGTTCGAAAATGGAAGGTCCATCGGCGGTCTTGGAAAGGGAGGAGGGAAGATAGGGAAGAGGGCTGAGGAGATCATGGAAGGTGTTTCATCGTCATGCTTCGAGAAGATCACCCACTTTGACAATCCAAATAGCAAGCATGAAAAGCTGGTTTCGTCCGAGGTCAATAGAAGATAGACTACAAATGACACTCGAGCTACACATACACACCGTCATTTGCCCTCTCCCCTCGAAAATTCATTCTACGACATCAATGTATCCTTTGCGAGAGCGAGGAGGGCTTGACGTCCCAAAGTTCACCCGTGCGAACTTTAACGCGCGAAGGCAAGCAACTACAACAATGGCGAAATGTCTCCTGCATTCCTTCCGATCAACAGGATCAAAAATTGGGAATTTCGGAACTAATGGCCCGAGACCCGAGAGTCTGTTCCCTCCCCAAAGCAAGCAGGATCGGGGATCGGGGAGGAACTGTTTTAACGTTTACGATTTCGTGTACTTGTCAAGAGGGGGCAATCCCTCGAAGCCTTCGTATCGTGCATACGGGCCCCAACTCCGACCCACACGAGTTGGAGTGAAACCTGGGAGCGGAACCTTTTTGTTCTCTTCTACAAATGTCGATTTGTATTTTACAAAATGATGGGCAAAGAAACCATGAGCACGGTGTTGTGTGCAGGTGCGCCGTGATGTCGAGGTCGCTCGAGGGCGGCGAGCCAGGGAGACTTGAAACGAAACACGAGGGTCGAGGTTGCAAGCCGACAGGCAGAGAACGGGGGATGCAACGTGAGCGCCTGCAGACACTGCCATGAAGATGACGACAGGACGGGAATGACCAACTCGGAGACTATTGTTTTACGTTTCAAGTTGGGCAAAGAAAAAGTAATGAGGAGTCGGATATGCTTCTGTTCGAATACCACTTTGGGCCATCATTGATAGCACTCATTAAAGAGCAATCCAATGGATCTATGGAGGAGTCGTGATGGCGAAGCCAGCCATGAGCCGCGAGACCCTATGAGAGAGTATCATTCCAGGGAAAGGAAAAACGCCCAGCTCGAGGTATCCACGGAGCCACAGATGCTAGATGCAGGGAGCACTCTCGACAAAACCCAGGAGCTTCTATTTGAGAGTCTCCGCGGGCGCCGCGGGCTCCAAGGGGTTTGGGGGTCACGCCTTCGCCTCGTGGTGGGGCACTTGTCCAGCGCTCTTTTTTGTTCCATTTGTTCCAGTCTGTTGCAAACGGCGGAGGTGGAGGTGGAGGTGGAGGTGGCGGTCGATTGGGGAAAGAGAAAAAGTATACAGACTTTTGAAACTGCACAGTTTACTCCGAGTAGGAACATCCCGTTGGCTTGGCTCCTGGCGTGCAGTCTAACGTGGAGGAATCTGTACTTGACGGTTCAAGATGTGCTGCATTGGGGTGGGGAAGCGAGCCCTTCAGGGGACCTCCCCTTTTCCTACCCGCGACAGCTCAAGCTGGGATCTCGATGTTGCAATTGGCCCCAAGCGGCTACCCTTGAGAGAGCGAGAAGCCACAGTCTAGTCCTCGATGTCCGCTTGTGCGTATTCACGGTCGATGGACGAACGAGCCCTTGATTGACCTATATCCATGATCCATGGATTGGCGTTCTTGTTGGTGTTGTGCTCGACCCTGACGACCCTCTCTTCCCCTCGGCCGTTCTGCAACTCGAGTCTGTGACGCTGTTTGGCTGTAACACGAGCTGCGTCCGTTCGCACCTGAGGGTTTTCCTCCCCGGCCGTATTACTTCTCATTTTCATTCTGGTTTTCTATTTCTATTTCTATTTCTTTTTCTTTTTCTCTTTGGTTAATGGGTTGCCCCATTGTTCGCCTATCCCTTTGTTTTCCCTGACCAGTGCTTCGTGCCCTTGCGCGAACCCTCGTCCTTGTCGGGATCAAGGATGGATCTCATCAGTCGTGGATAGGTATCGGAATGGAGAGTGACCCCAGCGACCCCGGCGTCCCCAGCGTCCCCAGCGACGCCATTGAGCTGTGCTCCACACTGGATGGTCTAGCCCACGTTGCGTTGCACGCCCACCACACCAAAACCCACACACGCAACTCCTGAAGCCACGCTAGCGAGGGAAAAAGAAGGGGCTTCGGCTTCCAATCCTCGAGGGCCTACCACGAGTCAGGTACCGTGCAAAAAGTCTGCGAATGAGACGCCGGCGCCGTGTTATCTCGCCCAGCCCAGCTTAGCCTGGCGTAGTGTAGTGTGGTCCCCTTTCCCCCTAGGTGAAGGCACCACACCAACACACCAGACGTACTCCACATCCACCAGTCAAAACTGTGAAGCTTGCCTCTCCTTAAATCACACCAAGTCTCGTGTGTACAAAACGTGATGCGGTGGCTAAGATGAACGAAGATAAAAGGAAGCGAGTGACGACGTCGAACCAGAGAATTGGAAGAAAAGTAAGAGCTCGAGGGCCACGAAGTATATCTAAGAGAGATACGAATCTGGTGTAGTAGGCGGGAGGCGAATTAATATCAGGGGCGAGAAAAATAGCCCTGCGGCCGCGCTTGCCAGGTGCGGAAGGAAGCACTCCTTGTAAAAAGTTCTGCTTGTAATCCCTCCCAGCGCCAGACGTTGGGAAATCCCTGAAACGCTCTGGCCTTGCTCTCCCCCGATCCAGCGCCACTCCAACGGAACCAACCTCGAACCTTCAACCATCACCTGCATTGCCCTCGGTCACGACCCTTCTTTTTCTCCGGCCATTCTTCGAGAGCACGGAGGCTCATTCACCCATTCTTTCCCTTTTTTCGACTCAACATATCGACCTGGATCTTCCCCCATCCCCGTCCCCATTTTATTTTATTTTCGCACGAGAATCTCCGTGTCACCAATCTATCTCTCTTTTCGAAAAAGGAAAAAAAGAAAAAGAAGAAAAAAGCCGGGGCGGATTGATCACGACCACAGCTTGGGGCAATGGACAGACCTTCGGGCCCTCTGGGCGCCGCGACCCAGTCGACGGGTCGAAGCCTGCCTGATTTACCAACGCAATCCATCACGATGCGACGACCAGTCGGTGCTCCCCGAACTCGATCCCCGCCGCCGCTCTCAACGCTCCAGTGCCTCCCGTGCCCCTATTCCCAAGATCCGAAAGGTCCCTTCGAATCCGGCCCTCTCCTCCGCTTCTCTCGCTCCCCCGGCGCCCACGCCAGCGAGCAAGGTCATCGCCTTTGCGAGGAAGCCATGCAGAATGCCCTTCAGGAGAATGAAGCCCAGGCTCAGCGAGCGGAGGGCGGAACCACCAATGCAGAACTGAAGCCGGGTGTGACGATTGATCTCAGCCGCAAGGGGATTCGAGAGCTTCCTGAGGAGGTTGTCGACGTGATCAAGCACGAGCTGGAACGGTACGATAGCCCCCTTTAATTCAGAGCACGACTTTTTTCCCCCTCCCCTTCTATGGAAAAACAAGAAAACAACCGCTGTGGCTTTCAGACCAATGCGGATGACTCGCTGACAATGAGGATGGCTTCTATAGACTTGCTTTGTCCCACAATCAACTCACGGCGTTTCCTACGAGATTCTCCGAATGCACCTCGTTACGATACCTAAACGTTAGGAACAACCAGATCAAGGACTTTCCCCTTCCCGTACGTTTCTTTTCCTCCTTCTTTTTTTCCCTCTCGCTCTTTTTAGTCAGATTCGCGCGTTATCCTCAGCTATCTATGGGTTGCCCTTGGTAATATCAGCCTATCGCCCGGATGCAATCGCTAACCATTTTACCCGAGTAGTTGTGCGACCTCAAATCCCTCGAGATTCTCGACCTCGGTCGGAATAAGCTCCGAATCCTACCACCCGAAATTGTGAGATTGACCTCGCTCAAGGTCCTCTCGGTCCAACGGAATCGAATTCGAGAATTGCCCTTGTGTCTTGCCGACATGGCATCGCTACAAGTGTTGAAATTGGATGGAAATGATATCATGTTCCCGCCACCCGAAGTATTCCAGGTTCCCGCCACCACACCGCCCAGCGAGGGTGTTTTACGTGAAAACGACGTGACCGAGCTCGCCGTCACAGCCCACATAAAAGTATCTTCGGCAGCGGAGCATGAATGGACGAGCGGAATCCGATGCCGGCGGAGACGAATCGAGCGAGGGTGCTGAAACCCCGAGGTTGCCGATTAAGCGCGTCGCCAGCGGGCGTTTCCCCATCAAGGTTAACGGCAGCGAAGTGGCGGATATACGGTCGCCCGCCAGCATGCGTCCTCCGCCCATTCCGACGCGTTCTCACTACCGCGGACTCTCCCAGCAGAGCACAACGATGCGTCGGACCAATGTCATGCCCCTGACGATTGGCAACGTCACCGAACGCATCCGCAGCAACTCGGAGACGGGGTGCTACAACCGCGCCAGGAGCGGCCGGAGAGCAGATCCCGCCGCATGGCGGTCATGTCCAAGAAGGGATCTGATCTAGGGACGCTGGACGAGACCCAGGCCAATAACCGCTTTAGCCACTACCGAGGACTCAGCCACGGCTCCGCGATGCAAGGGCCGGGAGCGAACGCGAATCTAGCAGACAAGAGCCCCGCGAGCCCTGCGGAGCCATACTTGCAGCGACCGATCTACGTTCGACGACTCTCCATCCTCCCCGAAAGACGGCGAGAATCCAAGGTGTATGACCCTACGATCGAGACGGCCAAGGGCATACTATACTCGGTGTTCCAGATCCATCCAATGATTCAGATGCTCATGAGCCTCACCAATGACGGGTCGGCCAAGCGCTCTAGTCTGGAGATTGTGTTTTATAATACTAATTCTCACGTCGAGGAGCTTGAGCAGGCCATCCAGAAGCACGATCCGCTCAACGGCGACGACGAGGCGTCGGCGTACCACGACAACGAGAATGTGCACCGGGCGTGCCAGACACTGGTCAGTGCCTATACGCACGTGTGCACCCTTCTGGCGGGCAACATCGATACCTTTGTGGACAACGGCGATCCCCGATACATCCGGACGCTGCTCGTACTCCTGTACAACAGCATCATGGAGCTGAGGGTGACCATGTCGTCCATCACTCCGGAGAATGGAATGACATACAGGCAGCCTCCCCGCGCAATCGGGCATGGGCGGTGACACGATTCGGCCGCACTCCCGGGAACCTTCGAATCACGCCATGATGGACCGACCGGGACCTGGTGGTCAGCGGCCTCGGAACGGCGGATACGTGCCGAACCCCGCCAGTCTAAGAGTCGCGACGGACGTAACGATGCCCTATACCAATGGCGCAGGGCGGCCGACGGCGCCTTTGAGTCGGCGACGCCTCGATCGGGCGAGTCATTTGCGTCGGGCAGCAGCTCCTCGGCAGGTAGAAATATGGAAGAGTTTAGCGACGAAGACCGGCTTTTGAGAAAATCTTCCTCTCTCTGCAGCGGTCATCGGAGCTTGTGATGAGGTCACTACCGGGCCTCGTGGCGCAGCTCAGCGGGGGTCTTCGAAACGCCATCCAAAACCGGGAACGCAACGGTATCACGGAGGAGGTGATACGGGCGTGGAGGTTGATGGTGTCCAAGGCGACGACGGCGGTGCAGCAAACGGAAACGCTCAAGGCGCGCATGTCGCTGATCAAGCTCAAGGAGCCTGGCATCCGGACGCAAACGGCGTTCTGGAACGTGTGCAGCAACTTCCTCCGGTCGTGGAGCGATTTCGGCGCGGCGATGAAGTACGCGGTCGGGCAGCACAACCTACCCATCGGGGCAGACGCGCGCGCGCCTCCGACCGATCCACCAGGCGATCAAGGAAACGACGGACGCTATCCGGCGGTCGCCGTGGTCGTATATCCTACGCGAGTCGATGGGACCGATGCTCATGAACCCGATGATGTCGCCGCAGGAGCCCGGTATGGGGGTGGGCCGATGCAGCAGATGCCCATGACGCCGCAGAGCGCGGCGTTGGGGCCGGCGGCGCAGGCAACAATCCCCTCGACACCGCAGAGCGCGTCGTTCTCGTCGGCCTTTTCCGGCAACGTGTTTGAGCGGGCGGACGCGCTGATTTCGTACGGCGGGCTGGCGATGCCGTCGCGAACGGGGACGATGACGAGCAGCGGCGGTCCGGGGCCGGGCGGCCCAGGCGGGCTGGGCATGACGGGCAGCAGCATGGGCGGGTCAATGTCGTCTTCGTCGTCCATGTCCATGTCCATGTCTATGTCGATGCAGGACGGGAGCGGGGCGATGACGCCGGCGACGATGTTGAGTCCTGGCTCGAGCTTTTCCTCGGCGCGGCTGAATGGGACGCGGATGGCGTTTTAGTGGAAGCGTCGTCGGGCCGCGGCGAGGGTGTGAGAAAGAGGAGAGAGAGAGAGAGAGAGAGAGAGAGAGAGAGCTACGAGGCGAGGTTCTCGAAGAGGTTTCATCTTTCTTCCCCTTTTCCACCTTTTCGTCTTGCCCGTGGGCTTTTTCTCTTTTCTTTTGAACTAAACAGTAGGAGACAGTGTATGAGGGGGATTGGAGGTGTTTTTGGCTTCACGTTGGCATACCATATATAATCACACACATTTTGAGAGAGGCGGGGGACGCGAGGTGTATAATTCTTGTTTACCCGGCTCCTTCCTAGCCATTCCTTTGACATCAAAATCAGCATAGCATGGAGTTTTTGAGATTACTTGTTTCTTTTTTGTTCCCCTTCATCTTGTTCATCTCTTGTTCATCTCTTGGGAGTGGAACTACTCAAGGAATGGAGAGCGAAAAACAGGGACGTTTATACGTCGAGCTCGCTCCTTGAGTCGCAATGTAACAAACAATATTACTACATATTTTCTTCTCCGTCTCTTTAGAGCACACTTTTTTCTTCTCTTTGTTACTTTACAAGATGTTTTCCTGGTTTCTCGTTTGCAGGCAGACAGAGGCGAAGAGGAGGGAGTAGGGTATATGTTGCACTTGGTCGGAAAATGGGCCATGAGGAAGAGGTATGGGTTTGTATTTGTATTGGTCTAGGGATATGTCATTTATCTTGTATGTATAAATGGATGGTCTTTGTGATATCCTTGGTATAAATGGATCCATTGCTTTAAACTAAAGACGGGCTCAGGCAGGTTGAGTGCCAAGGTGATGATGAACGGTAGAGGAGGTTCAGTGGTGGATCATCTGGTGCCTCGAGCCGTAGAGCCATCAAAGCATCCAGATCCATCGATGCATGATGGAACGAAGCTGGCGCTGGCAGCATGTCGCCAGCCCTACACGACGAACTCGATTGAGATTCTGGCAGTCTTGGCCCACGCTGCTTCGGAGGCGCCCGGCTTCAATGTTCCCTTCCTTCAATGTTCCCTTCCCCGCATCGCCAACCGCCCGCTCTGCCCCCACCATTTGATTCTTAGGGGTGGGATAAAGCGCACGCAGGCGTCACCCGCCTTGCCTCCCCGCCAATCTCTGCACGCCGTGCCACGGTATGTGCGCCTCGAGATTCTGCTTATTGAGGGGAACTGCCTGCAGTAGGTGGAGGAGGAAAAAGGGATTTGGAGCAGAGCAGAGCAGAGGGTGTGGGACGCAACACATGGGGGTCACCTGCTGTGTGGCCTTTATTTTGTATTTGGTAGGAATAGGCGTTGGCCTTGTTTTTATTTTTGGAGAATGTGAGGTGCATCTCCCATCATTTTTTGAATTCTTTGTCCTAGATTCGACAGCTTCTAGTGTGAGCTTCCCACGATGCACATGCGCCCGTGGTAAGAAGAATAGCGACCATCACGAACCCACACAACAACTCCCACGGCACCCTCGACTTCTCTTTAATTCTTCTCAAGACTGGGACTTCCTTACTTTGAAGAGCATCATCTCAGATACGCCGTGCGCTTTCGCGCATTATCCCTCTCTTCGAAAACAGCGCCAGACAACCAACCCCTCCCCTCCTTCCCCGCAACTCAAGCGAAACACTTAGAGAAATGAACCCCACGATGTCGTCCGAATCCATCTGCTCTACCGCAGCCCAACCTTCCTCCCCTCCTCCTACCCACGACGTCCTCCCAGCACAAACCACCTCCCCTTCCTCCGTCTCCTCGCCATCCGGGCTCTCCTCCCCGCTCCTCCCTCCCTCCGCGCCATCCTCCTCAAGACCAACACCAACGACGGCGGGAACAACCGGCGCAAGCTCCTCCACCGCCCCCACCACCGCCGCCAGCTCATCCGTAGCCGGCGGCGGAGTCTTTCCAATCTTCCCACCCCAACATCTACACCACCAGCACCAGCATCAGCACCAGCCCCAGCACCAACGAGCCTCCTCCTCCTCCTCCTCCGCCATGGCCCCACCACCCTCCTCCTCCTCTTCCCCCTCCCACCAACACCAGCGCCGAGACTCGCCCCCTCCCCTCTCCGCCGACCACACCGCCGAAGCGCGCGCCGCCCTCATCGCATCCATCAGCAACCTCGTCGACACGGAGCTCACCCCGCGCGCCCAAGCCCTGCACGCCGGCGCCGCCGCTCTCACCCGCCAGGAGCGCGACGTGACCCGCGCCACGGCCGCCCTGCGCGCCGAAAACGAAAAGCTCGAGAAGCTGGCCAGCGGCGCGGCGCGGGACATCAAGATGATTGGGAGCGTGCAGAACTGGGCCGAGGTGCTGGAGAGGGACTTTGTCGTGCTCGAGGAGACGGTGCGCTTGGTCAGGGATGGGTGCGGGAGCGATTGCTGCAGCTGTAGTGAGTGGGACGATGATGACGATGACGACGACGACGTTGACGAGGATGAGGATGGGGAAGTGGGTGTGGGGAGCGCGGGCGAAGAGGAGAGGGCCAGGTGTCGCTGAGCAAAGGCCCGGATTTGGATGAGATGGCACGGAAACTCGCCGCTCTCAATTTCGGCGCTCCCGCCCCGGCCATCCCCACCGTGGAGTCCACGGCAGCTGCCCCGACCCTCCTAGACGCGGTTAGCCCGACGTCAGCCTCGACCCCAGCACCGGCCCCGGCCCCGGTTTCCACCCAGCCCGTCCATGAGCAGCCGCCGAGAAAGGCCCCCGACCTGGACAGGATGGCCCGGAAGCTCGCCGCGCTCAACTTCGCGACCCCTTCCCTCGCCCTCCCCACCGTCAGCACCACCGCCGCCACCGCCACGACTCTCCACGACATCTCGGCCACCCTACCCATTCACCCGTCTCCTCTGGCCAAATCGTCCCCCAACGTACCCACAGACGGGGACAGCTGCCAGCTGCCGACCCACCCCCGAAGACGGCCGTCGCGCCAGAATCCATACCTCTGCCCCCAGATACGCCAGCGGACGACCTGTACGCGGACGGTGACCATTACGACGGCACTACATCGAGGGCGAGCTTATCGGAGTCGAGTCGGAGCCTCGTGGGCACCGAATCCCCGTTTGAGCAGGATAGAACGGCCGCGCAATCAGACACGACGTCATTAGCAACGACGATTTGAGAACAAAGGGACTTTGGAAGTGATTGCTTTTTAACAAATTTTTTTTTTTTTTTAACGGCGCACACGCTTGCTATCAGTTTGCTGGCGTTCGTTTCCGGGTTTGATTTGGTCCCTGTAGACCATCTATTTTCCTTTTGCTTATATATCACGGCCGGATACATGACTGTTCATCGGGGTCTTCGTAAAGCATTTCATTAACTTGACCTCTTCTCTTGATTAAAGTTACAGTTCTTCTTCAACTCCATGCTTCCTTCAAATCCGAACTCTCCTCCAGCTCCATTTTTGTAGCTATACATGTGCTTTGCTAGCCCGCGAGGCACCCTTTTCGCGCGTCCATGTTGCTCCTTGTATATTCCACCTCCGCCATTGTAAAGTTTCTAACTGTGGCCAGGAGAAGAAAAAAAGGTGCAAAAAACCCCTAGGGAGAAAGCCGAACTCTTTACTCGCCTACAAATCCCAACGACAACTCATTCACGCGCCAAGCGCCACGAAATGGGCGCCTTTAGATGAGGCCGGGCAGCATAACATATCGCTTCTTCTTATACTTGTCGCCAAACTCCTTCCTGTACGCCTTCTCCTTGCCCTTGGCCCAGGCCGCCATCTGCGCGGCACCAATAGCGATGAAGACGAGGACAGACCAGTCCCGGCTAGCGATGATGACGCCGACCCACGAGAGGATCTCAAAGAGGTAGTTGGGGCAAGTCACAAGCGAGAAGCCGAGGCCCGAGGGAATGCGCCTCTCGGTACCGCCGCGCGACCGCAGGCTCGACAAGTGCAGGTGCACGCTAGCGTTGGCCAGCTCGCCGAGAACAAAGATGACGGCGCCGACGAGGTCCACGACGGGGTCGCTCGCGGTGGCGGCGAGGGAGGTGGGGAGTACACGGCGTAGGCGCACAGAGCGCCCGAAAAGGCCCAGTAGAAGAAGCAATTTTTGAAAATGTTGCGGGCCGGCATGGTGCTGGCGGAGAACTTGTGCACGAATAAAGTCTCGAGCTCGCGCTTGACAAAGTGGGCGACGAACATGGCGAACACGAGGCGCTGCGTGTCGGAGAGCGGGTGGGAGGCCACGTCCTTGTAGAGGTAAGGGCGGAACACGACGGCGCCGACGTGGAAGAGGATGGGGCCGAGGTATTCGAGGAGGAAGACGGTGCGCCAGGCGATTTGGGGGCCTGTGTGGCGGGCGGCGCGGGGAGTGTTAGCTAGGGGAAGAGACAAAAAGAAATAGCAAAGAAAAAGGAAGAGAAGGGGGCGCTTGTCGGGTAAGGGTAGGTTGACCGTCACCGCAGGCTGCGATGGAGGGGTGAGGAGACAAACGCACCGAGATCCTTGATCAATAGCTCTTTAGACTTGACAATGTCAGCGTCCTGGCCGACCTGGGCGCGGCGATCCTTGAAGGTCTTGTTGGTCGCCGGGTTAAAGATGCCGATGCGGTTGTGGTCCGAGATGCCGGACTGGCGGGCGACGATGGCTTTGACATCTTCAATCGTCGCGTCGGCGGGGACGTCGATGGTCGCCGGAAGCTTCTTGATCGGTTGCTTCGGCGCTGGACAACGAACAAAAAAAAAACGTCAGCTTTCTCGCATACGCCTCTAGGATCCTAGGAACAGGGTAGGGTATCCATGAAATTAAAAAGGCGGATGGGGACACGGGGATTCTTACACCTGTTTGTAAGTTTGAGAGTGAGCGTAGACGCCATTTTCGCCCGATTCTGGGGTTGTTCGTTCTCACCTGAAAAGAACTGGGTTGGTGATCGGTTTTGGGAAGCGTTGAGGAAGCTTGGGAGCGTCCATGGCACAGTTCTATTATCTCGCCGGATGCAACTTTAGCATTCAATTTGCCCTTGCAGGCTTGTCCTCCCCCAAAAGGTCTCCAAAAGGAGGCAGAACCGTTGTGGGGGCGGTTATGTCAGCACTAAGCTTCTTGCAACTTCACATGCCTGTCGCCCTTGTCGCGATGCCCGACTTTCTTCTTCACTTCGAGTATGTTGTACGGCCTCTTCTTTCTCTTTTTTCCTCTTCTTGATCAAGGTTTCATGCTATTAAATCAGTTCCTTTTTCCATCTTTGAGTACACCAACTCATCATAACATTGGGAGCCCCCTCGCTCCATACTATCTAACGCAATCGCACCTCGGGTTGTCCATGAGCAAAGCCTCGGACTTACATGCTGAACCCACTCTCCATTCTCAACAAAAAAATACTCCCCCTCTGTCCTGTCAAATCCTGAGAACGCAGCGGCCCCACCAGCAAGCTTAGAGAATTATAGCCCATTGGCTTGTGATCGCTTGCTCCTCTTGGCATTTGGTCGCCCATCCATAGATGTCATCGAGCGATGACGGGCCTTGTCTTGAACTAGATGAGTAGCCATCCACGTGTGTGGTATAACACACCCAAGGCGAGTATGGTGCGTTGTCTGCTGTTCCACAGGGGATTCCAAATTCAAGCTTCTATCTGGATGGCACGCATAGTATCGAATTAGAGTGTATAGCACCGACTATGGCAAGTTTTCTAGGAAACCGCAACTTTTATTTATCTGTCTTATAGGATTCCGCTTGACGCTAGATTGATTCCTTTACGTCTGCTTTGAGCAACGTGAGGATCCCAGGCCCCAGCGGCTGTTTTTATGACAACACCCTAGCAACGCGGGGATGGATGTCTCTGTGGAAGGGGGAGGATTGAATGGTGAGGTGAGGTAAGAGGGGGTCAGTATCCCCTCGCGGCACCGATGACGGGCAAAGCAGTATTTTCAGTCACGGCGAGTCCGCAAAAGTATTTGCACGGGGGTTGAGGAGCAACAAGTTTTGGGTCGTCGGGGAGGCAGCAACGTGGTATAGGGATACAGTTTTCAGATTGTACCCCGGATATCTGGGGAAAGCAATCTCCCGTCAAGGCTCCTGAAAATGGAAACTCATCTAATCTCATGAGGGTACCATACTCCGAGATGCAAAGCATAAAAACAACCAAGGGTCCAACTAGAATTTTTTATCCACCCCATCCCGCCGTTTTGCCTACACTAAACGCCCAAAATTTACTTGCGCATGGAGCTGGCACGACGCTTGCGGGCGTCGGCCCTGGCGACCTTGGCCTCGGCAACACGCTTGGCGAGGACCTGAGCGTACTCGTTCTGCAATGACCAGTTAGTCAACTGAAGAGGCACCAACGGAGGCGCAGACGCCAGCGAGGCTGTACAAGGGGAAAAAAAGAAAGGGGAAGGGGGATAACGTACGGCCTCATCCTTGACCTTCTCAGCCTGGCGGCGCTTGAGCGCGATCCTGTGGCGCTTGTGCTGGAGGCGCTGAGGAGTAACAAGACGCTGGATCTTGGGAGCCTTGGTGTAGGGGACTTGCCCTCACCCTTGGGCTGAACCTCGCGGCGGATGACGTACTTGCGGACCTATATACCGTGGGAAAACGGTCCGGTTAGCATACGGGAATTTCGGCCAAGGCCTTTCTTCTGTCTATGCAGATGATTGTGCACAGTTGTTTGATTTGATAGCCATTCCATGAATGCTTCCCCTTCTCTTCTCTCTTTCGGGAAAGATTGGGAGAAGCAATCACGTCCCTCTCAGACTCTATCCAGACTGCCCAATCCTACACCGCAGACCTGAATAGGCGATGACGAGGAAGGCCCTGTACAAGGTTGGGAGCCAACTTACGTCGTCATCCTTGCTGAGGCCGAAGAATCGTCGGATCTTGGTGGCGCGCTTGGGTCCGAGGCGCTTGGGGTGGACGACGTCGGTGAGACCGGGGATGTCCTGCTCGCCCTGCTTGACGATGCGGAGGGCAAGGACGGCGATATCGCTGGCAACGATGCAGCCGCGGACGGACTTTCTCCTGCGCTCACCGGTGCGGCGGGTGCGGTAGCAGGAGTGGCCGTCGGCGAGGAGAAGTCGGACACGAGAAGGGTGCATGACACCCTGCTTCATGGGGAAACCCTGCTTGTCGTTTCCACCGGTGATGCGGAAGATGTAGCCCTTCCACTCATCGCCAAGGGAGTCGGCGGGGACCTCGGCGCCCATCTATAGTCGTCGCAAAAAAGTTAGCCGTTGGTTCCACCTGCTTGCGTTTTGATGAAGAATCGTTTCGATGCCACTGGGCGAAGGAGTATAGAGCTGCCGAGAAGAACGTACGCGCTTGTCCAAGAAGACGGCGGTCTTGCGGGGTCCTCGACATCGAGGAGCTTCTGGCTGCCGTTGGCAGGGTAGGAAATGTTCAACTATGGAAAGCCGAAAGTCAGCAAATAAATCGAGCCGGACAATAAATAAATGTCGATATTCATAATTCCCGAAGCGAGGAGCAGATCGTATCGCGCGATGAAAAGATTCCTTACCTTCATCTTGCCGGCGGTGGGTGTTCCGAAACTGAAGTTAGGCGGCTGTTGAGGTTAGTGTCGAGATGAGGTTCAAGAAACTTCCTCTTGGGAAAAAGGCGGATTTCACAAGTGTGGGTGAGTAGGGTTGGTTCGATGGACAATACAGCCAGCCAATCAGCGCCTAGCTAGCCTTGAAAAACATGGTCGGTTGGGAAAACAACGAGGTTTACCCGAGGGCAAATCTTTTCCCAGTGATTGATTTTGTTAGCTGTGCTGCTTAGGTAATAGAACTTGGCAGCTCAAATTTCAATTCAGGGCCCTGGCGGGGTACATTGGTCTCAACGCGACCGCGTTGCCTTCGAGTAAGCTTCGCTACTGCCTCTCCAAACGGCTAGATGGCTCACCCGCACGCGTTGTGAGCTATGGACGACGCCGGAATCCCGCTCCACCCTCCGGACCCCGCGAGGACAACCTCGTCAAATCCTCTCCCACCATTGATGCAGACCCCTTCCGGCCTGGCCTTCCTGGAGCTCCAAGGCTCCTTTAGACTCCCAGAATCTGCCAACACCGACGGGGTGAATCCTCCCAGCCGACGCCAATCGGCACAATACATTTTCTGATTACAACCCGTCTCAAGATGCTGGAGATACGGCTTGGATGAAGAAGGTGTACATGTATGTCGGGCGAGGAATGCGCATGACCGGAGAGGTCAAGAAGCTTGCCAAGGCCATCGCCGTGGTCCAGCGGAAACAAAACCAGCCCGAGGGTGAAGAGGCTTTAGAGGTTATCGAGATTGTCAAGTATAAACTACTATTCTCGGATCGCCCAGAACCGATTGGCAGCCGCGAATAGGATAGAGAGTCACAGTCTTCCAGCCCGGAGTGAAGAGTAAGCGGGTGCTAGTCCTTGGGAGGGATTTGGCGGGGTGCAAGGGCGACAAAACCAGAGCAGATATCACTGAAAGGTTTTTTTACGCCCGCATCAGGCACCTCGGGTTAGAATCACAGCAACTACTCCAATACGAAAATAATTATGAAGCTGCTACATCCTTTTCCTTCTTGCTTGAGGTCATCTTGAGGTGGGTGTGCCCACGGCTCTCTGTTTCTGCCATGTGTCTCTCCTTATCAATGACTAAGGACCCCGCTACGACTTTTTTGGGAGACTTTGGCGGGGAGGGGCAAATCAAGAATTCTACGATGATTATTAGAGTGACCTTGATTTGAGCGACAGAATTATTTGTTTCGACGAGAACTTTGCTACAGATCTTGAGAATACCACGCGCATCACTTCGACACTTGGCCCAAAGTCATGGAGGACGATAGAGCCCAGGTCGATCTCGGTATAGCAGCCGATATCGAGGCCGCGCAACTTCCCGAGTCGAGCGCGGCGCCGGCGCAAACCACCACATCCCTACCTTTAAGACAACCCAAAAAAGATTCGTGGGGCGGAGAGCGGCAGATGCGGCCAAGTCCAGCCAGGGTGCCGGCGGTGCGGTATCTACTAGCACTGATGTACAGAGTATGCTTATCCTCTCCTGTCTCACCCAACACCTGAGCAAGTGATCATCTAACCGTGTGTTATTCAGAGCCCGCCCCTCGCAGGCTACCACGACTGCTCAACACAGTCCCGAAAGAAATCCTCGAAGACCCTGCCCTCAACAGTGCCATATCCCTCCTCCCCTCCAACTACAGCTTCGAAATACACAAGACCATTCACCGAATTCGATCCCTTAACGCGAAAAGGGTCGCGCTACAGATGCCCGAAGGCCTGCTTCTCTTTGCGACGACTATATCAGACATCATAACTCAATTTTGCCCCGGCGTTGAGACTCTTATCATGGGGGATGTGACGTACGGCGCTTGCTGCATCGACGACTACACGGCGAGGGCGTTGGGCTGCGATCTTCTAGTACACTATGCGCATAGCTGTCTCATCCCTGTTGATGTGACCCAGATCAAGACCCTCTACGTTTTTGTCGATATCACAATAGACACGGCACATCTAGTAGCTAGTTTAGAGAGGAACTTTTCGAGCGGGAAGACGATTGCGATTGTTGGGACTATCCAGTTCAACGCGACGATACATGGTGTTAAAAGACACTGGAAAAGGCCGGCTTTAATGTTCTCGTTCCGCAGATTGCCCCGCTAAGTAAAGGCGAGATTCTAGGATGCACATCACCAAAGCTCCATGATGACGACAAGGTGGACATGATACTCTACCTCGGAGACGGACGCTTCCATCTAGAAAGCATAATGATCCACAACCCCACGATACCCGCGTACCGGTACGACCCATACTCCCGCAAGCTCACTCGCGAGGAGTACGGGCACGAAGAGATGCAAGATTTACGGCGAGACGCCATCTCCACGGCGAAGAAGGCCAAGAAGTGGGGCCTCATCCTAGGGTCCCTCGGACGGCAAGGGAACCCCATACCATGGGCCTGATCGAGAAGTCCCTCACAGACAGAGGCATACCTTGGGTCAACTTGCTCATGAGCGAGATTTTCCCCGGTAGGTTGGCGATGATGAGCGACGTTGAGTGCTGGGTGCAGGTGGCGTGTCCCAGACTCAGTATAGACTGGGGTTACGCTTTCCCGAGGCCGCTTTTGACGCCATACGAGGCTCTCATCGCCCTTGGAGAAAAGGAGGACTGGGGCAAGGGAGTATATCCCATGGACTACTACGGAAAAGATGGTTTGGGTCGAACAAAGCCGTTAGTTGCAACAGAATCATGATAAAACAGGATTAGGCCGGTCAAGAAACGTTACTGGTGCATATCACTCGGATTTCATGTCAGTATGTGTTCGCGTGAGCGAGTGTGTGTGTGTGTGTGTGTGTGTGTGTGTGTACGTGTCTTTATATGTGGGTGGGTGTCATGGAGTGGCTCCGTGGTTGTGCTGGGTAATTTCAGCCAACGTTTGCCATCGGGGAGGAAGGACAAATTCTATGTGGAACTAATGGTACGGTTTGGCTCTCTAAACTTTGATTCACGGAGGGATAGTGGATAGGGAGGAGTGGTGCGATGAAGACATCACCAAGGTCAGCGCCAGGGGTGCCATCTCGATGGCTTCATTTTGGGCTACATACCCAGATAGTTGGCTGGAATGGCTTCAAGTGTCAAGACACCTAATCATGGTGGGAGCCAACCACCGGATGGGCAATGGGCTATGGCCAGCTCTCCCACCATGCCTTCCCAAGATCCTCACCAGGCCTCACCTCGCAATCAAGAAGCAAAGAGGAAGGAGCGCCCCGCCCACCAAAAATCCAACCGAGTTAAACATATAGGACCCAATTCTTAAGAAAGTTCCCGGGAGCAGAGTGCCGTACTAGTTACGGTCGAGGCGGCGGTGTGGAAACCGTTCTGGTCAAACTGCTCCCACGGAGGAAAATGTAAGCCTGCGGGCGGGGTTACGACACTCGACGACAACGACCGACGCGAACGAACGGAGGGGCCCCGAACGAGCGACAAGAGATGTAGGCCCAAACGACACCGGGGGCCGAACTCTTTTTGAATTTTATTTTATTTCTTCTCACCTTGCTTCAATTGATTTTTATTTTTGCGAATTTTTATTTATTGTATAATGGTCGCTGGAAGTGGGATTTCGCTGCTGTCGTTTGTGGTGTTGCGAGGCTGTGATGTTGCGCTCGTGTCTCGAAGCCTTGCGAGGGTACTTAGTGGGCGACTTCAATTCCTCCACCTTGAGACAAAAGGTACAAAGGGCGAAATTTCTAAGAGGTCGGTGTTCGATCCAGGTATGAAATCTATTTTTGCAATTTTTTTCCCACCCAGGCACTCCCATACCCTCTTCCTCTTTGCAAGCCAGCCCAACACCATATTGAGACTTGATTAATGCAATGGGCTGGCTATTGCCAACATCCCCGGGCGATGTGATGCTGCATCTAAATGCGGAACACATCCTAATACCTGACTGAGTCTCTTGGGTGATCATCACCGGCTGATGCCAAGAGACTCTTCTATCCTACATGCCCTTCTTCGGCCAACTATCCCCTTAGAGAGTCTTCATGTTCGAGCGACGGCTTTACGAGAGAGGGAGAGATGCATCTTTGCCAATGAATTTACAACCCAAAATATATTAATGCTTCTGAAGGAAAGTCAAGGACGGAGATTGGAAAGCGAGAAGAGTAAAGGAGGAAACGTAAGAGAAAGGAAAAAGGAACCTAGGCGGGAAACACCTAGAAAACGCCAATGATCCATGTCCACACGGTCGGCGACCGAAATGCAGACGGTCGCTCGAGTTTATAAATAGGAGAAACAAAAGAAAGAAAAAGAAAAGACGCGAGGCCCCAAGGATAATGATGATGCAGGGGGCGAACCGATGAGATGCCTTTGTTCTGCAGATAAACCCGTACAAGAATAAGAGCGTGGGATAAAGTACTTGGCTAGCCTTCTCCAAAGCTAGCGAGATCGTAGTAAATCTACAGTAGAAGAAAGAGGAAAGGGGAAGAGTAAGAGTATGAGTATGAGGTGCCCTATCTCTTTTGTTTTTCTCGTTTGCTGGTTTATTGGAACATTATGAATAAGAGCACGTTTGTACAAAAGATATGGCTGTGGAGGGTGGGTGTTTGCTTGCCCGTTCTTGGAGGCCGGGGTTATTTGCGTCCCTTAGACCGCGCTATAGCCACCTCTGCTCCCGGAGCCTTGGACGGTGTTGAGGACGCTCCGAGTCCAGTCCTTCATGAGGTAGGGGATGTCGCGGATGGCGTCGCCGTGAGGAACGAGATCCCATCCACGGGCTCCGTACCTGTTGTAGTTGAGCCACGAGCCAAAGATGAGGTAGGCGGCGATACCCATGAAAGCACTTGATCGAAATGTTAGCATTGTTCCTTCTCCCAATCTTCAACATATGGCAAGGACCCTGAAGGGCTCCGCTGCCTCCCACCAAGATAACGAGGAAAGAAGGAAAGGGACTGGGTAATCTCCCGAAAGAGGCAAACTTACATGATGAAGAGCCAGGTGAAGAAGCCCCAGCTGGCCGAGGTTCCGCCGTACGCGCTGCCGCAAGCGTGCTTAGTCCTCCACTCGAGCCTGAGCGTCTCCCAATCCGAGTCCGAGTCCTTGCCGTAGCCGAGGAACTTGAGAGCCGCGCCCTCCTTGATGAGCTGCTTCTCGCCGTTCGCCCTGCGAACCTTCTTGCCCTCCTCTTCGTCGCTACCGCCGTCGGGGTCGTACTTGTCATCAGTCGCATCCCACTCGTTCTCGGTTCCCTCCTTGTCCGGGTCGCAGATGAAATCGATAATGGCCTGCTGGCGGGTTTGCTCCTGGTGAGGCACGTCGAGCGGGTAGGCGCCGCCCTTGAGGGTAAGACGAAGACCCTCGCGCTTGGTATCGGGGTAGAGTCTTCCGCCTTTAGGCGCGAGGTCTCGAATTCAAAGGCGAAGGCACCCTGGTCCTGGAGGGCACCGGCTATGGGAACGACCTTGTGGACCACGGCTTTGGAGTCGTCCGAGTCGCTGCTGCCGTTGTAGGTCCTCTGTATCGCGCATACTACAAGGGGGAGAGTGTGTTAGCTTTGGTGTACTCTCCTCTCTATTGCAAGGGAACATTCAGGTTTGAAGTGATCCTAGCGGAGCCTCTATAAAACAGAATGAAGAACAAGGGAGGAGGAAAACGTACCCCGAGTGCCGTTGGGGCACTGCTCGTTCTTGGGCGCATCTCCAGACTTCTTCAACGGCTTGCAGATATCCACCGTATACGTCGTGTTGCTGTAGCTCGGCGGCTCCCTAAGAGTCGTCACAACCGAGTGCGGCCCGCCGAGCTTCTCAAGGTTGAAGCCATATCCGTCCACTAGTATGTTGTCGCAGTACAGCATCGACGTCGCGGGCGTCGCAAGGAGAACCGACAGGAGCAGCGCATCTGCCCGGGCAAGTCTGGGAATCTGCATGGCTGTTTATAAAGGGCAGGAGAGGCGAGACGAGTTCTCCTTTGTTGCGTATTCGCTTGGGGGCTTTTTTTCTTTTGGCGGCAGCGGCGGATAAAAAAGTAGCGCAACGGTTTGTCTCGGTATGCCCAGTGGATGGTTGCAACACAGGGACGGATGGGTGATTTCGGACGAAAGAAAAAACGCTCAGCGCGGCTCAGGACGGAGCGTTAGGAAAGGAGAAGGGCGAAGCTTCGTTGGGGGGAGCGATAAAACAGATCTCGATTCAAGCGTGATGGTGATCAAGGATGCGTGCCGTCACCTTGGTGGAGCTTCGCAGCAAGAGACGAACAGGTGCTGGCCCTGGACGACAAGGGCAACTAAGCGAGGACGGGAAAATAAAATGATAAAGACAAAGGCCTGACGGCTGTCACGAAAGAACCCCGAGAACCTAAGAAATGGGCGGGGGAGAATAATCGGTGATGAGAAAAAGACCGTAAGAAGAGGAAATTCAAGGTTGGGTTAATTAACAGCAAATACAGATCGGGTGGGTATTGATCTTGATCTTGTGAGGTGGAACAAACAGCCGAAATGCTGCTGACTAGGGGAGCTCTTTTGCTCATGCGTGTGGACAACAGCTCTCAGGCTATCCAGGTGCTGTGGTACTTGATCGGATGGCCGCGTGCGCCCAAAAATTGCCCCTGGCAGACAAGACTGGAATCAGTTACGGGTCACTTGTCCCAAAAGGACGAATCGAGTGTCGTCATCGGAGACAGCCACATCTCCAAACAGTGCATGAGCACGCATGCTCTCTTAAATACGGTGGTAACTTGAATCGTGTAGGCTTGGACTCTTGAACGAAGCATTCCAATGGTCACGTGTGATCATCGCCTCAACCGTGAACTGGTGAACAATGCTCCATCAAGTTCCAACTTGAGGTTATTCGAGCCCTGGAGGAATACAATGTACAAGCATTGATGGTCCTGGGCCAAATCTCCATCCTGCAAAAAGTGGCCCATTCCATAATTGATAGAATAGTAGGCTCCTGAATTTCGTTTTCGGCCATCTTGCTAGAACTTAAAAACGCATAGATAGAAATGATTGCATTATCCTACTGCCTTGACACGGTACATGTACCATACTCGGATACCTGATTCCACATGACAATCCACCCCCGACTGGATCGAGGCACCAGCTTTTTTGGGGGTCCATCACGGGGGCATCCTCCCCGACACGCGTACACTACCCCAAGACCGTATTACATGTAGTTTAGTCACTATCATGGCCGTACCGCAGTAAGCATGCGCATGCATCCTCGTTGCCTAGCGCTGGCCATCTAGGCTGATACTCGCCATCCTCGTAGTTCGCGCATACATGTCATCGATCGGTGAAGCTTAGAAAACCAACTAGAAATTAGATTGGCTGCCTAGACGGAGCTTAAGGTAACAACAAGCCAGATGGAGGAACGAGTATAATAAGACCGTCGTTTCGCAGTCCTCCATCAAAGCACCAAAACGGCGAGAAAAGCAGAAACAGCAAGCTCGAACCCCCAAAGTCCGACTCCTCCAGCAAAGAGAGTTCCCATGAAATCCGAATCCAACGCTCCGGCCGTGAAAACAGAGACCGGAAATGGAGAAAAGAAGAAAAAGGAGAGCAGGAAATGAGAAAGCACACCCGCTACCGACCCTAGCCATCCATCCGCCGAGAAGTTAAGAGGAAGAAAAAAGGATGCTGGCAGAGGATCGAGAAAAATCATACCAGATATAAAAGGGACGCAGAGAGACCAAGACTCCTCCAATTTTTGGTTAGAACCGATAAAAACAAGCAAGTGAGCAGGCCCCCTCCAACATTTGGATTAGACAAAACGGCCATCCCCCGCCCCATCTTCCTATGAACGCCAAAGAAGATTGTGTTGTAATGTATCATAGTAAACCCCGATGCAAGATGAAGGGACCCGTAAGATGGGTCGCCGTCGAAAAAAATAGATACAGAAACAGAAAAAGGTTAAGGACAGGAGCGAAGAAGAATAAAGGAAATAGATTCCGCACGCGAAGGCCTCAAGAAGGTATTCGCTAGCTCCCTAAAAGAGGGTGCCCAAGAAGCGAACACAGCGACAAGACCGAGAACGTCAACGAAGAACGAAAGAGGCCGAAAGAGGCGGTCCGCAAGGAGAACGCATCGCCAGCGCAAAGGGCCTCATCAGAAAAATGCTCCATTGTCGCCTTATCCAGAACCTCCGGGTTCCGAGACCGGAATGAAAGGGGGAAAAAAGGAAGGAAAAAACGAAGCACGGAGCCGCATTGAGAGCGCCAACCACCTGGGTGAAGGAAATAAGATAAGAACAGAGGTGAGGAAAAATATCGTGGGTATATATTAGAAAGAATGCTTCGCCTGTCCACCACATCGACATCCCCGCTCCAGAATTCTCTGGACTTTGATCAAAATACACAGTAGGTTCGAGGGCAAGTCAAGAACCCAGTCGAAGAGGGAGAGGGAGAGAGGAAGAGAGTGTGTGAGAGAGAGAAAGAGGAGGAGGGAGGGTTAGAGAAGAGAGGAGGAAAGAGAGGGAGGGAGAGTGAGAGAGGGAGAGTGAGGATGAGAGAGAGAGAGAGAGAGGGAGAGAGAGAGAGTAAGAGGATGAGAGAGGGAACCAAAGGGGGAACACACATCGCCGTGTTCTCGGGTTGCTAAGTGTGTGGTTATGCGAGCAAGCAAGGGGCTGGTAAGTATGGGGACGCCACTGAACAGACGCCTCACATGCCCTGGTGGCCGCCCATCATCCCCTGCTGCATCGCCATCTGTTGCTGCGCCTGAGCCTGTGCCTGGTGCATCATCGCCTGCTGCACCCGTTGTTGCTGTACCTGCTGGGCAACTTGGGAGCGGGCCTGCTGCATGCACGTCTTCTTGAAGTTTTCCAGCGTCTCCCCGGGGATGCTCTCGACCGAGCCGCCAAACTTGGCCGCCAGGTTGGTGATGTTGTTCCTGTAGAGGAGCTGCCCGCGCGCCCGGATCTGCTCGTTGAGCTGGTTGGTCTGGTTCTGCTGCGCCGCCTGTGCTTGTTGCTGCTGCATCTGGAGCATGGCTGCCTGCATGTTGACCGCGTTGCCGTTCATCATGTTCTGGTTCGGCATCATGGGCCGTCCCATCTGCGCGCCCATCTGGTTGGCTGCTTGGTTGACTTGGCCCATTTGGTTCATCTGGGGCATCTGGCCCATCTGGTTCATTTGATTCATCTGCGCCATCTGTGCTTGGAGCTGCGCCTGCATTTGCGGTGTGAGCTGACCTTGCATCTGGTTCATTTGGTTCATCCGCGTCATTTGTGCCTGGAGCTGCGCTTGCATTTGCGGTGTTAGTTGGCCTTGCATCTGGTTCATCGACTGTGCGTACTGCTGCGCGAGCTGCTGCTGAGGGTTGACCATGCCGTTCCGCTGCTGCTGCTGGAGCAAGAGCTGCTGGAGGCGTTGCTGTTGGATCATCTGCTGCTGCTGGGGCGTGAGAGCTTGTCCGTTGACGTTGAGGTTGACACCCGCCATGCCTCCATTTTGCATCATCTGTTGTTGCTGTTGTTGCTGCTGCTGCTGCACTAGCATGCGCCTCTGTTGAGCAGCCAGCTGCGCCGCGATGACGTTCTGCTGGTGCATTTGCTGGGAGACGCCTTGGGCAGTCATCATGGTTGGCGTGCCCATCTGCTGCTGGGAAGCCTGCGCCATCATAGAAGGAGGAGGACTGGCCTGAGACATCCTGGGAGTCTGGATAACAGAGTGCCGGTTGATGGGGGTTGCGTTCGGCATATTTGGGGTACTACTAGGCATGCGGGGCGTTCCGGCAGCGTGGCTCTGCTGGCTGTTACGCGCAGACATGCCGCGGGACATGGGCACTGCCATGGGCGTATGGTTCTGCACGACAGAAGGAGGCCTGGGAGGGCTGCCCGCCATGTTGGAGCCCTGCTGCTGCATCTGCACAGCTCCTGGCATGGGCGACGACATCGAGTGCGGTGTCCCTTGGCGCACCACGGGAGAGGACACCTGTGGCTGTTGTTGTCCAACTTGTTGGTGGAACCGGGGTGTGGCCTGCGCCTGTTGCATGGCGTTTGCGTGCGCGTTGTTCGCCGCCGCATTGGCAGCGGCGGCGTTGACGGGCGGGGGTTTGTTGGCCTGGGTCGACTTCGCCGCAGCAGCCTTCGCAGCCGTAGCTTGGGCAGCAGCGGCGGCGTTGGCGTTTTGCTGCGCTTGTTGCGCCGCCAGATTCTTTGCTTGTTGCTGCTGCTGCTGTTGCTGCTTCGCGGCCGCGGCCGCGGCCTGCTTCGTTGCCTGAGCTTGCGCAGCCAACGCCTTCCTTTGCGCTTCTTGCTGTTGCTGTCGCGCCATGTTCTCGCGCATCTGCGCCTCCTTGCGTTGCTTCTCGGCCTCCATTTGCCGTTGCTGTTCTTGTAGTTGTTGTTGTTGACGTTGCAACTCCACCCGTCTTTGATTTTCCGCCTGCTTGATCCTCTCTTGCTCCTTCTTCTCCGCATGCTCTCTCTTGATGTCAGCGATGACCTGGAACCGCTCGAACCTAGGTTCGAACGCGGCGCCGGCGCGGATATCGCCATCCGTACCACCAGTAGCGCCCTGGTTGCCGCTTGCGGTTGACGAAAGTCTCTCGTCGAGCAGAAGCATGTACCGTTCCTGGTCCGCAATGAGAGCCTGATCGGCAGCCATCTCGGCAACCGTTCGCTTCCTCGTCTTGGGTTGAGGAGGCGGGTCGGAGTGCATCGGGTGCGCCTTAGCATCAAGAAGTGCCATGACCTCTTCCGCATTCCTCGCTGGCTCAAGCATCAACGGCGCCATTGTGTTAACCAAGTATTCTCCCTCCACAGCATAGATGTTACTTCCGTCCAGCTCCATGCGTTCCCGCTTCTGCTTTTGGCAGGCGGCGGCATGCTCGCCGCGGGAATGGGAGGAGGCACAGCGGTGAGAGGAGTAGAGGGGGGCGCCGTCTTTTACATCCAAGGAGGAGCGAGGGGTGGATGCTTTTATTAGGAGGTCGGTTTGTAAGCTTTGGGCCGTAGGATGGAGGACGACTGTAAATATCTTTGGCTTTGGTGGGGGCTTGCTCTTCGTTTCCGTGGGAAGGTCAGGGGCTGGCATCGACTCCTTATCCTTCTCTTCCGCCGTCTTCTCCTTGGAATCTTCGTCTGTAGCCATTGCGTCGCCCTCGCCTTCCGTCTTGGGTTCGAGTTTAGGGTGCGGTGTTGTCGTGGATGGTGTGAGGTAGGGGTTGTAGTTATGTATCGAGGACACGGGGGTAGCGTTCGCGGTGGTGCTCGGCTTAGGAGCGTCGTTCGTCTGGGTGGCCGATTTGTGGTCGTGGACCTGGACTATAAGGCATCCCTCATAAAGGTGACGCCAGCCTGGGTGAGCTGGATCAAGATTTCGTGCGGCACCGTTCTCGCACGCAAATGTTCTAGAAACAGCTTCATCGGTGACTTGTATGGAAATACACCGTCCTGTTGATCGAACTTGAAATGCGTCGCGTGCATATGCACGATGAGGGACGGCGGATTGCCAGCATATCTCTTGAGGATGTATTCATCAGTCACGACTAGAAACACGAGCATAACGTTAGTATCTTAAGTCACCAATGTTCCATGCGATAATAACAAGACGTTCAAACAATCTGTCCTATGCATGGATGAGAGGGGGTGGGGGACCGCCATGATGGAAGGCACAGTCTTGATGGGCAATGGCATACTGTAGGGCGGAGGTTCCAAAGACTGTGGAAACGCGTCGGCGGCGAGGGAAGCCGACCGCAAGCCCGCGCTATTCCTAGAATTCCTCCCCATGAGCTGAGCTGAAGTCTCACGGCGAGAGCGGCTTTGTGGTCTCGCAGTCTGTTGCGCACCGCCGGCGGCGGCATTGGTCGCGGAATTGGCATTTTGTTTTGCGCCGTTGGAAGGCTTTTTCGCGGACATGGATGGCGAAGGCGACGGCGATGGGCGCGAGGGTCCATTTCCGTTTGTTTGTATGCCTGGGGAATAGGTCGCTTGACCTTTCCCGTGGGCATCGGGGGCTGCACAGCCGTCACGACTGGCGCCATGTTGTGTTGCTGGATGTGGTGTGGTTTATTTTTGGGGGAGGGCGGATCGGTGTATTCCGGTGTGTACTCCGGATTAGTCGCTCTATATCCGCCCTTTTCGATCGCCAAAGGGAGGGAAAAAGAAGCGGATGGTCGCTCCCACCCAAATCTGATCCTCGTCGCAGATAAGTAGCGATTCTACAACGGGTCTAAAGCGAAAACATCGGTCGGGCGTGTTTCTGATGGGATCGGATGCGAGCGAGGTGGTCGGCAGGTAGGGGGATCGGGTGGCGCATCAAAAGAGCAATTCAAGAGGGAATTCCGGGCCGAAAATTGGTGAAGCAAACGTATCAATTACTGATGAATCGAAAATCAAACTAAGAATGTGTAAAAAGAATGTCGGAATGATGCCCAGAGGTTGTTCTTGATGGCGTTCAATGTGTGGGGTTGAAGGCGTGTAGTCATGAACCTTCAGTTATTGCAAGGGGTCATCTGCCTCTGGACAATGCTCGCGTCAGCCTTTGGGCGTCGAGAGGAAGTTGAAAATCACGTGACCGCTCCGTCCGTCCACCGACTTTCGCTTGCGGTGGCAGAGCCTCTTATCATGGATCGCAGGCGAACAGACCTCGCTAGTAATTGGTCGTTTTCGACGCTCAGGTATATTTTTCATGGATGTAATAGGGATCTCTCGTCTTACCTTTTGCAACCTCTGTGTTTTTCCCCTTTGTGATTTTCGCGGTATAATGGCCGTTGTGTGGCGGATAAAGAGGATAGAGACACGAATACCTTGAAAGTTGGCATTCAGTGAGGTGAGTGATGGACGTTTCCCCAGATTTGATTCGGTGAGAGACCAAGGGGGAACATACCGAGGCACCAACGTAGAACACTTAACACGCTGAAATTCGACCACGAGCCAAGGATTCGACAACCGGAATTTGTAGAGGGAATTTCTTGTCTTGGGTACCGAACAGATGACTGTGTTTGACCTATATTATACCTGACCTTGCTTCCGTCTCGTGGTGGGCACGATATATTGTAGAACACGAGAGGGATGTAGGTGGAGAATAAGAGTGAAGAAAAGAGAGAGAAAAAGAAAAGAGGAAGGCAAAAGAAGAGTTCCAAAAATATCAATAAAAAAGTTTGCTAACATACAAAGATTGAGGAGGGCGCAAAACTCTCCTCAATTCTTATCCTCCCCGTGACCCAGAAATGCATCAAGGCGTTGACATTGCGCGAATCACCCAAGGGGAATAATCATCCAAAGAAAAGGTTCTCAAGTCATCCTCCTTCCTCACCATCCCCCTCCAAAAACGTCTTCTGTTGCCCGTTTCATTTCTCTCCCGCTTGCCCATCTCGTCCTCATTCTGCCCCCACAAGCTCATTCAAACCCTTGCACCCTCTTTGCCCAATCATCCGAAACCCTCATGCTATCCACCACGACGACACCTCGCCCGCGACCGACCCTGTCCTCGCGCTGCCACCACTTCTCCACCTTTTCCTTGGTCTCGGCCTCGGATTCGCTGTCGGCAAGGCCACCGTGGCCGCTCTCGGCGCCGACGACGAGCACGAGGTCGTGGCGGAGCCAGGTCTGGATCTGGGTGACGACGTTGCCGTTCTCGCCGGAGAGCGATTCTTGGAGGTAGACGATCTCGGGCTGGAGGTGGCGGAGGATGTGGACGTGGCCATTCCGGGTGGTGAAGGGGAGAACCATGGTCTCCTTCTCGACGAGGGTGAGGGCGTGGGAATAGACCGAGTTGAAGGCCGGGTTACCCGATGAAGGGTTGAGACTAGAGAAGCGCGTCAGTTTCTGGATTCGTACAGTGTATATTCACACACGACACGCTCTTCCTCCGAGATTTGGCCCATCTCCCACGCTTGTGCGTTTCAGAAAAGGGTTGGGGTGGAAAGGCTAGGGACGGTGGGATAAAAGAGACAGCTGGGGACGTGACTTACGCGGGACTCTTGGAGCCCTCGGTCGGTTGGGCTTGTTCGTGACCGATGTTAGAAAATGAAGAGCTCAAAGAAGGAGCCTGATTATTACCCGACGTTTCCGTAGTTACAGTCTCCTTCAAGCCGGGAGCGTAGATGAGGATGAACAGCTTCGTCTTGGAGAAGTCGATGTGCTTGGGCAGATGCGATAGGATGGTCTAGCACGAGAGGAGAAAAAAGAGAACACAAAAAAGTTAGCAAAAGTCGGAATGAGTCGCGCAAACGTGGCACACAGAGCGCGTTGCCTCTGCCCCCCTCTCTCTCTCTCCTCACAAAGACTTACCGCATGCTCGAAATCGTCCTCGCCAAACTCATCGAGGCTCGAATCCGCCGACACAACCACCGCCACGGTCCGCCTCTTCTTGCTCGACCCCTTGGACCGCGACCCCTCTCCTCCTTGGCATCCGCCTCCTCGGACCACGTCTCGTGATCCGCGTACGCCGTCTTATCCTCCTCCCGTATCGCCGACAGCGCCGTGCCCACAGCCGCGCCCGCCGCCGCGACACCCGCCGCTACCGTCTTGCTCGCCGTGCCAAACACCTGCTGGGGCTCGGCGTGCGCCGCAACGCGCCCCCGATGCGCGCGCTCCACGACGGCGCCGCCGGGTCCGCGTGCTCGTCCGCCACCCCCGTCGGGACCACGCCCGTCTTCAAGTCTCTCGCGTAGCTGCCTCCGCCGTGGGACGGGCCCCCGCCGCGCCCGATCCGCCTCTGCTGCCGCCGCCGCCGCCGCGTCCTGCCTGGTGCGGCTCGCCGTAGTCGAGCCCCTCGTGGTCTTCGTCATCGTCGTCCTTTTGGCGCTGGCTCCACGCCCATGCTGCTACGCCCGCGGTTGCAATGGCGACGGTGATGGCGAGCGGCACCCAGTGCGTCACTAGGCCGCGGTTGCGGGACGATCCATTGTTGTCGCGCGACGACATGGTTGCCTCGCCTAGCTCATTCCCCAGTCCCGGGCGGGCTGATTAGGCTTTCCGTTTTTCGTTTTAGGTCCTTCAGGGCTTGCTGTTTTGTTGGTGTTCCTCGGGAATTTTGTTCGCTCGAGCTTCCTTTTCGTTTTTGGGCGTACGAGTGATGGCTGTTTCGTTCGGCCCTGGTAGCGGGCTCGTCAAGCTTGCTCCGGGGAAACAAACGAAACGCGGGTGGGGCGGGTTAGAAAGCGGTGGGAATCTTCTCGGTGCCCAAGGGGGTTTTCCGGTGCTTTCCTTTTTTGTTCGTCGACGATTTCGCGTTCGAATTTTGTCAATCAAGATGCTCGGAGGAAGAAAAAGCACCCTGTCCGCTGTATCCCCAAAAAGAATTGCAGGAAAAAGGGATCAAAGAGCAGGGGGAAAAGTGAGGGGTGGAGCAAGCAAGCAAGGTCAATGGTTTTTGTCTCAAGGGTTCCGAGGTGAAATGGGTCCCCTTTCGCAAAAGCCGGCGGAGCTCGCAGTACTACACTATCACTATGGGTCGCGCGTTCAGCCCCCTCTCTCCAAGAACCAACTTCTGGTGGCTGGGCCTTGCTTATTGTTGTGCTTGCGGATTTGTCTCGTTCCACATGTCTGCTTGGGTGCTGTTGCCCTGTTTACCACAGTGCGTGAGCTGAACTTGGCCGAGGCAGCCGTATTGTTATTGGTTGGCGGGTGGACTCGAGCCAACTCCAACCGAGGAAAGCCCGCTCGTCCACCTCCGCATGTTTACACCACGCTTCCCCTTTTAAATTACGCTTCCTGCAAGTCAGATAATGCTGGATACGGACCGGGGAGGTAGAGACCAAGTGGAAGGGCAAGGCCCAGCCCATTCCATTCCCAGTTACCTGGATCTCGGCACCGTCGACCCGGCCGGTCCCCTCGTGCCTTGTGCACCTCATCAAGACAAAGATAGACCAGGGAGGAGCCGGTGCCTATTCAGGAACACACGCGCGCACTCGTTATCGTGCCTTCTAGTGATCTACGCTATCCAAGTGATGAATGTACCTTTTGCTCGTCCCTCTCTCCCGCTCAACGAGTACACTGTGGAGAGAGAAGGATAACAGCTCCAGAAAGAGGACCTATCTCGGGGTATAGTTTGCCCAATGATCGCCACCTCAAATTTACTCGAGGAGCTACACGTGTCAAGAAACAAGAGTCAAAGTTCCAAGGGACTAATCCTTTTATTTGGATTGCTCTGCAAGAAGCAATCTAGTGTTATGGAGTCATAGCCAAGAGAGGCGTCGGTCGTCAAAAGTTTCGTAAAATTCGTACAGGCCGCATCCTCTCCAATCCTCCTTTTGTGTAGAGTAGCCCCATGTGTCCTTGCCGCAAAAGAGACCAAAACACCGTTGATCATGAACGGAGAAGAATGAAAAAGAAAACCTATGGATCCGAATGCTCCCCTCGTCCCATATCGTACCAGCTATATGAGTGGCAAAGAGAAGAGCGAGATGAAGAAAAGAGAAAAAGTCGGCGAAGGATAAGGGAATAAGGAAACCAGGGAAACAAGGGAAACAAGAATGGTAACGAAGAAGAAGAAGAGGGAAAAGAAAATGGGTATAAAAGGTAAGAAGAAAAAGGAAACCCGAGCGCTCCAATGCACCCAAGTAGCTCTGAAAAGGACCCAAGCACTTAATCATCCCACGGCCTACTCATCATCTGCCTCGTCGGAAACCGCGGCGCAAACACCTGCGGCCGCCGCGCCACGTTGTCCGGCACGTGAGACTGCCTCTCCCGCGGGGCATCTCCCTCCGCGGCTCCGGTGCCGGCAGCGCCCGCCTCGGTTCCGGCGCGGGCAAGCTCCTGCGGTGTTCGCGCGCCACGGCATTGTAATCTATGGCGGCGACCCTCGGCCGTGGGGGCCCGGTGCTGGTGCTGCGCGGGTCGCGGGCTCGTCGCTCGCCGTTGCTGCGGGGCTTGCTGTTGTTGTAGCTGTAGTTGTTGCTGCTGCTGCTGCTGCTGATGTTGCTGCGAGGACTGCTGCTCCGACCGCTGGAGCTGGAGCTGAAGCTGGTGATGGTGGTGGTGGTGATGATGATGATGATGGTGGTGATGTTGCTGATCCGTGGCGGTAGCGGGCTGCTGGACCCAAGACAACCTATTATTCCCTCGAGTGCTCGCCACGGGGATCTCGCGGGCGGCGCCTCGGAACCGGGGCAAAAGGGTGTGGCTCGTCATCCTGCGCCCAGACCTCGGCGGGGGCAAGAACGGCGCAGGGTCCATCCTAGGCAGCGGGTGCGGGAGCGGAAGCGGATGGGGGTGCGGCATCGGGAGCGTGGTGCGAGGGCGCTCGGGTGCGACGATGAGCTGGGTGTGCGGGCGCGGCACCGGGAAAACGCCGCGGCGGGCGCCTCGTGGAATCTCGTCGTGAGAGCGCGGTGCCTAAACGGCTGCTCGTTGTCGGGGTCCGCCCGCGGGAGAGCGCGCGCCGTGGGCATCGGCGGGGTTCCACGCGGGGACGGACGACGGGGGAAGGCGACGGGGAGGGCGGCGGGATGCTGCTGCTGCGCGGCTTCCTCGGGCGCGGGGTCGTTGAGCATGAGGTCTTCGTAGAAGAAGGGGTTGGAGTGGTGCTCGGGGCAGTTGGGCTTGTGCTTGCACACGAGGCTCCTTTCCTCGTCGTACTCCCATGCTTCGCGACAGTGGTAGCACCACTGGTGTCCGCAGTGACCTGTATCGCCGTGAGTTAGCAAGTGAAAAAGAAGAAAAGAAATAGTGGGAGTGGGAACGTGCGGATCATATATCGACATCACTTACAAGTCATGTGGTTGCAGCCCACGGATTTTATAATGTTGCGCTTGCACTTGGGACACTCTTTCGAAATCTCCTTGATGGTCACCTCGGACGCCTTGTCCTGCTTGGACTTGGAAGGGTTCGTCGCGTCGTGCTCCCGACATGTCCGCCCCTCGTGCCACTTGACGCCGTGGAGGGTACACTGCCTCCCGCCGCACGCGTGGCACTGGAATAGCGTTTTCGGACACGAGGAGCTATCCGACCTGCCGCTGGGGAGGTGGACCTGGCCCGAGTTACAGGACTTGGCGAGGCACCAGTAAAAGTTTTGGACCTTGTTCAGCAGCTTCTTGGCGAGAAGCATATCGTACCTATTCGCGATGTTAGACTTATGATGACCAACCCACAAGAGAAAGAAAGAAAAAGAAAAAAACGTTACCTTTCAAAGACCGATTTAGTAGCATGAGCCTTGACATCATTGAAATCAAGAGGCTCGGTACAACTGGGACAGTTGACCCTCTCCCAACCGTTCTCGAGAAAGGCGGCCTTGATCCAGTGCTGGAGACACTTGATGCACACCTTGGGCCCGTGAGTACACTGCATGCTCACCTGGCTCACCATCTCATCGCCGCGCTTGGCATCCCAGCACACGACGCAGGTATGCTTGACGGGGAGAGCCAGTCCTGGTCCTCGACAAAGGCCTCGGTCGCGGCGCGCGGCATGGAAAAGTCGACGAGGGAGCCCCAGGGCACGGGGAGGCGTCGTCCTCGAGCTCGAGGTAGAGGTCCTTCATGGTGATGTCGTCCGGGTCCACGCGGTTCCGGCTGCCGCACGTCTTGTGCACGCCGGGAAGGAGGGTGTCGCGCAGCCACGTCTTGATGGCGCCCACCGTGGTGCCGTCTTTGCTCACGGGGGTGTGCGGGGGCGGGTGGTAGAGGTACTGCTTGGAGCAGCCGCGCACGACGACGTACTGGTCCTCGGGCACGATTTCGATGGCGATGTCGCGGCACAGCCAGGACTGCACGCGCTTGAGCTCCCAGTGGCCGCCCTCGAGCGGGCCGGGCCGCATGCCCCCGCACGTGGACACGGCGACGACGTTGGGGTCCGCGAGCCCCATCTTGCTCGATACTTTTTCCGCAGGCCCTCGACGGTGAGGCTGGCGTCGGTGATGCCCTCGACGAGGCTGTCCTTGATCTTGGAGAAGATCTTGGCGCACCGTTTGTCGGGGCCTCGGAAGTAGAGCCGCGGGGTGAGGTCGCCGGGGTCTCGCCGGCGTAGTAGACGCGGTAGTGGATTTTGGAAGGCGGGGTGACGAGGTGCTCGTCGCAGAGCGTCTCGCCGTTTTTATACAACATGACGGTGTCGGCGGCGGTGATCATGGGCCCGTCGTCGCCGCTCTCGGACGCCGAGTCCTCATCGTCTTCGGCGTTGCGGGGGTCCTGGAGGAAGAGGCGGATAGCCTGCTCGACCTTGGAGGTGCGGGCGCCGAGGCGTAGGTAGGCTTCGAGGGAGGGGAGCTCGTCGTCGATGTCTTCGATCTTGACTTTGACTCGCCGCGAGCGTACGTTGGTGGTGGGGGTGGGTTCGGGAGGTGGTGGAGAGGCCGGCGGGGCAGTAGTGGCCGGGGACGCTAGGTCCGGGGTTTGGTCTGGAGGGTCGCCGCTGTGGGGCGCCTCCAGGGGAGGTTTCGCTTCGTCTATCTCGACGGCCATTGACTCCGATTTTTCGTACAAGAAGAGGTTGAGTTGTATTCCATTTAAATACCGAATGACTCGAGGATAACGTCCGAAAAAATGAGCCGGGGGTGGGTGCGTCGCTGGATATATACTTAGGGTCGGACAATGCGAAAACGAGCGAGAGAAGAAATCTTCTCCCGGGGTATTGTTGCAAGAAAGGAGAAGTGAAGGCGATCAAGGTCCAAGATCTGGAACCGTTGGCTCCTGGACGGTGGGAAGCTGGAGGCAGTGCGCGGCGGGATGACTCCTCATCCAGGTTGCGAGCGACCAGTTGCAAGGGTTAGCGGTCGATGGCGGCCTTTTTCCTTTTTCGCTTGCATTCCTCCCCTCCTCGGTGAGCCAAGGGTATGGATGGGAGAAGTCGGGGAAGATTGCAAGTTTGGCGACCGGCTGAATTTCCCCTTCCTCTAGGTTTTGTATTACGATGATTGCCTGAGAAATGGAAAGAGTTGTGGGGAGCAAGGAAAATGAAGAAAAGGCAAGAGTGGGGGAAGAAAACAGAAGCAAGATATCGAGAGCTTGCACGGTGTGTTCCCGAGAAAGGGGAGAACGAGAGGGAAAGGAAAAGAGGGATCCAGGCACTTCTTGAGAGTTGAGCCAAAGGAAACGAAGAAATGGTATTGTTGTTTTTGGAGAAGAAGATGGACTGTGGTGGGCAACCGGAGCAAACTTGCAAAGGGACTCGTTCAACGAAGGCTGTTATCTATCAATCAAGCTTGGCTGAAGAGGGGTTGCAGAAATGGGTGGGAAAAGTCGCACGACGGGGCAACCCCCGATGCGCACAGGTTTATCGTGTCGCCGACGGCCCTGTCAGATGAGCGGATGCGCCAGGGGTGACGAGAAGGAGAGGGGTTTTCCGAAGAGCAATTTCGAGTGAGAGTGCGGTGAGACAAGGAGAGGGTAAGAGGGGGAGAGAAAAAAAAACCGGTTACTCAAGCCCGCCCGTCAGGTCCGGGGAACAGCCGCTGTCGACGCATAGGTGAAGGGTAAATAAAAGAAGAAGAAAAACAAAGGTTGAATGCAAACACTTCGGGAAGAAGCGAGAGAAAGGGGAAAGGCGACAGAAACTTCCGTCCAGTTCTACGGCCGCCAAGTCCCTTTTTTCTTCGTCTCGTCTCGTACTATGCGCCGGGATGTCATGGATGTCCCCCGGTGAGAAGCAAAAACGAGAAATTGGGAACAAGAGGGTCCCCCAAGCACTACGTTTTGGTCATGTACACTACGAAAAGGCACCGGCATAGCCATGATGGGGGTCAAAGAGGCGGGACTCGTCAGACTCGTCACATCGTCACTCCAATCACAGAGCACGGTGGGCTAATGGATGCATGCAAGAATCACGGCGGGTTGGCGTGCTGAGTGGTTCAGACAAGCGGGGAGCAGCACATGAACATGCATGCTCCGTTGCAAGTGGCTCGCGCCGTGGATGTTGGTGGGTGCTGGTGGGTGCTGGTGGGTGTTGGTGGGTGGTGCCGGAATCCCCAAGCTGGGCTGGAACGGATGTCTTCCAATGCGAGTGTGTATGTGCGTGGGTGTGGAGATGTGAAATATGTGAGTCTATGTGAGTTTCTGTCCATAGAAGCGCGTCCAGAGCGACCAGAATGTGCAGAGTGTGCAGAGCGTGCGGAGTGTGCCTAGTGTGCCTGTTTGGATGCCTCCACCCAAATGACGAAATAGTACGCCTGCAAACAATTTGATGTATTCTTATCGGGGAAACTCAGGCCGCGATGATCCACATGGAAGAGCACGCATCAAATAGATTCTGGATCCATCAACGGGTCCATATGGATAGTGGATGTATCAACAGGTGCCGGCATGGAGTACATATGTAATGTAGGCATTGGAGATTCCAACCATTCAACGTTGATGGGAATCCCTTAAACTTGGGCACTCCCTCCAACGGATTTGCTGGGACGAGCGGTGAGCTCAAGCTGTAGCCCGTACCACTTGATGGATCCAGCTCTATTGTATTCTCGAATACCCCTCATCAAGTCCTATCAGTGATACAATGGATCTATTCGTCATGGACGAATGGATTCGCGGTTGTGGTCACCCGGATGTGTGTCTCCTTGACCGACGGGAGGGATCGAATGGGAATCCGATCCACTGCTGAGCCACAAGTCGCACTTGAGCTTGAGGCAGGTAAGCAGTGGATGGATCCTTCCGAGTTCTAAAACCCATTCATGGATGACAGAAATAGATCGAATAGACGAATCCATCCTATTCATCGATATTGACCCGACCCATGCCCAGTGACTTCCGAGTCAGCTCAATACAGCGACTTTATCCAGTTCAATATTCTCATCTGACTCGGCATCACCGATCTACAGTTGACGTTAAGCCCACAACCAGGTCTCTGCGCAAACTATCTCCGTTCTTCTAGGTCAATCCAAGCTGATGGCCAGATCCATGGCTGAATGGAATCAATCCCCAAAACCTTAAAAGGGCCTTTCAAGAGACTTGTCGTCACTCCGCTTCACTCTACTACTACCTCAAAGAGCCTTAATCCCAACTTCTCCGCATCGACTAATCCCCAATTGGGGCTCCCCGAGCATCTTAAAATGGCATAGATCCGGCTCGGGGCCATGGGCCCAGCACCCTGCGATCCATGGATACGCCCACCGTAAAATTCTTCAATTGATCAATTGTCCCGTCGAGCAGTGGATCTCTCTGACTAAGACCAAAGGATTGACCCATGAATGGAACAGTGGATCTGGAAGGACTCTTCTCCGCACCCCGCCATCAATTCATCGAAATTGATAGCCTATGGATGTACGAAGTAGCTATGTGGCTAGCTTGGACGCTCAGTGCTTCCCCGAACCGAGTCGCGGGGCGAAGGGGGTAACGGCGGGGACGCAACATGGCGCCGCAACGGCGCTTTTCCCAGTCTTGCCTTAGCCAAGCATCTTACCTCGGCATCTTATCGGGGGCAAGGGGACCACTTTCCCCAAAGACGCCATCTCCAACCGGTGCTCGGCATCATTTCTCTACCGACAAATACATGTAAAAACCCCCTAGCCTTCCGCGTCCGGGGTAGTCCATAATATTCAAACTTCTCCCCAACTCCAAGTTCGAGAAGCGTCAAAGAAGAACAGCAGAGAAAAAGACGAACAAACTCGGTAATTTTTCTTGTTCAGAGAAACCAATTCAGTCACCATGAGGGGCATCGAACTCGCCAAATATGTCAAGGTCAGTGTAGAATCCCAAAATGGAAAGCCGAATGAGAGGAATTGGAAAACCCCCAAAACGAAGGGAAAAGAAAAAGATAGAGACAAGTGCTGACGCCCAAGCATTTCTTCCAGGCTCCCCAAGAGCTCAAGATCACGGAGCTGGCTGATCCCAAGCCCAAGGCCGACCAGTATGTGATCGAGGTCCATGCCGCGGCCACCAACTTCTTCGACATTCTCCAGATCCAGGGCAAATACCAACTCCAGCCTCGTAAGTTTACCACCGTCGCCGCCCCCCTTCCTTGTCCGTAGGAGACGGGTTTGGTTTGGCGAAAGCCTACAACCAAAAATCAAAAAGAAAAAGAAAAAGAAAAAAGAAGAAAAAAGAGGAAGGAAGAAGCTGGAGACGGGAAAGCGTCGACGAAATGCTCTTCTACCTATTCTAACACTGCTATTCGCCAGCCTTCCCCTGGGTAGCGGGCGCCGAGTTCGCCGGCATCGTCATCTCCACCCCCGCCTCCTCCAAGAACCCCAAGTTCCCCGTCGGCTCCCGCGTCTTCGGCGCGTCCCAGGGCTCCTACGCCACCAAGATCGTCGCCACCGAAGTCCAGCTCCTACCCGTGCCCAAGGGCTGGTCCTTCCGCGACGCCGCCGGCCTCTTCGTCACCGCCCCCACCTCGTACGGCGCCCTCGTGCTCCGCGCCGGCGTCAAGGCCGGTGATTACGTCCTCATCCACGCCGCGGCCGGCGGCGTCGGCCTCGCCGCAGTCCAGATCGCCAAGGCCTACGGCGCCACCGTCATCGCCACCGCCGGCACCGACCGCAAGCGCGAGGTCGCCAAGGCCTACGGCGCCGACCACGTCGTCGACTACCGCGACGAGAACTGGCCCGCCATCGTCAAGAAGCTCACCCCCGGCGGCAAGGGCGTCGACATCGTCTACGACCCCGTCGGCCTCGTCGACAAGAGCACCAAGTGCATCGCCTGGAACGGCCGGATCCTCGTCGTCGGCTTCGCTGCCGGCACGATTGAAAAGGTCGCCATGAACAAGGTCCTGCTCAAGAACATTAGCCTCGTCGGCATCCACTGGGGCCAGTACGCCGTGCATGAGAAGGAGAGCGTCCCCGTCGTGTGGGAGGGCATCATGAAGCTCATCGACCAGGGCAAGTTTAAGGGCACCGTCTTCACCGATAAGGAGTACGTCGGCCTCGAGACCGTACCGGAGGCCCTCATCGCCCTCGGGGGTAGGGACAGCTGGGGTAAGGTGGTTGTCGAGGTACCGCAAGGCAAGGGAAACAAGCTATAAGACACGCAACATGAATAACGACAATAGGTGGAAAAAGGTCAATCATCGATGCTTATATAGATGTAGTATACACTTTTTTTTGTTTTTTTTATGATAGTCATAATGTTCTCAATAAATAAAAGGGAAAACATGGAACAAAAAGGAATGGATCCTTTCACAGAATTTGCCAGAGAGAGCTCAGTGTTCAGCCTTTACTTCCACCACTTGGGACAAATCGAGAAATCACGCCTTCTCCTCTATTCCCTCCATCGTATCTGCCAGTCCCCCTTTGCAAAGCTCGGTTCCACAACCTTGCCATTCATCACCGCTTCGCACAGCCTACGCTCCCCGCGCCCTGCTTCCCCTCGGACCGGTCCCCGTCCGCCGCCGCGCCCGTCGCGAACCCAAAGACGACCCCCGCCGCGCCGCGCACCGCACCATCTCCTTCTCCTTGGCTCTGCGCAAGCCCTGCCTCCGTTTCCCCAACATCTCCTCGCTCTCCTCGATGCGCTCCGCCCAGCCCTTTTCGCCGCCCACGCTGCCGTTGACCTCGGATACGCTCTGGGGCGGGCGGATACGCGTGCCGCTACGGACCGACAGGCGCGCTAATACGTCCCCGTCGACGTAGCCCTCGTCGGAACTAATCGCAATGTCCGCCACGTGCGGGGCACCGTCTTGCTCCTCTGGCGGCTGCGTGGGCATGACGATGACGTGCTCTCTTTCCTCGCGCTCGTGCCCGTTCTCGCGTTCATGCTCGGGCGAGCCCGACCTGTCCGAGTGGCTGTCCTCGCTGCCCCGCCCAAACACGAGGTCCTCCACCGCCGAGCACGACACGAGTATCCTCTGGTCCCCCTTGACCTTGCGTCCCGCCTTGTGATAGACACCGCCCTTCTTGCCGTGCTTGGCGGCGTGTCCGTTGGCGGCCGGTTGGCGGCCGGCTTCCAGCGATGTCCGCCCCTCGAGGAGCTGCGCAAAGGCGCGCTCGATTTCGCGGTCGAGCTTGCCGGGCTTCTGGTGCCTGCATCGCGTGGAGCAGTAGCGAGCCTCTGTTTTGGCGGAGGCGGCGGCGTTGGTGCGCCGCTGGCTGATGAGGCGGCCGCACGAGTGGCAGTAGGGCGTGTTTTCTCCCCGGGAGGAGGTAGTACGGGGCAGGCGTGGCTTGGGATTTGGATGGTCGGGACCAGGAGTCCATCCACGACATGGCGGCGGTGGGCGAGGACGAGCTCGGAGAGGGTTCGGTGATGTTGGTTGAGGGCTATTTGTTTTTGGGCTCTTATTTAGAGATGATACGGCGGCTTTGGCTACCAAACTATCAGGGGTTGCGCGCAAGATGAACAATGGGTTTAGAAGAGCACTCGATGTTTGAGAAAACGATAGGTTCAATGGAAGGAAGATTTGGTGACACAATGAGAAAATAGAGAGTTTGAATCTCACATTCGGCCTAATGGCGAATCTGACAGTTGATATACTGCATAGCGATGACGGGAAACGAATATTGACGTTTAGTGTCTAGTGGCTGCTATGGACGGACGACTTACACAGGTCTATTGATGCACTTATGTCGTGTGGTGATGTCATTCAGCGGAGGGAGTGACCCAATTTGTTGTCCACTCAACCCACTCAACCTCTGCATTCCAGCCCTCAACGCCTCAATCATCCGCAATAAGTGTGCAAAGCGGGATAATTGATGTTGAGGTATTGGGTCTCTCGCACGTAGACAATTCAGAAGGTTTGGTCAAGGCGGGAATCCCATCTCATGTTAGGGAATCCGCTTCTTTCGGTCAGCTTCACGATAGATGGATATTAATACGCACTTGTCAGTATGTCGCCTTAAGAGCAGAATATTGTGCCACGTAATTTCAACGAGTGTATTTAAGTCTGAGATCAAGTGCATGGACTTAACATGCTTGAGCGCTTACATCTATGGGGGAAAAATGATGAAAGAAAAAAATCAAAGGAGTATTCAAGGGGGGATATCTCATCATGCCGTACGCTCAGAAACACCATTTTCTATCCTTCTCGGCATCCATGGATCATGGATACATGCACTTACCGTCTGTCGGGTCCCATCGTAAACCTTCCCCTTTATCATATAACACCGACCGTCCCTTACCTTACGGCTCATCAAAATTTCGGTAGTAAATCGCCCGGTTCACCTCCATCATCAACCTCGCCCGCTCCCTCTCCATCCTATCCCGAAACTCCGCCGCCTCCTCCCTGGACAGGAACGGTGCCCCTCCCACCTCGGCCCTGATCCCTTCCCTCAGCTCCGCGGGCAGCCCACAGCTCTTGAGAAAGGCGTCGGGGAAGCAATCCTCGAGCCACCAGTCAAACTGCTGCGGCGCCACGCGGCTCGTGGACACGACCCTGTACCACGGGTCGGCTAGGTGGATCTTGAGGAGGTGCACGTGTCCGGGCTTCGTCGGATCGAGCAGCTCGATAGGCCCGCGGCGGTGCTGCAGCGTGCTGGGGAAGGACAAGGGCCGGCCGACGGGGGCCGTGACGGAGCCCACGTCTTGGAGATGGGGCACCATCCAGATGGAGTCGTCGGGGGTGCCGACCTCGAACGCGGCCGCGAGGGCGGCGTGGTTCGTCTCGTACCACGCGGGAAAATACTGCTGCGAAAAATCAGCCACCACGCGAAACGCGTACGACGGCGTCGTCACGTTGTCGGCGGAGAAGCAGACGATGGAGGTGGCTGCGATGTGCTCGTTGAACTTGCCCTCGAGCGTCCAGTCCGCCGCCTCGAGCCTGGAGACGGAATCCGGACCTAGCTCGATGCGCTCGATCTCGACGTACACCTGCAGGCCCTTGTCGCCAAAGGAGCGCCGGAGATCCACCTCCTTGCGCGCGTGCTCTAGACTCGGGTACAAGGAGAGATTGTCCTGGTACTTTTGCGTAAGTTCGTTGAGGTCGTCGTCGTGGGGCACGTATCGCCGGATCCGGGCGGGTAGTCCGACCTGGGGCACAATCGCCCTGCCTGTGCCTTTTCCGGCCTTCCAGTCCTCGTAGGAAAACAGCGTCCCCGGCTCCGGGTGTACCATGTACTGAAAGTGCGGTCTCATCTCCTCGTGTATACGCTGGTAGATGCCCTCGATGCCCTCAAACTGTCTTTTGGGGGCGGCTTCCATGCGGGCGAGGATGTCCTTGAAAGTGCTATCCCTCACGGCCGGGTCTGTCCGACTCCAGCACTCCGATAGGTCGAGAAGATCGCTGTAGAAGCTGTCTCGGTCGTCCCAGTACACGCCGTCCGGGGGTGTGGGCAGCAGCGCCGTGGGGATGCCAAATGTCCGGATGCGCGGAGGCACGCGACCGTCGCCGATCCGGAGCCAGTAGGCCTCGTAGTAGCCCGGAACAGCAGGGGTGAGAACCTCCTCCCAGCACGGCACGAGCGCGCCGATAATCTCGGAGAGGAGGGCGTAGAGATCGCGGTTGCGCGTGGGGTGTAGGTTGTTTATGTAGCTCGTAATCTCGACGCCGGACTCGTCTCCCTCCCCTCGCCGGTCCGAAAAGGCTACGTCACATGGAAGCCACTGGAAGTTGTTGGAGTAGCGCCAGGGTTTACTGTCTAGCCAAGTGTCGAGGTGGTCCTCCATCGTTGGGATGTCTTGTGAGTTCATGGGCAAGTTCTCTAGTCTACGGACTCCCCTGGGCGGCGGGGGAGGAGAGAGTCGAGCTCGTGCGGGAGAACCTGCGAGCGCACTCCGCCAGAGACGTGTTTCCAAATATCATCTAAATCCAATTTTTTGTCCTCCGGGAGGACCCCGGTCCGTCCATACACAAGGGGGTAAAGCGAAGGGTCAACAATCTTGACGCTGGGCCCCTTGCTACCGGCGTCCGATCCGGACGATTTAAACGGGCCCTCCCGCGCAATAAGCACCCGGACGGCAGAATCCAGTCGCCGGTACACATCACTTTTCAGCCCGGCCTTGCCCTTACATATGCAAGCGCCGGCGTCCAACACCCGGACACGTCCGGTCCGGGCGAACGCTCGGGCCTTGTCCCGAAGCTCCGTGAGGCACCACTCCCACGCCTTGTCGCTGAGGAGCGGATATTTCACGACGCCCTCGGCGCGCCATGCTTCCGCGACTTGGTCGTCGTTGATTCTCTTTCCCAGCCTTCCTTGTCGGTGATGTCGTTCATCAGGCGCAGCATGGACAGCTCGCGGGCTGTAAGTCGGTTCTCGAGGCCCCAGTCCAGGGCCCCGTGGGCGAAGCGCTCCCTCCAGGGCCGCTCCGCATTGTTCGCGCAGCAGGCGCCGCCGGCGGGCGCCTCGGAAGAAAAAGTGGCTCCGGTTGTGGCAGGTCGTGTAAAAGGTTCCATATTATTGGCGGCGCGGAAGGGAGGGGGCGGAGAGGATCGAGGGCAAAGGTTTGGTAGGGAGTGGTATAATTTCACACATTTGTTTGCCAGCGCGCTCCTTTGTGGCCTCTCGCCAGCCGTGGGGGCATTGGGAATGGAAGGCCGTATTGGCAGGAAAGGCTGCATATCACGATTTGCCCGCTTTTTCGATTATTAGATCCTGGGAAGGAAAAGACCGCGAAAAAAACCGGCGTTTTTCAAGGTTCTGCATGGTGTAGGTACGGCGTAATTGGCGAGGGGTCTAGACCACCCGCCAAGGTGTCTGGACCTCTGCGCCAACCAGGCCCGACTAGGGTGCTCCGATGCCGATCCCAACGGAAAACGTTGGATTATACCAACGGACTGAGTAATCTACCAAGTAGTTCACCTCCCTTCCCCTCCATATCTGCATTTACGTTGGACCGTTTCCCACCTGTCTCGGGCATTGGGTATCGCGGAGCCACGAGGCTCACATGTAGTCGACCTGTCCTTGGCTTCGTGTCCCCCATCTTGGAGGGCGGCATACTTGCCACCCCCTCTCCCTTGCCTCCTCCCACTCACTCCTTTTGGGGATCTAGAACACTGAAAGAATCCGTTTCTAGAAGCTAGAAGCCTTGAGAAAATACACCATGGATCTAAACCCAGTATAGCTTTTCATGACGGCGCCGTTGCCCTGGGCGGGCCTTTGCCCCCACTCCGACTTACCGCCATTTTTTTCCCCCATCACTCGTTCAATCTCGAAAGCTGCCCGTACTCGGCGCGTATTGCTTCTAGGGCGGCGTGCGGAATCGCCACACCCTTCAGCCTCTGCTCGGCGCTTTCCTTATGCAGCCAGCTGCGCACATTGACCGTATTCGGGGCGTCCCGTTCAGCCTCAAGCCTGCGCCTAAGCCCCGCGTCTGCGAATCTATGCGCATCCCAGAAGACGAACCCCTTTCCCGAAACGGGTCATAAATCTCCTTATCGAACTGCTGGTAATATATCCCATTGAGAACCCAGTCCCGCCGTCGAAAGGCTTCGTAGCCAAACGCTGCAAGACTAGGATCTTCCTCCCCGTCCGCCGCCAACGCCGCCTCGAGATTCGGCTCGTCAAAGGTGCCGCGGTGGCCCCGGGCGTGGGCAGCCGCCTCGAGGAGAAAAGTCCGCGTAGTGAGAATGCGCTCCCGGATCATGTCTTTTCTCTGCACCGCGCTACCGTCGACGAGGCGCCGCATATATGCGAGCCCGTGTGAGGCCTTGGTGTTGGCGAACACGGGGATCTTATGGAGCCACGCTATCCTGAAAATCTCTAGCCCGTCCAGGTTTAAGCCCGAGAGCAAACGCAACTGCTCCTCCTCCGCCACCGCTGCCGCCGCCCCCGGCGCAGCTTCCTCTCTGGGCCACCCCAGGAAGCTTTTCTTGCGGCGCCTGGAAGGCGGAGGCGGGGGCGGAATCCCAGTGAGCGACACGCCTGGCGTTTCGAGGACTGCTTTCACCAAGGAGTCGCCGAGATCCTCGATATAACGCTTAACGAGCGCCACGAAATAGTGATGGACGCAGATCATCTCTTCTATCTCCCAAGCCTCGAGACGGCCCACGAACAAACGCACCTGGGCCCTCGTCGAGGAGGGAACCCTGTACTTTTGGCCTGGCCCCGGGAACATGCGGCAGTAAAACTCGTATCGGAAAAACGCCCTCTGGAATCTCGTGCGCTCGGCAGGCGACAGCGGGTCTGGGTCCGGTCGCGTCGCCCCCGGTTCCGCCTCCAGACCCTGGACCAGGTGTGCGTACGCGCTGCGGGCATACTCTGGGATGAAGCGTGATGCTAGGAACTTGACCCTCCACCACGTCAGCAAGGCGGCGATGCTTTGCGGTGGGTCGAGCGGCTGGGGCGAAAAATACTCATCAATAAAGTCTTTGAGTTCCTCGGACTCGTACTCGATCGTATCAGGGAGATGGCAAATGGCCAAGGCGTGGCGACGTGCCCCGGGCAAGATGGAATTCTGGGAAGCGACCCTATAAACCGAGGCAAGGTTTTGGTTGAAGGTGCGGAGGCAAGCCGGTGATGCTAATATGAGGGCAATGACGTCCTGGGGGTCTTCGGTGGCGCCGAGGATCAGCGACAAAAGCTCCGTTGGGAGTTCTTCGAGGTAGGCCATTGGGTCTTGACGAGCCTGACTATTGGTTTTTTTCTCCTTTTTGCCACTAACAGCCACAACTATAAGGGAATGACTTTGGAAGAGAAGAAGAAAAAAAGGGGTTGATCATTGACGATACTTTTCGGGGTTAGAGCGGCATGGTAGCAGTGGGAGGATTATTTGATCTGTGTCACCTTGGCACTAGGATCGGTGCCTGAAATAGCGTCTTTCACGCTTAGATCTATGACCGTAGCTTGAACCTCGAGAGGCGACTCCTCGGTCCCCGCCTCTAAACTAAGGGGTGTGTGCAGATAAAGCCAGTCGAGCTGTTAAGAATAAAACGTCGTGTGCTATAATATTACATCAATTCAATCCGAAATATATGTGCGGGATTGAAACTAAAGCGAGAGCAGAGGCCAAATGGAATTGTGTGATGAACGCCTTTCATCGAGCACCCAGCACCGTTTCTCAGTCCTCAAGCTACCTTTGCCGATAATAAAAAGTGTACGCTTCCAATGCACCAGTCGTTTTTCGGTTTTCGTTCTTTTTCGTAAATAAGCAGGGAATCCCCATACCATACACCGTTCCATAAACCACCCAAGGGTATCAATCCCGATGCTATGCCTCCCCATCCCCGTCCCCCTTCCCCAAAACGTGCCATCCTACCGTGCCTTGATCTTGCGTATAATGACCTTGTCCCCATCCAGCTGCCACCCAACGCCGTCCTTGGACGTGAGGCTCTCCCAGCCGGACGACGTCGACCTCTCCAGAAACGTCTTGTCCACCGAAAGATACCCCCGGCCGAAGCACTTGAGCGTGTGCACCCGCAACTCAGGCTCCGCAAGCTCCATCAAGCTGACCTTGTGCCCATCGACGGCGTCCTTGATTTTCCCAAACGCGATGTAGTTATCGTGCGTCAGCGCCTTGAGCACCGCGAGCACCTTGCCGTCGCGCAACCCGTACCGCCTCCGGAGACCGTAGGCCTCGGCCAAATCGCCCCTGCGACACGCGGCGTCGAGGACCAGGTAGCCCACGACTTCCTGGAATTCTAAACTGGTCAAGCTGTGCATCGGGTGTATGTTGCGCAATAGGTGCAGGATCGCCGGGTGGTACGATTCCGCGTGTTTCACGAGCACCGATAGCCGGATGCAAAGAGGTACGATTGCACGGAAAAGTCGTCGGCGCGCTTGGACGCCACGATGCCCTCTCTAAGTTTGCGCAGCGCCATCATCACGTCAGACAGGGCCTTGGTGTTGCTCGTCGCTGCCATCGTCACCGGCGGGGGCGGCACCGCGGCCATGGCGCTGCGTCCCCCGGGGCCATGAGCGATGGTGGGCGCGGGCGCTGCGGCCGTCGCCTGCCCGGGGCCGCTGTCTAGGTTTAAAGAAGCGAATCTACGAAGGAGCTCATCCCGTTGCCCAGAATCAGAGCAGAAGGACATGTAGCGTTCCACAATTTTTGTGTAATATCGCTCTTGCGTCTTGAAATCGAGAAGTCTTTTTTGTTCGTTACAAGAAACCAGCCTCTGATGTTAGCGCGAGATGGCTCCAAGGGACCGACACTGCCCCTCGCCAGGTGGGGGATTGTTTTAGTGGGGGAGGGGGAGCTCGACGAACCTGGTATCGCCTTTGGATGGCAGGCCCATGATCTCCAGAGGGTCTTGATCGGGTGCCTTGAGGCGGCCCCATGGGTTGGAGGACGACCGGCCCCCGCGTGACGGCATTTTGTTGATTGAATCTGGACGACGCGGGTCGTCACTGTTGTTGTCGAGGCATAGCTTCCAGGATAGCGGACGCTGTTTAATATGTATCCTAGACATCCCACTATCCCCCAACTTGGCAACCAAGCTTCGCGATGGCTTACCTAATCGGCGATGAGCGGCGAGCAACGGGACCCAAGTTCAAGCGGCCTGAAGCATGTGAACGCCAACCAAGGTGTCATGTCTGGATAGAATAGAAAGGAATAGCCCTCCCTCCCGAGACACAGCTTCAGATAACAGGGGTTTACGAAAAGGTGAGAGCACTGGCAAAGCTCAGAATTTCATCATAATATTTTCTCGGTTTTGGCGTATTGCAGGCCCTGGACAAAAGAAATCCAAAGTTGCAAAGCTTTATCTGTATCGTACATTCGTCCCCCTTGGTGTCCGAATTTCTTCGTGAAGAGCAAAAAAGCCACAATTCATCTCCTAGATCCACGGGAAGCCCCAAACCTGCTCGCCTCTTCTCAACGCCCTGTATTAGAAAAAAATTAGGTATCGCAGGTGGTAAAGTCTAATATCGAACAGTCGAAGCGGAACAAGAACATTCTCCCCACTTCCCTCATCTTTTCCCGCTCCCAAGTACTTAAACCTTCAACCAGAGGTTGAGAACACCCTTTAGATACTCGACAATCTCATCGCCGCCGAGCTTCGACTCTCCGTAGACGCGGTCCACGAAGCTGATGGGCACCTCAGCAACCGTGAAGCCCATGCCCTTGGCGCGCACCATCATCTCCATCTGGAAGGTATAACCCTTGCTCTCTGTGCTCGCGACGACCTTCTCCAGCACGCTCTTCTTGTACAGCCGGAAGCTTCCCGTAAGGTCAGAGACGCCGGGGCGGAGAACGGTGTCGGCGAAGAGGTTGGCGCCCTTGCTGACAAACTTGCGCTTGAGGTCCCAGCCGTAGACCCCACCATTGCCCGCGTACCGTGTTCCCGTGACAATATCGTAGTCGGCCTCCTTCTGGCGGGCAATCATCTCGGGGATGAACTTGGGGTGGTGGCTGAAATCGGCGTCCATGATGATGACAAAGTTGCCCGTGACAAATTGGAGGCCGTGGACGTAGGCGGTACCGAGACCGAGCTTTCCTGTTCGAGTCTTGAGGACAATATGGGGGCTGTACGCCTTGACGAGCTGCTTGGCCACGTCCTGGGTGCCATCGGGGAACCGTCGTCCACGATGATCAACTCCCAGTCGAGCTTTCTATACAACAACAAAAAAATTGGTTAGTTTCCTTTTATTGCGTATGCGAGGAACACTAGGAAATTTGTGACTCGGAACGAGTGCTTCAGTGAGGAGTGCCGTGGACATACTGCGCAGTGAAGGTCCTGTTAAGAAGCCAGGCAACAATGGGCAGGTTGCGGCGCTCATTGTAAGTAGGAAGAATGACGGAGTACTTGTTCTTAGCCATGACGACGACTCGAGAGACTCTAGACGATATGATGGTAGAAGTAGAGAGAAAAGCCTTTGCGACTAAAGGTTGACACGAGAAAGGGATTAAGTGTAAATCAAAGGAGCGTGGAAAAGTTGGGTGTTGCGTTGATTGGTGTGGTCGAAATATTGGCGAGCTGGCCTCGTCGCGACTCCTGAAATTGGCTCTGAAGGGTGCGCCCTCCAAAGCCAGACATAAGCTACGAGGGACCTACAATAAAATCCCAATTAGGACCACGTATTACATAAACATGTCTAGGTCCAGTCTCAGCCTCAGTTCAGCTTCTTCAAGTGTGTGTGTGTGTGTGTTAATGTATATTTAACGTCGGATGGACACGTGATTACAGCTGCAGTCATGTGGCAGAGAGCCCGGAACGGGCTATAAGGCCAGGACATCCCAGTGATGGATAGAGGCAGCATGCCGCTGCCAAAGGCAGAAGTCTTCGACGCAGAAGCCTCTGCCGCCCTACATGAGCTGCTGGCGGCACAAGGCACCACCCGCGCTGAGTTCGCCACAGACATCTACATATGTCTAGATAATCTAGAGCAACCTCAAGCCGAAGCCGCCAGAGCTCCAGCTGCCACGGTTCACCCTTGGAAAGCTGTATGCAAGCCGCACCGGCCATGGGGATTTTGCCGACTGCCATCGCAGGCTGAACCACGAGGACGCCCTCATCGTATGCCAATGTGGATGGGAAAACACGCTAGAACACATCTACTACTGTGGGATTGGAAGGCGGCTTAGCACGATATATGCCTGGGGCCTGCAACAGGTACAAGACATACTTGAGCAACGTGACGGAGCCTACCTTCTAGATAGGTGCCTCCAGAAGACAGCACTGGCTTCTACCGCCGGATCTGCTCTCCTTACGCGAAGCCAGCAGCCAGACCATAGGGCTATCCCTCCCACTCCTACTACCTCCTCCCTCTCTCTCTCCCTCTCACTCTTTATCTATTTCCTTTGTTCTAAAGCCGGCCTATGTAAAGGTAGGATGCAGCTGGCGATCGGGCTTACGGTGGTCCATGTACAATAGTTCCAGACAAGTAGTAGCTAGGCAGTTCCGTTCTGCCCGTGTATGCGTGTGTGTTATTATTTAACGTCTAGGGGCATATGACTGCAGCTGCAGCTGTCGTCGCGTGCCCCACGGACGTTAAATAAGAACACACACACACACCCACACACACACGCGGAACTGCCTAGCAACAACTTGTCTGGGACTATTGTACGTGGATCGCCGTAAGCCCGAGCGCCGGCTACGTCCTGGAATTTACATAGGTCAGAGTGGCCAGATTATCTACCAACATAAAGGCTTTTAGAACAAGTGAGAGGGAGAGAGTATAAGGGAAGGAGAGAGAGAGGGAAGTTCAGCTTCTTCAGTGTGTGTGTGTGTGTTAATATTTATGTTGAAATCAAAGTCACGTGGCAAAGAGCTTCTTCAATGGCCGCTGGCTTCTTGAAGAGATCAAGAATCAATTTCAATGTTGAGAGAGGTGTTGCACGTGATACAAATCGTGACTTGGAAAAGAAGAAAAACTTGAAGATGACCAGTGCACACTGTTCCCATAGCCTCTCAGACCCACCAGAATGACTTGCGACACTCAAACATTCAACCTCGACAGATTGACGTAATCTCGATTGAAACTTGAAGCCTTCCAGGATATTCTTTGATGGTTCGCAAGCTAGTCGATACTTGGCTCTTACCATTTCCTTTTCCCTCCAAGAAGTTGAGCAATTGTCAAAGGCCAACTTAGAGGTTCTGAAAGGCCGGCAAGCCTCCAAGTAATCGCTTACAAGAGGAGGAATTGAAGGCAGTCGCATTCTTCCATTCCACACACAAGAGACAGAGGGAAAGAGCACAGTTTCGATTTTCGTGTGTACGGTGTGAATGCACAGTGACACACAGACCCCACCTCCGCCCGGATATGGCTTCGAGCTCGAGCTTTTGAACGGAGCTCCCCCTTCTTCACGAGGTGTGGGATGGTCCTACGGAATGCTCTGGTCTCGAGGATATGGTGGCTGAATTCTGGAGGAAGAAAAAGGGAATGGTATCTAATGCAGTTCTTTTGAGTCGCCATTGGGCCCTGGGCGCGTGGGAATGCTCGGCAGCTCTACCCTCTTTCTAGCCGGACGGCTCTGCCATTGGTGATCACCATCGATCGGGGCAGGAATAGCTCGAGTGTTACTTGCCACTTACCGCCCATGCATGCAAGAGTCGAGGGGATTCGCTGCAGAACATTCGGGGTACATTAGGCTATGTCGCTTCCTACTTTGCGACACCGGCGAGGATACATCATCTCCCTCTGATATCCACGCGCAAAACATGTAACCAAGAGCCCAGTCCTGCCATCAAGCTACTCCATCACCTGAGTATTGTCCGAGAATATGCTGGATGCGGGGGCCATTGTAACCGTGCTCCAAACTTCCCCTCTGGTTCTGAAGAACTCGCCCCCAAAACAACCGCAACCGCCCTCTGACAGTACCTCTTTGTCTTCCAAACCCATTGATTCATCATCAAAGGAAGCTGAGGAGAGGTCCCCCCTCCCCAAACCACGCGCCCTCCTAAAAGAGCTTTTCCCGAGCCGCTTTCCCTTGTCCATCAACCATCAAATCCCCTCCCCAGCCTTTCCGTTTGCAAAGTTCCAGTGTACCGGGTGTCTTCCATGCCCCAACCTTTCAAACCCCACAGGCTATTGTAAGTTCTTCTTTCGGCTTTGCTTTTTGTGTCACCGCCTGCGCTGCCTCGAGGAACAACGGGCGGACTGCCATTATTTCTCCCATCCACCTCCAACCTCAGCTCTCTTTTTTTTTTCCCTTCCCCTTCCTGACCTTCTCATAAGCTCATCTACTGAACCATCTCAGAACTGCGCATATTACTCTATAGCATTGCTATATACGACACTTCTTGCTTACTTTATTCCCGCTTGCTCAAACTGTACAATCCTCCACCCACCCTCCTCTTCTCTTCATACTCGGAAAGCCTGGTGTTGACCTCGAGAATAGCACAGTGCGGCGCCAATTGGTCGAGCGCTTACGTCATTGAAAATGGCCGAAGAGCAAGGTAACTATCTCCTCTATTATTTCATCGATTTCGTCGGGGGTCGTTTGCTATGCACTGATGGGAAATGTTGTTTCCCTAATTGATGGCCTCGAAGCTGCTGGGGGCAGCAGATTGATTCCTGCGAGAGGCGCGGGCGGCTTGCTGCTCAACCAACCCCTCTCTACCGTGCGAACTTGCTCACTTTTGCGCCGAGCTTTGCTAACCTTGCGCTCGGCTAGTTAACAACGTCGTCCCTGCCGCCGCCCCGGTCTCTGATGAGCCAGTAAAGAGCAGCGAGCCTACTGCTGAAGAGAAATCTGCTGAGGAGCCGAAGACAACTATTCCAGTTTCCACATCCGGCCCGGTTACCGAGGAAAAGAAGGATGCTGCGCTTGCAGACGTGACGGCCGAGGCCTCATCTGAAGATCAAAAACCCAAGGACACTACCGCCGAAGCTCCCGCGGAAGTCCCTGCGGAAGTCCCTGCCGTAGCTCCAACTTCTGATGACGCTGGCCCGACTGAGCCCGCTAAGACGGACGTGCCTACCGCTGTAAACGGCGAGGCTGAGAAGCCGGCCGAGCAGACAACTGGTACCGCCGCCGTCGTTGCCGAAGAAACCGCTGCTTCTGGCCAGGCTGAGTCCTCTAAAGATGCTGAGAAACCCTCTGCTGCCCCCGAGCCCGCCGCAGACGAGCCTCCTGCTACTACCGAGAAGCCCGTGGAGGACAAGCCCGCACAGGAAAAGACGGTTGCCGAGGGCAAAGCCCCCGAGGAGGTCCCCGAAGCCAACGGCGAGGCCGCGGAGGCTGCTGAGGCTGCTGACGTCGAAATCAAAGACGCCCCCGCCGTGAGCAAGGCTGGGGAATCTCAGACTAGGGAAAAGCGAAGCGCGGATGAGGCCGAAATCACCAACGGAACCAAGTCAAACGAACCCGTCGGCAAAAAGGCCAAGAGGAGCGCCGATGCGCCTGCAACAAATGGTGGGCCCAGCAGGAACTTGTCCAAGGGTAGGAAGGAAAAGAAAACCATCACCCCCGTCGGTCGCACCGCGCGGAGGACCCGTAGCCAGGGTTTAGCGGATGTGTAGACTTTTCCTACTCATGTATTCTACCACGCACACGGCTTGACAGCTCCGTGGGATTGTAGGACGACGGTTCGCACATATGGCAAACGGGTCCTTTCTATTGGAGTTGATTGGGTTGGTCTGCTTTTTCTTTATTTCCTTGGAATGTCAATTATACGATCAAAACGGATGGTCCGGTTGGTTAGTGTCTGAGGGTGGTTCGGGCTTGGGCTCATGCCGTTCCAGTGGGCTCTTGTTGGTTTCCTAGTCAGTCATTCATGTCCCCTTTGTCGGGTCGGTCGAGTGCCATGATGTACATATTCAAATGGAGTCCGCCATTGTTTTTCTTTTCTCTTTAGCCCAGCGGCTGCCCGGACTTACTATCCTCACCCCGAATATAAGGTGGGCAAAGCATACGAGGGATGATTGCAAAGACCTCTAGTTGGCAGCCTCTCGAAACTTGATGGGGTTCCCAAGTCTATGCGTCATCGATACTAGAATGGATGCGCGCAGCGCCGCTTTCTTTTATTCTGGATTGTGATACACGCGCTCTGGGGCTGCCCTTAGTGATCTCTCGGTTTCTGGATCTCATGCGTGGGGATGTAGGAGACTTTGGATGATATCGACTGAACTGCGAGAAACGTGTCTCCACGGGCATGCACTAATAGTTTCCATGTCAGAGGCGGCAGTTATATCGAATCCCGAGTGATGGCAAACGCTCAAATCGGAATATGGGATGCTGACATGTTGACTACGAGAGCTACCTAGATATCGGGGTAAGCCTTCAAGAGAACGGTGTCCTAGTAGATGCCGACACATTGTCACCCTATCGGGCTGTCTTGTACCTGCAGAAGGCACCCTAGCTCGAACGTGATCAACGACTGAAAGGCAGGGCTATATAAAAGAACTAATGGACTATATTCGTCGTCGGGTCGGACATGCAAGCGAGCGAGGGGTGGACGGGGTTGGGGAGCCCTAGAGAGACGCTTGAAGGTTGTTTCCTGCCCCCCCCTCCATCGGCAAGTCCAGCCTCGAGTCTTCTGTAAACCCCCTTGATACGGCAAGGGGACGGGGGATGGCAAGTGCTGATGGGAGGGGTTCATAACGGGAGTGACCCTTGGTCTTGTTCTGCAGAGACGGTTTATGGCGGCGGGGAGGGCTGAGAAGCCCAGTTTCTACATTTGATCGCGTGTGGCGATAGTGGATTAAAACCCCAAAAAAAGATGCTGCAGGAAACGAAACGTAAAAGAAGCAATGTGGGCTACCCATCCGACTGGACACGACAAACGGACATTTGCTGCAGGTGGGAATTTCGGGGTGCAGATGGATGGTGGCCCCCTCAACTCTGGTTGTGGGAGGGATTATTCGACCGCTCGCTTCACGGGCTTGGATAAAGAGAGGCTGGACGGCCTGCTCTGTTGCCCTTGCTCTCGATACTGCCTCTTAAGTTTGCGCGGTAGTCTCTTTTTCCCCATGCCCGAGCACCGAGCCTATTCTTATTATCAGGTTCTCTCCAAGTAGAACGATCGGCAGTGCCCTGTTTACGCATGTGCGGAGGATCTCAAAAGCGCAGTTGACGGCGGAGATAGCCAGCGCTGATCGATCGGATCACGGATCTTTGAGGATCTGAAAACGGGAGTTCGCACCGACCCATCCATGCGAGCATCAACGTGTGAAAAGTGTACATCCACGATCGAGGGAAGGGATCCATGGCATGTATCGGTATCGGACCCGCTCTTGGATGCCGGAAACGCGCGGCATCTGTCGCCTCAGTATATATCGCCCCTCATGCGAGAGCTAGTCCGCGCCCAGGCTCGCCTCTCTACAGCTAGTATCCTCTATCCCCTCGCAAAAAGCCCGCTTGGCTTCCTGGTTTCCCACTATGTTTGTCTTGGAGCCTCAGGCATGAGGACGAAACATGGTGTTGGGATTCTAGTCTTTCTTGCACGGGGAGATGTGGCGTGCTGGGTGACGAATGGGGGCATCGTTGGCATCGTAGGAGGGGGAGGGGCGGCAGGCTAGTGTTTGACCTTTTCAATGGGGAAGAAAACAACAAAAAGATCCATAGATGTTGCTGAGAATGAGGCCGAATGAAAACCCGCTCAATTGTCAAATCGTGTCAGGAGCTTGTAGAATTTCCCCTTTTGGGCGACGGGTTGGCGGGTTTGTGGTGCCTGTGGTGCCTGTGTGGCGTTTTGCCTTTCGGGTACCTTTTTTGCAAGGGGCAGTGCCAGGGGTATCGGCATGTTCGTTGGGAGAGCAAGAGGAAAAAGGAGCAATGCAATGCGAGGAGCGCTGTTCCTTGTACGTGCGAGAGCCGGGCGAGATCGAGACCACCAATCGATCAATCTTTGCCAGCATTATGCAGTTCCTCAGTGCTGTTGATTCGAATGGACAATCTCATTGTACAGGATGGAAACTGGCAGCGGGCCAGCACACAAGGAGCCGGCACTAGTCGATCCATGGTGCACATCGCGTTCGCCTCCAGTGTGGTAAATCCGTGGGGCACTTCTCCTCCAAACCAAGTCATGCGGGTTTATTGAAAAGCAACGTGGGGACCTAACAGGACGGAGGCGAAGAAAAAAAAAAAAAGAAAGAAACAAAGAGGGAGCACGAACAATGGAACCATGAAAATCAAGAGGCAGGTTCTGAGACCCTGTGGAGATGGCGTCTTGGTGAATACGACGGCCGGGACTTCTGACAACGTTTTGTTGTGATACGGCATGTTATACATTAAATGGGAAATGTGCATTCTGCAATTCGCTTGGACAAGAGTCCTGGGCCAATTTTGCTCCCAGCGCGGGCTGCATGAATATGGAAACATTGTCGAATCCCGCCCATGGATTCTCCTGGCCCAATTAAGCATCCGAGTGCCCTCACCCGAGAGGGAGGTGACAAAAGTTCGTATCGAGAACTCCACCGGCTCTCTTCTCTTTCGGAAAAAGGCCACCTCACGGAGGCCTTCTCGGCCCACCTCGCGTTTTTCTCTCTTTTTCCTTGACCCCTTTTTTTCTCCCCTTTTCCTCTTTGTGCACAGTATCCCCTCAAAGAGAGTACATTGCAAAGCGAGTCTCCACCCCCAGCGACCAAGTCTTCGATCAATGCTAGTCTACCAATCTACAAGTACGTGCTTGTACTTGTAAATTCCTCGGAAGCCTAGTGTAGATTTTGGTTGGAACTTCACCACGCTATGAATAGTGCTACTACCCTGGCCTTTGACCAAACCGATGGTGGATTCTTTTCTTCCTTTTGCGGGGAGCGCCGGTTTCTTGCCCACCGTTTCTCGCTCTACTTTGGTTGCTCTATGAAGGCAACGCGAGGGTTCAAAGGGTGTGAGGAAGGTCGCCGACGGTTATCCGCACCAGCCGATGAAGATATCATTACTCAACTCAACTCAACGAGGGCAATGAGGAAGGCAAGGTACATGACAACTGTGCACATGTTGTGTGCATCTCAAGCAGTTATCAACAGCATTGATACCTTGGGCGGGAGGGCCGGCTAGGTGTAGGGACTAAACCATTTCGCTGGTGTGTCTGTGACGAAAATAGCACAACCCCCTGTCAACTTCCTTCCGCTCCACTAAATGTATGGATCTTGGTCAAAGACTGGAAAGAGCCCATCGCAAGCTTGGAAGTCCTTGATGGATCCGCGGAATGGGGTTTATTAGGGCCTTTGGGTGGCATTCGGCCTTGGATCCCTTCCTTTTCATAGTGTGCGCTAGTGGTAGACGCCGTTGCAAAAGTCGATTCTCGTTTAGCCACCTCGGCGACAGTAGTTTGGCTCTCTCGCTTGGGACCATCTCTCGCGGGTGGGCTGCTATAGCCCTTCTTTACTCACTACTTTTCAACGGGAGGACTCCCATGGCGGAGCGGGTGTAACCATTTGAGAAACCCGGCGTTGGGGATGGGGGATGCGACTGGTCCCTGCCAAGATTTCGCGCACGCACAACTGAAGTCATTGGCTCTGATGTGAATGCTGTGTGCCCCAGTCTGACGTGCTTTTCGCAAGACATCATGCCCCTCTTGCCCTTCTAGTTGTTTGTTGCTTTTGTCTTGGGAGGCAGGCAAGATATTCGAAGAATGATGAGCTACGCTAAAGTACCCCTTGCTCGCTTTTCTGCGACTTTGAAACAATCGGAGAGGCTTAAGAATTTCTGGCCTTGAAGAGCGCGTTTTCCGGCGGACCGTAGAGAGAGACATTGGCTTCGCTCGCCCTCGTTGGTTGGTGGATGAAGACACGACATTGGGGGTGGAGGGGGATATCGATTTGATCTATGGTGTTACTGCCACTGCATACTCGGTTCACGTGTACTCGGGCAAACAGCACCACGGCTATGCCTGCATCGGACGAGCCGAATATAGGAGAGTCTCCTCTGGGGTGGCCGGGTAATATATAAGGGCCACTCAAGACATTGTTCGCATATTGCACCCTGAGCCTACGCGAGTCTGGAAGAATCCTCGGGGTACGAGCTGGACCCTGAAACCGTTGGCGAGAGGTGGGAGAAGAATAAATTTGAAAAGGGATCTAGATCAATAGGTCGCCCTACAAGAGCTGTTTTTCTTTTTTTGTTGACCTGATCTCGAATCTGAGTCTAGGGCGGGCTTGTTGGTGTGTTCGCCAGCAAAAGGGTCGCAAACTCATAGAACACTTGAGCACTTAGCAAGGATCCATCACTCACGCATTCGTGTATGGCTTAATCTACTCAACTGGCCGAGTGGCGTTGGATAAGTCTTTCAAGCCGGCCGCTCATGCTGATCTCTTGCGCTTTGCGTACACTTGGATGAATGCCGTTGTTGACCGTCTCGCGGATGCCACCGCCGACCAAGGACCATGTCCCACCCTCTCTGCCCATCGCCGTCCCACATGACGTTGGGTGTGGGATGGAGGCACCCCCGATGCGTGCAAAAGCTCTCCGCTTTTGCTCGTCAAGCGCGGATCCTTCGCATTCTCTTTGCTCCAAATCGCTTCTTGGCTCCAGGCGGCAAAGACGGGACAATCGTTGATGTACCGCTCTTGCTTCGAAGGTGCCCTTTGACACTTTTGGGCTACCTCACTCAACGGTGACGTTTCCCCGACTCACAGTGCAGTGGCAGTCTCCACAAATAGGAGCCACCCCCTCAAGTCATCGAAGCGTGCTGCGTGCCTCTTTGGGTAGTCTTACCGTCACCGTTATCGACCGATTTAGCGCTACTTCGATTTGTCCTTGGTTTTCTAGGCCTTTCCTCCCCTCCCCCGTTCCCGAGCAGGGGTCTCCGTGGTATATTACACAGACCGTTCCCACCCTCCCCGGCCCCTGGCAAGCCACTGTGCACAGCCTTATATCTCGTTTTTCGAATAAAAGTTGCGCCGTGAGGAATTATCTCTTCTTTTTCCCTCCATTCCAGTTGCGTGTCGAAAACAGTCGTTATTCCTTCAGCTTTACGTTTTCCGTGGGCGCCATTCGTTTTTTGTCTCTCGTTTCCTCTTCTCTCTTCAATCTGGCCCCCTTTTTCTCTCCTGCCCTTTATTCCTTTGTTCTTTGACTGCCACTCGTCAAGACTCGGAAGGCAGTGCCGATTCTCTTAACTCCGTGTCATTCGTTTGTACCCATCGACGCTGATCCCATCCAACTAGGGCCCTCGATCTTGGCCACCCTCGTGACTCCACCTCGCGGTCCCCGAACAGAACCTCGTATCCGTCGAGTCTACGAACGGATTCCTGTTTTCAAGGAAAAAGAAAAAAGTCTTGATAACAAAGAAACAAAAGAAAGAGGAAGTCATGATATAGCTCTTCAGCACAGATTATCCAAAATAGATATTCGTGCAACCAACTGCCCATCTTCGACCGGCTCGAATTTTCGTCCAACCACTACCCGAAATCGAGATCCAAAGTTGATAGCCCACCGACGACAAGCACACCAGCTTCCCACCCCTACCCCCTTTATTGGGGAAATCCTCAAGACCGACACGATGGAGGCCATCGTCGAAATCTTGCTCAAGCGGGCCGATGACCCCGGCCAGGAGCTCCTTAAGCTGCTTCAAGACCCCTTTGCCAACCAGGTAAGCATATCGCCCTGATAGGTTGAAAGCTGTGCCACAATTGGGCTTTTTGGAGCTGACCAAACGCCTTTCTGTGCCTTGCAGCTGCAAACCACATCCATCTGGACTGCGCTTGGCACCTCGCTCGGTTTCACGGCCGGCATCGCTATCCTCTTCTCCCTCCTCCGACCCTACAACCAGGCCGTCTATGCCCCGCGGTTAAAACATGCCGATGAGAAGCACGCGCCCCCACCGATCGGCAAGAAGATCTGGTCGTGGGTGAAGCCGCTATGGAACAGCAGCGAGGCTGAGATGGTGGGGTATGTTGGCATGGACGCTACCATTTTCCTACGCTTCACCCGCATGTGCAGGAATATCTTTGTCATTCTCACCGTCCTCGGCTGCGGTATCCTGATCCCCATCAACGTCAAGTATGTTGACCAAGCCACCAAGCCCGAGTCCTGGTTGGCCGTCATCACTCCCTCCAACGTTTGGGGAGCGCCCAGTGGGCCCAAGTCGTCTTCGCCTACATCACAAACTTGACCGTCTGTGGCTTCCTCTGGTGGAACTACAGGAAGGTCCTAGCACTTCGGCGCAAGTACTTTGAGAGCGAGGAGTATCAAAACAGTCTCCATGCCCGGACCCTCATGGTATGTTGGTTGATAACATGTTTTTCCAGTGTGCCACGCGTAAACCATATTTTGGCGCCAGTCGGCACCCTTGCTTGAAGGCCGCTGTCTTTTTGCTAACATGATATCCCACTCTATAGCTTACCGATGTTCCCAAGGCCCGATGCTCCGATGAGGGTATCGCCCGCATTATTGACGAGGTGGTTCCCAACTCGTCCTTTGCCCGGACTGCCGTCTCCCGCAATGTCAAGGATCTGCCCGAGCTGATCAACGAACACGATCGTGCCGTTCGCAAGCTGGAAAAGGTCCTGGCTATCTACATGAAGAACCCCCAGCAGCTTCCGCCCGCCCGCCCCCTGTGCTACCCATCCAAGAAGGATCCTTCCTACGGCAGCTACCCCAAGGGGCAAAGGTGGACGCCATCGAATACCAGACCCAACGCATCCGAGATCTCGAGGTTCACATTCGCGAAGTTAGGGCGAGCGTCGACAAGCGGAGCACCATGTCCTTCGGCTTCGCCAGCTACTCGGACATTGCGGAAGCCCACAACATCGCCTACGCTTTCCGTAAGAAGAAGGTTCACGGCGCCACGGTCCGCCTCGCTCCCCGCCCCAACGACATCATCTGGGACAACATGTCCCTCACGCCTCAGGCCCGGAGCTGGAAGCGCACTATGAACAACCTCTGGGTGTTCTTGCTCACTTTGCTCTGGATCGCCCCCAATGCCATGATTGCCATCTTCCTCGTGAACCTGGGAAACCTCGGCCTCGTGTGGCCTGCCTTCCAGCGAGACCTCATCCGCAACGCCACGGTGTGGGGTATCGTGCAGGGTATCGGCCCCCAGCCCTCATGTCCCTGGTCTACCTGGTTCTCCCCATCATCTTCCGCCGCTTGGCTATTGCTGGCGGTGACCAAACCAAGACCGGTCGCGAACGCCACGTGCTCGCGAAGTTGTACTTCTTCTTCGTCTTCAACAACCTCGTCGTCTTCTCTCTCTTCAGTGCCATCTGGTCCACCGTCGCCGGTGTGATTAATCAGACCCAGCACGGAGTGGACGCCTGGCAGGCCATTATCAAGTCGCAGCCCGAAGTCGCGCTCTTCCTCGCCCTCTGCGGTGTCAGCCCGTACTGGGTAACCTGGTTGCTCCAGCGCCATCTCGGTGTCGCCCTCGATCTCTCTCAGCTGTGGCCCCTCGTCTACGGCTTCTTCATGCGACACCTGTCCAGCCCGACGCCGCGCGAGCTTATCGAGCTTACCGCGCCCCCGGCTTTCGACTACGCCAGCTACTACAACTACTTCCTCTTCTACGCCACCGTCGCCCTCTGCTTCTCCGGCATCCAGCCTCTCGTCTTGCCCGCGGCCGCGCTCTACTTCACTATTGATACCGTGTTGAGGAAGTACTTGTTGCTTTACGTATTTGTCACTAAAACGGAGTCGGGTGGTCAGTTCTGGAGGGTCTTATTTAACCGCTTCATCTTCAGCACTGTCCTCGCCGACCTCGTCTTCTTCCTCACCACCTGGGTGCGCGGCGACGGAACCCACATTCAGGCTTTCGCCGTGATCCCGCTCCCCTTCCTCGTCATCGCTTTCAAGTTTGTCTGCTCTTCCATTTTTGACAAGAAGCTCCACTATTACTCGACTCACAACGTTCGCAAGCACCCCGAGGCTGGCAAGGAGTCCCGGCTCAGGAGCGAAAGGCTGGCTTCTAGGTTTGGCCATCCGGCCCTCTACAAGCCGCTCATCACCCCCATGGTCCACCAAAAGGCCCAGAACATGCTACACGTCGTCTACAAGGGCCGCCTGACCGATGGCAGGGAAGCGGGCTCCAGCGACCTCATGAGCGTCTCGGGTTACTCGGACACCTACGCCCTCGACCCCATGCGCGCCGGCAAGCCTGGAAAATCCGCCGCTGTTCCCGGCTTCGAGTTTGTCTCGGAGGCCCACCTTGATTTCGAGTATTACAAGGACAGGCCCGAGTTCGCAAACGAGCACGGCGCCGGTGAGATCTTTGGCACGCCTTCGGACATCATCCGCCCCGGCACTCCTGGCTCCATGTTTGGCGGAAGCGAGGGATCGCGCCCCGGTACCCCGGAGCCGCTCCCGTTGGAGGCATGGGAGCCGCCGATCATATGCACGGCGGCGCTTACCGTGCCTACACACCTCCTCGATCAGCTTCGCCTTTTACGCCGAACCCGCAGGCTGGATTCCTCCAACAACCCATGTCCGCCGCCGATGGTCCCTCGCGCACAAGAAGTCCGCTATACTCTCAGGCCAACAACAGCGCGACCGGCCTGGTGATGTCGGCGGCCGGGATCCCCATGTCGCGACCTGACTCGCCGGCCTCGATGCGGCACGACAGCATGGACACCACCTCGCGCGTTACCTCGCCTTACACGCCCGGTCCAACTGTCGGCGCGCTAGGCGGCGGCCCTCAGGGCTATAGCGGGCTCGCGCAGAGCGAGGAGCCCCTAACAACGGTGCCACGGCAGATCCCTCACAGTACGACTACTTTAGGGAGGCCGACAAAGGAGACAGCCGGGCGCTGGCTGGTAAACGCCCGTGTTCTTGATTTTATTTCTCCGAGTTTTCTTCTCCTCCTTTCACCACCTGACATGATTTTTAATCCCCTTTTGTGTGCGTTTTAGTCGTGCACAACTGATAGAGATGCATTGTAAAGGGCATGGCGTTCATGCTTGCAATCTTTTTCCCTTCTTTGTCTTTTTTCTTTTTCTTTTTCCCGAGGGAATTCTTTTCTGGCTGAAAAAGAATAAACCAAAACTCAACCGAACCTGTTTCCTCGACCCTGTTCCGAGGAGGGCGTCTACTTTTCCTTTCTCTGCAATTTACGAGATATTTATGATAACATGGCACATGAAAACTTTCAGGCGGGTTGATTCCTGGCTTGAATTGCCAACATGTGCATTTCCCTTCCATAGAATAATAGCCTGAAATTGTACATCCTCCAAATCTCTTCTTTTTCCAGATCCGAGTGTTTGCCCACAGGTACTAGAAGAATCTTCGCATAATCTCCACCGCAATGCGCACGTAATATCAAAGGTCAAGTTCCGATGCCTTCAACTAGGGATGTACGCAGAGAGAGTACAGCATGCACTGCCTACTGGAGGCGGGAGCTAGTGTTATCGGGGTGTGTTGTTGTTACACGTTCCAGCGTGGTGGTTCCGGGACTGCACATCGCAATTTCTAGTCTGCGGCTCTTAAGGCGCCGTGTTCCGTAAATAGAATTTTTCCCCTTGGATCTACCCGTCAACGATCATCCCTTGCCTTTGCATCCTTTCTTTCCCTCCCGGGCAGATCGAGGTGGGCCTTGGCGCAGATCACTTCCAAGCTCGTGTGGCCTGCTCGTTTTTCTCTCTTCCTGCATTTGAGAGTTCTTGGCGACGAGAGGCTCTCAGAGGCGAGGGAGTGGTTGTTGGTGATATGGTTGGTGCTGATGGGTTTAGTGGAGGAGTATATTTTGGGGTGAAAGGTGATGGTGGCTGAATCAATGGTTTCTCGAGGAAGTTTGGAGCTGGATGCGGCAATATGATGCAAGCTCTATCGTATGCATGTTGAGTGTCTTGCTTGGGACTAGATTAGAAGAGGTGGCTATGACTACCCCTGATAACCTGCAGCAACAGGTAGAGCGAAAGGACAAGTAGATGTATTGTTATATTATCAAGATCAACGCTCTCTTCTATCCGCCATAAAACGTACGATCTATGCCACTATCACCTCGCATACCATGATGATTCTCATCTATCGCGTACATGTGTCCAACATAACCCCTTCCATACACCTCATTATCACCTTAGATTAGATTATATTCATGGCGCATTCACACCGTCCTGGACACCCGAACCCTCTCGATCGTCGTGATGTATCCGTAGAATATCAGCGCAACTTTCCTGAAGCGCCCAAGCTGACAGACCACTTCTCCAGATCCGAGGCAACACCTTCTACCAGCGCATCGTCTATCACGCCGTCCTGCCAGGTGAGGCCGATGGTTACGGTACCGGACTCCTTGCAACCCGCGACACTGGCGCCCACCCCAGCGCCCGTGACGACGGCGGACTGCGTAAACACGTGGCGCGAAATCCTCGCAGCGACGCCGCTGTCATCACCCCCGCTGATGACGCCGACGTTGCTGACCTCCCAGGACGAAGAGCGCGCTTTGCCGTCCAGCTTCTTCGCCCGCTCGTGCCAGTCGGACACCCATCGGAGCAGTCCGACGATGTCGTCCGCGGGCAGCGTCTCGGCCCTCTTATTGAGCTCGCGCTTCACGCGGCCGGCAACTTCCCAGATCTTGTCCTCGAGAGAGGAGCCTGCATCATCACCGGAGGTGCCCTCGGACAGGCGGGATCGGAGAGCCGCGACCTCCTCGGGGGTGAAGGAGTGGGTGAAGCTGGTCACGAGGACGGACATGGTCTTGTTCAGGTCCCAGCCCGGCGCGGACGCGTACGGGCGCAGCGTCATGGGGGTTTGGCTAAGGTACACCTTTTCGTCGGGGAGCTGGCGGATGAAGGAGGTGAACATGAGGGCGTGGGCTAAGCCGGTGAGGGTGGTGCCGTGCGTCCGGCACAGGGCGACGAGGTTGGACGCCGTCTCGCCGTCTATGGTCACGATGCGGGCGCGGGTCTTGTACGGTCTCGCGAGGTCGATGGGTGCGCCGCTCCAGTACTTGGGGACGGCGGGGGCGAGGAAGGACGGGCGTATCTCCGACCAGATCGCCTTGAGGATGTACCGCCAGCTAAGGGTGATGTTGACCGCGTCTTCTTGGCTGGGCGGGAGCGAGGGCGGCTCGGGGTAGCGTAGGGTGGGGAGGGCGTCTGGGATGTCGCCCGAGGGGATCGGAGTCTTTAACAGGGCGGAAAGTAGTGCGTTTTGAATGATTTTCCCGCTTAGACCGTCGCCGATTGCGTGGTGGTAGGCGAAGACCACGTCCACGTGGGGCGCTGCCTCTGGGTTTCCAATGATTGTGATGCTCCACGGGGACCGGTTCACGATGTCCGGCCAGGGTGTGGAGTGTTTTGCCTCGACCACTTTCACTAGCACGGCTTCCTCCGGTTCTCCGGGAGAAACTGGCTGCCACTCGAAGTGGTTCCCGAGATCAATGGTCGGGAGATGAGTAAAGGCCGGGTCATTGGTATGCTCGCCCGCGATTCCCACGCGGAGGAGGGTTGGTCATCGATCACGAGGGGTAGGGCTTGGGCGATCCACGCCCTCCAAGCCTGCGAGCTCAACGGCTCGGGGGCTTCATACCGACAGGTGATGGCTACGCTATAGTAGAGACCTAGCGAATGACGAGCAGTCGAATATTGCTCCCTGCGTGTAGTGTTAGCTAATTTTGACCGAAAGCTTTGCCCAATTGGCATCTCCTGTAGTCTCACATCTTGCCGCATGGGCGTAGCTTCTTGACTGTGTCCTCCATGACTTTCAATGGCGTCGGAAGTCGCTATTTTCTGCCTCGAAGATTTGGAGTTTTTCCTTTTGCTAAGAAAAAAAAAAGGGGAGAAAGAAGACTAGAGAAGATCGTCTAAGCAAGCGCGACTTATACCCGAGAAAAGAGCTGCGTATCCCGTTTCAAGACAAAGAGAGGTTCGATCTTTGAGCAATTTAAGGGGTTCATTCCCATTTAAACATGGAATCAAGTCTATTCGTGCCTCGGTATTCTAAATATACAGTTGAGGTTTAAACTGGTGCCTGAAAGGGCCGTCAGCTTACACCACGGAGATTGAATCCTACGTTCGAGATGTCCCCACTCATCGCGTTGAACTTGACGTGATCCTTCCCATGGCCCCTTAAGCTTGGCGCAACGGTTGCGAAGCTGCCGAGGTTTTGCCGTTGTCGTCCGGAATAGGGACATGAAAGTTAGGGGAAAGCACGCCCAGTCATAACAATGGACAAAGGCCCCTAAAGTATCGGGTGGCACTGGCAGTTCCCATCAGCGCCCTACGCTCAAGCCACTGTGCTCTTCTGGGCGCACTAGTCGGGAACAGTTTGAACTGTCAGGCGGCTGTCGAGCAATAGCACGACGCGAAATCTCCCCAAACAATTCCCACCGACGCCCAGCCTCCGCGTCGAGCTTCACCGATTTGGGGAAATTGATGTCCTAATCGTACTCGGTCATTTTCTCTTCTTCTTTTCTTTTTCTTTTTTTCTTTCCTCTTTTGCTCTCTCCTGCAGAAAAAAACCTAAGCTCTTTTTCTCTCATCTTATTCTTTTCTTAAAACATCTTCCTTTTTCCTCTTCTTCATCGGAGCTCGAGAGATCATCCCCGACAACCTGCTTAGAGAAGGGGCGTCGAAACAAATCTTACCACCTGTCTCGAGGGTTGCTCGCCTCCCCGCCATGTCATGACACGAAGCAGATACCCGACGAGAGCCATGCAACTGCCCGACTCGTGACACCCATTTGAATACGTTTATGCCTTGTTGCCATCACAAAGCCGAGTAATTCGAGCGGGTTCCCGAAATGGACCAAAACCGTCGGGCGAACATGGATGCGCCCTCCAGTTTACCCAAATCCTCGCGACCTTCCAATGCGACCCAGTTTACCGTGAACCGCGATTCTCGACGACCGCTTTTGGAGCCTCCGCAGGTAGAGAAAACAGCAACATACCCAGGGCGTCTACCCCCTCTGGAGTCCGCAGAGAAAAGACTTCGCCTGCCGCCCCCGCCGCTACCGCAAGCCCCAAAATGGCTTTCGCAAAGCACGCCGCCCTCGCCGGCGCCGCCATAATCCGACCCTCAAGCGCCGGCTCAGTGGGCTCCCGGTCGGAGAATAGCAACTTGTCTTCCGCCTCGAAAAACACGCGGATACCTCGTCCCGCTACTGTCGCGCCTAACTCGACGAATTCCAGGAGGCCCATCACGCTCATGGAGGCGTATAGGCTGGCAGAGGAGGAGGAGGAGCTTCGGGGCGCCCCGTATGGCCCAGACGCGTCGCCTAGTCCCGCGCCGCGACCGTGGCGTTCGCGAAACAGCTCCGAAGAGGCCAAAATGAGAAAGCTATTGAATCAGGACCCGCAAGATATCAGGGGAAGGGAGTCGAAAACGCCCGACGTTGGTCGCAGCAGCATACCCAGGCGGCCTGGCAGCTCACTGTCGGAGAGAAGTAGTCACTCATCCGGCTCTTCCGATCGTAGGGTTTCGTCCGACGCGAACAAGGGCAATCTCTCCGCCAAGTCTGGCTTGTTCTCCAAGTCTAAAGTAGGCCCAAACATCGCCAGGACGGGTGAGGCGCTCGCGCGCAAAGCCAGCAATAGCAGCCTTCGAAGCAGCGGCTCGGTTTCTCCTGCTCCCCGCGCCTACCGTGAACGAAATTCGCTGGGCCGTGAGGACAGTGTTCCCAATTTTGATCCCCTCCCAGAAATTCGAGCAGTGTACTCGTACCCCACGCCTGAATACGAGGGCAACGCCTCGTCGCCCAACAAGAGCTATGCCTGGCAGCTGGAGAATGACTTTACTGCGGGCGACCTCTCGATTTCGGAGAGCCCGAGAATTAGGGTGGACTCGACGGGGAAACCACGGCGAAGCCGCAGCTCGAGGAGGCCGCCAAGCTCGACCCCCTCGCCGCAGCCCGTGGAGGCCCGCGAATACTAAGCTCAACGAAATTATGGAGAGGGAGGTTCAGGACGAGAAGCAACACCCGCATCTGGGGAGCCCTCAACCCCGGCCTTTTACCACGCGGATGGGAGAAATTCAGGCCTTGGAGCGGGAGATTGATAACCTGCTCCCGAATAGGTGGGACCGACCCAAGAATACGAAGCTCGACGAAATCAGGGCCCGGGAGAAGGAGATTATGTCGAATAAGTCTGTAGCCGCAAGCAGGTTGGAAGAGATACGGGAACTAAACTCCCAGCCCCGAGCTAAACCTCAGTTGACACCTCCCCCGTCGTCCCCGAGGTTGGCCAGGAATCTACCGCCTTCTACGATGCGGCGTCCGCCAATCGCCCCAGTTATGGACTGGGTCAGGGCGAGCAGATCCCCCACACCCCAGTCACTATTTATCGCAAGGGAAGGCAGGATAACATAAGCAACACGAAGGCTCCTTCCGTGGAAGATTCGAGCAACAAGGCTTCCACAAACTCGAACCGGGATTCGGACGTGCCACGAGACCGTCAAATTAACGACCTAGCCACTCAGGATTCCTCAAGAGAGCTTTTGCAGAGGTTGGCTCATGCAGCAAGCACAAGTCCCGCTGTGGAAACCACTACACCCCCACCACCACCACCACCAAAGGAGGAGGCATTACCGCGACGAAGGGAGAATGCGAATATTTCGCAACCCTCCAGCAGACCGACGAGGGCAGTTGTCTCACAGCAGGAGAATAGACAGCCTTCTCCTAACAACCACAACAGCAATAACAATAACACTAAAACCCACCTTTCTACTGAGCAAAGACGGACGCAAAGGATGAGTGACAACAAAGACCTTGAAAAGAAGCCTTCAGTCGGCTTTGTCGGGGTTCGTCGAGCCTCTTCGTTTGAAGCGACGCAAGAGAAACGCCGGAGTCTGCATTCTGACGGTGATCCTACAGAGCGTATTGAGCGTGAAATGCTTCTCTTTGCACCAGCCGATAACCATTCTGAGAGAGGCTCCATCTACATTCCATCCCCGCCCTCAGCTCGGACGAGGATGAACCTAAAGACGATGGCGCCGCCGATGAAACTCCGCGGCCTAAGAGGCAGCAGGATATACTGGCCATGCCCACTCCTCGCATTATCGGCGCCTACGTTGGAACCCCGGCCACTATTAAAGTCGGGCGAGTCGAGGACGACAAGCCAACCAGACCCCCGTTGAGACTAAACCCCAGAGAGCCGAGCCGATCAACCGGAGACGAGGAGACAGCCAGAGCGGTGGGGGCTCTGATTCGGAGCTGCGCAAGCCAAAGAACCGCGCAAGCTCTCGTCCTCGCCGTCGTGCAAAGTCTCTTTCCAAGAACCGCCTGCCCCTCATCAACTCTGCAAATCCACCCACCGTCAAGGATGACTTGTACGAACTACAGCGCTCGCACAACATTGAAGACTCCACCCTCGACGACTTTGGTGACCTTCTCAACAATGACCGACTCGCCGATTCCCCGAACTCGACCAGATCCTGGAGGACCTCAAGGATAAGCTCCTCGAAGAGGTGACCAAGGACCAGGAGAAGAAGCGGCCGGGCAGGTCTAGCAAGGAGAGGACGCCGGATGGCGGGAGTGACTTGGAGGCTCTGAACCGCATGACCAAATCCGTCACCTCGAGTCTCCGCGACCTCCACGCTGTCAAACGGGGCATCGACCGGCTATCTGACCAAGTCAACCTTCCCGATCTCAACCCTGCGGATCAAGGCGCGGAACCCACCGCTAAGCCCGTTGCTCCCGCTGGGTCTGACGCTATCGACGAGAAGACATTAGCAAAGGCCACCGAACTCCTCAAAGCCGAGCTTCTCAAATCTGGTCCCTTCCCGCCCGCCGTATCCAATCCTGACCAAGCTGCCGTCGTCCACTATCCCCAGCTCTACACTAATAGGCCTTTCCGGTTGACGCTCCTCGGGCTCGTCACCGGCCTGTTCACCCTCTGGTGTGTAGCGGAATCCGCCATGTGCGCCCAATACTGCCGCCCCGCCATCTGCTCGGAGCCGCCTTGCGTCTGGTCACCCGACGACCCGACGTGGGGCGTCGCGATCCCAAGAAGCTCGACCAGTGGGCCATTGGCGGCCGCGGCCGGGTTCTCGCCAGCCGCCTGGCGGATGAGTGGGACGACCTTGTCGCCGATGCCTCGGACCTCCTCCACGGCGTCGACATCCGCACCACCAACCCGGACGAGCTAGACTTCCGGGATCGCCGTCAGTACCGCCGTCGTATGCGCAAGAAGGGCTTGCTCAAACAGCGGGCGGAGTCGCCGGCGCACAAGGAAAAGTGGGATGCGTGGCACGCGGCGCGGATCGCGACGGAGAGGGCCAGCGCGGCGCGCGAAATGGGATATGACGTGTACGACGAGAGCGAAAGCATGGGCGACGACGCTAAAGGATAGGAGCATACGTGGGCGTTGGTCATTTTGCCTTTTCTTCTCCTCTCTCTTCTCTCTCTTCTCCCCGCCTCGAAGTGCCTGCGCACTGGTCGTGGACTCGTCTGCCTTGCCTTGCCTGCCTTTTCTTTTCTCAGCTTCTATATATATATTCATTCCTCATAGCTGTTTAAATGTAAGCCAAGATGGACATTAAAAAGGGATGCGTGGCGTTGGGGGAAAGGATGAAACCAACAAAAAAGTGCCGGTGTTTTTCTTTCTTTTTTCTTTCTTCTTTCGATTTTTTCCTAGTCAGAAAGGGGTTATCATCTGGAGTCATGGATAGGGCATTAGTTGATACTTTTTAACATTGAAGTCTTCTTTCTCTCCTTCGATTCTTCGATGTATCAGCTCATATGTACCATCACTCGTCGAAGAGTAACGCCGCCTCGAAGGGAGTTGAACGCTAGCATATGGAGAGCCTACTAGCGGCCCTAATCAAAGCCCTCTTCTTTCTATTTGTTTGAACATTATCAACCCGATTCCTTTTTCCAACTCACTGTGTTCATTTTAAACTCACCCGCGAAGATCCCGACTCCCAAACTTTGGCTATGCGGCCGGGACCGTTCAAGGCAAGTAAGCATAGCTCCAAGACATTTAGATCGTCAGGCCATCTACGTAGGGAAGGACAAAGAAGAAGGCTTCCCAGCACGTTCATGACATCCCGTATACCGTCTATTTTATTTGTATTTTCTATCAAAAGACAACGGTACTTTACCGGACACAGCCGGCGGCCTTGCACCAACTTTTTCTCCGCGTCTAGTGTAAAAGTCCAGGGCATCTTCCCAAATAACATCACGAGGCTAGTGATGGCGGCGCCGGCCGCCCAGCATCCCCGAGATTGGCGACGGCGGCAAGCAACCTAGGGAAACAAAACAACCCCTTTTTTTCTTTTGTCCCTTCCTAAAAACATACTTTTCCACGTTTTGCCCATTGCTCGTTGTAATGCGTAAGAAAAGAGAAAGGGAAGAGTGGGTTCTCGCAGATAGAGCAGGACGTGATGGTATCTCTGCCCACCACTCGCGAAACATGGCTTGGCGAAGGGCTAGCTTGGGGGATTTTTCCCTTTCGTCACTAAGTCCTTGCACATGCCATTCCGCGTTCTACGTGGTCTGGACTTAACCGATGACCTTCTCGATGCACTCGATTCTATGGTGGAATTTTCCCTGTCAGTACGCTACTATGCTTGTAGATAGAGAGGAAATTGAGTCGGGGTGCGACTAACCCGTGGTTGTCCCTGAGCTCATCCATCAAAGGCTTAATGAGGCTCGCGTAGACGGGAGCGAGGACACCCTCTCGGAGATGGTGCCGTTGAGGACCTGCTTCACGGCTGTTTCCGGGGATAACGAGTTAGTTGAATGTAAAGGGGGACGGACACTCGGAGGACTAGGCCGCCAAAGTGGGCAGTCAGGCGGTGATAGGCCCTTGGGGCAACAAAAGGGAGGAGGGGCAGGATGCGGGGTGGGGGTGGGGGATGACTTGCCAACACCGCAGGGAACGCCGACCAGCTTGGCCATGGCGGAGTAGCCGCCGGAGCCGATGGGAGCGCCGTATTCGCAGAGAGTGGAAGTGATGGTGTTCTTGCTGCCATCCTTGTTCTGGACCTCGAAAAGGTGCTGGAGGAACTGTGGTACCAGACACGGTTAGCGTCAATTTCGAAAAAAGGCCAGAGAGTACCCAGCCTCGTGTTAGACAAGGCGGATAGGTCTAGACGTACGACAAGGTCACGCTCGCCGTCCTCATAAGCCATCTTCTGCTCGAGAGAAGCGCAGAGGGTGTCCAGGGCGTTGCCCCTGGGGGTGATTTGGGCATCCGAGAAGATGCCGACTAAAACGCAGCGAAACTCGTTAGCGACTGACCGAGGCCGATTATAATCCCCCTCGACGCCGAGGATACAATTACTTACGCCACTTGAGACCGGAGATCAACGAGTTCCTCTCGTAGTCGTCCTTGAACGAGGTCTTGGACTCGACGGCAGCCAAGAGGTCGGCCTCGCTGGAGGAGCTGGCGCCAATGAGCTGCTTGGTGGCGTCCTTCCAGGCAGTAGGCTCCTTGAAGTGGGGCTGCTCGTCGTCGCGGAGGAAACCGAGGTCGACGAGGACCTTGATGAACTGGGGGAAACCGTTGTAGCGGAGGGTGCCGCGGACGACGGTCTGCGCCTCGGGGATGTTGTAGCTGGAGGGAGGAGGAAAAGTTAGTGCTCGCTCGCTCATGGACCGCGCATCGGGGGAGTATCCTTACCGCTCACGGTAGCCGGTGCTATCACGGTTTCCGTAGGCGACGAAGTTGAAGCCGAGGAAACCGGTGTGGTAGGGCTTGGCGGTGGCCATGAGGTCAACACCGTTGATGTCGACCAGGTTGCCGTCCTCGAAGTACCTGGCGTTGTTCTTCAGGGCGAGGAGGACACCGCGGCTGCTCCAGCTGAACTTGTAGCCTGTGAGTTATCGTTAGTAGGCGTGTGCGAGAAGAGGTCGATTGGTCGAAGTCTAGTTACCGAGGGGTTGTTGGAGTCTAGCACGCAGGGATGAGTTAGCAAGAAACGTCGCGGGAGGCCATGGTCGCAGGTGATAGAAACATACTCTCGGGGGCGGGCAGGCCACCGCAGAAGCTCTTGAAGGAGAGGATGGAGCCGCCCTCCTTGTGGACGCGGTCAATCACGTCGACGGCATAGAGGTGGTCGATACTGCAGAAGGGGAGGGGAGTTAGTGGTGCGGAGAGGGTTCAAAGGACGACGGAGTCCAACATACCCAGGGTCAAGCTAGGAAAGAGAATCATGTTAGCAAGGCTGGGGAATGACCAAGGGGTTTTCCTGAACCAGGGCTGCAACTTACGCCAATCTCGTTCATGACAGTGATGCCGGCAGCCTTGGCCTGCTCATGGAGCTCCTCCATGGCGGGAGAGACATAGGAGGTGGTGACGACATGCTTCTTGGCCTTGATGGCGGCCTTAATGACGGCGGCGTGATGGGTGTAGGGGATGAGAGATGGTAACGTCGTGCTGGGCAACGGCGTTCTCGAGAGCAGCGGTGTCGCTCACGTCGAGGCTGACGGCAGTGGTGTTGGGGAAGCCGCCGGCGAGGGCCTGGGCCGAGGCTAGGGTGCGGCAGGCGACGGTGACGTGCACGCCAATCTTGGCGAGGAACTCGACCGTGGGCGTGGCGACGAAGCCGGAGCCGAGGAGGAGGGCGGATTGGGACATTGTGGTGATGGTTCTGGTCTGTCTAATGCCTTTGTAGTGTGTGATAAGGAAAGTGTTTGTTTGGGTTTGTCTGTTTTTGGGTCCTTTCGCGGGGGAAGAGGAGGGTTGTCTTGGTCCGTTGCAAGGAACAAAAAGAGCTGGTTGTAAGTAAACACCGATCCCGGCTAAGGCGAGGAGGGGCACTTTCTAATTTTTTTCTATACCTCGAGACCGAGATGACGCCTCAATTCAAAGACTCACCCGGCCAGAAAAAGTCGGGTCTCTGTGCGTGTGCCCCGCGTTGCTGGACCCCGCAATGGCAACACCGGACTCGGATCTTCAAGACTTGATGTACCACTTACACCCCCAAGTGTGGGTGAGGCCCAGCCGCAAGTAGTACCTACGACTTGGTTGTCGCATGGAAAGCTTTCGAGGGGCCCTTTTCAACCGTGAGAGATCGGGAGAGCTCAATACAATTGGATTTCTTATTTCAAGTGCTGTGCTTTTTTCTCATGTTCTTTGGACCCTCCTGGCTCTTACAACCTCTTCCGCTCTGAGTTTGCCTATGGCGGGGTTGAGAGGGCATGGGGGATTTCTGATTTCTCCCCCAAAGAGACAAGGTGCGAGCAACCGCTTGTCTAGCAACGAGTAAAAGAATATTGGATAGACTGAAGCTCCTGCCCTCGGCGACGTTTGTACTGGCCCATGTTCTTCGTCCTCGCAGATCCCATCCACTCTTTCTAACATTTATAGTGGGCATGCCTTGACTTGACTCCACACCCAAGAAATCGCGCGATCTTGGCCACCCACGAACCTGGAGGGTAGTGGAAAAGGGTGTACTTGGAGCATCCAATGATACGGGTTTCATTATCTCCCAGCGTCTGCGCGCTTGCCCCTTTCAGGCCGAAATTGAGCTCCGTTCCGTCTCGCCGTCCGCCAACTTTCCATTGGAGCTCCCACTTTCGCAGTTCATCCCTCCTATCATGACTAATGGGGTATGGCTTGGATTCATCTTTTCCCCAAGATGGGCCAGTGATCCTTTCGCCGGAGGGCTCGGCCAATGTTGAGCACTGTGCAATTCGTCAATGGTAAGATCTGGATGTATACAATTGAATTGATCTCTTTGATGCCCGCTCCAGAGTCCTTCCAGCCGGAATGTTGAGCGATGACTGAAACACTGCTTTTCAGCATCAAGCGTCCACTTCTTTGTCTTTTCGTCAACCCAGTCCTACGAGACGGCAGCCAGGCCCAAGCACGTAGATTGTTCTAGGCGGATCATCGCATTGGGGGTACGACTTGGTACTACTTAGCCGAGAACAAGGGTCGACCGTCCCCAGGTTGCGGCGTTGGGAGACGATACCCGCGCTGGAAACTCTTCAGGAATTGCAGCTGGGAATTTCCTCTTGAAGGGTTTCCTGCGATGATGCAGATTTTATCGAGAGTACGAGCATAGAGTCTCAGTTCTGTTTATCGTCGAGCAATAAGCACCCCTGCAAGGTTCTTTTGGGGCCTGGCCTGCACTGCACTGCATCCTGGAGCAATCGTGATGGAAGGAGCCCCTGAAAGCCGGTTGCGTTGATGGATCCATTAAATCTGATCATTCCCGGCTCCATTCTTGAAATGACTAAGCACCGCCAAGCCGCCAAGATGGACATTTGGTGTCGTGTTGCGCTGCCTCTCCTGGCCTCTCGACCCCTACTACCCCAGAAGGAGATTGTATTGCCTCGTAAGCTGAGCGTCCGCACCAGATTCCCCATTTGTCGATTTGCCAAAAACCATGGGCGAAAGCAGTCGGTGATACTCTTCTTCGATCACCTTCGCTTCTTCTGCATAGAGATTTACTGCCCCCGTCCATGTCTGGCTCGCAAATAGTCGACAGGCTCAGAGAGCGTCATCCGGCTTCGTGGTAGTGTCCTATACCTGACGTTTGTGCGTGGTGTTTCGCTTGTCGTTTCCAGTCCACGTACAACCACAACGACACTCCTTTTCTTGACTTCCTTCTTCTTTTTCGTTACCTTTACCATTTTTTTCTCCTCTTGCATTTAATCTCCAGTCCTTCGTTTTTCGACAGCCCTTTCCTCTCGAATTTTACGATATCCTTATCATTTCACCCACCCTTAATCCTCATCGTCTCAACTTTTCGAACCGGTACATAACCCTGAATGCGCGAGCCCACGAGCCTCCCGACGAAACCGAACCTCTTCCCGACGCCATGAGTGACCGTCGGGATCAGGCGTACGACGCCGACCCCCGATACCCTCTTACGACGAGGCTGTCGCCGGCGGCACTTTTGGAGCCACGATGACCACGACGCCGAGACGGAATCGCAGTCCTTACTGCCCTCACAGAGCAATGCCGGCCCTTCACGGCGACATCCTGCGGGGTACAGGCCGCCCACCGTCGAGACGGACGACGAAGGTAGCGAGTGGACGAGCGAGGATGACGACGAGACCACCCAGGTCCGACGGGAGATTCACGAAATGGAAATCGAGGAGGCCGAGGACAGCCGGTCGCGATCCATCTTTGGCAAACGCATGCCCTTTTCCCTGACCCTGCCCAAGTGGAGGTGGTCTTGGCGCTTCCGGATACCGCGGCCCCAGATTCGATTGCCCTCTAGGGCACCGGACACCAGTAACGACACCGAGGCCCGGACGGAGGAAGGGGAGGAGGAGTCTACGCCGAGGAGGAGGTGGGGGCTGCAGGCCTTGCGCGACGTGGACCCGTCCGTGGTCCTGATTTTTGTTGCCCGAATCATGGCCCTATTCGTCCTCATTGGCTTCTTTTACGTCATCTTCATAAGCGACTTCTTGACAGGTGCCGCTTCGCGCGTCGGAGGGGCATGCGGCCCGGCCTCGAAGATCTCCGCATATTCTTACACAACCATCTTGACGAGGCGCACATGCGCGCATCAGTCAAGCACTTTACCCAGTACGCCCACATAGCCGGCACGGAGGGCGACTATGCTTTGGCCGAAGATGTTCGCGAAATGTTCATCCGTGCTGGGCTGGATGACGTGGTCATGGAACGGTACCACGCCTACTTGAATTACCCTAGGGTCGATGGCCGTGCCGTAGAGATCCTCGGTGCCGATGACAAGCCCGTCTGGTCTGCGAAGCTAGAGGAGGAGGATGTTGGTTCGACCACCGCGGGAAGGCAGACGCTCGCTTTTCACGCTCACTCCAAAACCGGCACCGTGCAGGGTCCCCTCATCTATGCCAACTACGGCTCGCGCGAGGATTTCGCCAAGCTCAAGGAGGCCAAAATCGAGACCAAGGGAGCAATCGCCCTCGTGAGGTACGCCGGCACCCAGAAGGACCTGGCATTGAAGGTCAAGGCTGCGGAGCTTGCCGGCTTCGTCGGCTGTATCGTTTACAACGACCCCGCCGATAACGGATTCAAGCTCGGCGACGTCGCCCCCAAGGGCCGCTTTATGCCCGCCGACGCCGTCCCTCGAGGCTCGACGAGCTCGTCGCGCTGGGTCGTGGGTGACGTACTTACCCCCGGCCAGCCAAGCACCAAGGATGCACCCCGTGACAAGAAAGCGGCGGCCGCTGCCCTCCCGGGTATCCCGAGCTTGCCTCTCTCTTCGCGGGATGCTGGTCCGCTGCTCAAGGCTCTCAAGGGCAAGGGCCAGCCGGCCTTCCACGCCTGGGTAGGAGGGGTACCCGATGTTGGCAAGTGGTGGACCGGCGACCAGTCGTCGCCCATCGTCCGTCTTAAGAACGAGCAGGACGAGGTCGAGATGCAGCCCGTCTACAACGTGTACGGCAGGATCGCCGGCATGGAGCAAGGCGAAAAGTCCATTATTGTCGGAAACCACCGCGACTCCCTCGCGTTCGGCGCCACGAACCCCCACAGCGGTACCTCGGTCATGATTGAGTTGGCCCGCGTGCTCGGCGATCTGCGCTCGCGCGGCTGGATCCCCCTTCGCACCATCGAGTTCATGTCGTGGGACGCGGCCGAGTACAACCTGATTGGATCGACCGAGTACGTCGAGCTCAACGAGCAGACTCTCCGCGACAACGCCTGGGCCTACATCAATCTCGACCGCACCGTCGTGGGCGGCGAGTTCCACGCCTCCGGCTCCCCGTCTTCAATAAGCTGCTCCTGCGGATCCTCGACCGTCTCTGGGACCCGGCCTTCAACACCACCCTGCGCGAGGTCTGGAACAACCGCCGCGGCGTCCTCGAGAACCTCGATTGCACGAGCGACTACCTCCCCTTCCAGAGCATCGTTGGCACCAGCTCCATCGAACTCGGCTTCCGCGGCGAGGACTTCCCCGAGTACACTAGCTACGACAACTTTGAGTGGGTACAGGCTGTCGGCGATCCAGGCTTCGTTTACCACCGTATGATGGCCGAGGTCGTCGGACTCATGGTCCTGGAGCTCGCCGATCGGTACGTCATGCCCTACGACATGGAGCACTACGCCAACAAGCTCGACACCTACGTCAAGGAGCTCGGTAAGTGGGCCAAGGGCGTCGCCGACGGTGCCAGCAAGAAGAAGAAGCCGGAGCTCGTGCTAGCCCCCTGACGGAGGCCATCAAGCTCGTCAGGACCAACGCCAGGGACTTTGCCCTCTGGGAGATGGAGTGGGATGCCAACATTCTCGGGTCCGGGGATGGGAGTCCGCTTCGATGAACATCAGGAGGAAGGATTACAATGATCGCATGTCTCGGTTCGAGACGGCGCTTTTGGACCCTGCAGGGGTGAGTCAGCCCCATACCTACCTACCTCTCTCCCCCTTTTCAAATCTTCCAGCGTGAACCTTCGTCTACGTGTGCAGTGACTTCAAACAGCTGCTAACCTTTGCCCCTTTCTTTTTTAGATCCCCGAACGGACTCAGTTCAAACACACCGTTTTTGGGCCCTCCCGCTGGGATGACACCGCCAAGTCCCAGTTCCCCGGCATCCGCGCCCTCGTTGAGGACGGCAAGTGGACCGAGGCCAACGTCCTTGTCGGCCAGACCGCCGGTCTTCTCGTGAAGGCTGCCGAGGTCCTCAACCTTGGATAACCGCCTCTCTCTCAGACAAAGAGTGACGGTGGAGAATTGCAAAGGCGTTCCTGGCGCGCGCCACCTAACCTGGCGGGGGGCCCTGTACGCTGGTTAACCGGTCTTGTTTATTATAAACAATCTTTCTCACGTTTCTCCTTGCCATGCGCCCCCCTCTACCCCGGCTAGGGCTAAAGGGTGGGGAGAGAAGCGGGAGGCTTATGTATGCTTATGGATGGGTGGTTTCATCTTTCAGAAGAGGTTGGAGACGAGCAGCCGCGGCTCGCAACGGGGAAAAACATGTCCATATCTCCCCGTGTTTGACGAGGCCCTCGCCGCCCCTTTCCTTTTTGGGGGTGTCTTTTCTTTTTCAGTTTTGTTCTCTTCTTCTGCTTTCTTTTCGTTTGCATCAGTTTGGAGTTCAGGAAACAGGTCTGCAGACACTCAAACGAGCATCAGCGCCCGGGCTCCCATGGTCATCATCCCGCCGCGCAGTCTCTTCCCCCATCACTTTCTTCATCTCCTATGTTGTTTCTTCTTTTTTTTCTTTTTCGCCCTCCTTCCGACGCTATCGCTTTTTTCTTTCCCTTCTATGTTCTTTACCTGCTCTCGCTGAAGGCGTTGGACAAGGAGGGCCCGTTGAAATTTACGTCAAGATAATTTTTTTGTTCACTTTGTTTTCGTCGTTTTACCTTTTTCCCCTCATATATATATAAAAGGAAGGGAGAGAGGGGGAAGGGGAGCACGGGGAAAAAGGCCTCGGATGGTCTTTGTATTTTGCCTACCATCTCGTACGTATTCAGGAGAAATGTAAACATTCATCGTGCCCATCTTCGTTTCTTCATTCTTTTGGAGGATTTGAGTGCTTGACTCGTGTGGAAATCCTTGTGCGTGCTGCTTACCTACCACCCCATCTCGTACGGAACGAACACAACTTGATCGGATAGTGCCCTCACATCGAGTGAGGTTTAGTTTGGGACAGAGTCACTGCACGTTGTCAAGCAAGCTAGAGGAGAAAAGAATGGAAAAGATAAAAATCGATATAAAAGAGAACAAGGGACAGCACGCAGGGCACAAAAAGGCTCAAGGCAATTAAGGTATGTACAGGAGCGGCGCTTTTCTTCTCTCGCAAGTTACAAAAAAACACTCAAGCTTCTCTCCACCGCCACATCATGCATGACTCGCGACGCTGCCATTCCGTCTCCGCCACCTTGGGGTAAGGGGAAAAAGGTGATAATAAAGGAAGAGAAAAGGAGGTTCCTTTGGCGCGGCTGCCGCTCCTATTCTTCTTTCCTGCGATCTCCTGATAGACTGCTAATTGACGGGGACGTGGTTTCACTTCATCTCTGCTGGAAGATAGGCAATGCAGCGAGGCTACAAGACGATGCCCTCCAGTTGCCTGCTCCGAATGTTCTCGAGGGTCTGATGGAAATGTTTCTTGCTGTGCTCTACAGACGCCGAGTCTTGCTGGTTGCCCGCGAGGTTGGAGTGAATCAGCTCGATGAGTCCGTTGAGGTACTTGGTCGTTACCTAGGTCAAATGTTAGCAGCTTGTAAGGGAATGTGTGTGTCGAGGCGACGCTGGAGTTAGGGATACGTACGGATTCATTTCCTTGGTCAAAGTAGTAGACGTAGCGGTCCAGTATCTCCACAAACAGCTCGATCGAGGTAGCCGTCTCCATGCAGGAGTCGGCCACACGGAGCGCCCGCTGTAGACACTCGAGAACGCGCTTGCCGTCACGGTAGAGCTAGGAGGATATAAATGTTAACATTTCCATCTGAAAAGCCTTTACAAGCGGGAAAGGAGTGTAACTTGGGAAAGGAAGCTGTGAAAAAGAAAACAAAACGTACCTCGGGTCCTTCCTGCTCCCCAACAGGTTCCGGCTGGCCCGGCTGCGGCGTCGCCCACCACAAGTGGCTGGCGAGGTACACGGCCCGGCACTGATCCGGTTTCCTGAGCAGCTTGCTACCATGCTGCGCGCACTTGGTGATGAGGGTGTCGTAGTTTTCCCTTCCAAAGTTCCGCGTCTGGTGGAGCGCGCTGGCGACGACGCACACGGCCTGGAACTGCGCCTTGGAATCCGAAATGGCCTCCTCGTACACGGTAAACGCCTGCGCGAAGAACTCGTACGCCACCTCCTCGAAGCCGGTCTGGTCCGCCGTCTGGCCGGCAGCGCAGAAGAGTCGCAGGGCCAGCTCCGCCGCGCCCGCGCCGTTGACCCTGGTGTAGAGCGTGCTGATGGCCGAGTGCATAAACTTGTACAGGGCATTGCTCTGCGTCTCCCAGTTGTCGACGTAGTGCTCCTTGGCCTTGAACCGGTGCGCCAGCTTCATGCAGGCGGTGAGGAGAGGGGGCGTCGTCGTCCTAATCCGCTCGTTACCCTCGGAAAAGGCCTTGCGCACCATTTGTAGGAGGCGGAACTGGACGTCATTGTCCTCGCTCTGGAGTAGATGAACGAGCCGGGCGAGCCAGCCTTGTTCCTCAATAGTCTCGTCCGTCTCCGCACGTCGCTGGCTAGCTACGGGGTAGCTTCCTGAGGACGGTGAGCTTTCCTTGATGATGACCTTGAGCACCTCCAACACGCTCTCCAGCTCGGCCGTGGTCGATATGGCCGTCTTGTGCTTGAGGAGGGTACGCGCGACCTCGCCAGCCAGCGCCCTCCTGGTAGGGTAGCCCTGGGCTTGGCATAGGGGAACGAATGTAGGGAGGGAAAGGGCGGTGAAAATGGAGACGTAGCGCGATAGGGGCGCGCGAAGGAGAGCGAGGAGGCTGCTCTGGGCGGGGGCGGAGTGAAGGTCGGCATTGTTCGCGTGCTCCCTAACCTTTTGGACAGCATAGTCAAAGATCTGGTCGACATAGTCTAGCCTCTCGGGGTAGATGTTGAGAGCGAGGTTTGTGAGCGACACAAGGAGGGCGATGGTATCTTGAATGGGGAGGTGCTGCGCACCCACGAGATGCTGCACTTGCGTGAAAAAGATCTCGTAGAGGTGGACGTTGGTAGGAATGCCCGGCTTGGCATCCTTGTCGGATCCGTTCGCGTCGGCGTCTGCATCACCTTCGGGCTTATCCGATGAGGCTTCATTAGCATCCGCGGCTTCGCCATCTTCCTTTGGCGCCTGGTCTTCCTCTGGCTTCTGTGAGTCTTCCTCAGCGCCGTTGCCATGAGCATCCGCGTCAGACTTATCGGCGTTATCGGCATCGGCAGAGTCGGCTGCCGCGGCATCCATAGTAGCGCCGGCCGCCGCGCTGCCACTCTTCACATTCGCCCCCGGGGAGGCGAGGCTCTCCTTTCGAAGCTTCATATTTTCTAGCAGGGAAGCGAGAGCGTCGGCCTCGACCTTGGCTCGGTCATCGCCAGGCTCATTCTTGCCTTCGCGCTCAGCATAATCAGAGAGCCTATCCATCAATCCTATGACGATGGCCTTGACGTTCACATGGGGGTTCAGACGAGAGACGGCCCCAAGGAACTGGTCTAGTGTGTGGAGATGGAATTCGTCGGGGAAGACTTGAGTGATGACCTCTAGCAAGTACTCCTGGGCAAGGACGTCGCGGCACTGGACGACCTGCTCGAGAAGAGGACCTAGGATGGAGTTCTTATAGGTCTCGAGGTCTACCAGCTGGCTGAGCCGCACAATATTACTGCCAACCAAGAGCTGTAGCTCCTTTCGCTCGCGACTGCGCTGCTCCCGTTCGCGGGAGTGCCCTTGGTGTTGTAACCGGACCCAGAGTTTGTTCATCTCGACAAAGTTGGTAAGTATAAAGTTGATAGAATCCTGTAAGTTTCCTTCGGGTCCGTCACCATCGCCGGTCGGTAGGAAGTCCCGTGCCTGCCCAGAGAGATAGTATCTGAGGAAGAGACCCCGAATGGGGTGCTGTACACCACGGCTCATGTCCATCATGTCCTTCATTAATTCCTTGACAGGGGCATCTTCTATAGACATGTAGGCAGTGCCGACGGTGATCATGAGGTACATTCTGGGTACGATGTTGCCGGCATACTGAACAAGTTCGTAAAGATCGGCAAGGTGGTTGACGGGGTGGTTTTCGCGGAGATGGACGGAAAGATACCGAAGAGCGTCAAACACGGCCATGTATAGCTCGTAGTACTGCTTAGGGCCGAGGCTGGAGGTTCGGAGCTCGGAAACTAGTGTGGAGCTACATATAGGCAAAGAGAGGACAATCAGCTAGCTGGCCGGGCTAGGCTCGCGTCACCAGACAAGACAGACGGCGACAATACAGGCAATTGCAAGGGAAGCTGCACAATCCGGAGGGGGTCGGGGTCGACATACCAACATTTGAGAGCATCCATAAGCTTTCCGGGAGTATCCAAGCATTTGCGCATTAGGGCCGTCTGTTGTCGAACGGCGACGAGGGCATCCTCAAGCAAGCGGGCCTGGTCCTCCGGCGCGGGAGGAGAAGCCATCATCTTGGATAAGCCGGGGATCGACAACGGGTGCTGAATCACTCCAGTTTGAGCTCCGATCGGTAGCGGGAGGAGCGCGCGGGAATCTCAAGGCGCGGGTGGGGAGGGAAAGTTGGCCAGGAGATCCCGATATCAAAAGCCGGAGCAAGCGGGCGCAGGCGCTGTGTCGAGGGAAACTCAAGAAGAAAGAAAAAAAGAGCTCCGAATGGACAAGGACGGCGAGAAGAGGTAGAGCCACCTACTTGGCCGACAAAGTGGTGGATTGCCGTCGACAAAGGCAAGGTGGAATCGGAGGGGAGGGGCGGGAAACTCGGGGATGATCTTGATATTACACTTCCATGATATTGATCGACGAATAGCGGGATGTGATGGGTGATGCCTCCTGGGTTCCAGGAACCACAAAGGTGGGAGGTAGCTTACCTAATCAGAGAGGCTTTGGAGCTGGGGGACCTTTCTCCGAAGAGAGAAAGGGGGTGGAGAGGGGCTTCGGTGGGCTGAAGCTCCCCGAAAGCAGTTCGATGACGACGCTAGCACGTGACTGGTCGGCGAAATGTATGGCCCGAAAGCTTCTCCCATGGGCTGAATGCGCGCTGCGCGGGTCTGTTCAGGTGTTCAGGAGAGCACACCGGGCTGTCCCGCCCCGCCCGCGCTATCGCTCATTAGGAGCTACAGAGCTGAGAGCACTGAACCAGGCTCAAGCGAACTGGCTCTGTTATCATCGGATGAGCTCCAGCTCTGGTTCAATTCTATCAAGAGCGCTATCAACCACCACGTATTTAATTTTGCCGACACCCGAAGACATCGAACTTGGGCTATGTTCCCTTTCATGCAACCTGAGACTTTCGTTGAAGCTCAATGGCAGGATCTCAAGAACATGCTCCGTCAATGGATCTCTTGACCAGGCGCACCAAACGTCTCGCAGCTTCAGATGAGAGCTCATGGCTACATATGTAGCTGTGGTCGAAAGGTCACACTTACCTTTTGGGGGAGAGCCGTACCTCTCCTCTGCCTGAATTCGTCTCTTCCTTTCCCTTCTTTTCTTTGCCCCCTTCCCACGACCTACTGCAGAGGCGAGTCGAGGGCAGAGAGAAAAGTGAGCAGAGAGACATGGGAGAGGCCAGCGTCTGTTGGACAACCGTCTCATCTTGACTCGACGTCCTTACATTGGTTCGGCTCGGGCATTTCTCGACGCAGTCCCCTCTTCAGCCTCGGCTGCTTGCATCGGTCCCACGGATTTCTGCAGCTTCTAAAGAGACGATGGTTCATTCGGGAACTCGGCAGTGGAGCTTGGTATTTCTACAACGGCCGTCGGGCTCCCATCTTTCCTTCCCCTCCTCCTCTTTATTTTTTTCTTTGTGACCCTTTCATTTCCCATCTGTCTTGCTCATATCTAGGGACTCCCGTTCCCGGATGGAAGGGAGGGAGGGAGACCAAAAGAGAGGGTGGGGGCCGGCTAATATGCTGGTGAGAAGGGCCCGGATACAATACACAGGCTGGTGTAAGATCGTTCGCCCTGGAACACCCAAAAGGTCACGATGGGCTTGGTTCGTCCCAAGAAGAGGCCAAGGACGAAGAGCAGTTTCGCCCCCGCGGCTATTATATTGTCTCCCCTTAACCTCGGGAGTAGGACGCTACCATGTGCCACTAAGGTTGATAGTTGGCTCCTTGAACGGAAATAGAAAGAGAAAGAAGAAGAGAAAAAAGAATGGGCTGCGCCCGAGTCTAGTAGCACAGATGCTCACCAGCAAATCGGTGTTTCTTCTATAAAAAGATGCTAGCGTTATCACCATGCCCTGTCCAATAACGGCTGACATGGCTCAGAGTCATCAGAGTCGTACACTGGCCGGCGAGTGGCCCCGACCGTGAAGCATGGGTTAAAGCATCGTCCCCGCGGGAGCGAGTCCAACTCGAGAGCGCGGGTTGATATACCAAGACATCCTGGAACGTTGTTTCCAGAGTTTCGGCTTCCTCGAAGGTCTTGGCCCGGCTCTGAGCATGCCGAGCAACCGTAGTGGCGGGTCCGTCACTCTTTTTCATACGTCTACCAGAGGTAAGCGCGAACAGCAAGAGACGGGGCAAAGGACAATGATGTGCTCCAACATCGACTCCCTGGATTGTAAGAAACACGCTATCCTCGAGAGACTGGGGTAGAGTAGCTTAGGCAAACGGCGGAAGAACAAAAAAGCACAGAACTCTCGAGTCGGGCCCTAGTCCTGGATGTTTCCTCTCGGCCCTCGAATCCCCAGCGAAAGAAGTCGGAGAGAAGAGGTCAAGGGGTGTCTTCAATGTTCCGAGCGTCCATTGGGTCAGTCCTCCACGAGAGCCGCCCCACGTGCAGGAATTCAAAACGCGAACCGCCTTGGATCGTGTTGGGCCACGCCCCTCCTCCTTTGCCTCTCTTCAACATGGGGACTCTCGAGCAAGATGGATCCATGTTTCCCAGATCCTCGACCTGGCAGTTTGCGCAGGCCCAGACTAAGAAAAGCTTAATCAGAACTTCCCGAGCTTAATTCTTTTTGTCTTCTCCTTTGTTCCTTGTATTGCTATTCACCTAGGGCTTCCTGCAGCATGTTGCCGTCCCGGCTGCAACCATACATCCCTTAGATCCAATTCTTTCCTCGATGGTTGGTTGCGTCCAGGAATTTCGAGTTCCGGCCCCACCATCCCCGAGTCCCGATCTCAGTCTTGCCTACTTTGCTTCCGAGCCTCGCACACACGCACACACGTTCCCGCGCATTCATTCGCGAGAGATGCATGCGGCCTTCTTTTTCTTCCTCCTTTCCTTTCGCTCAAATCCAACGTCCAAAAACGAAATAAACTAATTTTGCTTGCATCGCATTCAAAGATTGCGTTCTTTTCTTTTTTTTTGTTTCCCCCAGTTGGGATTTTCCCCTTCGTCTACGTCGCACCCAATCGGAAAGACCCTGCTCGAAAAAGCCGTAGGGTTGGAACATGAAACCGTCAAACACGGGGCTTGCCAAGACTTGTATGATGGGCACTGTCTTCAGGCATCGTACAAACGCCCACCCCTTGAGGAGGGAGCAAAGACGTACACAGAAGAAGAAAAAAACGTGCGGCTCCTAGCTCTAGGCCAGAGCTCCTTCTTTCCTCTCCCCTGCCCCCGTTCCACGCCAAGTCCGCGCTTTTCTCAGTTTTGTCGCATCGTGAAAGCTTCGTCGGACCCCTCGCGGGGGCTCTAGGCCGTGGGAGGGACAGCCGCCGTCGCACGCCCCCTTGGCTCTTACTCATCCTTGACTACCCAGAGCAAGCCCACTCCCTCAGACAGGGTCCGCCCTTCGACGGAGAGAGGTTGCGAGGGAGCAATTGATCTCTTTATCCGCCATTCCTCCCTCTTCTAGCTCTCTCCTCTCTCCTCCGGAATTCCTGATCGCCGTCGGATGTTTATCGCATCCGCCCACGCCCCTGGCGGTGGAACGGCTCTACTCGTCTTTCCCTGTGCGCTGGGACTTTTTTTTGCCCTTCCTGCTGTCTCCTTGCCCTTTTCTTTGTATCGTGACGTGACCCGCGGTGTGTTATCTCCCGTTTCCGGCCCCCGACGATGGCGGCCTCGAATCTGTTTCGTTATATACCTCGTAAAAGAAACCGCTCCCACACATCGTGACACTCCCTCTCTCTCTCTTTCTCTCTCCTTCGTGTAAGCCGCATACAAGTCCAGCCTGGTGAACATCTCCACTTTACTCCATCCTCCCACTTCGCTTCTTGGTGCCGGTCGCCCCTTTTTTTCTTCTCTTCTTATCTTTATATATATTAATTCTTTTTTAAATTCTCTTCTTTCACCAAGGCCGGCCTTGCCACTACTTCACGCCTTTTTTCCGAGAAACCTTTTGAAAAAGATCGCACACACACACACACACACACACACACACACACCCCACCATGTACGTATCAGTGTCCAGCGTCTTGGGCTTCGCCCTATCCACCTGCGCCCTCGCCAGCGCCGCCTCCTCGGACGACATCATCATCCGCCGCCAAAACCCCGTCAACGCCAACAGTGTGACGACCGCCGACTTCAAGTCCCGTTTCGTGCAGTCCGGCATCGTTCCCGAGGTCATCGCCGCGCTCGACCCTCCGTCTCCTTCTACGCCTCCTACAAGACTAGCTCGGGCGGCGATGCTCTTCTCGTCCCTGGTTCCACTTTGACCGTTGCCGGTAAGTCTTTTATACACATCCTCCGAGCCCAGGGACATGTTCACAGAGCTTCTATTGCGTTCATTCTTGTCTCCCGCCCGCTTTCTCCCTACGCTATTTCTGAGCTGGACTAATAACACGCTCCCATCATCTCAGAGGCTGCCTTCCCGTTTGAGTTCTCCGTAGAGAACCTCAATAACGCCACCGGCATCACCTCCAGCACCAGGTTCTTGATCTACCTTGTAAGTCAATCTCCCTCTCCACTCCTCCCCCAATCAGCCATCTCGAACCATGGAAAAGAAGAGAGTAAAGAAGAAAGAAGAAAGAGCAGCAGATGAGATGGGTGGGGCAAGTTGGGCAACAAAACATAAACACGCCAGTATTGTTATCTAACCGCCATCTCCGGGAAACTCTAGCTCGATGCCGATGCCCCGAGCCGCGACCAGCCCAACTCGCGCAACCTCCGCCACTACCTCGCCGGCAACTACACCCTCTCCAACTCGGGCTCCAGCGTCCTCTCCACCGCCCAGCGCCTCTTCCTCCCCTCCGCTCTGGGCTTCCCTTCACCCCCTTCCAGGCACCCCAGCCCGCCGCCAACACCGGCGTTCACCGCTTCATCTACGCCCTCTACACCCAGCCGCCCAATTTCAACACCGCCAACTTTGACTCCGTCGGCATGTCGCCCGAAACTTCCAACTGGAGCGTAAGTCCTCTCTCTCTTCATTTCTTTTGCTCTCCTCCTCTTTCCTCCCCATGATGATATTCTCTTGTTCACGACAAAAGATATGCAAAAGAAGGGGAAAAAGAGAACGAGGATACACAAATGTACACCCAGATCTAACTCGAGCGTTTTCTTTCCCACAGCTTCCCGACTGGCGAATGCAGCTCGGCCTCGGCCCCGCCATCGGCGCCACTTTCTTCACCATCGACACCAACGCCAACAACGGCCAAGGTACCAGCGGCCAGGTCGACACCGCCGCTCAGGGCGGCGCCACCGTTGCTGGCGCTTCCACCATCTCGTCCTCTCGGTCCGTGGCCGCCCTCGCGGCCCTTGCCGTCGTTGCCCGTCTAGTCATGTAGAGAAAGGCTTCGTCATAGTCTCCTTCTTCTTTTTACATCTCCTCGCACCTCTATTCTCCGCCGGGAGAGTTCGCCTATCCCCTGGCTCGTTTCCCGGTCACCGCACTTTTTCCTTTTCTGGATTCAAATCCCTTTTGACTTCTTTCTGCATCATTCCGCATCGGCTTTTGGCATCTCTCAATAAGACTACAACAAAAAAAAAAAAGGGTAGGGGAAGGGCGTCGTATGGCGTGGTTGGAAAATGCTTCAAGCGATTGATAAATACCCCAAACTCTTTTATTTTTATTTTATATCTTTTTCTCTTTCTCGATTTGCGCCCTTCAACCTCGGCTCTGTACACTTATTAGCGTATTCTTCCATTCTCTTTTGGGGCTCCCTTAATCTTTCGATTGCTGCCAATGGCGGTTGCATTCAAACGACCTCACCTCATACTCCATCGCCTTCCTCTCCCTTCAAACCATTCATGGATGCATGTGAGGAAGCTACAATATCTCCAGTTGCTTTAGTGCTCTGCCCGTTCTCTAGCACGTTCATTTCCTTCTCGTTTTCTCTTAAAGCCTACGTTGTTCATTTAGCAAGCGATCTCATGAATTTACATGTAATACTCATTTTCAACCCCATTGACCTTGTAATGGTCTCCCCGCAGGAACCCTCTTGATGGTTTGAGTAAATGCATCGATATCGATGTTCAGAATGTAATACCCTGTTTACTTGGTAATCCGGCCGGCCCCCACGTGTCGCCCGAGGAAGAGACCCTTTGCGGTTGCCGGTGCGTCACACAAGCCTTCCGAGCTTGAGAGCCTCATTAGCACAAAAGACAAGAGGCATGGGTCCAAGATGGAGGATGGGCCATCAAATGAAGAAAGAGAGAGGGCGCCCCTCCGAAAGGGGAATTCACCCCACCACTTCACGGCATTGGTGGTGACCAAAAAGAGAAAACATTCCGTCCACTCCCCACACATACCGAATCTCAAGGTACAAGCGGGCAGTTTTTTGTGTTCCTTTTTTGGGTTCTTTTTCCTTGGGGACAATGCATGTAGTGCAAGGGAGGATGAAAGTGATAGGAAAGAGAAAAACGAACAAGAAAAGGAAGAAAAAGACGCGAGGCATACGTACGCCGCAAGAGAATGGATGTCCAATCGGAAGAATTTGGTTACCCTGCGCCCTCCAACGTCTGCTCACCTTCTTTGGCAAGGGCCCATCATATCATTGCATCAACTTCCACATAACTGGCCGAATGGTTTGACATCCCGCCTTGTGATCTGGTACCACGCACGGGGAGCAAAAAACACCCGGTGAGGGTTTAATGCTTGCTCCTTCATCGCCCAGCACTCCGACTCAGGTTCCACATGTTCCATGTACAAGTAGGCAAATTGGAGATACTTGCGAGGGATCATGGGTTCTCAAGGACTTGAAGAAAAGAAAAGAAAAAGCAAAGCCAAGAAGAGGTCGCGTTGAATTTGCCTTGACCAACCTCGCCATCACTCCCGCCCAACCGAGGTGATACCCGATATTGATCAACAAAACAAGCATGTTCTTCTTGGGTGGGTATCATTGCAGCAAGAGCGAATCCGAAGACTTGCGCCAATGAAGGCGAAAACGACGTCTAGGGAGCTAAAGTAAAAAAAAAAAAAAGAAAAAAGACGAAAATGCTCCCCAAAAAGCCTGAAGGATCGGAAACCGGGGCTTCGTCCAGGCTGCGTGGGAAAAAGGCTGCAAGGATTACCGCAACATTCAGGCCAGACCGCTTCCGCTCCGGCCCTTTCCAGCGGTTTCTGAGGTGTACTCGCCTGCCGCCTTAGCGATGATTGGCCCTTGAAGCGTCGTCTTTAATCCGCCAAGGCCCGGTCACTACGGCGTGAACACCGGCCGCAAAGAGGCGTTGATAGGGGCGGGTTCTGTGGGGAGTGAGATAGAAGCCTGGAGCTACATACTCGATACGTACGGATGGATTGGTGACGGTGGCCTCGGATGCACGTCCACGACGGACGGGGAACTGTGGGGGACCCTCCCCAGCAAAAACCCTGTTCCGCCTCCAGCGCACCAATGACTAAAGGGATCCATGAAGCGATGTGCGCTGCTGGTGATCGTGTCGAGAGGGTGAGGGAGCCTTAACCTGCTCCCAACAGATGAATGATTCCTTTCTCATATTGGATCGCGACTTAGGCCTGTAGCGACTCAATTACTTGTACCATAGCTAAGAAGTGCGGAAGAAAAGTAAAACGTAAAAAGATAAAGAAAAAGAAACGAACGAGAAGCCCCCTCTATCGACGTCAACGAGGCCTCTCGGAGTCCGCAGTTCCGGAACAATAATAATAATATGCATCCCATCTCGGCATGGAAATATTGTCGTGGGTGCTCGTTTGTGGGGGAAGATGGGGAGGCAAGGCGGTGGAGAACGCCAGGTTCGACGAGGATTCGGGAATGTAGCACAGCGCATGGAGCCACCCAAGCGACGGTTGGGAGGGCGTTTAGGGCTTGCTGACATGGAGGGCTGCAGAGTAACATCAATGAGAAATGTTTCGGGCAAAGCAAGATTGGTCCCGGTTTTGAGTCGTGAGTTGTGTGACGTGGGAAGCGGTGAAGGGTCGTGTCGCATACCCCTCGCCCCCACCTTCCACTGACAACTTCGTGATGAAACCGCAGTGGAGAACCCGGAGATATGAAGACGATCGGAGACGTGAGGAATGTGAAGAGAAGTGAGGATAGCTTCTTGCTCTTCCTCTCCGCCTCCGCGTTCTTCTCTCCCCTTGTCCCCCCTGCCTGACTTCTTAGAAGAGGGTGCGCCATCGGATTTTTGCTCGGGCGCTGATCCCATCTCGAGAGTGGGGATACTGGGCGGAAGCGGCCCTTCCCTTATCCTTAGGCCGTTCGGAAGCCCAGGGATTGGTCTCGGCCCTTTCCGGAGGCTGGATGATGGGGGTTGAGCTTCAAAGGAAGCCATGTGCCCTTGTAATGGGTTAATGCCTGAAGAAGAAGAAAGGGCGATTAGAGGCAAGGACCGCTGACCTGCCCAACGTAGGATTCGGTCACGGCGAGACTAATACCGCCATGCATCATCTAACTGCCGGTAATTCTAAAAAGTACGGCAAGGGAACAACTTAAGCGTGAATAGCGTGGGTGTTGTCTACGGAGAAGGAATGAAAAAAAAAAAAAAAAAGGAACAAGGAGAAAAAGGAAAGAAATGAAATGACAGCCGCAAGGAACGCGGTCCAGACTCGAGCCAAAGAGTCGTCCTGGGCTAGCATCTGACATTCAAGACAAGTCTGTAATCTCTGGTCGTCGATCTCGGAATGATTTTTCCTCCGTCCTTTTCTTCTCATTTCCTTCTCGATCCTCCCCTTTGCCGACCTCGAAATCACTGCGAACAAGACCGCTTGCTTCCGAGAGAAGAGTTGAGGGAGGGGACGTAAGGCAGGGGGTCAGCCTTTCATTGGCCTGGGGGTGACATTCACGGTGACGGCAAGGCTTCTCGTCGGTTGGTGAACCCATGTCGCGCAGTTGGGAAAATCGGACGTCCCCCACCCACATCCTTCCCTCGGCAATAATATCACATCTCAACTTTCCGGAAATCTTCTCCCGAGATGAGGAGGCGACGCTGGGGATTCAGCAAATGCGGTTCCTTTAAGATCGGGCTTCAATCAGATGATGATGAAAACTGAGGAGGGAGAAATGAAGCGATCCGGAAGAGGACGAACGAAGCCCAAAAGGGACGGAAGGGAAAAATGGATTTAGGAAAGCCCCAAGATCGAGATGCAGGCCTCAGGGAATATATCTCCATCAGTCCGAATATTGTGCCAGGCGCATGAGGCTTCATCCGCCTCCCGAGTCAGAAAGGTCAACGGCGTTGTTAGGGTCAAGCTTGATCCCTCCCATCTCCTAGGCTTCTTGATGGAGGCGTTAATGGCGACAATATCGCCGAAGAAAGCCATCACATCTGTCCCACTTGGTCGAGTCATGTGGGCACCCTCCGCAAAGCGGAGTCAAGGGTCAGGAGTCACACTAAGCTCGACTAGGTAGGCAAAGTCGAGTTGATCCAACAGCATTGTGTCCTCCGAGGGGTGTGGACCACACGGCCACCCCAGGCCAGCGCTCGAAGCTTATGCAACTCGCGATAATCTGCGAAAATCTCGATTCGAGCCATGCCGGGCTCCGACTAGCAGGTGTGACGGGCCTGTATTATCGCTGGCTGCCCTTCGGGCTGGTTGTAGCAGTGTAGTGTAGGTTCGAAAAAGGGGCCCACATAGACCTGACATACCACACCGTCTGGCTAATTGCCCAAAGGTGTCTATCGATTGCTCCTGGAGGAGAGCATATATGGGCTTGCCGGAGGATGAGATACTCTTGAAGAAGGTTATAAGACACCACCTCCTCAGGGAGTTAGAAGAGACTCAGTGCCATGCCTCTAATCTTGGCGTACGGGTGTAATAATTGCCGCCGCGACCAGTATCTGGGCATCAAGGCTGATGGCTATCGCTTCAAACGGAAGAAGGAGGGTTAGTGGGGGCAGTTCGTCTGTCCTATCCGTAAGCCTTGACTAGGAAAAGGCTCAACGCTTGCTTTTCCCGATGGCTTGCTTGTTGTCTCGTGGCTGTTGGGCCCTATCCTCTAGCCAGATCGAGGTGAGAGGGAAATATTGGCAATTGGCAAAGTCCTCCATCTCTATTCCTATGGGGGCCAGCCAGCTCACTCGTCGTCGAACTGCAAGGTCTGCGCACTGGAGATGCAGTCCAGGGGTTCGCCTAGGGGTTGCCGGACCTCAGCTGAATGGAGGTGGACCTCTCGGGTTACTCAAACACTCCCGAGCACCCATGCCGTCCTCCCGCACCCCATGTACGCTCTCCAAGTCGTGGAGCGGGCCATCGTGAGGGACACCATCAGAGATCTTCCATGTAAGATGTCGGTGAGTGAGCGATGGATGACTGGACCCATCAGCGACCAAGCAGCGTCACATCAGCCATGGTCGCACTGGTTCGGGGAGGGAATGATCCGTATCTGTCAACCAAATCGTCTGCCCCGGATAAATTGGGTCTCGAGGCACCCCAAAGCCTCCATGTCGTGCGCCCAGACAGAGTTGCGATGTTTGACCAAGGAAGCTTACCAAGTGGCGACTCCCGGGAGGTTGTGGAGGACGTAGGGAAATACATGCGGGTTTACAGCGATCCAGGAGGTCCCTCGTACACCCGCACACCAAGAAAAAAAACCGTTCTTTGGCTGTTGGTTTGAATGCCCGGCGCGGTCCACGGCATCACCTCACCCCAGCGCAACTCATTGTGCAGGGTGCGCAACAAACTCCAAAAGCAAGCTCAATGAGCTAAGAAGACGAGGTAGAAAGAGCAAGCTTGCCGCGCGCCCGCCCCCGCTGATATTTGCGGTCACCCGCAAGTCGATAACAGCAACCAAGACACCCACTGGCCGGCTCGGTCAGGGACCCTGAAAAGACGAGCGTGGCTTTTCATCTCTGCTATGTTATTCTTAGCTGGAATCGGCGTGAGTGGATTGTCGATTACTTGTGGGACGAACAGCTTCGTTTTCCTCCTTCTGCATCTTCACAGACCTTTTGTCTATTCCCGTCTCGAATCTCTTTTTTTCCTTTCCTTTTTCCTCTTTTTCTTCTTCCTTCTTTTTTCTTGTTCCCCCTCGTTCTTCTTTTTTCTTTCTCTTTTTCGGGGTTTCTCTCCCCGTTTCCTTTCCTAACAACAACGTCTGCCATCTCCTTGGATTTCTGCTGCAGCACTCCGTCTCAACAAAGCTGACGCCTGCAGCATTGGCAACCTGGCATCCACTTCAAGTCTCATCTTCATCTCACATTTCTGCTTGTCTCACACACTTTTCGGTATGCAGAAATGAAGCAACGACCCTCCACTCTCAAGTGATGATCGAACAGCAAACGCTGAAACAGTTTGACTATTGGCTTCGGGCGACGGCTTCATCAGGGAACACTGATTCGTAGGAGCACGAATCGCCGGTCAACGTTGCCTTTCGGGACATGCCGCTGAACTGAAGAGACCGTAAGCTCGTTCTGAACGTTCCGAATACAAAGAACCCCTCGCCCAAGTGCGGTTCAACAGACGTGCGAGAAAAACGCCACGTATTGCCACGGTCATCGTCTCGAGGAGCAGGCAGTGTACGTGCATATCCGATAAAAGGTCTCGGAGGAGCTGCCGGGTCCAACACTAAGCAGATATCGAGCCTGAGAAGGAGGCCTTTTGTTTTATCCCCCTTCCCCTGTTCACTGAGAGTGCTCGTTTCACGGCAAAGGACCGGAGGTGGCTGCACTGTCGTGATCTGGGTGTCCTTCGTGGCCTGAGGCCACTTCCTCATCTGGCTTCAAAGAAACGGAGGGGATCTCGGGTGGTTCGAATAAGGAAAAAAGGATTGAATCCCTTGATGGTGGATGGACCCCAGCCAACAGACACACTAGCGTGCATTGATCGTCTGGTACCTGAACGACAAGAAATCCTCACATTCAAAGTACCTCTCGTTATTTTCCCCCTCAAACCTTCTCTTGAAGGTATCCACTAGCAGACCGCTCAATTTGGAAAAGGATAATACCTTGGAAAGCTGAATAGGTTTGCGTGTGGCATCGGGATTGAGGCAAACGACAGCGGGAACCGCAACAAGATTCTCACCTGAGCGCAATCGATCCGGCCGCAAAGGTTTGCCCTCACCCGTGCTCCTTCCCAACCGTCGACGCCCCATCTGAGCATCTCCATCAACCCATCAACATCCCTTGTCTTCCTTCCCCCTTGTTCACGCCCCACCTTCTCCGCCCACTCATTCCCTCTAGCGCGCTTTCCATTGACGGTTGACACCACAACAGAAACGAGGGCGCTTTCCTGGCGGATCTGCTTGCGCGGTCGTGCTTCTCGAACCACAGCCCAAGGGTGTACATCGACCGCTGTTGTGACAGGAACTTGCTATCACGCGGACGAACTCCACTGAGCTTTCCAATTCCAAGTCAAGCCTGGCACTGGTCACCGACAACCGTTTTTTCTCATCTGGCTATTATTGCTTCCGGAAGTCCTGCAACCCCTTGAAAAGTCCCAAGACGTCCAGGTGCCGTTGTCGCCCTAGACCAGGGTGCAGTGCTATCTTTTACCTTCTTCCAATCTTTGACTGTACCTACACTTGGTAGCCCGGTTACGTCTCACACGTGCTCCTGCCATCCAAGTCGCTGTGTGCTCTGGTCATCAGCCAAAATTTGGTTGTTCCTACCTTCCCGAAAGCAACATCAATTACATACACGTACGAGCCTTCCTCTACCTCAGTGCCTCAGTGCCTCAGTGCCTCCGCAATACTAGCATTAAGCAGCACTGAGCATTCAAAGCCCGAGCTGGCTGCCCGCTCTAAGACTGCCAGTACCCCCTAGAATCAGTTTCTTGGCTGCCAAAGAGTTCCCAGCACGAACACTATTGTTGTTGACCTTCCTTGAACGGCCGTCGATAACGAGGCAGAGCAAGCCTCGGGACCTTGCGTGTCCCTCCTAGTGGGACGCGGATTTTGGCATCGCCTCTCGTAACTGTTTAACCCTCCCTGAAATCATCTTGGAGTGCAATATTTGGCACCCAAGCCCATTGAACTACGCGCCGCTGTCCCCAAGCTACGCAACCTTAAACGGCGCTGTCCGGCTCAAAGACTAGTGACGGGCCTCCACTTCCAAGTTGTTTGCCGTTGGGCTGGACGCCTGGGGCCTCTTGAGCCTTTCTGGTTCATTCCTCAGAAGCTTGGGAACATCCAGTGTCTCCGCTTGCACAGGATATTGCTCAAAAGCGAGTCACCTACCCTTCCTTTGCGCGCATTCCTTTTAAATCGCCAGCTACCCGCCATTTCCCCCTTTCTTTATAAACTTGGCATCGTCCCATTCTGCGCGGAAACTTTGCCCAAGGCCTCATAAGACGCTCCTGGACTGTTGTAGCGTCCCAAAGCACCTCACCACCGGGATAACCTTCTACAACTATCACAGCCCCGCTGTCACTTGGCGATAATCTGCACAATCTGCATCCACGGCAACCTGACAGGTCAACTGTACGAAGAAGAAAATGGCAGATCCGCCCATCGATCCCCTCGAGGGCTTACATTATATATATCCCGCCTTCATCTTCACGTACTTCATGGTATCCACCATCGTATCCGTATGTACCTTGGAGACTCTTACGGCTGCAGCCGACGGTAAAGACAAAAGAATTCCCAAAAAGATCCTGCTCAACGGTTCCTTACTGGTGGTCTTTACATACTTCTCGCAGCTAGCTGCTATTTTGGGTTCTTCTATATCCGGGCATGCTTGGTTAGGTCGCGAGGACGTCATTGTCGGCTGGCTCTCATGCTTTATGGTGTTTGGTATCCAAACAGCTTCCCTAGCGAAGACTGAACACCCTGTATGGTACCCTCTTTGCGGCTCCTGGATCATTGCAACTCTTTTCGAAGTGCTTTTGGCCACATTTTACTTCATCTATCCTCACAAGCTTCTGTCCGGACTACCGTCATTCCTCTACGTGGGCTTTTCGTCTTTCCGCGCTGTCCTTTTCGTTGCCTTGGCACTCACATACTTCCTGCGACGCGATAGTCCAGATTCTACGGACATAAGCGACGAAGAGTCACAACCCCTGCTTGCGGAAGATAATGTTAACAACGAGGCTCAGGCTTCTGCTAATGGCCAGGCCGGGAGTCAAAACCAAACATCTGGCTACGGAGCCACCCAAGCGAGCAAGGTAGCAGCGAATAAACAGCCCGTGGAACTTCCATACGAGAGACGGCTGAGAGAAGGCCGAGAGAAGATGGAAAAGCGGCTTCAAGAGGATGGCAACTGGTTCACCTACATCAAAAGTTTGCTGTAAGTCCTTGCCCGCTTCCTATTTTCGGTACCAACTTTTGTTTGAAATCTCGCGAGCTCCGGCGTTTATCTTTTTCGGTACCCGTACAATGACTAATATAGCACTATAAAATAGATTCTTTGGCCGTATATCTGGCCGATAGGGAACCGTAGACTTCAGTTTCGTGCTATTCTTGTCGGAATCAGTCTTCTGGTCAAAAACGCTTTAAACCTACTTATTCCCCGACAGATGGGTATCATTATGGACATACTCGGGGCACACGTCAAGGAAGCCCTTGGATGCAAGTGATACTGTTCGCTGCCCTCAAATTTCTTGCATCCGACTCCGGGATCGATTATGTGCGTCAGAGAATCTACTTCCCACTAGAGTACTACTCGCGGGACGCCTTGATAACTGCAGCCTATCGCCACATCCTCAGCCTCTCCGCCGATTTCCATGATTCGCAGAGCACTTCGGACACAATTTTGGCCATACGGGGCGGCGAAACCATTTCCTCAATGGTCGATAAACTGGCATTTTCGGCCTTCCCGCGTATTGTAGATCTTATCATTGCCATCATCTACCTGTCTCTCAAGTTTGGTCCGTACGAAGGTTTCATCACCATCTCAACCGCGGTCTGCTATCTACACGTTGCGGGAATCCTTGTGGATGGTATGAAGGAAGCTCGACGGGATCAAGTGGCATCATACTACGATAAGAACAACCTCCTTCAAACGGGAGTGGAAGGCTGGCATACCGTGACTGCCTTCAATCAAACTGGGTACGAGGACAGCAGGCATGCCGACGCCGTCCGGACGTACACAGCAAAGACCAAGGTTCTCTACTTCAAATGGTTCAGCATCCACGCCCTCCAGTCCCTGGTGCTCCTTGCCGGTCTCCTCTCTGGCTCGTTCCTGGCCGTTGCTCGGATACAGAATGGCAAGGCGACTCCGGGTGACTTCACAATGCTTTTGATGTACTGGAGCCAACTGACGGGCCCTTTGGTGTTCTTCTCCTCGCTCGGAAAACAAGTCAGCAACGACCTCATCCATGCCGAGCGCCTCTTAGACATGATGTATAAGAAGCCAACAATTACGACTAAGAGGGGAGCTCGACCACTGTTGTATAGCAAGGGTGAGGTGGAATTCGACAATGTCTGCTTTGCTTACGATAACCGGAAGAACATCATTGATGACTTGACATTTACCGCCCCAGGAGGCCAGTGCATCGCCTTCGTTGGCGCGACCGGGGCGGGAAAGTCGACTATACTCAAACTCCTTAGTCGGCTCTATGACGTTACAAGCGGCACGATTAGGGTAGACGGGCAAGATATCCGAGAGATCGATTTAGAGAGGTAAGGCTTGGTGCTCCCCTTCACCTGCTGCGGCCACTAATGTACAAGCTATCTATAGCCTTCGGAGCCGGATTGGGAGTGTGCCGCAAACCCCCGTTCTTTTCAACGACACTATCTTAAATAATATCCGCTACGCTCGAATTACCGCTTCTGACGAGGAAGTCTATGAAGCTTGCAAAGCTGCCTGGATCCATGATAAGATCTTGTCATTCAGTGACGGTGTGTACTCTTCTATGCGTTGTCCGCTGCTGAATTCTCACTGTGTGCTAACTTGCTGGGACAGGATATGAGACTCGAGTTGGAGAAAGAGGAATGTAAGTAAAATATGGGATCGAATAATTCATGGCGACTAAGGTGACCCGATCTAATCCCATTATCTCGCAGAAAACTTTCGGGAGGCGAACTTCAACGAGTGGCTATTGCAAGAGCCATGTTGAAAGACCCGGATCTCGTGGTTCTTGACGAAGCAACTAGCGCGGTTGATACCGATACCGAACACAAGATTCAGCAATCTCTCGCCCGGCTTTGCGAAGGTCGCACAACTTTTGTCGTAGCGTAGGTTCTCAGGACATATTCCGGATGCGAACATTGAACTTACACTTAATTATAGGCACCGCCTGTCTACCATAATGAATGCCGATCGTATTATTGTCATTGGCGAGGGTACTATACTCGAATCCGGAGATCATGAGACTCTTATCCGATCGGGGGAAATACGCCGATCTATGGTCGAAGCAGGTGTTTTTGAAGCCGAAGAAGGCTAGCAAAGGCGATACGCAGTCGTCTACGCCTTCAACCCTGATTAACGATTTAGAGCCAGAAACCGCTGAAGCGGAACTAAGCAAGATCCACGAGGCGATGCGATGTGTGGCAAAAGGACAAGACAGCGAGTCTGAGGGCAGCCAAAAGGATGAGGATGCATCCACTTCTGGGGAAACTAAATGCGAGGTAGACTCTTCTGGAGAATCATCTAGTTCTTCGGATGAATCTAATCGTGAGCTCTAGGGTTCGAAGTTGAATCCGGTTGCCCCTGTATTTACCCCCAATTCTTTGGCTAGCCGCAGTGCTCTGGGCTCTCTAGATATAGCCACTTCAGCACCGCAATCAGGACACCGGGAAGGCTCGGGCCACGCCACTCAAGGAGACGAAAAGGTCCATGAAACTGCAGAGTCGAGGGCCGGGGAAGGTTCTAAGTAGGGAAAAGGCCTTCCAGCTTCTAGCGACGGCTTTGGAAGGAAAAAGGGGTTAAGTTCAAGGTCCGAGGGGCCCAATCGCTCGAGCCGACTGAAATCAATATCGCCATGTACCGCCGCCCCGAGTACTCGCGCCGGGCACAGTCCCGCAGTGAGCCTGGGTTGCGACGAGCCGAGTCAGACGAGGGCCATGGGGCGCCCGTTTATAATACCTTCCAGGTAAGAGGTACTTAATGACCTGACCTCCTGAGACCCATACCCCTAGGGCAAAAGGCACCTTACTTACCTCATCTCAGACTCGTCGTAAAGCGTCAGGCCCGATTGTAATGCGCTCGAACGGTGCGGGTCGAGACAACGCGTTTCTTCGACTCCACTGACCGGTCAACGGCTGGCTGGCTGTCGGTGGTGGTGATGGTCCATTGTACGGCCTTCATTCTTGAGGTTCTCAGGTTTAAAGCAGCCTCTCGGCGCTTTCCGTTACATTTCAGAGCGGACGGTAGTTGCACGTCGTACTAGTAAACGCGCAGGTAGGAGAGAACTATTTAACCTGGCGTAGCGGGCTTGGCTGAGAGACGATGCTCTGTTCAGAGCGAGAGAGATCGCTCATCTCCGCCCTCCCTACTTCTAGGCTGGGCTGAACTCATTCGGGAGACAACGTCTTCAACGGGAAGTTCATGTTATATGGTGACAGCAATCGGGTGTATTCTTCACCCCTCTCGATGCTTGGTATTCTTTGCGGCGTGTCCTTATTGATATCGGTATTTTCTTTGGAAAGGGGAAAAAGGGGTAGAGAAAACAAAATACGACGTTATGAAGGTCCAAAAGTTTATAGAGCTGATGAGGATGTCGGGCTTGTTTTTTATTCTTGTTTTGACCCTTGTTCGCTTCTAACCTCGTATGGATTATAATCACCGCTTATTATTTGGCCAAAATATTGTATGATAGAAGCAGGCTGTTATGGGATTGGGTTGGCGAAAACCCCTCCAGTGGAATGAATAAACGGCGTTTTATGCTTTCAGTGTTCGCTCTTTGAATCTACATGTATGGATCCATCCATGGATGTATGTGTCCGGCTGGCATACGCAAAGTCGCAGAGCGTGGCCGTTTCTTATGGAATGGGGCTGGGGGACAGTAACGGAGACGTTCTTTTTTTCTTGTTTTATATAAGAAACAGTCATCAAGAAGACTTATGGATGGGATTATGGGTAGAATGTGGGGCATCAAAACGTTTCTCGCTATCTCATGAGACCGTGCTCTATATATCCTTCAAACTTTGCCTCATCTGACGTCCTGTCTAGATCCTACCTTCATCCTTAACCTTGGTTGTTGCCACCGCTTCCGGGGTTACCAGGACCTCCAGGACCTCCAGGGCCTCCAGGGCCACCACCGCCCATCATGGACCGGGCCCTGTTCGACAAACGTGTGAGTATGATTACGCAAGAGAAGAAGGCGGCAGAAGAGGATCATGCATTACTTTCACCGTTGCGTGGTGGGGGCGATGGGGGAACAACTTACATCTCGGCGATAGAGGGTCGTTCATCATGGCAGAAATATCGGGCATGCCGCCACCGGTGCCCATTTGGTTGGCCATCTCCCGTAGCCTGGGGTTACCCATGAGGCTGCTCATCATTTCGGGGTTGTTCATGAGGCTCTGTGCCATGTTCTGGAACATGGGGTTGTTGAGGATGGAGGCAAAGTCCATGCCGCCGGGCCCGCCGGCACCACCGGCACCGGCACCAGCACCGGCGCCACCGCCAAACATGCTCGCGAGGCTGGAAAGATCGGGCATGCCGCCGGGGCCGCCGGCGGGGAGGCAGCAGCGGGGAGGCCCTGTTCCTGGGGAAAGGTTAGCGTCGCCTCCCTCGACCTCGTCGACGCGGCGCTTGGCCGTCTCGTAGCCCTTCTTCATGGCGTCGCTGCCGCCGTTGCCCTCGTACTCGATGCCCTTTTGGTACGCCTCCATGGAGCCGCGGGGTCGCCGAGGGCGAACCTGGCGAGGCCGAGCCTGGACCAGGCCTTGGTGTAGGTGGGATCGATGGCGACGGCGGCCTCGGCGTCGGCGCGGGCGCTGGCGTGGTCCTTGGCGGCGGAGTGGGCGGCGGCGCGGTTGGAGAGGAAGACGGCGTTGCGGGGTGCAGGTCGAGGGCCTGGGTGTAGAGATCAATGGCCTTGGCGTAGTCCTTGGCGGCCATGGCGGCGTTGCCGCGCGACTTGAGGGTCTCGCCCTCCTTCTTCTGCTCCTCGGTCGGCTCGGGGGCGGAGGCGCCGCGGGTGGACTCGTAGGCGGTGTAGATTTGGAGGAGGGGCTCGTCCGCGGCGGACGCGGCCGCGGGGTCGACCTTGAAGGACTCGGCGATGCAGTTTATCGCGACGTCGATCGAGTCCCGGTCGTCGGCGGGGAGGGTGCCGTCGGAGAGCGACTTGGTGAGGAAGTCGCAGATGGCCAGGGCCAGGCGTTGGTTGGGCGTCGTGGACTATGCGGGAGGCAGCGCATGCCTAGCGTTAGTATATCTTTTTTGTTCTTCTTCTCCTCTTGATTTCCCCTTTTTCGGCTTTCTTTTTCCGACTCTCTTGATCCGTCGATGTAGAATATCCATTTCTCCCAATTCCACTCGGTTCCCGCCTTTTCCCCCTCTGCGTGTCTAGGAGGGCGACAAATGGGCGCATGGCGGGGATATCAAGGTTGAGTATACCCTCTCCCTCATGCCCACCCGCCCTTTCCCCATCCCTCATTTTCTTCCCCTTCTTTTCACTCTACTTTTTCTGGGGGAGGGGCGAAAAAGCACACACAAAGAGGGGCAATTCAGCATGTGAAGAGGACCAAAAAGACATACCATTGTGAAGGAAGTGCGCGAGGGCAAGCTGGATCGGCGGAATAAAGGGGTTATCTGGATTTTGCTTTCTTTCCTAGGTTCGGTTTTACGAGGCAGGTTCAGCGAATAGAGGTTGCTGATAGGCAGGGAAAGAGAAGATGCAGCAATGTGTTGTCTCGTTTTGCTGGAAGCTTCTTGAGAGCCCCGGAGGGGCCGGATGGTGGGGCAAACCAGAGTTCAAGACCCCGAGTAGTGGCATCTCCTCGTTACGTGCATACGCCACCCGTTGACCTTGCCCTGGCCAGAAAGACCAGGCATCCCTCCCAGCTCACCATCTTGCTGGTCATTCGCATTTAGCACTCTTCCAAGTACATCAAAAATCGGGGATACCGGTATATCATGAGACGAAGGGCTAGAGGGGAAGAATAAGATGTAGCTCTTAAGAGATGATTTGGTAATACTATATTATTTTAGTCGTTCCCTCATGCACCGGTGAAATGCGTTTCACATAATACCCATCCATCCAAGATATATCAACACAAATGCTATCAAACCTAAGCCTCTAGGGTTGCGCGGAGGCGGTACAAGAGGACCTCTTCTCCCGCCCGCTAAAGACACACCGAGTCAAGAGATATCCCAAGAAAGACGGAAAACAGATACCAAAAAAAAAAAAGGAAAAAGAGGAGAGAGAGCGAGGATGAGCAGAGATGCTAGCCTAGGCCATTGTCGCGTTGCCTTTCTGGGTTGGCGGTCTTATCGATTTCTCTGTTTGACGTTGGGAACCCTCCTCATGGGACGAATGGCGGCCCGTCGATACTTCACGTAGAGTCGAAACATGTCCTTCAGCACCACAAACATGCAACCGCCCACCAAACTCCTCCCCACTGCTCCTGAAGTAGCCCCGTAGGCCCAGCTCGCAAGGGCGAGGTGAAGAAAAATGGTCTGCTAGGTATCCTGATGGTTGTCCAGCTCTTTGGGAGGGCTAGTCGGAGCATCTCCCCCGCAGCCCACGATATTGAGGGTAGTAGGAGCGCACCGAGGATTGTGCTCGTGAGGTCCCTCAAACTATAACGGACCGCACGGTCTATTACACCTCCTGGATTGCGTCGCGGCTCTGGCTGAGGGGCAGGAGCAGGGCGGGCGGGCGCTGGCTCGGCAGGCTGAGGCACCGGTTCACCTTCCCTTTCTTCTTCTGCTGCTGGTTCATCTTCATCGGAAACCCATTCCCCTTCGTCTCTCGGCATGCCCTCCTCGGCATCCCCCTCTTCATCGTCTGTCACCTCTTCTATGATGTCGATGATCAGCTCAGCCTCATTTCCATCCGCGCCCTCGTCGAACCACACCTCCACCCTTTCGTTGGCCTGAAGGTCCTCGCCCCCGCCGAGGTTATCTGCGAGATTGTTTATGATTTCGCGTAGCCCACCGCCCATGCCACCATCATCCGGCGGCGCGGTCCTGTGGGGTTTCGCTTCCCCGTATTATTCAATCCCACCTCGCTTCGGCCCTGCCGAAAAGCTCGCCCTTGAGCTTGATGTATGGCGAGGCAGGCAGAGAAGCAAAGGCGAGCTGTGGTGTTGGAGGCGTTGGAGTCTCGGCGTTTCTCGATGAAAGAGGCGAGAACGAGAAAATGGAACGCAGCACTAGGCTCCCTACGGACGTAAAAGGGTGGGGGCTGGTTGCTCGCGGGGCATGACCTACCAAGATGGAGAAGGGAGTGCTTATCGCCGTCGTAAACGTGGGGAAGAGTTGATAGAATATCAAGCTGGGGGCAATCATCGGCACACCCAGCAAGGCCGGCACATGATTTCTCAGACTTCCCGTCCCTAGTATATTCAAGACGGCCTCCTCCCCAGCAAAGATTCGGATGGCGTGGAAGCCGTAGAGGGCCTGCCCCGCCATAACAGCGCCACCAAACATGGAGCCGATCGCGATGGGCGACACGCCGTTGACAAAATTTCGGATGGCATCGCTCAGCTCAACCGCAAGGTCTTTTGCCCCCTCCACGCGTATAGGCGCCTGGCACACGGGGCACTTGAGGGGCTTGCTCTCGCGCTCGCACTCGTCGACCCATTGGAGCAAGCACGCGTGATGGGCTTCGAGCGAGCACGGGCATGGGTGCACCCAGTCAGATATGTCGCCCTCCTCGCCTGCGTCACCCAGGCAGATGAAGCATCGCGATACCGCCGAGGCTTCCGCTGCCATGATGATTTTCGGTACGTGCGACCACGTCGTCGCCCTGTGCGTCTTTTCTTCCTTATGGGTGGTATTCGTCACTCCGCGCCGGATAAGAGATGTTGACGTGTTGGGGACCCCGACTTCCCGCGTGCCCTTGGTTTTGGTGATGTCACGCCTCGGCACGGCTCCATTCAGCTCCAAGCTCGTGTTTGGGCGAGGATGGGGAGCTCGTGGGGCGAAGTGTGTATTACCTAATCACTTCCAGTGACACTGGTTGTAAGCGAACCAACCCCGCTTGCTCATGACTTTCGGCGAGGTCGGAGGCTGACTAACGCTGCCAAGCCCGCCCCCGACGCTCACTCGACCTCGTCCCACGATAGCGACGCCCACCCCGGTAGGGATGTTGATAGATCCAAAGTGGCAAGCTGCACTGATTTTTGGAAATAGAGCCATGGCCCAACAACAGTTTGGAGGCGCAGGAAAAAGAAAGAAAGGGCTACAAGCGAGTACTTCCCTTTTCAATACTGACTCCTACCACACCTCCCTCCCCCGGAAATGGAATGCGTGACGTATACGATTGAGGGATTCCCCCAAGCACCAAGGTGCCGAGTGTCCGTCCCCACGCCTGCCCTTGTTAGCCTACCTCTTGCCAGCAACAGCGCAGCAAGAAAAGGTCAACACACCCTCATATAGTTGAGGGGAAAGAAGCAATCGCTCATTTCCAGGCATCTCCGTGTATTATCGCTCTCTCGAGCTTTCGTCCACTCGTGGATCCAACAGAAATTCTGCGCAGGGTACTCTTTTCGCCTTGGACCAATCACCAGCATCCTGAGTGAATATGAGCAAGTTTTTCTTCCCATTGATATCCTAGAGCATCTTATTTTTTCAAAATGTTTCGATGATGTTGCGCAATTCAACTCATCCTTTCAGCAGCGTCCGGGTTCTCTTCCTTGAGTGATGTCCGGAACAGAGGGTCAACAGGTGGGGATACATTCTCGCAGGTAGGGGTGGGCGAGTGGTGACAAGAGACAGCCCTGGTTACGTTTACGGACCGCCCACTCGACCTGCGCGAGGAGAGCAGGAATGCACCCTATTCCCTTCGTGTCTAGGCTCGGCTGTGGCGGGCTAGCGCACCATCTCTTTGTCAATCAAACCCTGTCACTCGCCCCTTCACAGCGCCGGCAGAGGAAGGAGGGTGGGATGGCCGCCTAGGCGTAGCATGGGTTGGCGCGGGATGCCCGTCTTTCTGTTACCAACATAGATGTCAGCCCATGCCCAAAGCCTGGGGAAGCTTCCAGAGACAAGGCTCCCTCCCGTGGTTGTCTTGCGCCCGGAGAGATAGGAGTCGAACGATTGGATGGATGGAAACATCGGGGAAATCGTCACACTCTCATCAGCGCCCTCTCCCTCAATCCTTACGGGCTTGGCTCTTGCTCATTTTGGGGGTCGACCGGGTTGAAGACTGTGAACCGGCGAAGAGACAAGACATTCACGCTTGATCTTAAGAGTCCTCGTTGCTATGCGGCGTGTCTCAAGCAAACGGACAGCGGACATTATCGCCATCTCCTGCAGATCCTGCTCGCGGGGTTGTAGCCCGAACCCGCTAGCTTCTCTTCCGATGCGCTGAAGAATGTGGCATTGACTAGCCCTGCTACTTATTACTCCAGGAATCGACCCTTCCAAAGGTCCATCCCGTTTGTGCCATAACCAAGAATCGGTGGTACTTTTCACTCATTCATGCGTGTGGTGGGTTTCATCGAAACGCGACCTGTACCAGAGCAAGGATGGGGGTAGGGTGATAGATAGGATGTGGCCTCTAATAATGTGTAGACAGTAAGGCCCCCAGGAAATTGATGCAGATTGAAGCGGGTGCTCACAGCGGTAAACATCAGGCCATGGTCGAGAACCTGATAATCCGTCGCATCTAGTCGGGGAATAGAGGTTACAGGCGGGCTCGAGAACACGAATCCTGACGTCTCGGCCTTCGCATTGACAACCCTACAGTTGGAAGCATGGGACCTCGTCAAGCACTACTAGATTAAGGAGCTGTGTACACGAGATCAAAGAAGTCTTGGCTGTATTGATCGCGTCCCTAGATCGACTCTCTTTCTATTCCAACCCGGTTGATAGCACAGGCCACTAGGAGGAGGGTCTGGGTCTTCTGAAAACTAGCTTAAGGCAAGAGAAAAAGATAGCTAAAGGCCAGGAGTGCCTCTTAGAAAGAGAGGAGAGTTCCTGGACGGCCTTGGTTTCGCTCCATCATGATGCTGGGTAGAGAATCCCTTCCAAAGTGCGTCCCTGCCCTCCGAGGAGGTTTCGGGTGGAGTTCAAAGAGAGGGGTAACGCTAATTTATTTGTTCTAACAAGATGTGTTAGTTCATCTCAACCTCCTCCAGTATTCGCAGGGCATATCTGAGAATGGGATATGGGGGAGCCTTACGGGGCATCCAGAGCAGGAGCAAGCGGAGCCACAGCCGCAAGAGCCGGAAGAAGAGCAGCCGCAGTCACCCATGTTGATTGTTGTTGTTTAGGTTGAGGAAAAAGAGGTGTTTTTGAGATTCTGTTAGTCTTGTTTAAGGTTGAGTTGGTTCGATGGAGAGGGGAAAGAGGGAAGAGGGGCCGAGGAAAAAAGGGCGACTAGTCCAGGGCTTTATATACTTGGAATTGATCGACCACCTCAGTTCCTTCTCCTCTGGAAGGTCGGCTACGCCGCTCGACCAGTGGCGAGGGTCGCGATTACTTTAGATTCTCATATTACACAGCGTTGCCTACAAATAGGGAAGTCACGTTCAAACGGGGGTATCGATAGGTATCACGCGGAAGGTACGTTCGAGGGCCGAGTGCTGGGCTATGAATGAGGCCGCTTTGGCAGTAGACGCTGCGGTGTTTGTGCCTCCACTCACTGGCTCATTAGTGAGCCAAGCAATGATTGACCTCGTTCAGTCTGGGACGACCAGAGGAAGGAGGAGGGTGGGTAGCTAACATGAATGGCTCAGCCCCTAGCGTCCACCCCAAACCCACCCGCGGGATTCACGACTTGCCCCTCTCCACATTTTGCAAACTTTGGCTGCGAAGTCGAAAATGTGCCGTAAGCTCCCAATCCGAACGTACCTGTCATAAATGCAGCCCTCATATTAACTGGGATAGAATCGATACCCATATTCTGGGCCTGCCGCACTCCCAGTTTCCGTGGGCAGGGTCCACGCTTCCCTGCCTCATCTGGGATGGCGAGGTATTGGGGGGCACGTCAATTCAGTGTACATTCATGTACTTTTGAAAAGGGACCCCGCCCGCAGCTGCGAGTCTGGCTTGAGTGAGACACCGAAGCACCCTTATCTGATCAGCCTGGCTTTCGTGGGGTGTCCCCTCACTTATTATTTTTGTCTCTAGGTCGTCATCATCGGAGCGACTGTTCAAGGTTGAGCCGTTGTTGGACTATCTCAAAGGCTCAAATCTTCGGGCTGCAAACTTAAAACCACCATCATTGCCGAATGGGGGCTTTCCCAGGGCGCGCTAGTTTGTTATCTTCCGCGAGTCAGTCCGTTACATCTAAATCTACGTGCGGGGGAAGAGGGTGGAAAGTTGCTACGGGGGTTTATAAGGCAGATGGTGACGCAGGAACTCCCGACTTATTCCATCTCACCCGCCAAAAACAGCTTGAGATCTCTCCAGCTGCGCTGCGCTGTCGGGCTGCATAACATTCACATGGGGCCTCTTACATAACCATATCTCGTCCGGAAACATGCGTCAACTTCTCTCTTGGGATACTCATTCTTTGCCTTCTGGCCGGAGACCTTCCATTCCTGGGTAGTCTTCCCGGGACAATCCTCCTCCCGATGGATCCCTAATCTTTTCCTCCTTAAAATCCGCCCTAATGGATGACGGTTTAGAAGGGGGCGCGAGGCGAAGAAAGAGGGAAGAGGGAAGAGGGAAGAAAATGAGCGAGCGACGATTATTGATTTAACTATTTGTCTATAAGCGGCAGATCCTAAACTGATCTGACTGAAGCTAAAGAAGGTGCTGGCGCTGGGAAAATTCTGGTGCGCCAACCCCAGCCCCACCTCACTTGCGCGCGAGTTGCGTGGAAGCGAATTGCCTGAACTTTCGCCGATGTCATACACCCATCCAGCCCGCATTCAATCGATCGTATTTGGTCCACACGACGAAGACGTCAGACAGGCTGGAGTATTTCTGAAGACGACGCCGATCAGAACCCTGCATCTTCTTTCCGTCTATCCTCCTCCTTTTAAAATATTCATCGGGGTGTGCAGAACTTCCTCAGCCGTGTCGCCGTCGTTTCGCCCGCAAGTGTCCCGCGCGAAGTGCCCCGCGTCCACCAAGCTGCCCCTCACTTTCCGCGCCAAGTCCCGATTCTCACCAGGCCCAAGCTCCCCGCGCCCCAATGGCCATGGCAGGCTGCGTCCCGAACAGCAAGAGCCTTTCCGAGATCTACTACCCCGGTGAACTAGGCGGGCAGGAGAAACGATGGAATAGTCTTATTTCCAGCTTCAAGACCCGGTATGGCTGCCGTCCCGACTTTGTTGCCCGCTCGCCAGGACGGGTCAACATTATCGGCGAGCATATCGACTATTCCCTTTACCCAGTGTTGCCCATGGCCATCTCGGCTGACACAATTATCGCTGTTTCATCGACTCACACCGACGCCGCGAGCTCAAGTTTTGAGGTGGAGATCGCGAACCTCGAAGATGACAAGTTTTCAGCAGGCACCTTTAGCGTACCAATTGGGGGTGATGTGGACATCGACGCCAAAGTTCATGACTGGGTGAATTACTTCAAAGCTGGCCTCCGCGGCGCCTTTGACCCCTTGCAGAAGAGAAAGGGGAGGGCTGGCGTCCTGTGAGTATGAAGGTGCTACTGCATGGGACAGTCCCTGTAGGCGGGGATTGAGCTCCAGTGCTGCCTTCACGACGGCCAGCGCCTTAGCCGTCATGCTTGCCAACGGCGAGGAGACAATCGACAAGACTGAGCTCACTGAACTCGCCATTGTTAGTGAGCGAGCAGTTGGTGTGAACTCGGGAGGGTATGGTTTTCAGCTCCAGTCTAGCACTTATCCCCGCCTTGTCCTTTCCCCTTTGTTTTTCTTATCTTCGCACTATTGGCGACATGATCATACAGTCAGGTGCCTAACCTGCATCTAGGATGGATCAATCCGCCTCCGTCTTTTCGAACCGCGGCTCAGCTGTCCACGTCGAATTTGTGCCCTCTCTCAAGGCGACTCCAGTCAGCTTCCCCGAGACCTCGCCGCAGCTCACCTTCCTCATCGCTCAGTCCTACGTCACCTCCGAGAAGCAAGTCACCGGACCTATCCACTACAACCTTCGCGTTGCCGAGTGCTCCCTCGCAGCCGCATACCTCAATGCCGTAACCAATGCGCCCGGAACCACGCTGCCCGCCGACAACTCGCCCCTCGGCATCTCCCTCTCCACATTCGGCGCGACCCAAAAGACGACGCCCCAGGATCTCGATGCCCTCATTCGCCTCGTCGAGGAAAAACTGCCCAAGACCGAGGGCTACACCCGTGAGGAGATTGCCCACGTTCTCGGCATCACCGTCGCCGATCTCGAGGCCCGCTTCACCACAAAGTTCCCCGTACGCGCATCCCACTTCATGCTGCGCCAACGAGCTCTCCACGTCTTCTCCGAGGCCCGCCGCGTCCAACGCTTCACCGAGCTCCTCGCCGCAAGCTCGGCGGAGGGTGCCGGTCCCGCTCCCGCCACTTTGAGCCTTGATCTCGGCGCTCTGCTGAACGAGACGCAGGACTCGTGCCGCGACCTCTACGACTGTAGCTGTCCCGAAATTGACCTCATCTGTGCCATTGCCCTAGAGGCCGGCGCATACGGTAGCAGGCTCACCGGCGCCGGCTGGGGCGGGTGCACCGTCCACCTTATCCCAGCGGACAAGGTCGACGCTGTCCAGACAGCACTGAAGAAGCAGTATTACGAGGCCAAGGGCATCACTATAGGCGAGGATACCATGGTAGTTAGCAAGCCGGGTAGTGGAAGCTCTTTTGTCTGGGCTTCGGATCTCGAAGGCATCTGAGGTGTCGGCCGCCCATGCACGGGAGAGCTGCGAAGGCATCATGCATCCTCACTGGGTCACGAAATAGTAAGGGCAAGAAGGCCAAGAACAATGAACAGTGGTCAAACAAGATCTGAAAAAATCGTCTCTTTTTTCACAATGCAATTAACGCCGTTGCTGTAATCGTACAAAGCCGCCATTCAGTGTTTTACCAAAGGCGTATACTCCCCCACATGGACATTGACAACATGTCCGCTCATCACTATAACAAGGAACAAAGGAAAAATAAGAGTTCGGCCCATTCATAGGATAGTACCACGAATATTGTGAGTTCCCCAGAAAAGCGGGATGGACGGGTTGGCGTGGCTAGTAGAATGCATTGCCCGTGCTGTCCAACCTCCCATTTCGCGAGGAAAAAGCAGGGAACAAAAAGCGAGTCCATCCAAGACCCCTCATGTCTATCGTGGTTAAATGAGGTGACGAGGTGGTGGGAAGATAGAAATAAGAGAAAAAGAGTTCAGGCAAGAAGGAAGTGTGGTATCATAGCAAAATAAAAGCAAAAAAGGTAAGCCATCAAAAAGGCATGTCCGGCTGCAAGCGGCAACGTTGAGTGCCGTGGGCTTCAAGGATCAAGCCGACAAGGTTGCGGAAGGCGAAGAAAAGGAAGGGGAATAAAACCAAAAGACGTCGCGTCGAGGCATGCTGAGATGATTTTGTGCTCCCTGCGTATATACATGGGGCATTGCATTGGGTACCGGAATATGCTTAACCCGTCATCGTAACTTCGTGAACATAGGGGCCTGGGTTGTAGGCGGTTGGCTAGATTGTATTTCATATCCGGTTTGCTGACCCATGCTAGGCAAGGGCGGAACCTCTTCCAAGGGCGTAGGATGTTGTCGCTTCAGCCTCAGGTTATCAATGCTTTTCCATGACATGCCCATAGGGCGCTTCGGGGTTTTGGGCCGGGTCGAGTGCTCATAGTTCAAAGGACTCTCCATCGATGTCAAGACCTCCATCTGCGCACCCGAAGTCGGCCATTGCTGCGTCTGAGGTGGGGGATGCTGTGGGTGCTGTGGGTGCTGTTGTGAATGAGGCGGTTGGGAATATTGGTGCTGGTGTTGCACATGTTGATGCTGCGCATGTGGATGTTGGGTATGGGTATGTTGAGGGGTAGCATATGGCTGTTGGTGGTGGGTCGGGGCCGTATGCGCCTGCGGTTGCTGATGCATCGACGTGTGCGGTTGCATTTGGTCCGAGGGCAGGGGTGCCGGGGTTGAATTCATAGGATGATCGACTGCCTCGGCGGCCGTGGGGTGCTGAGCATGGGGGATCGACTCCTGGGTTGGAGGTGCAAAGTGGTAGCCTTCCTGCCACTGATTGATGTCGGGAGCGTGATATGGAGTTCCGGGATGAGGCTGGGACCACGTGTCCTGCTCGGCCACGAGAGGCCGACTGACTGCAGCGGGTTGAGTCTTGGCGGGAAGGTTTGCGGATGCCCGAGGTTCGGGGTGGAACATGCTTTGCGGTGGGGGCTTCGGCTGCTGGGGGTTGAAGTGAAAAGGGGGCTGTTGAGAAATGGGGAAGGCTAGCTTGAGAAGAGCTGGCTTCATGAGCATTTCGTGGCGCGAGGCCGCGAGCGAGCAGTCTTTCTTCAAAGGGCGTTTAATGCCTGGGGGAGTTCCGGCGCATCGAGGTTGGACGATCTGAACGGTTCGCCGCCAAGCGTCCAAGCCCAGTGAAGCAGCCGAGAGGTATCGTAGAGATGGCGGCACTCGAGTAGTCTCTTGAGGTCAGCCGACGACCGTGGTTGCCAGCGGAGGGCGTTGCGGATGCTCTTTTGCCATACACATTGCTTCCACATATCCTTGACGGCTTCTTGGCGGAGCAGATTCTGAATCTGGGTGTAGTACTCCCACTCAGCAACACAGAATCCCATATCGAAATGCTTGGCAACATGGTCGAAATACTTGTCTCTGAGCGTCTTTGCTTCATCTTCCGAAGAGGCTTCAAAGACGCGATCTTTGCAACCTCGGAATCCGCAGGCGAAGACGAGCTGGGGGCAGAGATCAACGCGGGCCTTGTTGGGCGGTAGGTGGATATCGGTATGGCAAGATTTTACATGGGCGACGTAGGCTTTTTCAAAGTCGAAGGTGAGAGGGCATCCGGCGTACTGGCACACCCAGAGAGTGTTGGTGTGATGAAAGTTTTGCAAGTGCTTCTTAAAATCGCTCTTTCGGCTAAAGCCGACAACGATTCCCTCGACGAAACACATGGTACATTCAATGGCCTTCCGGGGAGTGGATGCGGTGACAATGGAGGTGACGGACGGATTTGCTTGGATCATGGGCGAGTCCGAGGACTTGATCTCCCTCGGGGGTGAGGAGCCGATGCGGACCATTCCCCAGAGATGCTTTGGACGTCGGCCTGGAGATAGTTGGGCATGTCGGTCGATTCAGACCAGCCCGCCTGCGTGTTCTGAGAAATGATGGAGGCCGTTTCAGACTGGCACATGGATGGCTCACTAAAGCTCAAAGAGGGAACTCCACTCGTATTGCTCGAGAGAGTGACTTGAGACATGGTCGACATCCGGCCAGCTAAAGAAAAATTGTCAGCATTCGTCGCAAAGCCCATGGTGGACGACGAGGGTTAGATGAAGAAACAGAAGAAGACATACAGGATTCACCAAGGCTTCTGAGGAAGAACATGAGGTTTACCGGTCCGTATTTGGCGGCAAGCTGCACCATGGCCTGGATATCCTCCGGCGCCATCTGATAGGCGCGACTGGCATCTTGCCAGGGGTTCTGACTGGAAAACATTGCTCCTCCAGCCAAGGCTCACGACTCAACTTCAACCAAGAGGATGGGCTCTTTCTCTAGTTGGCCGAACCAACCCGTGGCGAGGTTGCCTACAGTCGACGTCGACAAGCAACAATGGCAACGGCTACTGAAGGTGTGCAGCAAAGTGGGTTGAGTCAGAGTCGCACAAGGAGTTTCGCCCGACCAGCACAGAAAAGATCCTGGAGGATAGAAACCCCAATCAAGAAAAGGTCCCCCAAAAGGAATGGAAGCCGCCTGTCGACGGTCAGTCGATTGATGCACTGGTGAGATAATCGGGTCCGGCACGATCAGTCCTCGAAGGGTCCAGCTGGATGCGACTCGCGATTTTACTGGGCGGACGTTGGTGAGGAGGTGAAGAACCGGCGACTGAGTTCAAAAACAAGAGGATGAGAAGGAGGGCTCTTTCTCCGTCTTGCTGATTGCTGTTGTATTAAAACTCTGGACAATAATCGGCGCTCGTTAATAACCGGGAAAAAGGGGATGGGATGGAAGGAATAGGCGAAAGTCAAGGTAAAAAGAGCAATGCGAAGGGGTATCGGGAGGGGATGGGCGACAGTAGGGGAGTGGAAGCTTTTGAGGACTGCGAGAGAGGTCTGGGAGCAGGAGCCACCTAGTCGCGATCTGAGATCCAGGGCACCGGTATTGTATATGGAAGGTTATTGCTTTAGACAAAGGGCGATATACCTTCTTTTCCGTCTGCGCAATAAGGTACCTTGTTGATTGGGGAATGACAGTCCTTCATGACGGTATTATGCGAGGGAAAGAACGGACTGTAGGCCCGAGCGGGAGCAACCTTGTACATCGAGACACCCACCCTTTCCTGGGCTAAACCCCCCTCCCTTGGCTTGTAACTTCTTTCAAGGTCAAAAGAAGGTCGTGGCAAGCGTTGACACGCACCCCTTCATCTTCCCTTCATCCCCCCTCCTTGCCCCTTCCCCATCTAATCCATCCGCGCAATTAGCGCACCAGGGAATGACAGGGCAAGAGCCTGGAGGTGCTAAATACCTCCCGCCCTCGAATTTCTTCATGGAAAGCGAGGCTTTCCAGACAGATGCGGTGTATCCATGCGCGACCCTGGGATTGGACCCATGCCGAGGCCGAAAACATTCAAGTCGCACACATCAACGAGGTGCGAGTGAGGAGTGAGGTTGTTGGGCCAGGCCAGGCCAGGCCATCGAATGCATCGCTAAACTTTCCCACAAGGCTAGGATGGGCGCAGCGCTGATCGGAGGCTAACTACCAAGACATCCAAGTGCGCCGATCTGCCTCATTTGTACCTACAAGACAAGGACGCATTCCTGAATTTGATCATTCCGATTATGCGAAAGATAGTCATCAAGGAAAACCGGAGGGTGTCTCCAGTGAGCGCGTAACCCCATGTTGGACTGGCCTGGAAGAAGGGTGAGAGAATGTTCCGTTTGGAGGAGAGCGACGAATGGTACCTCGCCCTCGGAAGGAACCTCCACTGTGTCAAGGTTCGCCGTAAATAGCACGAGTTTCCCCCTTTATGGCAGGGGCAAGGGCTTGCATGCATGCTAAGTGGATGCGCTTGGTGGTGAAGGAACATGGCGGAGGGTACGTATTGTGTAATTACTGTATCCAAGCACCCTTTCGCGAGTTCCGGACGGGACATTTGATTGATCTTGTCAAAGGCGACGTGACATGTTGATGGTGCTCTCCCCGAGGCGAGACGGTGACGGAGGGCATTGACCTGTCTTGCCCGCGTGTTGGCGCAAGCGGAAGGCAAGGGAATCGATCCTACAAGCTTTTTTGGTCTGGGGCCGGGCGCCTGCCACCAGCTCTAGCGAGAGAACATCATATGCACCAGCACCAGCGCCAGCGCCAGCGCCAGCACCAGCCAGCATTTGTAGTCGTGCTGAGTGTCGATTCATATTTCCTTCGTACTCACATTGAAGCCTGTCTCTCGACAAAGTTCTTTCGAGAAGTCGCTTATCTCCCCAGATTCTTCTCACACTCAAACTACCCAAATTCGCGCCAGGATGTAAGAAGTACCAGGCCAGGTGCCCATTCTGTCTGTAACGTTCCCGGCGCCAGTCTCCATCAATTGATGATTATAATATTGATACTATCAACTCCACCCCTCGTGCCTCGCATTATTACTCCATACTCTCCACGATTTGTATTGCTCGAAACATAGATCCATCAGAGAGGGAGAGCATCGCTCGGCACGCCGAAGAGGATCCGCCTTACCCGCCGCACTTGTTAACTAATCGAGAAAGAGCGTCAGCAGGTGTGTTGTGTGGCAGGGAGCTTGTTTCCTTTGCCAGGGCTTTCCAGAGGCAGACTTTATGCAAGTCCTGCAACCCCTCACGGTCATCCTGAGGGGGAAAGTCTTTCATCAGCGTTCCGTCAGGCTGAAGGGTGGAGGTCAGCTCATGCATTCTTGCAAGTTCGCCAGGGTGCATGCGCCAGCTCAGATCGATGGCTGGCATGCTAACCTCACCACGCTGGCTGCGAGGGTGGCTACCGAAACTAGGGTCCGAGGGCACTCTCGGGTGAATAAGGACGTACGAAGTACGAAGTGAAGTACGAAGTAGCTGCGGTGCGCTGCACGAAGGCGAAGAATAATACCATTCAAGTTACTATCGCATCCCTATTCTGCAAAAGGGCGATGTCAAATTCGTAACTCGGCAGGACCGTCAACTCAAACCCTGAAGGGGTTCTCAGCAGCCTTCCTTTCCCCACTCTTTTGTCCAAAGCTGGCTATGGGGCCAAGGGGCTAACTACTTCGTAGATGTTGCTGCAGGGCTATTGAGTGGCAAGCTCTCCTTTCTCTCAATGACTGAGAGAAGAGCCATGTGGTGATCACACAACCATTGGATTCCACAAACAATTTTGACCCAGTTCTGATTTGAGTTGAGACCAGCCTGTTTGGCTAACCCCACCTGCACCTTTCTCCAAGGTGCATTGGATCTCAAGCGAAAGCAATGGCGGGGAGTTGTTCCTTGACTTTTGAACTCTCAAGTGCCCACCTCCGCAAGGAACAAAAGTCTCGAATTCAGGGCTTGGTTGGTAAGGCCCACTTCGTGCCATCAAAAGACTCAGCTATACCTGGTCCACGCATTGGTCCAAGTCACGACACTCAAAGATTGTATTCCGCAAGACAATGAAAACGAAATGAACCCCATCCGGGGTAGTACCCCGAGGTACATTGATGAGGGTAATTGTATCCACCCTTTCATTCATTACTTTGGATGTGCTGTCGTGCTCCCCTTCAACTGTGCCCTTTCGGGCTATTATCCACCCTCCCTTGCCAGCGCTTTCGCAGAATCACGCGTGAGCCGTTAGCGCGGCCTCAACTTTGCGGCCGCCAAGCAGGTAAAAACCAAACTTTGAGCGGAGAAGTCTGCTTTCGTGAAATTGAAAGGAAGGAGGAAGGTGAGGGTGAGGGGGAGGGGAAGGATTGGAGTTCTTCATTGTCTTCATTATCCCTGATGAAGCTCTCTTCTCTTTCGGATTTCAAGAAATGCTTGTAGTAATAGTGTTGAGGTTGCTTCGTTCATCCACTTCCGCGTCGCATAATTCTTCGTTGTCGATTCCGGGCGCGAGGAGTTCTGAGGAGTTTTAAGGACAAGCCCGAGTGGAAGGGGAAGTAAGAGACCGTCCAAAAGAGGGATCTATATGTTAAGAAAAAGTATTCGTGTAATTTCCGGAGGGAGCGCAGGTTGAAGCTGTCTGGCGCTCAGTGCTTCCTCCTTGAGCATCAAATCCGAGCGATGGGCAGGGCACAGCCGCCGCTCTGTTCCTGGCGGGCCAGGCGAACACTCGTTCGTTCTGAAATGAATGGAGCGTGTAAGCCAATCCACCATGTTGGCCCTCACCCACCGGGACGAAAGCGTCCCCTCTTTTTCCCTTTCCCTGGTTCACTATCGACGCACTAACGACGCGGAAAGTTTGACGGCCCTCAACTCTCCCTAGCGGGAGCGAACTGTGTTTGATGGAGGGGAGGGGGGAACGAACCCCCATGCGAATCGAATGATCGACATTACCTAGAACCTAGAACGCTCTTCGCCATCTTCTGTTGTACTCTTGTCATGGATTTCGTGGGAGCAGGACCAGGGTTCCTGGCCAGTCTCCTTGCGACTGGCTCCTCAGGTCCAACCGACCCCAACCCAAAACATTCTGTTTCCCTGGAGGCAACTCCTTCTCGCAAAGGGAAGGGGGCGGGGGAGGCGGACAGGCGGACAGGCGCCCATCAATTTCCCTTTTCTGCGAAATCGGCTCTCGACCGACCCCATATCCTTATTTCTCGTCTCGGTTTGGCACATGGAACGATGGGGACATGGGACATGGGATGTTAAAGATGGAAACATTTTCCTCGAGATAAGAAAAAGAGTTTTGGTCATGGTGAAGAATGCAGCCTTGGCGTATGTTTGCACTAATAGAAAACATGCCCTGGGGGAAGAAGCCAGCCAGCCAGTCAGCCAGTTGAACGGCAGGCTTTGCCAAAGATTTTGCAGCACACACGTGGTGCACAATTGTTCAAATACTTTGCCTTTTGGATCGGGTGCCGACACCAGAACGTGGGAGGGGGACTTCTAGAAGTTCGCTAGAAGGAAATGACGCCCACAGCCACCGCACGCATTGACTCCAGGGAGGAGGAATGCTAGTGTTGGCGGGGGTCCCTGGCTTGAGAGCTCGAGCGCGCGGTGGAGGTACCCCAGGTAAGTGTGTCGTCAAATCCCCAGTTCCCACGCTTGGCACGCCAGAAGCTGAATGTAATGTCTTTTTCTTTCTCGAAAGCCAAGTCCCTTGACAACTCAACTTGTTCATACCCCATCGAATCGACCACCCAAGATGAGGCGGGCCCTAATATAATCTTATGACTTAATACAAGGAGAGGAGCATCTCGAAAGGGGGAGAATCTTGACTTTGGAGCTAGCGTGGCGGCCGTTGACGAACGGAGCTTAATTTACAATACAATCTTTCTTTTTGTATTACCTCGAGCGGCCGTGTCT